ACTCACGATCATGACAGTGTCAAGTCGTGTAAGAAACTTGCGACCTACATTTGCCCCATTTGGACTCACGTGCTCACGAAGCCGAAAGTTTACTGAAAGCTCAACGAGCTCACCGGCACGCACCATGTCAAGGGATGACTGCACAGGAGTAGACCACCTACATAAACACAACATCACCTCAAGCAATGCAGACAGATGATTTCATATCATGACATACCTGTCGTCATACTCACCCTTCAGCTCCATGCATGACACGACATTGTCTGATGTCCACGAGAGCCTCCCACCAGCAACTAGCTCTGCCAATGCACCATACGGGTCAATAACCATGTTCAGATCGGCACTGTCAAACAACGGTGCTTCCACCATAGGCGTGAGCACACGTGTCTCTGCAATAAAACACGGCATGGCGCCAAGCCAGACATCATCAATTACAGATGTCGTTCCATGGCATGCATGCATTTCCATGAAACGTAAGATGTTTGATCGGGCAGTGATGGCTCGCCGGAATGCAGGACCTTCACTGGCAACCACAACAGTCTGCAGAGCGAGGTTCGGATTTCCCCTCGGCAGCCTAGATACGAATCAATCACATCGGCAAGCAGCTTGTGAACTGCAGAAGTGACAAACCTGAATGAGCGCCTGAAAGGGGGCAGAAGACTCATCTGAGAAACAAACCCAGACACACGCAGTGTAACCTCCTCGCGCGAGCTTCGCCACACCAGGTACAAATACCCACCCGAACTGACCTGAACATCAAATTGACGCTCAACTGTCTCGAACTGATCGTACGTCTCGAGCAGGAACTGCGATCCCTGTCCATCGGCACCCATTTCCGGATTCGGCGCCTTCGTACGTGTGGTCCACTCGTCGAATAATTTCACTGACCAAGATTCAGCCATCATCCAGTCCCATCACGAAAACAGAAACTTGACGCACCACAATGCGCATCCTGAAAGACCTTTGCCATCGTGTCAGAACTCAGGTGAGCCTCCAAATTCATTTTGATCGAAAGCAGCAAGATTTTTACTAAACTTTATACACCAGTGTCAATTGCCAGCAAGACACGATCAACGAGCAAGAATGAACACACCGGTGGAGGTAAGTAGCCATCCACAACGACCGACGCTCGCCCCCGCACGACAAACCGTTCGCGCATCAGATTCAAATCTTACCGTCGCGCCCAGCTCATTGTGGACACGCGCCACTGCTGCGCGTCAAATTCGGCGCACGTTCACGACCGCTCTAGCCACATCTCCACCACTGACACGGACGGTCGCCGACGTTCTCTGCCACCATTGCCAACTCGGCCGTGACGTGCAGCAATACCAACACGGAACCTCGCCCGACCCAAATGCGCGTCCTCACTGGGAGCGTGTTCGCGACCGCTTTCCGCAGCACCTCGACTGCGGACGGCCTCCACCACCTGCATTCTCGCCAATGCGACGACCACGCAGACCTGCCGTTGGAACGCCAATACCGCGCCTGGCCGACCACAAAACATGCGCCCCCCCTGCGCACGCAGTTTTCTCCCCCCTCTGGCTCAGGTTTCGCGATCACGCGCGGCTTGACCACCACGCGGACCTCCCGGCATGCCAACACCAATCCCGTGCTGAGCTTCTTGCAAAACACGTGCACCCGCTCGGGTGCATATTTTTCTCCACTATTTTACTTACACTTTGCTGACATCCAGCAGTCCCAACACCGCACCTCGCCCGACCCAAATGCGCGTCCCCACTGCGCGCGCAATTTGGCGCGCGTTCGCGGCCCCTCTCCACAGCACCTCGACCGCTGACACCCTCCACCACCTGCATTCTCGCCAATGCGACCACCACGCGGACCTGCCGTTGGAACGCCAATACCGCGCCTGGCCCACCACAAAACACGTGGCCCCGCTACGCGCGCCGCCACCTCGACTCTCTCCCTCACACTTCGCGACCGCGCGCGGCTTAACCAACACGCGGACCTCCCGGCGCGCGAATCCCAATGCCGCACCTAGCCCATCGCACAACACACGCACCCGCTCGGTGCGTATTTTTCTCTGCTATTTTGCTTACATTTTGCTGACATCCAGCAATGCCAACACAGTGCCTCGCCCGACCAAAACGCGCGCCTGCACTGCGCGCGCAATTCCGCACGCGTTTGCGCCCCTCTCCACAGCACCTCGACTGCCAACACCCTCCACCACCTACTCTCGCCAACCGGACCACCACGCGGACCTCCCGTTCGAACACCAATACCGCGCCTGGGCCACCGCAAAACACGCGCCCCCGCCGCGCGTGCCACAACCTCGACCCTCTCCCTCACACTTCGCGACCGCGCCCAGGTCGACCACCGCCCGGACCTCCCGTTCGAACGCCAAGGCCGCACCTCGCCCCTCGCAAAGCACGCACCTGCGCTGCGTACGCAATTTCCTCCACACTCTCGGCCCCGTTTTGGCACCGTGCCCAGACAGCGAATGCCGACGGACATGCCCCAACAGTCGCACCGCGAACAACTCCCACCTCGCCCGATTTCCTCTCGCAACCGCCACCATGGCCTCCGTCACTGATGCTCCTGCAACCACCACTGGCAGCAAATGCAAGATGAGGCATCTGTCACCGTCCGCACCAGTGCCTTCACCCGCAAAAAGGCAGAAGCCTGAAGACAGCGACGACATGTAAGTCTTCATACCCACTCACCGCCATATACCAGCCAACATGCAGTTCTTTGCAGATTCTCGCCGACAGCACACACTGACTCCACCGCATCCGATACTCCCGCAGACGATGCTCACGCCAGTCACCGACCCGACGAGACTCCCGGTAAGCCCTACCGCAACAAAGGAAAGCGCGTCGAGAAAACCAGGACACCGTGAGTTGCTGTTTGCCACCAGACAGACACTTCTGCTAACTGCACCATATATACAAGAACCGAAGTGCTCCAGTCGCTGTCGAAACTCAGGTACGCCCTTTGGCAATTATCCACTGTGACTCACACTGACACTTTCTTGCAGAGAAACACTCGCCGTGACACGTGCCATGAACAACGTGTTTGTCCTCGTGCAACCCGTGTATCTCAAGAGGGCATTCCCTTCGAACATCGCCGAGTACGTCCATTTGCCCTTGCTTTTTCTGCCATACTACTAATCAACCCCAAAGACGTCTGGACCACGTCTCGATCACCACCGCACACAACATCATCAATCTCGCGACCGCAGACCCCACAGCACTCCACTTTGTCACCATCGGAGCCTCCGACTACCTTCAGCTCAAGACGAGCACCCATCTCACGCTCTTCTCTGTCGTCGGCTCCGTTACCCACAGCGACCTGATCAGTCCGAGCGGTCGCAGCCGTCAACTCTGCGTTGCACCATCAGCACTCACCTGGCCACGTGCAGCCGCCGTCCTGGGTGCCATTCTCAACAGACGAACACTCGTCTTCCCGTCGTTCCATGCCGGCCTCTCCTTCTCGACAAGGTTGACCACCGGCACCTCAAACACTCCAACCAAGATCCGCGGCATGGCTCCCGCCACTCCGGTGAATGCACAACGCGGTACGTGACGTCTCGCACTACAAAATGTTCGCTAATGCACCCTGCAGGTCCACCCCCCGTGCTGCCGGCCGATCGAGATGGTAAGATCGCCCCCAACCTTCTCGCACATGCACCCTAACTCACTCCTCCCGCAGTGCCGACTTTCGACGGGTGTAAGCCCTTCAAGTTCTCCATGCACTCCATATCAATGCTTCCCAAAATCCACGACGATCTCTCCACAGAGTCTGCCGTCCTCCTGCTCTTCACTCTTGGGAAGTACATCAAGAGCCACCCTGAACTCGACGACGAAAACGCCGACACCACTATCTCCCTCAACATCCAATCCATCGTCCTTCTCGCCAATCCGGGATTGATGCCCCGCGGCTTCCTCGAGGACGAGCCCATGCCCCTCCTCGGAGTCTTCCGACCGAATTCCGAGCCTGACCAACACCACTCGGATGACAGTGACGACGACGATGCCTCGCTCGTCTAGTTTTCCATTGCTGTAACTACTGTAATAAATGCCTGTACTTGTACTACATAACCACCAATCATACACCCTCACTCTTACAAAAATCGTCAGCACCCCATCAGAGTCGGGGAATGGCGCGAGCACCGCTACGATGGTTGTATCGACCGTTCGGGGCTGGTGTGATTTCTGGCGAGAGCGGCATACCTGCCGTGTCGTGACGCGATATTGGACGCGTCGCGTACCAGGCACGTGATATGCCGAAGTTCCGGCTTTATTCGGGAGTGCAATATACAGGCAACTACTCCAATTTTTTTTGGCTCTCAATGCGTATAACTGGATGCCTTCCCGTAGGATTTGGAGCACTTCTAAATCACAAAGCGGACTGCGAAACACCCCACTGTGTCGGAACAGCAGGATTTGTGAAACCGTAGCGTCGCAACATGATGATGATCAAACCAAGTTCTAGAGGGTCGGAGGACGAGCAGCAGCATGATGTAAGCAATATGCAGCACCAAATATAGGCAAAGATGGGCATTGCGAGTGGGCGGAGATCGAAATCATTGTTTAGAAAGACGTTTAGAATCTGGAAGGGGGGGTCGACCCCCCCTTCCAGATATAAGGTTTAGAAAGAGCTCACTTTGCTCTCACGGTATGCGGAGATCAATTTGCCGACGTGCCGGCCTGATTTAGAGACGAATTTTAGTTTAGAACGTTTCTAAACGGCTACGGGAAGGCATCCACTGAGAATACAGAATGAAGCTTTGCAGTTCTGAAATGTGGAGACTTAATGAAGCGTACAATTCCGGAGATCACCGATGAAGTGTCTTCGCCGGCAGTGCCGAGTCCAGCCTCCGGCCGATTGGGAACCGGCATCAAGTCACGATGCCGTGTAATCATCTCTGTTGCTTCTGTGGGCCAAACACAGACAAAGAACGCGCGAAATAAATTAGACTAGATTCTCGTGCCATCCCAAACTCCGCGTCGCTCTGTTGCCTCGCCTTAGATACCCTTACAATGGTCGCTACCGTTCAGAAGCCCGCGCCCGCCTTCAAGTCTACCGCCGTCATCGATGGCATCTTCCACGAGGTCTCGCTCGAGCAGTACCTAGGACAATGGTGTGTTTACCACTAGAGGAGAGGTTATTTAGGCTATGACGCTCACATATCTTTGTCAGGGTGGTTCTGTTCTTCTATCCCATGTTAGTCGTGGAAAAGTCCTATTCAGTAAGCGCATGTTCATCTGACGTTTATTTGCTAGGGATTTCACCTTTGTGTGCCCGACGGAAATCCTCGCCTTCAATGACGAGCTCCAACAGTTCAAAGACCTCAACACCATCGTGCTTAGTGCGTGTGCTTGTTCATATCACGCTGTTAATTTTCTGATGATGTTGGCTCAGGTGTGTCGACGGACTCGCATTTCTCCCACCTGGCGTGGGCGATGAAGGACCGCAAGGAGGGCGGTCTCGGACCCGACCTTAAACTTCCTCTTGTAGCTGATAGAAACATGAAGATATCTCGAGACTATGGTGTATTGATCGAAGAGGAGGGCGTCGCTCTCCGTGGTCTGTTCATCATCGATCCCAAGGGCATCCTGAGGTATCGTCCTTCATCCGCCTATATCGCCCTCTCGCATTCGCTGACGTTGCTCTCCTCTTGACAGACAAATTACGATCAATGACCTTGCTGTTGGTCGGTCGGTCGACGAGACGATTCGGCTCGTGAAGGCCTTTCAGTTCACCGTATGTTGCTTTGTCTTCGTCTACTGATTCTCATACTAACGTTAGTGCAGGACGAGTACGGCGAGGTTTGCCCTGCCAATTGGACCGAGGGCAGCAAGACTATCAAGGCTGACCCCAAGGGATCGCTCGAGTACTTCTCCACCACCGGCACCGGCACCAAGGAGAACGGCACCAAGAGTGGCGCGAGAAAGCGTGCGCGCGCTGATTGACCGCCCAGCCCAGTCCGTTTGCTCATTTCATCTGCGAGGTTCTAGGTTGATTGAATAACAGGGGTATCTTTTGCTTGATGTCCGCAGGCCAAAAATGTACCATCATCGGTACCACTAATCTATGCTTACCACTGTAGATATAGAGTCGAGCCACTCACGAGCGGAATTCTTCTCTTGGCTGTACGGCATGTCCATATGTGCGGTTCATTGTTGGCATCTCGTGTGGTCAATTGCGCTCTTCATAGATTATGCTATACGTGTTTACATGCCCGTGTAGTGACGCACCGCCTTTATACATAGCTCAATCAGCATTCATCACCCCGTCGTTCCGACGCCCGCACGCTGCCGCTGATAAGCAGCGCCAGCACAGAGCCCGCCGAGGGGTGCTCGCGACGGCCATCAGGCAGGGCCTGGACGCCATCGTAAGGCGTGTGTTCGTCATCCTGAGCGAATTGCAGGCCACACAAGCAGCATCAGCCAATCTCATGTTCCGCCAGAAGCTGTCGTCACCATGAATGTGAGCGGCGGATCTTGTGCGAGTACCTGGATGATTTGGCTCACCATGTTTGGGATGCCATTTGAAATGGGGTAGACATGTTTGCAGTTTGGGCAGACCATCGCGCCCTCCTCGACATGTATCTACAACGGTTTCAATTCAGAGCAAGCATTTTTGGGATATGAACAGTGAGACATACCTCGAGCAAGACATGGTGCAGTTTCTGCAGGAACTCGTCATCTAACATCTCTGGCGGCTCTGTAGGCAGCGATGTATCTCCTAGCTAATATATCCAAGAATCGGATGGACAATGAGCACAGTTTCGCCTGAAAGAAACGACTTTTGCTCACCTGTCGAGCCGCATCAACGAGTGCATCCCACTCTATCTTCGGCATGAAACCGCGTATGAAATCCGGGTTGAACTCGGCGTCACGCAGCTCAATTTCTGCGTCCTTGAACTCTAAAGGGAAGTTATTGGTCGTGCAGCCTTTTGCATGGCATGCGAGGAGGTTGTGCGAGATCAGGCGAACCATCGCACAGATAATTAAGGATGTGAGTACTTGAGCTGAAATGACTTCGTAGTCGAAGACCCGGAGAGAAAACCGGAAGAGGAACGCGTCGGGGAACAAATATCTGTAAACATCTCCTCGCCGCTCTCCTCGTCGTCGGGCGCATTCTCGTCCTCCTTATCGACTTTCTGCTCAGGACTGGCCCGTCCCGAACATGCCCCGACCACCATCGCCCTCCATTCCAGAGAAGGAGTTTCTGTATAGTGCCTTAAAACAGTCTCTGCGCCTCGACGGCCGCGCTCCGCTCGAAATGCGGTCGCCGACACTCACCTTTGGACCGGAGCTCGGGTGGGTAGAGTGCGCGCTTGGAAAAACACGGTAAGAGTGCTTCTATCTGCTGCTGGGCGTATCCTTCATACTGAAATTGCGAACAGTGTCCTGGCGCAGGTGGACGCGAAAATGGTGAAACCGCCGCCCGAGCGCCCGCTGGAGGGGATCATCAGCATCATCTCGGAGCTCTCACCCATGGCGTCGAGCGAATATGAACCCGGTCGGTAGGTATGTGTGTCTTCTCTGTTCTACGATCTCAGTTTTATGTATGGCGCAGACCCTCGGATGAAGAAGTTACTATCACGCGGATGCTCGACAAGGTATTACGCAGGAGCGATGTCGTGGATAAGGAGTCGCTGTGTGTGATGGCTGGACAACGTGTGCGTGTTTCTCCGTGTGTGGGTGGGCTTGTGTTCTCTGTCCTGGCTCGCTCGCTATATTCTCGATATGCAGTGGAGGATTATTGACCTTATTTTCGCAGGTCTGGCATCTCCGACTGACGATACACTGTCTAGCAGATGCAGGGAACATGCTAGACTGCGCTTGCCTTGCAGGTGTCTTGGCACTAAAACACTTCCGAAGACCCGAAGTCGAGGTCATTGGCGATGAAGTTACGGTGGTACGCGTTGATCGTCTACATTTTCTACACCTAATTCTTATGACATGTGATAGCATCCTCCGACAGAACGTGCACCAGTGCCTTTGTCTATGCATCATACTCCTTTCTGTTTCACGTTTGCGTACTTTCCCGACACGACGACGCAGGCCGTCCTCGATCCCTCTCAGCTGGAGCAGCGGCTCAGCGCGGGTCTACTTTCTGTGGCCCTAAATGCACAGCGCGAGCTATGCGTAGTTCAAAAGGCAGGTGGAGTGCCTCTCGACCCAGAAGAAGTTTTGCGAATCATCGACGTCGCGGTAGGGAAAGCGAAGGAGCTGGATAAGGTCGTCGAGGCGCGGTTGAAAGAGGATTGGGCGGGACGGACGGTAGAGGTCCGATGAGGTAGTCAGCGCCTGGTCAGTGTTGTTTTATACGTATTCTATCAATGTATTGAGTTGTTCTGCTGTTTTTTGTTTGCTAAGCTGAGGTGTGACATTCTTGACGCGTGTGTCACGTCGTGACTGCGATCTTGCAAACCTACTAAATTTAGGTTACTGGTCGGTACGGTCGAGCCAATGTCGAGCGCTCTGATGATAACATGCCCTGCAGATAAAGTCTGACGACGGATAGCGCGAGGCAGGCTCTCTACTTCTGAATACCCAAATTATCTCAACCATGTCGTCTGGAGGAGCCACCACAAAAGTACGAGTGAACCTTTCCCGAAGTTCGTGATCCTAACGCATCGCGGGTAGGCGTCTAGCATACCAGACAAATCGATCCGGATCTGCGCAGACAGAGGAGGAACGTTCTGCGACTTGCACGCCTCGTATCCCGATCCTGAAAACCCCCATGAGAGGAAGGAGCTCGTTGTGAAACTTCGTGAGGGCAACTCTTGAATTCGTCTGCTCGCTCCTAATCTTACGACGTGGTATGTAGTCTCGCAGGACCCTGGTAATTATGGTGATGCACCTACCGAAGGCATCAGGCGGATACTTGAGGTCGTCACAGGAGACCATATCCCTCGCGGCTCGGTACTGAATACGGACAAGATTGGTGCGTGCGCTTGCATACTTCCTGCCCACGCTGCTCACGATCACTTCTCTGCAGACTATATCAGGCTTTCTACAACCGTCGCGACTAATGCGCTGCTCGAGCGTAAGGGACACAAACACGCCCTTCTTATCACCCGAGGGTTCAAGGATCTCTTACTGATTGGAAACCAGGCACGTCCGAAGATCTTCGACCTCAACATCCGCCGCCCACCCCCACTGTACTCGACGGTCGTCGAGGTTGATGAGCGTGTTACGCTCGTAGGATACACATCGGATCCCCAAGCAGAACAACATGCAGTTCAGTTTGACGAGCAAGGGAAGGTTAAGCGGGGCTATCGCGGCGCAGGGTGGGATGGCCAGGGCGACGCTGAGGGCCCAGGTGAGATTGTGCAAGGTCTCTCTGGCGAGGCAGTCAGAATCATGAAGAAGCCAGGTGAGGTGCTCGTCACTATGTATCAAATGATCTGCTCAAGCACTCCTAGATTTGGGTGCGGTCGAGAAAGACTTGCGCCGGCTGTACGATGAAGGATACCGCTCACTCGCTATCGTTCTTTGCCACTCATACACGTTCCCCGACCATGAGGTCGCCATCGGAAAGCTGGCGCGCCGCATCGGCTTCGAGCACGTCTCGGAGTCGGCACAGCTCCTGCCCATGATCAAACTCGTGCCACGCGGCGTGTCTTCTACCGCAGATGCTTACCTCACACCTATCCTCCGGCAGTATCTGGACGGATTCTTCAGCGGATTCGATGAGAAGCTCAAAGATGGGCGGCTCCGGAGCCCTCGTGTGGAGTTCATGGGTAGCGATGGCGGTCTGGTGGACCTAAACAACTTCTCCGGCTTGAAGAGCATATTGAGCGGGCCTGCGGGTGGTGTCGTCGGGTATGCGCTGACGAGCTGGGATGAAAAGAAGAAGCTGCCGATCATTGGGTACCTGTTATCGTGTCGAGAGCCCATCAAACTGCTGACCTCGCGTGCAGGTTGGACGTCGGCGGGACGTCGACTGATGTCTCCAGGTTCGACGGCCGCTACGAGGTCGTGTACGAGACGACCACTGCGGGCGTGACTATTCAGTCGCCGCAGCTCGATATCAACACCGTTGCGGCGGGCGGCGGGTCGTGTCTGACTTTCCGCAATGGGCTGTTCATGGCTGGGCCCCATAGTGCTGGAGCAGAGCCTGGTCCTGCGTGCTACCGGTATAGTCATTCATCGATGCGTTCAAAGCAATCTTATCCGAGCCGTTGTGCGTAGCAAAGGAGGTCCACTCGCTGTGACGGACGCGAACCTGGTCCTCGGCCGGCTTGTCCCTGACTACTTCCCGAAGATCTTCGGCAAGTCAGAGAAGGAGCCTCTGGACGTGGAGGCCTCTCGCTCCGCGTTCGAGGCGCTTGCCAAGGTGATCAATGAGAGCCAGGAGAAGAAGTACGAGCTCGACGAGATTGTCAACGGGTGAGCTTCTGGTCGACCGCATGTCGGGCCCGTCGAGGTCTCACCACTCGCGCGTCAGCTTCATCAAGGTCGCGAACGAGACGATGTGCCGCCCTATCCGTGCACTCACAGAAGCGAGAGGATATGCAACGTCCAAGCATATGTATGTACGAAGCACGTATAACTATAACTCAGCTCTCACGTGTGTAGACTGGCGAGCTTCGGAGGTGCGGGAGGCCAGCACGCATGCGAAATTGCACACCTGTTGGGCATCAAGACAATTCTAATCCACCGATATAGCTCTATCTTGTCAGCGTACGGACTTGCTCTCGCGGACCGGTACATCGAGCTCTTATGCGCGCTTAGTGCGTTCCTACTGACTCATACTTTTTTTCAGGGCGTTCGAGCTCCAAGAACCATCGTCGACGTTCTACACTGCGGACAACCGGGCGTCGTTGGTCGCGCGGCTCGACAAGCTCGACGCAGGCGTGCGCAAGGAGCTCGCGCGGCAGGGCTTCGAGGGCAAGCACGTCCACACGGAGCGCATGCTGAACATGCGTTTCGAAGGAACCGATACGGCGCTTATGGTGTTACCCTCTGCTAAGGATGGAGACGGTAAGGAGGACTTTGAGGCGGCGTTTAAGCGGGTGTACCTGGCAGAGTTTGGTTTCCTGCTGGAGACTAAGACCATCGTTGTTGACGATGTTAAGGTGCGTTTCTCCTCGCCTTGCCTTCGTTTCACTGGGCTCATCGGTCCTTCATAGGTGCGCGGGATCGGCAAAACGTTCGACAGCCTCGGAGAGTCCGTGTACTCTGAAGTGGCGCGGCTGCAACGGCGCACTGTCGGCCGCAGCAAGGCGGACTCGACATACAGCGTCTACTTCGACGAGGTCGGCCGGGTGCCCGATACGCCAGTGTACTTGCTCCCCACGCTGGCGGTAGGCGATGCTATCGAGGGGCCTGCGATGATCATCGACAACACACAGACGATTGTGCTCATACCTGGGGCGAAAGCCGTGCTGACAAGCAAACACTTATATATCACGCTGCAGTAAGTTCGGAAAGCGGCGAGTTGGTTCAGCGTGCATGTAGCGTTAGCATATAAAGCTTCAGATAGATGGATCATAATGAATGCTCGGACTTTCGATGCATTGTCCCGCGGGCTTGTACATGCGAGGTATGACTGTAGTGGTCGGGCAGTATTAGTGCATTAGCCCATCAAGTCGTGCAGCAGCTCGCAACGGTCTCTCCCCCTCATTCATCTTCATATCCCTGCACTGGTCTCCTAGGCCTCTTGGGAACTGCAAACAAAAAGCGTCAACGATTTGGATGACGTGATAGCTAGCCGCGCACGACAGTGACTCACGAGGATAGGTGGTAGGGATGGGTTCTGCGGGCTTCCAACCCAATCTCTCGCGCAAAGGCGGCACCGTGATAAGCACTAAGGGACCTAAGCCTCCAATACAGCAGGAGTAGAAGATGACCGGGGCCTCATGAGCTTGCCGTTGCTAATGTCGAGTTAGTTGCACAAAACAGCCACGACAGAACCAAATTTCCGGAGAATGTCAGATAGTGTGTAGAAGTTATATGATACCACGTACAAGATACCGATATGTTTGTCGGAAGGGAGAGAAGATAATCGAGGCCATGGTCGGTAGAGATGAGCTCTGTGGTGCCTCATCGTCGGGCTCTGCGATTATAGTGATTGTGGGAAAGTCTTCCCCTGTCTTCCCCTTACGGGAGGTTTGCAGCACGGACTTCTTTCTCCTGGTTCCCACCAAGATTCCTATTTTTCAAGAGGCTACAGCTCCAGAGTTGACTACTGTTTCCCTGAACGTAATCTTTAGGTTCTCAAAATATCCAAAACATCGTCTCTATATAGTGGGCCAGATCACCGCAGACCCAGGCCAAAGCTCTTAAGTTACTCAACAAAGTTTTGTGTTCTCGAGTTCTCTTTTACTTCACAACATGGGAAGAAATAGTGCGTTCTCAAATTTATCCACGTCTCAGTTGTCCCTCATATACCGCAGAAACACACCGTAAGACTGAGCTTCAGCTCAAAACCAGTGCGTTCCTCTTTCGGAACAAGGCTGATCTTCCAATTGAGGGGTCGCACAATTTGCAGAGCTCAAGAAGGATCCTGGAATACCCCGCCTACCGAGTCTCAGAGTCCGCAATGCAGAGAAACAACGAGCACACATTGTCCGTAGCACTGCCAGGACATGACCGACTGCCCACTGATCGTTCTGTAGCATCCCGGTCCCCATCGCTTCGATCCAGATACACAAATGGCGACAGAGCCCACGCTGTCTTCGCTCGCCCTTCTCGCAGGTGATGCAACCCCGTCGGAGAATGTCTCTTTCGATCCGTCGTCGTCCACCGGTGGCGCAGCGAAGACGAAGGAGCAGTTGCGGAGACATTATATTCGTGCACTGCACAAAGTCATCGACGAGAGTGACATTATTATACTCGTTCTCGACGCGCGAGACCCCGAAGGGTGCAGGAGTCGGCTGGTGGAAGAGGAAGTCCGGAGACGAGAGGGCGAGGGGAAGAAGTTGATTTTCGTTCTGAACAAGATCGGTAAGTCCGCCTTGTCACACGGTGTGCTCACATCACTGATCTTGTACTCCAGACCTTGTTCCACGAGATAATGCGCAGCAGTGGTTACGATATCTTCGGCACTCAACCCCCACTCTGCCTTTCCGCTCCGCTAACTCTCACCAGCGCTCGAAGCTATCTTCGTCCACCGCACCCGCCCTCGTGCGACTACTTAAGGCATATAAACCCAGCGCAGCGCAGAGTGTGACTATCGGCGTCGTAGGGTATCCGAATGTCGGAAAGAGCAGCTTGATCAATACGCTGAAGAGGTCCAAGGTATGTACCGACCTTCATCGGTAGTATTTATAATGTCATGAGGTATATTGCAGGCATGTGCTGTCGCAGCCCAGCCAGGCCATACGAAGGACTTGCAAACGGTACAGCTGGAACGCGGCATGCGTATCATTGATTCTCCCGGAGTCGTCTTTGACGAAGATGATTTCGACGAGGGCAAGGGCAAGGAAAGGGCTAAGAACAACATGCTCTTAAGGAATATCGTTAAAGTGGAGGATATTAACGATCCTATTGCCCTTGGTGTGTACCTCAGTGCAAAGTTAGCAGAACATCAACTTACACATATTCGTAGTGGAGGAAATTCTCGGTCGAACGGACCATGAAGTACTCAAGAAGATCTACAGCCTTCCCCAAATCGGGTCGACGCTGGAATTCTTGACCATGCTCGCGCTCACGAGTGGCAGGCTACTGAAGGTACACTGATGTGCCACCTTTTTCAAAGATACTTGCTGACCGCCATGCAGGGTGGCACCCCAGATATTCTCGCCGCGGCGCGCCAAATCCTGACGGACTGGAACCACCAGAAGATCCCATACTTTTCTGCCCCTCCGACAATACATCCATCGTCTCTCCCGTCTATGGTCGTGGACGACGGCCAGCGGACTGTTGCTCCCGGGGCCGAGAACGTCGGGCAAGCACAGATTGTCAGCCAGTTCTCGAAACCTTTCACCTTGGAGGGTCTGTTCGGTGCCGCTGATGCAGGCGCGTTTGGCGGCACGCCGGGCCCTGAGGCGATGGATCTCGAACAAGAAGAATTCGTTGACGAAATGGACCAGGATGGGTGAGTGACAGTTGCATTGGTCTGCACCGTGCGTAGTTACTGTCAAGAACACTTTGTCTGAACTCTGCATGATGCGTACAAACTTGTATGCAAAGCTGCTGTTCGCACGCCTTAGCTCCGACCAAATTCAAGCTGACTTCCTAATTACAGAGTGCAAATGGAGTCGGATGATCTGGCACCACACATCCCCCGCAAGCGTTCACGTTCGCCATCGCCGTCTGCCTTTTTGGGTCGCGACATGACGGGGGCCTCATCTGTTATTGACGCTGACGCAACAGCGCGTGCGCCGAAACGGCTGCGGCGCTCACACGATGTGCCGGCTTACGATGCCCCGATTGACGGGCATGCCAGACGATCAATGGCGCGCGCAAATCCCCTCAGCCGGCGGGTGCTGAAGCACGAAGCGAAGAAGGCACGGCGTGCGGCGACCCGTGCGATGCAGAAGCGTGGTGGAATGGAGATCGACGATGACGGTGGCCTGGCGGCCACCTTTATGACTGTGTCGGAACTAACTTGATGTGGGCTAGGTCAATGTTGTTGAGTAGGTTGCTCTCGTATTGTATATCGCTGTGCGTGTTATCGCAGAATGACAATTGTTATTAAAGATTCTGGTGAGGAGGTTTCATCTGGCCATGACTCATCTGATCTTTTTATCTGATGTTGTAGTCTTGATACTAGATGGCAGGTATGGGGGGGATAACGCACCGCATCAACGCTACCACTCTTCCTCCCTCCCACAAACTCGGATTCAGCCTTACACGCACTCTCGTGTGCAACATTGTGTGCATACGGTGCATCGTGGTGACCGGAAATGAGTCTACCGAACCTGGACCAGTAGTGAACGGCCATCTCACACAAGTCTTGCCTAAAGATTAAACACTCTGAACTATCTGGATAACATCTGGATGTTTGCTGAGAAGTCCCTGAACTTCTTGCTGGTTCTGCTATTAAGATCATCAATGTTCTATCTGGCCAGCTTTATTTCCTCTGATCAAGAGATCTATTATCCGCTTATTCTGCAAACATTGACTGAAGCTCCTGGGTTTCTCGCATGCGCGCGGACCCAATACTCCTCCCTTTTTCCCGCGGCACTCACGGCGCTGCGTCTGGGTTCCGAAGCGAGTGCATATACGATTAAGTGCCCGCCCAGAGCCCGACGCGTGTGTTCTTGTGCAATTTTGGACCGTTCTGATTCAACGCAACGTGACGAGGAAAAGGTTTGCCCCTAAGGCGATCGGCGCCTGTGTGGAACACCCTATGGTACGTATAGGTTTAATCGCCTTTTTGTGCCCATTTCGAGCATTCCTCTGTGCGTCGACTGCCGTGATCTACAGCCCATTGTATCCAATTTGCGATGTTGAAAGCTCCGTGTGCGAGAAATCCGTTGCTGGCTCGGTCAAAGGGGAAGGAAGAGGAGAAATTCTTGACAAATGTGATCGACGACGACGACGACGTCGGTCTTGCTCAGTCTGGGGCGGCCAAGGAAGCAGGTGCTCACTTCAGTAACAAGGACAACCGGAGGTACGATAATTGCTTGCAAATCGGGGCTGATTGACTTTCGATTTGTCCGCAGGATTGCCAGGAAGATTGATTTACGTATTCTTCCCCCTGGTGTGTTTTTCGTAACAACGATCATCAGTGTTCGCACTTGCCTGACGTGTTCGTTCCCAGATGCCGGAGGTTGGAACGCACGATTTAACAGGATTCGATAATCCCCATCACAGGTGAATGACCCGCAAATGTGTTTGATCGTGCTCACATCGTCCGTGTCACATACGTTCTCTGAGCTGTCCGCCGAATGGACTCTCAGGAAATCAACTTTCTTCGGTCTCGGTGCTTCATTTGGGCGCTTTTTATCTGAGTGATTACGTAACCACGAATCAATGCTACCTCTTTCTTGCGATCTACTTCCAATATTCGCTTTCTAATGAGCTATTTGACAGTCTGGGCATCTGCGGTCCGTCCTACCTCCATAGTCCTTAAGAAGTCAAGCCGTATTGATCGCAAGCAGGGCGCAGTCTCGTTAACACCGACGTGCAATTATCGCTGCATAAATCAACTACGTCAAATCTCAATTTTCTAGGGACTCGATTTATCGTTCAAAGGTTTGGCAGACTGCTACTCAGTAAGCCTGGGATTACTCACCAGCTTGTAGCGTGCTTGATGTTCAGCGATTCCAGTAATTGTAACCACTACAATGATGGCAATTTGTTGTTGAGTTTGTGCGATGCAGTGAGGATGGAGATTCCTGGGATCGGTCAAGTGTTTAGCCTTTGCGCCATTTTCCCTTCAAAACCGCAGAGTCATAAAAGGTTACATCTCATACAAGGGAAGAGAATGAGCATTCGCAAACCGGAGGTACGAGTACACGCCTGTACAATGCCGAACATATTCTCTACAGATTCTTACGGATGTACACGTTGACACCATCATGCTATCAGATATCCTACATTATCACATTCCTCAATTTCTTTGCGTGAATACTGCGGAGCTTAACAACTATCTGGAGGACACTGGACTTCTGAAGGGCATCTAATGGTGTGCATCCGTTATCATCTGCCGTTCGCTTTTGTGTCTTACTTACCATCTCTTTCTAAGCTTTCTTCGCGGCGTCCTTCGCGCGCTTTGCGTCCCCCTCCACTGTTTATTGCAGGTCAGTCCTTGCTAAAATTATAACGGCATATAAAAGCAGACCTCTGCTCTTGCATTGCGGGCAAGTGTTGCCGTTTCGGAGTACATATTGATCGCAATTGGCTGTGGCACACCGACTGTAGGCACCACATTTCGGACAGTTACGTCCAGAAGGAACGCGGCCTGTGCAGCCGTCAGTGGCTGCACAGTGATGGGCTGTCTTGCCGGGAGCCATTTCGTTTGATGAGGTCAAGGTAGGAGGTTTGGGTACCTTTAATCTCCTCTTTGTAGCACTTATAAGATTCCATAGGGCGTCAGATCCCATCTGTGTGTCTTTGGGGATGTATGATGGACTGAGTCCGGCATATACTGTATAGCCGTGAATCATGCAGGCAGCTTCCCACAAAACGGAACGCATCCCTCATGTCTTCTCAAGATATATCCAATGCCTCGGTCGTGTCATTCTCCTATCATGCCCCAACTTCTATTGGTACGTGACCTCACATTTTTAGTGTCCTCAGACTCCATACATTACAAAAGATTCTGAAATCTAAGCTGGCTGCACGTCAAGTCATAACGATGGATCCATGTTTGATTCCCAGTTCGCTGAGCAGCAGTCAGTAGTCTGATGATAGCTTTCCGAGAAAACGCGATCGATATTCATCAGTCTGCATTTTGCAGGGGCGATGTTCATCGCGCGCTGATGCTAGCGCCTCCCCCTCGTTCAACAAACTGGTTCGAAAGCCTCACGTCAAGTGATAGAACGTCCATGATGTCGAATTGGGCTGCGATTGATTATCACTCTCAGCGCTCGGCCCTCGTTGCAATAACGTCCTTTAAGTTGGGATCGATGCAACTAGTACTATTATGCCCTTACCTTCACAAGACACCCCAATACGATCCTGAGTCAGTCAGCCGCTTATATATATACACGAAATAGTGGAGACAAGCTACTTTTGACGCTGGACCCAACGCACGTGGCATCACGGTTGTGGGTCCAGCTGAGCCGCCCAGTAATTTAGTCCGCTGATGAGCGCGAGACGGTGAATTCCATCAGTAGGAGAGAAACCTCCACGGTACCTGGTGCTAGTAAGTACTGGGTCAATTGGTTTGTCGGTGCCGGAACAATCTCTTTCAGTCTGCGCTTGCAGGATCCTACTATACACCGCCAACGTAGAGACCCCCACTGTGCCAGCACCCGTGAACACTGCGTTGATATACGGATTCCCGATCCTCGAGTGACAAGGAGGTAAATTTTTAATCTGAGTTCCTGGATGTACTGCCGCTGAATGGACCTGAAATTAACCAGCTGGTATTGCTCAATTGTTTCATGGAACTGCCAGGAGGCTCCAACGTTGCAAGCCCTCCTTCTTCCAGATGCTCACTGGAGCGTCGCGTGGAGGATACAGTGAATGCGATCGACTGGGAGGCGCTGTCTGCAATCGCATGCAAACTCCATCGGGTCCAATCAGCTCGATGGGGTGATCAGCTGTGGGGTGGATATAACGTTGTTCGATTCCTCCACCTCGACAATGCTGACAAGACGATTATTGTGGCCCGAGTGCCGCATCGACCATCCAAGGGATACATGCCGGAGCACGCCAGAGCGATTTCGAACCGAATTTCTAGTGAGGTGGCAACCATGGAATATGTCGCCACCTACACCCGCGTCCCCATTCCCCGTGTCTTGCATTTCAGCGCTGAAGTCGATCCTCTCGTGGGCTCGCCTTATATATTGATGTCGAAAGTTGACGGAGTTTGCCTCAGCACCCTGTGGGACAGCATGACGGACGATAATCGCGAGATCGTATTACGACAGGTCGTTGATATCCTCCTGGAACTCTCAAACCAGCGCTTTGACAGGATCGGTGCCCTATTCAAAGGGGACGGTGTCGGCAAAGCAGCCTGGTGTGTGAAGACTGCATCATCTTTTGCATCACCAGAGGACGAGATCGAATCTAGTGCTATGGCATCCACATATTCCAGTGGCGTTGAATACTGGACGCGCTACGCGAATGCGATGCTACAGCGCATACATGACAATAAATTCGGAAATAGAGGGAAGGAGTACGACTATGTCCAAGTGTGGTTCCTTCGATCGCTGATCCCTCAACTCTACGACCCGTCGCTCGATAGAGACGGATTTCCCTTGTATCCGAGCGACTTCCACTCTCAGAACATCATGGTTACCTTTACCGACTCCAAGCCTGTCATTTCTGCGGTCATCGATTGGGAGGGTTCTACCACACAATCGATTGTTACCTTTGCACATTATCCGCTCTTCATCGTTGATCATCCTTTCTGGGATGACGACCACCCACTCCGCTTACGGAACGTGCAGGACCAAGCAACGTTTGACAGACTCCTGCGGGAAGCCGAGCAGAACGCCAATCCGGGCGGCAGTCTCTTGCTCTCATGTCTATTCTCGAATTGTCTGGGTGTTTATCTCTTTGAGCAGGCTATGCAATTCCCTGGCTTAATTCGTGACGTGATCTACCCCCAACTCTTTGCGCACGTCTTCGGAATAGTTGAGGATGAGGAGGAGAAGTTCCAAACTGAATACTACTGGGCTCTCTTGGAGAAGGGGATTCTCAAGAAACTGACATCACAGTTCAGAAGGGAAACGGAAGTTTGGCATGAAGCGATGAACGTCCTGGGCACTGATGTTGTGCCCAAGAATTTGCGTAGGGATCAGTTTAGAGCTGTGATACTGGAGCACGCCGATCAGTTCGATGTGGATGGACAGGTCCGACAATGGTTGGCTACCGAGGATCCCAAGCCCGTGTCCCCTCCATAGTTTGAAGTTTGAACCCTTTGCGAATATCATAGCAAGCAGGTAGGATCGTGCAGTCGGCGTATAATACATACATAAGATAACATTAGATTCTTACTGTGTATTCTGTCGAAATGCTTTCAATGCATGGTTTTGTGATAAGTGGGTATTCTGTGGCATGAAGGGTGAAGTCACTCTCCCAAAGACAGTGTAGCTACTCTGCTTCAACCTTCGTACAGTGAAGTCATTGAAGTGTGACTGACGCGTTTGTGGGTCCCCGCTGGTCCGCCGCCGCCAAGAAGCATCAGGGAAAACCTCCCGCGCAAATTGGTCAAAATTATATGTTAATTGTCAAGAATAGTCGAGATTCTACGTGTTCCAGCGATTATCAAGATTGTTGAGAATTACATGAAATAGACGGCCCCTGCCGATTTCACTTATTAATTCTCAACATTTCTTAACATTACACACATTTGTTACAGGGTTTTCTCTTCAATTCTTGCTATTATACATGTTGTGACAACGAATCAGGCCTCATTTACTCAATAATACAGTAGGAAAATGAGCATGTTATTAGACAGTACAAAGTATAATACTTAAAGAGATATGTTAGTCATCGAAAGGGCACTTGCATACCGCCTGGGCAAATAAGGGAGAAAAATCGCCAGCATACCATCCCATATCCTAAGAGGCCGTGAGGGTTTCGCAGTCACGTTCACAAAGACACGGTCGTTGGAGGTGCCCCCTCCGATCATACCAGCGGGCGCATGCGGGGAAAGCTCGAACCTCTCGACATAATAGCTCGGCAAAATCGCAGCCGTGGACCTCCTGAGCCAGCCGCCCCTTCTCCGTGCATCATCTGTACCGGCAGAGATGAGATCATTGGAATTGCCGTACTCATTTGGCAGTGCACGATCTGATGGACCAGGAGGGGAGCCAGGGGGCGGGTGTGCATAGTCATAGTCAACGGCTTCGAGGTCATATATTCCTGGTGTGGATTGTTCGTGTGCAGATGACGGCTCGAGGTCATTGTACGCAAGGGGGTGGTAACCGCTGCGGGGGTTTATGGGGTGGTGCGGGTCGACTCCAGCGTCCGACTAAATTTGATGTGTTGAGGGGGGCCAGAGTTGGAGCATCCATAGATGCCCTGCATTTTCATTTTACTAGTAACCGAGTTAGTCTTTCAGCGAGGCACATAGAATGTAGTGACGCGCCTCGAGTGTTGCCCTTGTGCTACTACACAATACTATGCCTAGCATTGCGTGCCAATATCAGCTTTGTTAAATGCATCCGTGAGGGGTGACAGAGAAAGCACGTACCATAGAATAAGTGTTGCGGGTCAACAAAGACGTGAATATGAAGCAGAGAAGACGGACGCTGCAGTGAACCAGTGCTTGCTCTTGTTTGGTCCAATCAACGTCATCACGTGCCGTTGAACTTAGCAATTCCTGGGCGATGACTTCAACTCACCCTTGCAAGTTGCATCGTCACTGGTTGATCACCTATACCCCATATCCCGCACTTATCTCGCAGCTCATATCTCCTGCCTTGCCTGGCATCTCCCCACCTTACCTGCCTCGCTGACTGCATCTGTCCAGCCTCCACATGTCATCTCGCCCTTGCATCTTGCCTCCTCCATCTCTCTCGCCTCATGTCTTTGTACACCTTGCATCTGCTGTCCCGCATTCTCGCCTGCCTCACGTTCTTACCCATGCTGCTCAGTTGGACACATCGGCAACATCTAATACACCATTCGGATCGCTTCGAACCAGCTGCTGCATTTACAGCCATCTTTGCTGAGTGTTGAGCCGGTGCTGTTTCTGCTTTTGCTGTGTGATCATGGTAAGCACTGGTTCAGCTGATGACTCTCTTCAAGAGTGTTCTGGAGGAACTGTTTTCCAAGATCCCAGTAGAGTTTCTGATTAGCGTACAATTTACATGTAATTATGAGGTTTTCAAATCAGATTATCATTGAAGTCGAGATATTGAGTGACTTTCCTCAGTGCACGATGCACTTCAAATTTTCTCGTTCTTGTGAATTATCTACAATTATCATACATTTCTTCACAATTGTGCTGGGTGGTTTTTCCTGATGTCATTGAAGTTGAGAAATTAAGTGACTTTCCTCACAATGCACTCCAAATTTTTTCATTCTCATGAATTATCCACAATTATCATATAATTCTTCGCAATTGCGCTGGGAGGTTTTTCCTGATGAACTCCGAGTCCGGTGCGCGGTACCGAATGATCGATGACGTCTATGACTCACGTTGAATCGATTGCATACCTCAACCTCGGCGCATGGCTGGTTTCCACCGTAGCACCAGGTACCGGCGAGTACTGTCATCTCGAGTCACAGACCAGCTGCGCTGGACTTGCTTGGACGCGGCACAGTTCATCGCGTTCATAGAAGCTAAACTGGCAGGGCCCCGGAAAGCTGCTGCTGCAGTCAACACTGCAGGACTCTTTGTCTTCCGAGTGACACTGAGGTGAATATTTTCTCGAGTTCTAGCTATACCCTTGTTAAATCCCCGCAAACTACCAGTTAGCGCCGCTCCTCTCACAAATGCCAGACGAACCCGAACACACGAGCATCCCCTCGTCCAAGTGCTCAAATTCGTTGGAGCGTCGCGTGGAGGACACAGTGAACGCGATCAATTGGGACGCCCTCTCTGCCATCACATGCAAACTCCATCAAGTGCAATCAGCTGAATGGCGCGATCCGCTGTGGGGCGGATATAACGTCGTTCGATTCCTCCACCTCGACAATGCCGACAAGACCGTTATCGTGGCCCGTGTACCACATCGACCATCCAAGGGGTACACGACGGAGCACTCTAGGGCTCTTTCCAACCGAATCTCTAGTGAGGTGGCAACCATGGAATATGTCGCTACGTACACTCGCATTCCCATCCCCCGTGTCTTGCATTTCAGCGCCGAAGTGGATCCTCTAGTGGGCTCGCCTTACATTCTGATGTCAAAAGTGGATGGAGTTCCCCTCAGCACCCTGTGGGACGACATGACGGATGATCACCGCGAGATTGTGTTACGACAGGTCGTTGACATCCTACTGGAGCTTTCAACGCACCGCTTCGACTGGATTGGTGCCCTATTCAAAGGGGATGGCATCGGGAAAGGTGCATGGCGTGTGAGGACTGCATCATCCTTTGCACCTCCGGAGGACACGATCGCTTCTTCTGCTATGACATCGACGTATTCGAGTGGCGCTGAGTATTGGATGCATTATGCGAATGCCACGCTACAGCGCATTCGTGACACCAATTTTGGAGATAGAGCAAAGGAGTACGACTACGTGCAAGCATGGTTCCTTTGCTCGCTCATTCCTCACCTCTACGACCCATCGCTCGATAACACAGGATTTCCATTGTACCCTGGCGACTTTCACTCTCAGAATATCATGATTACCCATGGCGATTCCCAGCCAGTCATCTCTGCGGTCATCGATTGGGAGTTTTCCACGGCGCGCCCGATTGTCAGTTTTGCATGCTATCCGCTCTTCATCGTTGATCATCCTTTCTGGGATGATGACCACCCACTCCGTTCACGGAATATACAGGACCAAGCGACATTTGATAGACTCCTGTGCGAGGCGGAGGGGAAAGCCGATCCAGGAAGCAACCACTTACTTTCTCGTCTTTTCTCCAAGAGCAAAGGTGTCTACCTGTTTGGGCAGGCAATTCAATTCCCCGGCTTGATCTTGGATACCGTCTACCCCCAGCTCTTTGAACACATCTTTGGTGAAGATGAGGACAAGGAGGACAACTTTTGTGCCAAATATTACTATGCTCTAATGGAGAAGGGTATTCTGAAGAAACCGACGGCACAATTCGAAAGGGAGACGGAAGTATGGTGTGAAGCGGTGAAGGTTCTGGGCGAAGATGTTGTCCCCGGTGATTTGCATAGGGATCAGTTCAGATCATTGGTACAGGTGCACGCTGATAAATTCGACGTGGGAGGACAGGTGCGACAATGGCTGACTTCCGAGGATCCGAAGCCTATCTCACCTTGATAGCTTGAATCCTCGACCTCGTTTGGTGTGTATTGTATACACTCATTTCCTTCTTGACATCGTACGGTGGAGATGATCACACTTTGGGTGTGAGGCGTTGATCTTAGAATTCTGTTATATGTTCAGTCGAAATGCTTTCAATGCTATGTGAGTGCATGGCCTTGTGATACAGCATCTGGATCAATAGCTCTGCCTCCTTTTAGTCACCAGAATTAGGACCAACCGCTGGCCAAGTAATAAGAAGTGCCACGCGGAAGCTCATGTCACGCGTGGAAATCGCAACTGGTGAAGCCGTGTGGATTCTACAGCATTATCCTTTCATCGTGACAACTTATCATTCATGCTTCGTGCGCATGTTGACCTCGCAGATTATGCTTATCGGGCATCCTACGCGGGGGAAGACAACTCTAGATTTACAAATCGGTGGTAGGGGACATCTTTCTGTACAAATCCTAACATACAAATAAAGACGCTGACATCACTATGCTATCCTTCATTCAGACATTCTGCTATTTCGGTACGTGAATTTCACTGCTTGCCGACCATCTGGAAAACACAACGCACGAGAGGCGTGATTCAGACGTTATCTAATGGTGTACGTCTGTTATCGCTGCGGTGGTGACCATTAGAATACTACTTACCATCACTTCTGAGTCTGTTTAGCGGCAGTCTTCGCACGCGCCGCCATGCCTTCGGCTGTCGGGTAGCGAGGTTACTCCTGACTGGAATCAAATTGGTATACAAAGGTATATACCTGCAGCCACACAGGCTGGGCATGTGTCGCCTCTCCTGAGTACGAAGTACTTGCAAGTGGATGTGGCGCACGGCTGGTAGGCATGACATTTAGGACAGTCATATCCAGGGGCAACACTTCCACTACAGCCTGGAGTTGCTGCACAGTGGTGAAGGGTCATGTCGGTAAGGTAGGAGATTTCGTTGCCCTTTGTGTCCTTCGTGCACAACTTATATAGCATGCTTCACAGGGCGTCAGAATATAACTAGGTGACTGTGCACGTTTACTCAGAGGACGGCGTATGCAGTATCACTGCGAGCCTCGCAGATATCATCCCACAGCTACACGAATGGCAGTATATCCCCTTGTCCTTCTAGATATGGCGACTGACTCGAGTCATTGTATCACCACGCCACTGTGGTACGTTAGCTCATATTGAATTATTGTCGGACTAACTATGCTTATTTCTATCAAACACAGTTGACCGTGGATTTTGCAAAAGCGATAATTATTGATACACCGCGGCGAGGACGCCCCGAATCAACCGAAGAGCGACAATAAGAGCGTCTAGTGGTAGAACTTTACCACAGCAGTATATAACAGGGATAGATTATCGCCCTGGCGCTCCGAGTCGGCGCTCGGTATGATCGTTGTGTACCTCAAGTTGACATCGATCCTCTCATCATATCCACGGGATACATTTACAATAATAATATACCATGCTCAACGCATTCTCTACTAAGGTTAGTAGCCAGACCAGGTAGTAGTATAGCTAGATCATTTATTCAACTTGAAGGGAGCTTGTATAAGCTGAAGTAACAGGTCGTGCAACGCAGAGTCTCTGACCGATCAGTGTGGGTCCCCGCTGGGCCAAGGGTAATGAAATCTTGATCTAAGAAGGCCGCCCTAGCGTAGCCTAGCGGCAGTGTGCACCAGAACTCCGGGTGCACGGTGCCGAATGGTCATGACTCGAGTTGGTCTCGGACACTCCAATTACATACCTTTGTCTCCCTCGGCGCATAGTAGAATTAGATCAGCTGGCTTACGCGGTGGCACACTGTCGGCACAATCTCCCATAAGCCAGCACCCCGAGATTACTGTGGACCCACAGTTGGCATCGCGTTCACGGAAAACCCACTGGCATCGCACCCGCGAAAGCAGTCAGGCCGCCAACACTATAGAAGTACTCTTTCGAGTGACAAGGTAAATATTTTCTCAAGTTCTGGCTATACCCTTGTTAAATCCCCGCAAACTACCAGTTAGCGCCGCTCCTCTCACAAATGCCAGACGAACCCGAACACACGAGCATCCCCTCGTCCAAGTGCTCAAATTCGTTGGAGCGTCGCGTGGAGGACACAGTGAACGCGATCAATTGGGACGCCCTCTCTGCCATCACATGCAAACTCCATCAAGTGCAATCAGCTGAATGGCGCGATCCGCTGTGGGGCGGATATAACGTCGTTCGATTCCTCCACCTCGACAATGCCGACAAGACCGTTATCGTGGCCCGTGTACCACATCGACCATCCAATGGGTACACGACGGAGCACTCTAGAGCTCTTTCCAACCGGATCTCTAGTGAAGTAGCAACCATGGAATATGTCGCCACGTACACTCGCATTCCCATTCCCCGTATCTTGCATTTCAGCGCCGAAGTGGATCCTCTAGTGGGCTCGCCTTACATTCTGATGTCAAAAGTGGATGGAGTTCCCCTCAACACCCTGTGGGACGGCATGACGGATGATCACCGCGAGATTGTGTTACGACAGGTCATCGACATCCTACTGGAGCTTTCAACGCACCGCTTCGACAGGATCGGTGCTCTGTTCAAAAGGAATGGTGTCGGCAAAGACGCTTGGTGTGTACAGTCTGCATCATCCTTTGCATCACCCGAGGACAGGAATGCTTCTTCTGCTATGACATCCACGTATTCGAGTGGCGCTGAGTACTGGATGCATTATGCGACTACCACGCTGCAGCGCATTCGTGACAACGACTTCGGAGATAGAGCAAAGGAGTACTTCTACGCGCAAGCATGGTTCATTCGTTCGCTCATTCCTCACCTCTACGACCCATCCCTGGATTGCGCAGGATTTCCGTTATGTCCGGGAGACTTTCATTCTCAAAATATCATGGTTACTTATGTGGACTCCAAGCCTGTCATTTCTGCGGTCATCGATTGGGAGTTTTCCACCACACAGTCCGTTGTCAGTTTTGCATGCTATCCACTCTTCATCGTTGATCATCCTTTCTGGGATGACGACCACCCACTCCGCTTACGGAACGTGCAGGACCAAGCAACGTTTGACAGACTCCTGCGGGAAGCCGAGCAGAACGCCAATCCGGGCGGCAGTCTCTTGCTCTCATGTCTATTCTCGAATTGTCTGGGTGTTTATCTCTTTGAGCAGGCTATTCAATTCCCTGGCTTAATTCGTGACGTGATCTACCCTCAGCTCTTCGAATACATCTTTGGTGAAGTTGGGAAGGAGGAGGAAAATTTCCGTGGTGATTATTACTACGCTCTAATGGAGAAGGGAATTCTGAGGAAGCCGACGGCTCGATTTGAAAGGGAGACGGAAGTATGGTCTGAAGCGGTGAAGATTTTGGGCGAAGACGTTGTCCCCAGTGATTTGAATAGGGATCGGTTCAGAGCTATGGCACAGGCGCATATCGATAGATTCGACGTGGATGGACAGGTGCGACAGTGGCTGACTGCCGAGGATCCGAACCCCATCTCACCTCGATAGCTTGTTGACTTCGTCTGGTATGGACTGTATATGCTCTGGTATTTCTCTCCTAACATCGTAGCGGAGACGATATCAGCGTAGGCGCGAGGCTTAGAATTTTTTTTATGTGTTGAGTCAAAATGCTTTCAACGTTATGTGAGTGCACAGTTTATGTATATACAAGTCTGTCCGAGCCAACGTTTTGGCCTTCTGGCTTCTGGTCATGCCAATATTATGGAAATAAGGTTCAAATTGGTAAAGTATCAGGCCGTGGGTGGCGACCTCGTTTTACGTCCTTGGATATAGGGTAGTTGGGGACAAATGCACCTTTCGGTTTGAAGTACAAATGTTGTACTCCATTTCCAACCTTAACCCTATAGTCACTACCTAAATTTGGCATTCATAGATCAGCGCCTCAGGCTGGGCGCTTCACCCCTAGAAACTCGCCAGGATCACAATCATTACACAAAAATTCCTGGACACTGCAGTTAATGTCCGATGAGGTATTATCCAGCTGCTTGTCAGTAGCTGTCACCGCGTGTTGCGACGTAGTCGCCGGCATTTGTGTTGACTTCAGTAGCGTTCGTCAGTAAACAGTGGTTTTACCACCTAGCTCGCGGCTGCTAATGTTGAACGCATACGAGTATAGGACATACATGCACAGAGAACCTGTGCACCAGCTCTTGCATTGGAGGCAAAGGAGCCGAAGACATAGGAGAACGCGAGCCTCTAGTTTCTCACACTGTGGAGCCAAATCCGCACCCGCCGATGCAGAGCTCTGGGATGAGTTCATGATAGGATGGGCAGATGAATAGGTCTGTGCATTGCATCCTGCTTTAAAACATCCGTTGATTTCATGTTCAGCTTCTTTTTCTTATATTGAAGGTTCGGGCTGGCCTCGGGCCCTGCGTCCTGCCATGTCGCCATGGTTATAGAGCAAAGGTTTCATTCAACGAAATATTGAATGCGTGAGGAACGTATTATTCGGTTCAGTTTCCTGAATTCAAGCCCATTGAACTGTCTTTCTTCCACGATGAAGGCGCACCGAGGACTAGGACAGAATCCGATAGCCACAGTTCAATGACCATGCTTCCAATCTCACGTATCACAATTGTCTCACCGTGCCAGTGTAGCTGTCATCCTGTTCCGCGAGCCCGGTGGGTGGTTTAACTATCTGTTCTCTTCGGATTGACATTTTGACGTCACTTGATATTTTTAATGGAGTCTTGCCCAATGTGTCTGTAGGCCTTGGTTAAGGTTCATTATTGCTTGGAAAGGCCCTTCCTACTGCCATTCCTTCTTAATATTCCTGCGTGTGTTCCTCTATCGGAAGGCGCCTCGGTTTTGGAACGGAGCTTCGTTTCTTGAAGTGAGCGCCTCTCAGTTGACTCTCGATGTCGCGTTTAACCCATCGTAACGCGGCGGTAGCACGTTTGCACATATTCATCCTTCTTCCCAAGATACCTGTCGCAGCTCAATGGATGTTTATGAATATTCTGTCCAGCATGTGTCCCAGTGGATACGTCTCTTCGGAACGGCAGTGGCCATGCACCTGTGGGCATTGGATCACTAGTTAGGGTGGCCACCAAGATCAGTCAGGTATCCCTGTGTACGATTGAAGATCAAAACTGTTGTTGGCTATCAAAAAATGTGTTCCAGGTCATGCTGAGACTGTTAGACTAAATCTGTGGACAAGACGTTCCGAAGTGTGACAAGCCAGTCGGGTGCTCAGCAAATAACAGTACTTGTCCACGAGCTCCCGGCGGACGTTCATTGTGCTCTGCAATATTCTACGCTATTGACAGACGTGATGATCCGTCGGCCTGACACTTAGAAGGTAGAATCATCTTGAGGCGGATGTTATGGTCGCCTTGCGATGTCGTCTTGACGAAGAATCACCATCGTCCAAATGGTAGTTTTAACAGCAGGTATCCTGGATGGCGGTTGGACGCGTAGCAAGAAGTATACTTGTTGCGTCAACGATGGCTCGACGCGAGGCGCTACACATTGAGAGTATGTAAGCATCTTAAGTCAGGCATCAGTTATGTGCAATCTAAACCGTTAGTTGAAGCCCAGGTATACTAGTGTTCTAGTAACTATCCAAGGGTGTAGTAAAGAGCGGACGGAAGGTATACACGGCAATACAATATCCTAGTCGTGCAAGTCTTCACATAGTCTATGATGGGGGATAGGGTGAAAACTCGAAAAGCAACCGGAAACCCAAAACCAAGTCCATTGAATGAATGGGTACACTACTGTAAAAGAGAGCCCACGATCTATCATGTTCTAGTCCGTGAGGAAGGGCTTCAGAAAGAGAGATTATAGGAGATAGATGGAGAAGCACACCTGCACAGCTTTCAATATGAGAAGATCATAAGCCACGGATTGAGCACAATCTGCGCAGGTAACGGTCAAACGTTGTATTTTCGCATAAGAAATCACTCACGGGAAAAAGGATATGACAACCAGCATTGATACTACCATTCGGTATAATGAGGTCAGTCAGGATGGTGTACAACGGGATGAGATATCACTTACGCCAGGGGGAATATTACAGCCCAGTTCCAACTGTAGATCTGCCATCCCTCGGGAATAAGGCTGGTCGACAAGATGATCATGGCCGCGCAGATCGCGATACAGACCACCAATGCCAGCCAGAAACGCTTGAGAATCTTGGGAACTTCGAGCCAGAAATTCGACCGCTCCACCTCCTTCTTTGTCGCACCCCATGTGATATTGTATGAGAACAGATGCGCGAGCACTGCCTGCGTTAGGTGAATGCTGAGACCGCTGAAAAAGAAAAAGCTGCAAGGGAATCAGATTACTGCGGACACAGATAATCAAGACAACCACGACAACTCACAAGAAGGGAATCCAGGTCAGGTTCTCGAGCAGAGCATCGAACAAACTGCGAATCCCCAGACGATACTCGAGCAATGTAAAGCCCACGTTACCTGCACCGGGGAACACGACAGTGCAGGCGAGCCAGATTTCAAAACTATGCTCATAGTAACCATCAATCTGTTGTGGGATTATGGATGAGACCAGACTTTGCACAACTTGCTAGAACGTACGGTAATATCCCAACCCAACAAGAGATAGTTCATTGTGGAAAGTATGATAGCGGATGCAATACCATCTGAGGAAATGTGATGAGTTCCTTCACATGCACGTGGCTTGAAAGGTGAAGCGTACAGTACGAGAACATGTCTGTAGGGTATTAGGTTTAGTCTTTTACATCACGCTAACAAGTACGCGACAACACTTACATGCCATCATGGTTATTTTGTAGTGGACGGGAGCTTGAGACCAAATGAAGGTATGCAGCTGCTTCGTTACAGGGCCCTTGCGCCACCACTCAATGAACGGGTTGAAGATAAGTTCGTTACAACCTAGGAGATGAGGAAAATCAACAACGTGGTTCGCAGTAAGTGTAAGCGGAGCTTACCATACGAGTACTTCTGCCATCTGTTCAATTCGTCGTCGCAAGTGAGGGAAACACCTTCCTTGAAGCCACCTTTCGAATAGGTCGCCCAGCGGATGATATATCCCTTGAGTTGCAACCGCAGGGCCATGTCAAAGTCCTCAGAGACATTGACCTCGGACCAAATCTTCTTCAAGCCATCAGCGGGATCAATGAATGCGGCATCCTGCAGAGCAGACCAGCGGAGAAAGGCATTGTGTCCAACGAAAGGAGCCACCTCACCGTTCGCACAGCCCATGGAGATACACTTGTTAATGCGACGCGTGAAGTGCGCGATACCGTTCTCAAAGTAATGGTGAGCAACCTGCATGACGTCTGACTCATGCTGGATGATGGCGACCTCGGGGCACTCCGAAAGCTCACGAGCAGCATCGCGGAAACAGTCCTCAGGGACAATGGTGTCGGAGTCGATGATAAGGATGATCTCGCCAACCCGAAGAGACTTGCCGTTGTATGCCCACGGGCGCCACCGCTTGCCGCTCTCCTCATAAATCTCTTCAACAGCCAGGTTCATGGCCTTATCCTCGAGACACTCTCCTTCGACTTGGCTAGCGTCTAGACCGCGCGCTGCTGCATCTGCTTCAAGCGCAAGCAGATGCTTCTCGAGTTTTAGCGAAAGCGCCAAACCGTAGTTCATGTTCGACGCCTTCTTGAAACGCCCAGGACGTTTGAAGCCATCGGGATCGTTGCTGTGTGGCGGACGCGCAACCCAGCCGATGTTGTAGTCCGCGTAGAAAGCGACGCGCTCCTTGCGCTCTTCCTCAGAAATGAGCTGAAGACCATCGTCGTGGACGAAAATGGACGAGGTGCCTCCTTGGCGAGCGTAGGTCTGCATCGCTTTCTTGATCGAATACACCGAAGGCCCTCTGGAAAAGTCGTACTTAGCGCCGAATAACGGGGAATATTCCGATGTAAAATGATCCCGCCGCTGTACCATATATGGTAATCACAGTCACCGATGATGGCGCGAAGGTAATCTGGGTATCGATGTGAAATTTGTTTCGCCACTTACATCGTTTCCTTTAGACTCTCTTTGTAAACTGGCAGCTCGATCGTGATGTGCGGCAAGTTGCCGTCAACAACCTTGTTAGGCCCAGGAGGGACGGCAGAATAATATTTGGAGTTCTCGTGGAATTGTGAGACTGGACCAAAGCTAGTAAATGGTGAGAAAGATGGTGCGCAAGCGTATTAGGAGTTAAGGACGCACATGTACGACAGATTCGTGACGATCTGCAACGAGAAGAACTGGCAGAGAATGCAAATCGCTCCAACTCTCTGACGATGACAAGCTATAGGCTTACCAACGAGACGGAAAAGAGGAACGGTGCGGTGGCAAGGAGAGCGAATCGAGTGTAGGAGCCATCTAAGACCATCTCCTGGAGAAGAACAGTGATACCGCTAGCAACAAAAACTGTCGGAGTATCGGATGAATGTTGCGTATAGAGAAACGGGAAAAGACATACAGATAGACAAAGCAGCGGCAAAGCCAGCATAGACAGGCCCAAAGAGTCGTGTAGGCCTATATGATGGTCCTTCCGCACGTTTCTCCACATCGTCCTTGTCAGAAACCCAATACCGGAAGATGTTAATTGCGCAAGTCCGCGGCTTCTGCGTCGTTTCCTTCTCCTTGGCGATCGCAACGACCTCCTTCTCGTTGATGGCAGTTTCAACCTTCTCGGTGAGATTGTCATAGGAGGCGCTGGTCGAAGCTACAACGGAGTTCGTTAGAGAGGGAATTGATGCCCGTTGCTTCCACACAAGCTGAACGAGTTTGTCCTGGAAGTCAATACAAGTTGGAACAAAGGTATCAAGGTTGTACGACCAGACAACAAGAACACGTTCGTCACGCTACGGCAGAACAAACACTCTTAAGCGATGCACTAGACGTAGTTACACCAGAGGTAGCTTACGATGAAAGCAGCACATTGTTCTCGGTCCGCACGAGGTAAAAGTAGCATTGTCTCGACGATCTGTATACGGGTGTCGCGATCAATATAGATAGCCGTATCGTCCTCCGTGCTATATGCAGACTGTCGATGAGTGTTTGCGTTTACACCAAGGGCGAGACAACGTACACTGTAGCAAGTGCCGCGTGAACAGCAGCGCTTCGTGTCTTGATCGCGACGACAGGATTAAGGGCTCTCACGGCCATCTCGAATGGCTCCAGGTAGCTGTTCTCATAAGGGAAGATACGGAATAGACCATTATCTACACGCAGACATACACCGACGTGCAGGTTCTCCTCCGTGGGCTTGAACCACGCATCTCCTTGGGTCTAAATAAAAGAGAAGCGCAATTGACTTTATGCAGTGGGAGAGAGGTGTACACAGACTGACCTGCTTGAAGATGTAATGAAGCAATGCATCATACGCGTCTGAAAAGACGCTGTCAGAAGACGACGAATGGTGCTGGTAGAACATACCGTAATCCATGGCGTTGAGAGGGGTATACCAGCACGGTATGATTCGACACGCTTGCTGGACCAACCCGCAGGTAGGTGCCGCGCAAATGGGAGAACAAACAGTACCTCCCAAGCTTATAGCGGGATTGATAACGAATGTTTCTGACAGCCATGCTGATACATCGTGCACGGTTTTGGCGTCCGCCAGTCACTACGGAGGCGTTCTTTTCACCTGGCCAAATGTGGATTAGTCTATTCGGAAACCCCTCCTGCTTGGCTCTGAAAAAAATCGAAGACGCTCACCCGTCAACGCTTAACAGCGGTCTCTTGGGTCCGCTGTCGAGCTAAGGGCGTACGCATTGACCGAGCGCGAGTGTGGGTCGCTCGATGTCGTTTATCGGGTGCCGCTCATCGCCTACCGCGTCGAGTAGTGGTGTCCCTCGTTGTTAAGGTGAGGTGAAAAAGCTTTGTATCAAGTGGGCATCTTGACGCACAGAGCCAGAGAGATGCCCCACCCTTGGTCTCCCAGAAAGATGGATCCGATCACTGTAAACGATTGTTTCGGCGTCACTTGATGAATGTTACGTACATTGAACTGCCATCCCAGGGGCCAATGATCAGTGCTCATTGTTGTCTTGAAGGGTGCACGGATGTTACTTATACGCGACGTGTCGATCGGGAGCCCTCGGGAGCATGGTCGACAGCGGACGTCCCTTGCATTGACACAGCAGACACTCACAGCACCTCGCATCATGGTCGGAACCACGATCCCTGTCAAGAGAGTCTGGAACGTTTTGGATAACTTCCGAGCTGAAATTGTGATAAGTTCAAGACTGTACGGGCAAGGCACCGGCACCTTGTTCTGGAGCGCCGGTGTAGACCCGACGGCGATTGCACAACTCCCGTTCAATTTGAGGGTCTGAGCGTGAACTTCTACTCGCACGACGGTTCAACGTTTTCAACGTTCAACATAAGCAACATAGAAGGAAAACGTATCGAGTGAAGATTCGACCGAGGAAGGACAAACACAAGACGCGGTCGTCGGCACTTCCCGGCACCATATTTCGAGAACAACTTGAACTTCCTTGATACCACTTGTCATTGGATATTAAAGCGCTGAGCTTCCAACTGTGCGTTTCTCGTTCAGACAGATCAAACGGAACGAGAGCGCGTGTAAGGTACCAGGACGACACTCCTGACTGGATTTTTCGTTCGTTTGGCCCAGCTGGGCCCGGATTGCCCTGTAAGTACGTACCTTTAGTTCATGTTTCGCTTTTCTACTACGTGCGCACTGACTTACTGAAATAATGTGGCAGAGGAATATCTGTATCTCACGATTACACAAACAATTATTGCTTCGAGAATCGTGCGGTTCTCAGCCCTTCGTCGCTGCTTCCAGGACCCTCGACCGGTGTCACGTTTCTCTGGTCCTTCTCTTCGTTTAAGACTGACAGCCTCGTTTCAAACATATACGACCTCATTCTTTCATTTTCTCGGGAAAAGGGGCATTTATCTGTGTTAGCCTCTGACTCCGTGATCTAATACTGCAAGGTCGAGTAAATTGTCGCGCTCACGATCCGATGGGTGATTGTTTCGACGAAACGTCTACAGCTAGAGCGACCATAACCTCGTATCCAGGATCACGGAATCAAGGGATTACACGATAGCATATGTTCCAAGAACTCGCCCTTCGCGCACTACCTTCGCCAGTAGCAACAAGGTAACGAGAATGTGCCCAGCTTGGCTAGTCTGAGAACTTGTACGGGGCTTTTGCGACTCACTTCGATGCACTTCTACGACTCTCTGTAGATTTTTCTATACTCTCTTGCCGCCAAACACTGGTACGTGCCTTCTACGCGGATGATGATATGGAATGTCAGAAGAACCCGTGGTGAATTTATACTGCTTATCTCCCGAGACAGATCTCGCGTGTTCCAATCCTCGTCCATGACGTTCGTCAAAGTCGCCGCTCAATTCTCGTCCAAACGCAGGACGCTAGCGGGAGCGAGAAGCAGGGTATGTTTTGCGCGTCTCGAAGCAGCGATAAAGCCTCATGTCCTATTATATATGTAGCTTTAGTGCTTCAGTGCATGCATGTTAGCCGCGGCACCCTAGGCATGATACATCATTCCAGCAAATTTCTTCTGTCCTTGATAGTGACGTGTCACAGCCGCTGGTCTGCGAGAAACGGATCACCAGTTCACCTCGCAGTGATCAGTTCACACCAGGACTGCCTGTATGGGAACCGAGTTAAATCATCTCGAGATGAGTTCTGGTGACTAGGAAGCCGAGAAGCAGGTGAAGAAAGAGAAGAGCGCGAAATGTGGACTAACTCTACCTCGTTGCTTGATTCCATGACGCGGTCGGAAACGGCGTGCATTCTGGAATTGAATGAGTTTGACGTTGGGTAGGATGATGACATCAGTACGTCCTGCCTTAGCTTGAGGATGACGCACTCCCAAAGCTGAGAAAGTATAACACATATCTCTGACAGCCGCTACCTTTTTGGCGCCCCATTCGTCCAATGGGCTACTCATTCCTACCATTTGCTCCTACAGCATACCTCTAATCAACAGAACCTCCTCAATGGGTGCAAGGAAGGTTGCGGAGTGCAATCAGTATTATATTGTGGTACCTTGTGTTCCGCCCTATCTATGGATGCCATGTCTCGTGGCAAGGCGGCCTCCGCTTGGTGATGCGCGCGATATGATCAGGGGAAGGCAATGCATGATTTTCCTCGAGGCATAGTCTGACACTTCTGTTGGGACAATTTCACTCGCTACAGGCTTCTTGCGTTGTCTTGCATAGCGGACATCTCTATCGTCCGACGTGTCTCGCGCGAAATCGGTCGCGTTATGTTCTCGATTCGTCGAATGTTTGTTCAGAACTCGAAGTCTCGGCCGCAATTGTGAACTCGGGTCCTCGAAATGTAAGGTCCTGAGACTCTTCTTATCGCTGCCTCTCTGTTCTGGTTTGTCTGGCTCAGGCCCCTGTCCTGATGTCACGGAATTAAGCTGACAGTTATCGTACGCGCCGCGGGCATATGTTGGCGCTCGCCACGCACCACGTAATGTGCCCGCACACCACGGAAGCTTCCCCTAAGGTGCGGCCTTCGGGCGGTTTTATGACATCCATCGTCGAAAGCCCAAATGGGGCGCCTGAATGCGTGTTGATCAAGAGACTAGTCTGCCTTCCTGGGATGGCAGCAAGGACACTAACTTTTCGACAACCTCTACCAGCGCGTGTTTACCTACACTGTTCCTTGCGCCTGCTTGCAGTGTAAATACACAGATTTTCATCATCAACATCAGCCTTCCATGGGCGCACCTGGTCTTAGAAGACGTCGCTGCCTCACCGTGTGCCTGTGTTCGCGCCCGAAGCGCTTGGATATAGATCACTAGTACTTACTGATTTTTAGCACAGCCTGCGGTGTATCGCGGGACGAGCATCTACTCTTTTTAGTCGATCCTATCTGTGCATTTGGTGTGCATGGTGGTGGTGGTGGTGGTGTATTGCATGGAGATGCTGTGCTCTGCGGCACGGGATGTGTGACCGTCCAAAATGGCAGGTGAAGTCGTTGAGGCGGCAGAACGATCGCATCCGCGCCATTTGCGACCGTGATTAGACCATAGGCTACCATCGCTGGTTGACGCGACAAATTTACGATTAATGCCGTCACTCTATTTTGGAAAACTGGCGGCCAAGAGGAGACGCGAATAAAGGCTTGATCCTTATGTGATCCTATCGTGCGAATTCCCACGTCTCTATGTACACTCATTCCTCGCGCCATGCTACTAAATGGAGTTTGTCTTGCCATTATTTGGAGGCACAATCGCTAACACATTAATATTATGGGAGTATGGCACAAACTTCCAGCGCGTATGCACGCGCAGTGCCAGGATGAAATATCGAAGCTGGTCAGGTGGTATATAATGTCTTCCGGTAGGTGCACTCTAAACCTGGGCATACTGAAGTGTTGTTTACGCCAGACAGCGAATGTACGAATTTCTTCTGGTTTACTAGGGTGATTTTTGCGTGGAACATGCCAGTTAGACCGTGGGTTCCGAAGCCTTCACGTCGGTCTTTACGAGGTGATGGTCTGCCAGGGGCGTCCTGTAATTTGGGCGCTTCTCGATAGAGAAAACTCTGGAAGCGGAGGGAGAACTTCAAGGCCGATCTTCGGAAACACAAACGATCCAATTTAGACAGCAGATATCCCTGTAAAATAGCCAGGTTGACAGGGAACCACTATCGGCACTCGGGGATACCCTGTCCGCCCACGTTCCGTTCTCTCTTGTCACGGTGATAGGCCAAAGAGCGATCCTGAACCAAGGGGCTATGTCGCAGAATGTTCCGCGTATGTCCCCTGGCCCTTGTCACGATTGTATGTTCCTTGATTCCGTCACAGCTCGACCTGGGTTCGTCTGACATTTCTATACAGACGAGTCCAATGTCTCGCGCGTTCCACATCCCGAGGTGCAAGTACATAAACCCCATACCTCGAGCAGATTCATCTTTTTTCCTCAGGTCTCGACATCGTCGGTCCCGAGTCTTTCTTTCACTTTCCACCAGCCATGCCTACGCGACCGTCAACATCCTCATCTTCCTCGTCCTCGTCCTCGTCACCCGATGTTCCTCCTCCCACAATGGGGCGCACACGCGAGGTCCCTCTCCAGCCTCCCAAACCGCTCTTTTTCATCGACCACCGTCAAGCTGCGACAGAGAGCACGGAAGAAGCCAGCCGCGACCCGTTTCGCACTCCAGAAGCATCAATCCCAGGGACACCCAAGAATGTGGGAGATAACCCGTTCTCTCCGCCGTCCAGCGTCATCAGCTTTAGTGGCGACAATATTATCCCGGGTAATGGCGGACATCTAGGAGAGGGGAGCCGGAGCAGCTCCGTTTTCTCTGACCGCCCGATGAACCGTAACCTCTCCTCCAGGGTGTCGGTGTCCTCTGGTCTGCGCAACCCCGTCGTCGAAGGCAGCATCCAGGAGACGACGCGAGCGAGTCTACCTCACGTGAACTCTGGGATCCGCAGCTCATACATGTCTCCGGCCGTCCTCTCCCGCCGCACGACCGTGTTCGAATCAAGCGAGATTGTACCCCGCATGGCCAAACGCGCGCGATCGACCATGCTGACGAGCGAGATCGAGAAGCCCTGGTTGACGGAGAAGGACGCTTACTCGCGTCTTTCGTACTTCCTCACGTACGCGATGATGTTCCTCGGCATCGCGGGCGGCGCAGTTCGATGCTACTTTGGATGGAAGGATATACCCCGTCTTGGAAACATCTGTTTGGTGATGGAGGACGACTTCAACTCGCTAGACACCAACGTCTGGTATCACGAAGTCGACATGGGAGGGTTTGGGTGAGTCACGTGAGAACATCTTCTGTGATCTGCACTGACGCTCGGCATACAGCAACGGCGAGTTTGAGATGACGACAACGTCGTCAAATAATTCGTTCGTGGAGGATGGTCGCCTGTACATCGTGCCCACTCTTACGTCCGACGTCATTGGGTACGACAACGTGATGAACGGGTACATGTATAATGTCTCTGGGTGTACGAGCGCGAACCTAACGTCCTGCGGCACCGTGTCCAACTCGACGGCGGGCACTGTGATTAACCCAGTGATGAGTGCGCGGTTGTCGACGTTGAACAGCTACAGCATTCAGTACGGGAAGGTGGAGGTGGTGGCGAAGATCCCGACGGGAGACTGGCTGTGGCCGGCGATTTGGATGCTTCCCGTGAAGAACACGTACGGGCCATGGCCAGCGTCAGGAGAAATCGACATCATGGAGGCACGGGGCAACGGGATAAGCTACCCGGCGCAGGGCGTAAACTACGTGCGGGGCTCGCTGAACTGGGGTCCGACGTCGTGGCTGAACTCGGTGTACAAGACGTACGGGTGGTGGACGAACCGGAGGTCGACGTTCGCGGACAACTTCCACACATACACGGTGGAGTGGTCACCCAAGTTCGTCCGCATCTACGTCGACACGCGCTTGGACTACATGCTCGATCTGAGCCTCAACGAGCCGTTCTTCAAGCGTGGTGACTACCCCGAGACGATTCTGAACGGGTCGCAGTACATCGTGACGCCGAACCCTTGGGAGGACGGCACGCCCAATGTTGCGCCGTTTGATCAGCCGTTCTACCTTATCCTTAACGTCGCCGTCGGTGGCACCAATGGTTGGTTTCCCGATAATGTGGGCAACAAGCCATGGTTGGACGGTTCGCTCAGTGAGTACCCGTACCGAGTCGCTTCTGGTCACCTCTGACAGATGTCCTACCCTAGCTGCTATGCGCGATTTCGCTGCCGCACAAAATACCTGGTCGCAGACATGGCCATCGAACTACCAAGACCGTGCGCTCGTCGTCGACTCGGTGAAGATGTGGGAGATGTGCTAGATGTCTGATACTATCCAACGCTCGGACGATTTGAAGTTTTGCGTTCTCTGCGTATCGACGATCTTCCGGTCGTACATTGTGAATCGCTATTGATCGTTCTCACCTTCGCTTGTCTTTCTTGATCAGAGTTCGCTTCGATTTATGAACTGCTTGGATTTCTGTAGAGTAGCACAAGGCGTAGTGCGACATAATGACGTCTGCCGCTTGGCTTACGTGTGATAAATTACCTACATCAATCACAGACTTAGATGGAGCACTGCTAGCTATACATAACTAACACTTCATTTCCGCCGCAAAATACCACTTGCCTTGACTTCGGCGCACATGGTAGAATTACGACTTCCTCCGGCGATAGTACGATATATAGAGAGGCAGAATCATCCCTCCCACATAAAATGTAGGCACCCAAGCAAGTTCATGAAGAAAGGATGTGTGAATCATGATATTGAGCGTTCGAGAACCAGCATGGAAACAGGACGGTGCGGCAGCAAGGCTGCTTTTACTCACCTTCTCAGCAGACTCCGATTATAATATATATTCAGAAGTGAATTCGGTACTTCGGACGACCGCGGGAAGGAAACTGTTAGCACAAGAACGCTCAGCTTTGTCTTGTTTTTCATTGCTGCTCCGGTGGTTCTGAGTTACTGTCGAGTAGCTAAAGAGGGCGTTTTGAAGGTGTTCACGTGATAGGGTTTCGCGACGCGTTCAAGGCACGTGAGCTTTCGGATGGCGTTCGTGCTGCCCTGCCAGGAGACACCGGACCCTTCCATTTTGCTACCATAGAGTTTCTTTGGAATATTTATTGCTCATGTTGTGATATCCCGAGACCTTGAAGACGGCAACGACATAGGCGTTGCGGGAAAGTTACTATTTATCGATCTGGTGCCACCGAAGGTAAATAGCAATCAATAGAGGATCTAGATCTGCTGAAATTTAGCTCTCGACTCGGAGTGCAGCGGAGAGGTCCGGTCGTCCAGCTTGAGCGGTTCCTCTACTGTAATTCTCTGCGGCGGAGCAGTTGCAGGGCTTGTCTGCGATGGTGACAACGGCGCGCCTGGTCTTCCAGGCATGTCTGCGGGCACGACCACAATCTCGCTTACTCACTCGTCTCTCTGGTTTGTCGTGGTCAAATAGAACTGCTGCCACTGCGGCTGCGCTGAAGACGGAAGAACCTGAAGATTCTTTCGGCTTCGAACCGCCCACGTATCTGTTGACCGACAAAGATGAGCAGCGACTGAGGTTCCAGCGCAACATTGGGGTGTCCGCACACATCGATTCAGGGAAGACTACCCTGACCGAGCGCATTTTGTACTACACTGGACGCATACGAGACATTCATGAGGTACCACTTTTCACTGATACTATCCTCTAACTTCTGACGTTTTCTGTGGTAGGTCAGAGGCAGGGACAACGTCGGTGCGAAAATGGACAGCATGGACCTTGAGAGAGAGAAGGGTATTACCATTCAGAGTGCGGCGACGTTCTGTGATTGGCAGACAACCTCGCCTGTGACTGGAGAAAAGAACAACTATGCTATTAACATTATTGACACTCCAGGTATGTGGTCAGCGTATATTCATGGAACGACTGAGTGAACTTCAGCATCATTAGGTCACGTAGACTTCACTATCGAGGTAGAACGTGCGCTGCGTGTACTGGATGGTGCTATTCTGGTCTTGTGCGCTGTAGCAGGTGTGCAGGTGAGTACATTTCCGTGAATGTGGGTAGTAAGTTCAGTCGTTCCGCCAAAGCCTGTAGGCGAGCTGGCAGAGCGCCGATGCTTTCTCATGGTGACTTTGAGTCTACGCCGCTTTCGTGGTTTGCAGCATGACGACGGCTGATCTTCTACTTTGTCACCAATGTTTTACCTTACTCATGTGTGCGCTCTCCAGAGTCAAACGACAACGGTCGACCGGCAAATGCGGCGCTATAACGTTCCTCGAATATCGTTCATTAACAAGATGGATAGGTAGATATACTGGTGCTCCATTGACGCCTTGCTAACTCCACCTAGGCCTGGCGCAAATCCATGGCGTGTGATTGACCAAATCCGGACAAAGCTCAGGATTCCTGCTGCCGCAGTTCAAGTCCCGATTGGTGTCGAAGACCAACTTAAGGGCGTTGTCGACCTGGTTCGCTGGAAGGCCATCTACAACGAGGGCGAGAAAGGGTATGTAGGAGCACATGTTCACACTGGTCTACTCTTACGCTACTCGCCCAGTAACACCATTGTGGAATCAGACGAAATCCCGGCAACCGTAGTGGACTTCGCGAAGGAGAAGCGTCGCGAGCTCCTCGAGCAGCTTGCGGAAGTTGACGACGAGATTGGCGAGTTGCTCATCATGGACGAAGAGCCCAATACTGTACAACTCGCCGCGGCCATCCGGCGCGCCACGGTCGGGCTGAAGTTCACGCCTGTCTTTCTCGGGTCTGCCGTCAAGAACACTGCAGTGCAGCCCCTCTTGAACGGTGTCTGCGCGTACTTGCCTACCCCCGCCGAGTCGCCCGTCGTAGCGCATGACACTGCGCTCGCTGTCGATGCTCCCCCCGTTCCTCTGGTACCTGCTGCGGTTGCTCCGCTCGTCGCTCTTGCGTTCAAGCTGGAAGAAGGTCGGTATGGACAGCTGACGTACATGCGAGTGTACCAGGGCACGATTCGCAAGGGACAGTTCATCTTCCATGCGCGCACCGGTAAGAAGGTCAAGGTGCCCCGCCTGGTGAGAATGCACAGTAACGAGATGGAGGTGAGCATGCCATTGCTGGAGTTTCCCCAATCTGCTCATAGGTGCTTGTGCAGGATATTGAGGAGATCGGTCCTGGCGAAATCTGCGCCATCTTTGGTGTGGACTGTGCGTCCGGCGACACTTTCACTGATGGTTCGACGAGCTACTCCATGGTAGGTACCATTCACACTGTGGTGCAGTACAGTCGGCTAACGGCGCGCCATCTAGACGTCTATGTTTGTCCCCGAACCCGTCATTTCGCTCGCTATCAAACCTGTAGGTCAGGAGACGCCCAACTTCTCTCGTGCTTTGAACCGGTTCAAGAAGGAAGATCCTACGTTCCGCGTGCACGTCGACAAGGAGTCTAAGGAGGTGAGCGCTATCAGCTTTCACAGGACTGTCCGTACTGATAGTTGAGTGTTTCGCAGACCATCATTTCCGGTATGGGTGAGCTCCACCTCGAGATCTACGTCGAGCGTATGAAGCGTGAGTACAACGTCGACTGTACGACCGGCAAGCCGCAGGTCGCGTTCCGCGAGACGATCACACAGCGCGCGGACTTCCACTACACGCACAAGAAGCAGAGTGGTGGTGCGGGTCAGTACGGTCGCGTCATTGGGTACGTCGAGCCGATGGAGTTCGACTCGAAGACCGGCCAGGACGTCGCGTTCGAGAATGTCGTCATGGGTGGGAACATCCCCACCCAGTACATCCCCGCTTGCGAGAAGGTGCGTCAAGTGTGCTTCGTGCGAACTATGGTCACTGATTGACATCAACTTTTTGTAGGGATTCTACGAGGCTCTGGAAAAGGGTAGCTTGTCTGGAAACGAGGTCTGCGGGTGCCGGCTGGTGTTGCAGGATGGTCTTGCGCACTCCGTCGACTCCTCCGAATTGGCTTTCCGCCAAGCTATGATTGGTGCGTTCCGTGATGTGTATTCGAAGGCAAAGCCTGTCATCCTGGAGCCTATCATGTCGGTGGAGGTCATTGCGCCCTCCGAGTTCCAGAGTAAGTGCATGGTCTTGCATTATGTTCTGCCTCGTCATCTAATATCACGTTCCCCTTCGCTCTTAGGCGCCGTTATTGGCAGTCTGAACTCAAGACGCGGAACGATCACTGACAGCGAGGTTCGGGAGGATGAGTTCACGGTCACCGCCGACGTCGCACTCAACGACATGTTCGGTTTCTCCAACCATCTCCGCGGTGTGACTCAGGGCAAGGGTGAGTTCGACTTTTCTAGTCTCATCCTTTGATGCGTTCTAACTGCGCCGTGTCACCAGGTGAATTCAGCATGGAATACAAGGTACATCCGGTGGTCCTTCCCCGTTACACGCTAATACTGACTCACCTCCCTCAGACGCACCAGCCCGTCTTACCGAATACACAGCAGGAGATTGCGGAGGCTTACCGCAAGAGCTTGCCGCAGGCTAAAAAGTAAGCAGTCGCTATGATTATACGCATATCCTAGACGTAGTTTTCGTGATATTTATTGCATACGTTCTTCCTTATCCCCGCTCTACCGTACCTAATCGATGTCATGGTTTGGAGACGGTGGCTCTGACTGAACACGGATGAGGCGACACGACTGAGCATTCGCGTGGGATACCTGGCACAGGGAACTCTGTACTGATGATCATCAGTCCTGCTTTACACCACCAAGTTCATGTCTTCGCGATCCCACCCACTCTCCGTACTAAGCACTCAACTCGAGAGCACTGCACATACCTCTTCAGAGGTGGACTTCAATGCAGAGGTAGTTATCATCTTCAATCTCTACGATGCGATCTCTGCCTTTCTGATTGGATATGAATGGGATCCGACAACGACAGCTTCAGGCCTGTTGTGTACAGTACACTATCTCATAATGCATAGCGTCGGTGCCCGGATTTTGCTATGCATTATGAGGTTTTATGCATTATGGCATTGGATTTTGGCTGTGAAGTGCGATTTTGTACCGCCCAAGGCCTATGCACTATGAGGTATTATGCATTACCATGTTATGCATTATGAGATAGTGTACTGTACTACATACAAGGATACGATCTGAGTCAGATAACTCGAGTCTCTTCTCATCGCACCCACAGGTTATTTCTGTGTCACTTTCGAGTGTCGTTCATTCGCATCCTCCTCCAGCCTTCCGCTGTATGAGGTGGTTCTCTGTCTTGAAGAGGGTCTCATATACTCTGCGAGTCTATCTGCTGTCTTGTGCACGATATCTTCGAATGCCATCATCGGCTCGATGTCATTGAGTTCACGTGGAGTTCACCGAGTGAACTCACGGACGTCGCATCGATGTGGTGCCAGAAGAAGACTGAGCATACTTTGGCTGTCGCTCGGCCGTCGCCATCCTTCACTTCGCATTATATACTTCTGCTAATGACACTACATACCTAGGCGACTAACACAAGCTAAGCGCGAGGATGACGGCCTGTCAGAAGTATGGTCATGCATTGCAGCTTGGAGTAGTTTGCAAGAGTGACGATTTATAACACTGGCTACGATATATATGTCGATGTCCACGGTTCCAAAAATCATCGGTCTGACTCCCCTGCCTATTGACCATCGAGGTCGTTCAGCGAGTCGTCCAAACCGACCACTGCTTCAAACGCGCTCGCCACCGTCTTGATGATGCCTCTGCTCGCCGGTGTGCCCGGATCGCTCTCTGTCTCTGATGCAGATGCCGAAGTTGGGTTAATGAGGTACTGTACTGCGTCCCTAGACCATCAGAGTCAGTTCCGCCACACGCTTTCCAGAGTTGGGTGGAACAATCTTGGCTCACCCAGTCTCGTGCGCTGCTGTAGAAGAGAGGCTGGCAAGGGGTACATGTTCCCTCACAGCACCCGCAATAGCGGACGCAAGGTCCTTAGACGCTATGCCGAGCGCCGCCGCCAGCTCGTTAATCCGCTGCTCCACCGACGCGTGTCCCCCGCTCGGCGGCGGCGTGCTCGTCGGCGCCACACCTCCCGGCCAACTCACACCCTGGCTCTGCATCCCCGGCGGACGCCTACCGAGCGCGAGGTTCCACCATCCGCCGACCTTCGCTTTCCACTGGAAAAGCCGCCATGTGTAGAAGGCGGAGACAATAACGGCAAATAAGGCGAGGTAGTACACGAAACGGTGGAGCGGTACGCGGGACAGCGGAGGCGAGATGGGAGCAGTCGCTTTCTTGCGGTCGCGGGGAGGCGGGAGGTCCGACGACGACTTCACTGCGGAACCGCGTTGTCGTACGTTTTGTGACATTACTTTTGGGTAGAGGGTGTGCAAAGTTTTGAGATACTGCGCTATGATTCGTACTTGAGAGTTGGAGAACGGGTTCGGGATTCTTATAAGTACGGCAGTGGGGAATAGTGACGTCATCTCTACCGGCGCCTGTTCACCCATGTAGTGCGTGGGTATATAAGCACCCGGACTGTGTAACTTGGATTCAAGTCGTTGAGCTCTTCGATGAGCAACCGTGGCCGTGGGATGAGGTGGGATTCTTGGAGGAATTAACTACAAAAACATCCTTACACTCGACCGTGTCTAACGTTGAGGAATGCGGTATGGTACACACAGACAACACAGAACAAGAGAAACATACACAAGTACAGCGTAATTGCAACCATAAATCCTGAGACGCAGACTAAACGATACACATCAGAACTCGACAGCCTATCGTACAAGTCACTCGTGGTATATGGGGCGTAAAACGTAGGAAAGCGCGAAAGGCATGGCATGCTGTAGAGCGAAGGTCCACAAACTACAAAATCGACGAAAACCGTAAAGCTATGTGACTACGCACCACCAGCATCGCGATCATCGCTCTCCGTATTCCGCGCGTCTTCCCTCTGCGGTTGCGGCACCTGAGGTGGAGGATATCCAGTATAGTGTGGCCACGACATGCCCGGATATGCAGCATAGCCGTGCGGGGGCGCATAGTACGGCGGGTACATTGCTGGCTGCGCTCCATCTACCGAATATCCGCTTGGGTACACCTGGGGCGGGGACGGTGTGTGCGCCGGTATCGGCGAAGAAGACGACGGTGGTGGGGGAAGCGCGGGGTAAGGCGGCTGCGAGTACATTGGTGGCAGGTACACTGAGGGCGGCGGCAGCTGGTAATAGCTGTACGGTGCGTATGTGTGCATTGTCGCCCCGTCCGAGTAGCCAGGCTGTGGCTGCTGAACCGCGTGTGCGTCCGCGCTCGCATGCGCGTCTGCACCGCTTTTGCTCTTGCGCGAGCGCTTCGGCGCCGTCCCGCTGTAGGGATCGTACCTCTTGCTCCGCTTGCCTGAACCGTCCTGGTCCCCATACATCGGCATCGACAATGGTGCTGCGACCAGCTGCGGCGACGTGTCCGCGTCATCGCCCTCCCCGCGGTACCGCGGGATCCCGTCCACGCCGATTTCTACCTTGGGCGGGTTCCGGAAATGGGTCTTGTCCAGGTACTCTGGACTTATGTCCAGCGAGGCGAGCTCCGGTAGCGTCGACGGCGCCCTCAGCCGGCCTTGCTCAACGTCTTCCACCTTGTAGTACGATATCAGGTGCTGCGCAACTCCGCCGATGGTGAGCGAAAAAGTCTGCGATTTATTCAGCGACAATTGTTTGAATTAATGAGACTGCTCATGCACCTTCTTCATCATCCCGCCCGGCTTGAACTTATAGCTGTTGGTCAAGCTGCCGACGAGGCTCCGCTCGCGCTGGCGATCGATGCCCATCCTGCTGGACTCACTCTTGGGCCGGCTGAGGGACTGCATGTCCTTGCCGTCGGCGAACTGGACCTGGTGCTCCTCCTGTGCAGCAGCAGCTGCGGCCGCGGCCGCGGCCTGCTGGGCCTGCTCCGCGCGGGCACTGCGATGGCCCGCCCCGCGCTTCTCGGTCTCGCGATAGAGGAGGAAATTGCCCAGGATGCGACTCGGACTCCAGAAAAAGCCGTCGGTCCAACGCTTGATCCCGCTCTCGTCCTCGTCAAACACGAACACGGAGCCTGAGGTGATCATTTTCCGCTCTGAGTCGACCAGGCGGCGGGTCACTCGGGGGATGAGCCCTCTGCGGGCGGCTTCGAGGATCAATAGCGCATCTCCCGTCGTCTCTATCCAACCCGTCCACGGCGGTTCCGTCCAGGAGTTCGAGGGGGGGTTAGATGTGGTCTGATTATGAGAATCCTGAGCCATGCCCCTGCTCGAATAATCTTTCTGTTCGACATCGTGGGCAACATCGAAGATGAGATGCGTGAGATTGAGATTCAAAAATCGAGTAAAGTTCGAAAACAAAGTTGACTAACCGCGAGTAAGATCTTGTCGGGGATGGTGGTGGAAAAGAAAGTTCGCGCCCCGCACAGCGCCGCCGCACCCCGCAAATTTGGGTGCGTGGGAATAACTCTACCTTTCTGAGTTCTCTCCTTTTCCTTGTCGTCGTACTGTAGAGGACCTGAGGACGACGACAAGTGTGGTGCTTGGCCCTTGTGGCTCTGGGTCGTGGTCGCTGTGTGTCGTGGGCAACGTGCTTTGCTATCGTCGTGGATGGCACCCCCGAAGAAGGTCCCTTGGAAGTTCTGTTATCTTGGCGCTTCACCTCGTAAACGCGCAACTGTGGATCCATAGAAAGCAATCCCGCGGATCGTTGCAGAAAATCCATCGGCGGCACGAATTGTGGTAAGGATTGAGACTACATCGCTGGGACTTGGCTGCGACCCTCGGCATTGCTCAGATGTGGTTCAGGACCCATGTATGTGGAGAGTTCACTTGAAGGCTCAGATCATCGAAGGGCTGATAGGAACAAATAGTCCGTGGTTTGCACACAGGGACAGTACAAGCGGTGGTTCTGACATTCCACCAGCATGGGTCATCACTTGGCGTGCCATGTGGACTCGCAGTTTCGCCGATGCTATAACGTTGTGGTGAGTTCCTTTAGCTTCAGAGCGCCTCTAGTAATGCGGGGAATGCTGTTAGGCGGGAGTCACTGTGACATACTTCCAATATGCACGTATACTGTTCCTGTGCCGCTGATCGTCATGAGGTTCTCGAGACGCGTACCTCTGCGACTTCAGTGTGCTCGAACTCCAGTTGGGATTTACCCTGGATGGTTGTGGTGGGCATGTGACAATTCTCGCTATGCAACCCTGTGCAGTGTCCAACCACTCCTTGTCTCCTGAGATGTGCATGGATCTAATGAATGTTCACCGTTGGTACCGTGGAAGGCACGAATGAGCGCATGTAGTCGGTGATTACTGGTGCGCCATATATGTACCTTGTTGTTCTGCCACCGTAATATGTAGTGTGTCTATGCAGTTTTGACAGGCTTTTCAAAAGCTTTCAGCCACTATCAATCTTTCGTGGACATCGTTCCGTTCCTATCCATCGCCGCCGTCTTCTGACAAGATTCTTCTGACTTGACAGAAGAGCTTAACCCCTGCCCGTTCCACTCCTCGTCAGCAATTCCCGAAGACTGCATCGTTCGCCCTGCTGATCGAAGGCCCTCCCGTTTGGTCATTTGGAGTTGCCTCGAACAGGGCGCAAGTGTACCTTCCATGTCTGGATTGGTCCTATCGAAAGTCTGAATTGTTGTTCCACAGCTTATTCCAGAGTGGTGACTCTGTGTCTCTCAACCTCGATTCGAATCCAGCATACGTTTCCAAAAAATGTACAATGGAGCACGGCACTTATTGGAATGTTCATGACTAGACGGCTTAGCCAAATCACCATTTATCGAAACTCCGTCTGTGGATCCATTCTCCGCGTGAAGATAGTCTTGGCGTGTCTACTACTTGTGGCGCGAAACGATGCCGCATGGCTTCCCCGGATCAATTTGCGTAGAAGACCTTCTACAATGGCACTTGTTCTTGGTTATACGCTCGGCCCGCTTGACCGACATATAGTGCTCTGTAATGTATCACGGTGAAGTGCGAACTCTCCGTAACAGTTGTGCAGCAATGTCCTTATGTGAGAGGTCAAGCTCCAAGATTCAGATGAATGGCTTACCACGCTGTGGCCGCCCGATCGATGAACCTGACCACGATGCCTGAGGGCAGGCGGCTTTATTGTCAGAGAACACACTCGATGATTGATGTAATCTCTGCGGGGCGTCTGACATCCGTCTCTGTCAAACGGGCTAAGCGGAGCACTGACGGCACGACGCACAAGGCTGGGCATTCTCAGTAGATCTAGTCCTGGTCACAGATGACATGAAGTGAACGTTGACTACAACGCCTACCGGTTGTGGAACCACCAGAGCGCTCCGTTGCGTCATCCTGGTGGCCGCTGCCAACCCATTTACGGATTCATCTGGTTCAACGTGTCATGTCATCGTGACCTACAATGACATGCAAACATTCATTTGTGGGGTAGTCGTGTCAATGGTCACGATCACCTGCCGCATCGGTGAGTCGTTCATCTTCCGTGATATATTTCAGAAGAGTCCAACCATGTACATGGATGTTTCACTGGACGAAGCCGCCATGCCAGTGAAATTTCTCGTGGCGCAGTCTTCACCGAGTTGTGATATGTGCAAAACGGATTAGTCTATTCAGAAACTCGGTTTACACAGAAACACTCCTGCTTTTGGTAATTTCGTGATGGCTCCGAAAAAAATCAAAGACGCTCATCTGTCAACGTTTAACAGCGGTCTCCTGGGTGGGCGACACAGCGACTCATGCCAGCGCCCAGCCGACGCGTACCAATGTTGTTCATCGGGTGCTGCTCATCGCCTACCGCGACGAGCAGTGGTGTCATGTCATTGTTAAGGTGATGTGAAGAAGCTTCGTATCAAGCGGGCATCTTGCGTGCCGAGCCAAAGAGATGGCACACACCACAATTCGGCAGCCGGCTGTTGCTCGTCGTCTCCAATGTTGACGCCGACATGGTACGCCCTGTGCGACATGGCGAGCAATATGGTGGTTGTCGGTGTCAGTGGTCGATGCCGTCTTTGGCGCCCATTGATAGATTTCTTTCCGTCTTCGCATTTTTATCTTCAGCAGTTCCGAGGGAAGGGGGTTTATTTTCCCGCGGCGGCTTTCTGAATAAACTCATCCTCCCTCCTGCATCACTGATCGACATTCCATGCATCCATGCCTATGTGCTCAGTGCTCTGTATTGATAGGTACCAGGTCTGCAGCTGCAGCACAGACAACGCCGACGCTCACGCCGCTAGATGCCGCTGATGTTAGTACCCTCCAATCACCACCCTGACTGGAGTCGATGCTTTTCTCATCGCACGTCTTCCTGCGTCTTCTTGTTACATGGTGATTGGTCCAACTGCTTCAAGGAGCGTAATACTCTGACAGTTGAGGATGCTGTGAAGAAGTAGAATTCGGAATACTTCAAACTGCAAGCGCCTCATTCAGTCCTGCTTATAGGAGGTGGGCCATTTGCCGCCCAAGAAACAGTGTTCCGCGGGATTCTTCCTTCTTTGACTAACAGAGGGAACAGAGGCCCCGAGGGCGGGGCACTGTCAGATTACTGACATAATCTCTTGCGATCCTCGTGCTGCCATGTCCCTCAATGTCAATGTTGTACGGACAAACGATAATGTGTATAAAAGGATCCCGAGGGAAATGGCACAATCGTTGCAGGATTCTTTGATCTCCGGGTTCTGAGGCTGCAACATGGGCACCCTCCTTTTGTATGCTGCAGCAGTCGCTCTTTTACTACCCGTCGTACGTCTATCGAAGCTTCTCTTGGGATGACTTTGCGCTCATCCTCCACTTTTCTGTTAGGTTCCAGCTTCTCATGTTCGCGCCGGTTCTCACTTGCGCCGTCGTCAAAGTGTTTCAGGACCAAATCTTCCGGCAAGTTGGACGTCTCAAGGATGTTATACGTTCGTATACAGACATTTCTGGGATTGGACCAACTTAAGCTGTAGTATGCAGCGACAATCCCGCATCTCGCACCCTTACTGGATCGACCTATACCGACACCACAAATATGACTGTCGAGTCATGCGTCAGCTTCTGTATAGCCGACTCGTACGTTTATGCCGGTGTCGAGTACGCACAGGAGTGCTGTAGGCCATCTTCTCCTGCGCCTCGTCTTCGAATACCGACTTCTGTATTCTAGATTGTGGGAACGGTCTTGAAAACGGGGGTATTAACACCACTGCCACAGAGTGTAACTACGCCTGCACCGGGAACGCTAACGAGACGTGCGGTGCTGCAGGTAATCCCTTCGTGTTCTATCGTTGGCTTATCTGAACATGCACGATTAGACCGTTTGAGCCTGTACTGGAGTGGTGCTCAACCACCTGCGCCACCCATCACTGTCCCTAGTGTGGGGTTGTGGGTCTCGCTCGGTTGCTACAGGTAAGCCATCGTATCTCACGCTCACAAAACATAAATGAAATGACCCGTTCCAGTGACTCGGTCAACAACCGTACTCTCAGTGCGCAGATAGGTACTCAAGGATCGGTTACTGTCGAATCTTGCACAAGTGCGTGCTACAATGCCGGCTATCCTTTCGCTGGGATTGAATATGCAGCCCAATGCTGTATGTCCCTTCCATCCAGCTTTAAGGTCAAAATAACATACGATTACTTGTACAGTCTGTGGCGCAAATTTGGGGAATGGTGGTGCGCCAATCTCGTTGTCGAGCTGCGACATGCCATGTGCCGGAAACAGCTCCGAATACTGCGGTGGTCCCGACGCGCTCAACGTAAGTAGGGTATTATTAGGACCATAAGCACAGGTAGTTTACTTTCAACAGATGTACAACTATACGGGTACTGTGCCTCCTCCAACATCACCTCCCGGTGGCGGTGGCGGCGGTGGAGGATCCAGCTCTCCTGTGTATCCAGTGACCAGCGGACTGCTATATCCTTGGGCATACGCTGCTTGCTATGTGTAAGTTACCCTTTCTACAGGATTATGTCTCACTTAGAGAGCTTTACAGGGATAATGCATACGGTCGCGTGATGAGCTATGAATTTCCGGACAACCAGAATCTCACCGTTGAAATATGTATCGAGGGTTGCGCGGCACAGAACTATACGCTGGCTGCAATGGAGTACAGCGTTCAATGCTGTGAGTTCTCCGCAGTGTAATATAGTCAGATTGGAGCCCGACGGTTTGTGTCCTACAGTCTGCGCGGATGATTTGGTCAACGGCGCTGTTACCGCCGGGGAATCCTCTTGCGACATGGGATGTGGGGCAAATGCCACGTGGGTTACACTCGCATATGTTCCACATACGGTATGCTAACTGCCATACAGGGAAGCTTGTGGCGGGCCGAACGCCCTCTCGGTGAGCACTTCGGAAATCGATTATCGCAATTTTTATTGACCTACACTGGAGGTGTACACCTCGACTGGGAACGTGACCGTATACCCCGTTCCAATTACTCTGAACACTAGTCTTCCTGGAGAGTGGCAGTACCAAGGATGTCTTGAGTGAGTTGATGCATTCTGAGCCTTATTGAAGCGCATATATTGAACTATACTTCGTAGAGAACCAGGAGCGAACAGAACATTCCCCTATCAGAACATCTGGACCGATAACAATACGGTTGAAGCATGCTTAAACCAGTGTGCTCTGTTCGGCTATCCCGCTGCTGGCCTCGAGTACGGCAATGAATGCTGTAAGTGTTCAGTTTCCTCCCTTGGAGTAGTATGGTCTAAAATCCATTTCAGGGTGCGGAGACGTGTCTGATGTTGCTGCCAATAGTCCCGGCTTTTCAGCAGCTTCAGACTGTTCCATGGCGTGTTCTGGGGACCCGATTCACCTGTGCGGAGGTCCGGAGAGATTGCAGGTATATTCTATTATTCTTATTGACCTGGGAGATGCCGCTCATATCTTTTCTGATCCTAGCTCTACTACTGGAATGGATCCTTGAATACCTGGAACACACCTGAAGTTACCGGGTGGTACGAGGTATGCAAATATGTTGAAGTTGTTCATCGACTTTGTGCATCAATAATCCACTTTTAGTTCCTCATTGGTGGCCTTGTGGTTCCCCTTGTTGCAACACTTGGGATCAACAATAAGATCTCCTTCGTTGAGAAATATGGTACGAGCGAATATGCTAACTCAACGGGCGCATATGAACTGGACCTCTCGCTCACCAATAACTTCGAGTTGGCATGGCGCACGATGCACGTGAAGACAGATGTCTTCTGTTCCGGATCCATTGTTTTACCCGATAGAGGCGCCAGGCAGATCAATGTCGGCGGATGGAGTCTGGAGAGTACCTACGGTGTCAGACTGTATACTCCGGACGGCAGCCCCGGTGTCAACGGAACAAATGACTGGGAGGAAAATTACGAGGAACTCAGTCTGCAGGTACGGTTTTTCTAGGATAATTTCTGTTGGCATACGCTTATCCCCCCATGCTAACAGCGTGGGCGTTGGTATCCTTCTGCTCTTCTGCTGTCGAATGGAAGCATTCTCGTGGTGGGTGGTGAAGTTGGAAGCAATGGTGCACCCGAACCCACCTTAGAGATACTACCCACGCCGGCAGGAGGACCCACGTATATGTTCCTGGACTATTTAAATCGTACCGATCCGAACAACCTCTATCCATTCCTGCACGTCCTTCCAAGTGGACGCATCTTCATCGGTGGGTCCTTTCGCAAACTCAAGGTTTCATGTGGGCTTACCGCAGTTGTTGCAGGCTATTACAACGAAGCGCGAATCCTCGACCCTGTGACGCTCGACACTGTGCAGGTGCTGCCCAACATGCCCGGATCCGTTACCAGTTTCCTTGCTGGTAGAACATATCCGATGGAAGCGACCGCCGTTCTTTTCCCACAATACGCACCCTACACTGATCCTGTGACACTTCTCATCTGTGGTGGGTCTAACTTCGGTATCGCCCTTGACAATTGCGTCAGTATCGTGCCGGAGGCTGAGAACCCTGAATGGACGATCGAGAGAATGGTACGTCACCGTCACTATGTTCACGCAACAATACTGCTGTAGGCTAATCCACCTCTAGCCCTCCAAGCGAGTGATGACATGCATTGTGAGCATTCTAACGCTGTATCCAGTTCGTTCATGTTTAATTCTTGTACGCGATGCTTCCTACAGGCTAGTGAGTCACCTCCTTGCAACGCCTGTGTTCGTTGCCTCTGATCTCCATCGACAGCACTTCCCGATGGAACGTTCCTCATCGTCAACGGTGCTCAAGCTGGAGTTGCTGGCTTTGGTCTCGGATCTAATCCTAACTACAATGCCTTGCTCTACGACCCTTCCAAGCCAGTCAGCCAGCGTATATCTATACTCAACACCACCATCGTCGCTCGCATGTACCATTCGGAGGCCACTGTATGTGATTATTGCCTCAATTCATCTTCTCGCTGTCTCAACCCCAATGACTCCTAGCTTCTTCCTGACGGTAGGGTTCTCATCTCTGGAAGTGACCCGCAGACTCCGGGATACCCCGAAGAAATGAGAATCGAGGTGTATATTCCGCCGTACTTGGTCACAGGACTAAAGCAGCCCAACTTCACGGTGGCGGAGAATGACTGGGACTATGGTGGCACGTATACCATCACAGTCAGCCTCTACCAAGGTACGACCGACACGATGAGGGTCTCTCTAGTCGCTGGTGAGTCTTCATTATTCATACTTTGGCTCTGTCACTTATCAGGTTCTTTCGCAGCCACATCCAGTACCCATGGTTCGTCTTGCTTGTAAAGGAAATCAGCTGCAGTTTTTCATTCTCTTTTCTCAGGAAACATGATGGACGGAAGGATCCTCTTCCCCGAGTTCTCGTGCCAGGGCAACACTTGCACGGTCACAGCACCGCCGAATACGTACGTCTCGCCCCCCGGCTGGTTCCAGTTGTTCGTCCTTGACGGCCCGACGCCCTCTACCTCCAACTGGGTCCGCATTGGCGGAGACCCCGCCGAGCTTGGCAACTGGCCGAACTTCCCCGACTTCACTCTACCTGGGGTGGGTCCGTTGTAAGCTAATGCGTGTCTGCTTTCGTTGTTCGTGTGCCCTTCTGAATATTTAAGAACATTGTGTTGCTTTGCGTTACCACTCCTTTGAACCAGAACCTTAACCCTTGGACTCATTCCTTTATCGTTCGTTTGGGCATACCAGTTGTCTGTTGTGACGTTATGTTGTATCACTTTTCTGGGGCTTGTGATGTATGGACGCTGGCGATTGCATCTATATCCGGCTGAATCTTCTATCGCTGTTCAAAAAAATGCGAACATAGTTGTAATGGGCTACCACCCTCCTGACACGCAGTCAGGGATCCTGGCCCCTACGGATGCCTTTCAGGCCCGAAAGTTACAAACACTCAGACGACAAATTCAAAATTCGAACGTACGAGCACACTGGTATGACTGCAGAGCGTGGGGAAGGAATGCCGGGCCAAGAAATAACGATGTCATGTCATGCAAAGGGGGTGGGACGGATGATGCGCCGGAGCACAATATGTTTCTGTAAGGTAACGAATATTGATATCATTGCGTAGCGAGAAAGGACAAGCGATGATGCGAACAGCAAGCGAATGGAGTGAAGATGGAGATGATGCGCGATAGTACAGTGATGCGACGATGGTGCGTTTAAGTGTTGAAATCTGCGAAGTAGGGATGAACGAGAGTGCGTTTCGCTGAAAGGGGTTGGCGTATGAATTAGCTCTTGAACTACAAAGTAAATTGGAGTAAGCGCACCTGAAATGCGTTTGGCGGTATCATAAGTCAACATCAGCTAGGGTCAACCAAAGCTCAGTCCAACAACCACCGATGTTTATGTATGACGCACTTTCAAGAGGTCCATGCCGTCGTCATCAAGTGTCGGCACATGGTCAGCCAAATCTTGTGCAGACCAGTGAGGGAATGTTGGCTTGTAGTCCGGAAGCTGTTCGACCCCTGGCCAGGAATCTTCATTCGGAGTGCCCAAAACCCTGTGATATAAATTCAGTAATCAGTACTCCGATTGCGCACTATGCCACGCCGCAGGTTGGCTTCGCCCGATAAGAGATAGGATGGGATCGCGAGCAGGAGGATCGCGAAGGCGCACTTTCATACCTGAAGATTTTGAAGATCTGATCTATCTCCGAATCACCTGGGAAGAGCGGGTGTCCTCTCATGACCATCTCGGCGAAAATGCAGCCCACAGACCACATGTCGATAGCGGTCGAGTAGTGACGAGATCCTAGTAGAACTTCGGGTGCACGGTACCACAACGTGACAACCTTAAAGTTGGAGACACGTCAGACCAGCATGATATCAAGTGAGCAACCTCCAAGCAGTACAGAAGACTGAAGCGTATAAAACATCTCGTACCTCGTGCGTGTAAGTTCTCATCGGGATGCCAAATGCCCTAGCTAGACCGAAGTCGGCAAGTTTGAGGTTGTCATACTTGTCAATCAGCAAATTCTGGGGCTTGAGATCACGATGGAGTATTCGATGTGAATGGCAGTACAGTAAGCCAGACGTCAGTTGATGAGTAAATTTCTGCAAGTGGTATCAGTACTGTAAAACATCCACATGAAACGACGAAGGAGTGATTTGAAATTGGAACTCTGAAATTGGACGGGTCGCGGCGCGGGATAATGTTGGAAAAGAAATCACGTGACCGTGCCGCAATGCAATCGTGCTGCTTTTTTTCCCTGCCAAAACGCGTTGCGACGCGACACATTCTGCGGACACGCGTCTGACACGCGTAACAAGCGCTAAACGTTCCCAGAAATGTATTTCTCTGATGTTTCAGGAAAGAGGACTCGCCTTGACAATGTCGGGGCTGATGGGATTCCCAATCTTATTGGCATTCTCCATGTATCGTTTCAGGTCCACATCGAGGAATTCGAACACCAAGTACAACTTCTGGTCTGCGTGAACAATGTCCAATAGTCTGGCGATGATAAATATCCAGTAGCAATTGAGTGATTGATAAATTGTTGACAGTCGTGGAAATACCGTCAAAACACAAGAAAAAAAGATCGCTAAGAACCAAAAAAAACCCATTAAAATCACATTGTTGCGCACCTTACAACATGATCGTCCTTCAACTCCTTCAGAAGGCTGATTTCCCTGATGGCTGTGCTCGGAACACCCTCGTCTTCCGCTTCGAGCCTGATCTTCTTCAGGGCAACTACCTGGTTATTCGTGACGTCGCGAGCCTTGTATACCACACCGTATGTACCTGTACAGAGTGTGGGAAGGCAGAGAACGGCCAGAATTACATGAACTCCTGTGTACAGTGCTAAGAGTGTGGCCACTCACCCTCGCCTACAATGCCAGATACCCAGACACAGTAGTTCAAAGCGGCGAGCTACTCAATTTTTAGATATCCACTCACCAACTTTCTCAATCTTCGAATAGCTAGGGACGACGCACGCAGAAGAAAGCGAAGTCAGCGACCGCCACAGCCAGATGAAGAGACGATTCTTCACCGGTCCATCTCAATCAGAAACCGAGCTTACTAGCCTGCACCAGATGGAGAGACCTACGTGGAGGGGAAGGTTGAGGAGGGCGGCGGGAGAGGTGAAGGGGGGGGATTTAAGGAGCGGGCGAACGTTAGCGTGAGGGTCAGCTCTCGTTCGGTTGGGACGTTTGCATGATCACGTAATCGATCGTTCGCCAAATACGGCAATATTGATGCAGTGCGGACGGCAACCGTCAGACCCGCCACGGAAAACAATTGAACACCACACCGTCCTCCTCGCGGTGACTTGTAAGAATCTCTATGTATTGCGACATTACCAGGACTGCTCTGTCTGCGTTTACCTCCACAAAAATCCCCTTCATACCAAGTAATAATTTATATATGGAGAAGTGCTCGACCCGGCGAGACAACCCGCCCAGAAAGCAGCGCTACTCAAGATCACCGTTGAAAATGTTGATGGTCCTCGAAAACATGGGGGGAAAGTGGTACTATAACCAAATGACCTCTACAATCAACGCGGAGAAGACGCAGATCACGCAGGGTATTGCAGCACGACAATTGGATTTTTCATATCCTAATGAAAGCGGAAGTATTACTTGCGACAAAGTAAGGGTGAGTTTCATACTAATGAAGGCCGACCCAGCCACTGAAAAGCAATACTGGGAGGATCGGCGTTGCGTAGCTCCGTCGTACATGCCGTATCACGTTCCAGCTAATTTTACGGTATTACTATTAGAGCATCGGGTGCTGGTGTGTACAATGCATTAACGATGAGGAAGAAATTTGACCGCAAAGTTCCTTACTTTAACCAGGCCGAGGCCATGCTATAGTCTCCTCATCTCCCCGGCGCATTCTTGTAACATCAATATATTGACCGGGGTATGGCTCTTCACCTGCAGGTGTTGGAAAATTCCCTCAGTAGCAACTCCACCAACGATCGATGATGACTTACTGCGGTCAATGATGTTGATCTCGGTGTCATCATCGTCTTCTTCATCCTCCCACCGGTCCTGTAGGGCTATATTAGGATTTTGAGCACGGTCAATCGCGAGGTCTTTCATCAAGCGGTTCATCGAGTCTGTCTTAGCAACCCGGAGCGTCTCCTCTTTGACAGCGCGGGCGCGTACCAGTTCCGGTAAATATTCCCTAAGGAGAAACGCGCAAACAATATCAGGTTCAAGTCAGGTTACGACATGGACGCTGTCTCACAACCACGCGCGCATTATAGCATCAGGGGCTTACGACACTCACTTTTCATATTCTGTGCGAGATTCCTCCACGGCATCGAAAAACTCCTTGATACCAGCGCCTGTCATACTGGAGACACCTACAGCCTTATAATCGGAAACAACATCAATATAAAAACTTAGGGCATCAGAGTACGACGCCGTAGACATACCCTCAGTTGCTTGTAAAATTCATCGAGCACAAGGCTCATGCTGTTCATCAAACTGTTCATGTACGTCGGCTCCCCCTCATCATCGGTCGTCCCACTATGGGATGCTAGCGCCTCTTGGAATGCCTCAAAGTCATGCATCCACTCGATCGCGAACTCGTGGGGCTGCGCATCGGTTTTGTTAAAAACCAGGATGAAAGGCAATTTTGTTTTGTAAAGGATGCTGATAAAAACAGGCAGTCAGATGTCACACAGTAGGCAAGGAAGAGGGGATGCTTGGAAGCACTAAAGTACTACTAGGAACACAACTTCGTACTTCCCGGACGCATGCAGCAGCTGGAACGCAACGGCTGGAACGCGTCGACAACATGCTCCAGAAGCATCTTGGATAGACAACCTGTGCACAATCCTCTTGTGAGATAAAATTCGCGCACCTACAAGCATAAAGCATATTCGACATGAAGGTAGCCGGTGCAGTAGTCCGAGGCGTGTCGATGATATACGCCACAACGGTTGGCAGACTAGAGGCTATAGCATCTGTAATGATCGCTCCAGAGGCGGACCAAGTGAATATCTCGATTTGTCCTGGAGTATCCAAGATCACATAGCTGGAGAGACGAACATCAGTATTTATGACACCGATACCGGAAACCGGTTGAGACCCACTCCACGGTCTCCGCTCGCTTCTCCACCAGGTCCAGCACTTGGTCAAACTTAGTGGTGAACAGATTCAGCGCAGTTAGGATCCCTCCATTGGGACCGAGGTTGTACCTTGGAGCATGCAAGCCACTACTTGAGCGTGACGGACGAGCAAGGTGGAATGGCCACACACTGCTTCATGACCTCGTGATAGTTGATAGTATCCCGTATGTCAATGTTCGCTTCGAACGGAAGGTGCGTTACGGCGGGATCCAGGTTGAGGATGTACGGCGGAGACGGTGGGTCCAAGGAATGCAGGTAGGAGTTTATGCGCTGCACGAACGTAGACTTGCCGGCCCCGGCCATGCCGATAGTTATGATGACAATGGGTTTCTTTTTGTCGGGCATTTGTGACGAGGAACTTGGTGAAGGCTCCATTCAGGCAGTGTCAAAGGAGTGTTTAACGGTAAAGTGGCCCGGCGGCAAGATTAACAAGGAAATCTGCCGCACGCGCTCGCGCGCGGCCAAGGTAGGCAAGTGTTCAAGAACGCATTCTCTGAAATTTGCTCTGGATGATCAATGCGCAGGCCAGAGAGAAGAATCAGAGACATCGCAACATAGCGAATAATTACTATACAATATCATATTTCCTGTGCCATAATCATACATACACTTTGTGTACAGAGAACGAGAAAGCTACAAGAATTCGGGCATGCACTCTCAAGTCCGTATCTTCCTGGCCTCCCCCCAGTCTAACACCACTGCCTCAAGCAAACGCCAAAGCAGCCCACGCTGCAATCGCACCAACAGTAGCAACAGTAGCTGTCTGGGCGATCCTAGATACAACCTTCATAGTCTTCCGGCGTTTCGACAGTTGTATGACCGGTCGCTCGCTCGGGCTACCATTGTCTTGCACGGAGTGTGAGTCTTGTGTGTCTTCAAGGTCCGAAAACTTGCGTTTCATGCGGCTCGCAGCCTGTAGACTGTGAGAAGCTACTCTCCCCTCGTTACGGAAGATGCGAAGACTGACCATTTGGAGTTGTGCGTCCGCAACCGCTTTAGTGACGGCGGCTTCAGCGTCAAGACGAGCCGCTTTTATGGCCTCGAATTCAATAGCTATCTGTTGAGCAGTCTCTTCTCGTAAAGCTCTTACTTCTACTCATGGGAAGGAGTGATGAGCATTTCTGGTTCAGAGGACCATAACACAGGGACAAACCTTCCAATAATGCCTTGTGGCCGTCAATCTCAACTTCTGGCTCTACTGTACATTGATCTTTGCTAGCGAGGCGTGACTCCATGTGTTCCATCTTCTCCTGTAGACCGTCCAGACGTGATTGCATATTTGTGAGATTTGAAGTATTTACGTGGACGTTTGACATGATGTGAATATCCATGTGATCGCGCAGGTCGTCCAAACGAGCCTTTGTTTGACGGACGTGCTCCTGGAAAAGGTCTTCGTTTTCACGTCTAGTCATACGAAGCAGTGTGATGTCATCCTGATGTGTATCCATGAGTTTCTCTGATAAAGTAGCGAAGAGCAGTGCATGAAAAAAAAGTAAACTTACGCAGGCGTTGTTGATCTGGCGTTCGAGGGAAGCGATGGCAACGGATGCGTCTGCCCCATCTGCAGGTGAATCCACAGTATTTCCGCGACAACTTGGAACGCAGCAGTGACCTTGTTCTGGGGACGGTGTAGGGTAGCTATGCACACCTTCATCGTGTTCAGCTACACCCTGGCCAAACCCAACCTCCACAGAGGGCAATGGCAACGATTCTTCCCCAGCTATTCTCTCAGTAATGTCGTCTGCCCCATTCCCTGCATTAGAGATGAACGGAGAATGCTCGTTCTGAACCGAAGTTCTGCAATCTGACACCGACGGCTCGAAATCCAGATCGCAACCCTCTGCTAGTACGCGATCCATGTAGTCATCCCTCTCGGAAATTGGATAATTGTGACAGTCAACGGCCATCTCCAATGGTTCTTCAACGGACGGATGGACATCCGACGTCGGAGAGACCGGACGAATGGGTGAGTCAGGATAAGCACCGACGACGTTCGGCTCAGCTAGCAGAAGGTCACGTATAAAAGGCGGCGGCGGGATGTCTGCTGCTTGTTCGGATATTTCTAAAGCTTCACGAACACAGTTCCGGACGGCAACATCTGTCATCTCCTCTTCGAAGAACGAGAGATGGTCTACATCTGGAGAGACAGAACGAGGCGAGTCCCTGGAATTCAAAGAGGAGTGTATGGGTGGCAATAGACGTCGAAGTAGCGCCAATCTCCCTGTTGCGAGAGAAGAACAGTAGCCGGACGTACAGGGCGCCTGCACAGGAAGAAGTGAAGAGGGCGGGGACACCACTTCAGTCACCTCTTCGATATCGGATTCGCCGTCCGAAGAAGAGGATACGTCGGTAGACAGAGGAATACCATAACGCCTCGAGCTAAATCTTGAAGATACCCTCTCCATAGGTTGAGGAGTTGCCTCAAAGTCAAGAGGAGCTAACACGGGTTGAGACCCGAATATAAGCTTCACGCGGACAGTGACCGGTCGGACGAGGGAATTGTCTTTTCCAACGCTCTTGCCAAAAGTAAGCATATCTCCATCGGCTAACACAGTAGGTGATTCGGGTTCAATCATTCTGGAGACGGTGTCCCCTGGTCTCAGGATGTGGGTGCCATGATGAGAGTGCAGATCAATAATGTAGGCCTAGACGACGTGAAATTCAAGCATACGACGCAGGATTATAGCTCACATTTCCGAACTCTGTAAAGGTGATCTTGGCATGCTTCCGGCTAACCACAGCGCATCGGAACAATGCACGATTATCGTCTCCGGAGGCACCCTTCTGTTGGGTAGGCCTGCGCCCTATTGCAATGTATTGTGTGTGCGCTTTGTAGTATGTGAGGGCCTCAGGTAGTTGTTCACCGTACGCATCGACGTGGAGGACGATGCCTGGCCGACGATAAGATCTTGACTGCCAAAGGCGTCCGGAAGGTGATACTCACCGGAGATGTATCCTGAAGGTGGCGGAGAAGCGATACGATTCATGGGGGTGCGGTGGTGGCGGTACAGTCTTCCCTGGTCGCTCGAATGTTGTGAAGCCTGAACTTGAGGTAGCAGTACGAGGCCAGCCCCTTTCAATGAGTCGCGGCGTGCCGACACTGCGGACGGTGAACGGGCCGCAGCCCTGCAGACAATCTAATCTCATCTCTTGGCCAAGGCCGAAGTTAGCCAGTTTCGAATCTATACGTACGTCTCAAGCATTGTTAGATGCACAGAAAACACAGATGTAAATTGCGCAGAGGAGTAAGGTCAATGCACGGTGAGTAGAGTACAAGTGAGACGTAGCCAAGATGATAATAATGTATGCGAGAGCAGCACATATATGTAGATGGTCCTGACGTTAGGAATAAAGGTCACTTCCGACCGTAAGTCTTGAAAACATCCTGCGTGAGCGCGCGCAACATCGCGGCAGTTATAACGGGCTTCTCTGCCCTATCTGCGATGTCTGCAGTCGATCTCGACGTGCGAGGCGGCAGCGAGGCGGTTACACCGTCTTGAGCGTCCTCAACATTGCCAGAATAACTTGACGATCGCATGCGCTTGCTTCTCGGTGGTGGGCTAAATGAACATCTCAGCAGTTTTTTTAGGTTAATACAACCGAAGGGAACGAACCTGTCAACGGTCACATCGTCTGTCGCCCGTCTTTTGGGCGAAGTTCGAGATGAGATAGGCAGGCTTGCGATTGAGAGCTCCCGCAAGTGGTCATCGTGCGCTTGTAGGTGCCTCTCGATTTCACTCCTCAACGCCTCGACTAGGGCTTTCGGCACGACGCAAGCAGAAGATCTGCGCTCCCCGAGGACCTCCGCTGCCGTTGCGATTGCAAGTCGCGCATGTGCATCGAGGAAGGGTCCCATCGCATAACCTAGAATGTATGAGATAATGCTGATGAGTACAAAGATGCTACACACCTGTGCCAATGTTCGGTGGCACCTGCAATTCAGCAGGAATTTTGAGACTGACATCAGCCGTAAGACCAAAGAGACGAATAATGCTGCGGATTATGTGGTTGAGGGACTCTTCCATAGCACGCAGGACATGTTGATAGCGAGGCCAAACGACTGAACGACGAAGGCAATGAGTGGGTAGAACAGCAGCAAACAGTGCGGACTGACACGTCTCATGGGCCCAGCAACTGTCCAACCAGTCGGACGCCATCGTCCTGAATGATGCGAGGAACACCTGGCTCACGTCTGGCACACACAGTTAGCAACTTGTATACCTCCTTAGATAGTAAATGCACTAACCTTTCCACGACAGTGATACTGATAGCTTGTCTTTGACGTCCAGAGGAACCGCGGCTACGAATTCGTTGAACTTTCTGTCCAAGTCCGTCGACGTCGAAGATATTGAAAACGTGGACACGCATTTGATAACCCCATCCTCAGCTAGTTTTGCCGTCTGAGTATCATGCTTCAGTGTCTGAGCATTGTGATGACATCTAGACTAACCATGTCCTCAAAGTCCCGAGTAACCTCGGGCTTTGTTCGCTCCTCTTCTGTCCATACGATGACCAACAGAGATGGCACAAAACGAAGACCGTTCGACTGTGGGAGGTTACCGATCACTTCACGAAGACGGGCGCAGTCGTCCAGAATGCGGATCTTCCTGCGTAAAGGACGACGCTTAGCACAGGCAGACGTTTATGATTACGCAAGCAGACCTTTCAAGCTCGTCTGTGATACCCTCCAGAGGTGTACGTTCGAAGACGATCAACCCAGGCGATCCATGCGATGGCGGATCTTGCACAGCTGTTGATCCTTGAATAGAAAAGGTATTCTCGGACTCCCATACACCCGATGCAGGAACGTCGAACTTGTGCTCCAGCCAAATCGCAGTCCGGTCATTTTCTGGGTTCATAGTGAGCCACAGACGCCATTCTGGCGAGGGTAATCCACGAGGGCTTGCACCCTTCAACCGCATACGGACTGTCCGCAGGAATGAACCCTTTTCCCAACGTCGCCGGTGCTCCTCGTGATTCTAATAAAAGTAATGAATAACGATATGAGCACTCCGTCTTCAAGGGTGCCCAGGGGCAATAAGGATGGATGATGCACCTCTTGCAAGCGTTGCGCCAGCTGATCATCCGTCAGACGTTCTTCAAATCGCGCAGATACACGTCGCTTGGCACGCTTGAACGGCGATGTCTCCGGCGAACCCCCACCTGACGCTCTCCGTCTTTTGTTGGGCTCCTTGCCATTGGTCGATGGAGAGCTTTGACCGCGAGCAAGGCGTTCGCGCCGCACCTTAGCTGTGTAGGCCTCACTGCGCAGAACTGCCTCTTCCCAAAGCGCTGTGTCGGTAGTCCTCTTCTTCCATACCTTAAACAGTCTCTTCACCAATCGACTTTTCCGGAGGAAGTGCAACGCTAGAGGCGTGAGATGGGCGAGAACCTCCTTGTCTTCGACCATGGCAGAGACATGTCCGTTCACTTGAAAATTCGTCTGGCTCGCTGGCTTCGCCAAACTTTGGGCGGAGCTGAAGGACGATGATGGAGAGATTCGCTGCTGAGAAGGGCTCACGTTCAGCTCCTGATATACCTTCGACACCCCTGGTGAGGGGAGCGGCAAGGGACTCAGCATGGTGCTGGATGTCCCTTCTGGTATCTGTAGAGCAAAGCCAAGCAGCGACCGCTTCTTCGATAGAGCTGTCAGTTTGCTTTGAGAACTGGGATCAAACCATCGCGCCGTAGGGGTAGGGGGAAGTGAAATCGGCCTGAACGTGTCTACTGGAGGAGGAGCTATCGGGGACTCTGGTTCTGGTTCAGCGTGGGGAATAGCGGCACCAGGTGTCGAGGTTGTGATCCCAGTTGGCAGTCGTAGTGGCGATGCCGAGCTAGGAATTTCCCATAAAGTCTGACTCCTCTCGATTATCTTGGGAGTAGCAGGTACGTTGTTGCCTGCAGAAAGTGGTGCGCTTTCTGGAGGTACGGATGGTGTGGACGACGAGGGCGGAGGTAGAGTGGGAGGCGCAGATGGCGAAGTCGCCAATACCGGGAGAGAAGACGAGCCAAAGAAATTGGGCGGAGGAGCATTGAATGGCGGTGTTGCCTGGGTCGAGGAGGTAGCATCAAATGCAGGCAGAGTTGGTGGTATTGTTGTCCCGAATGCAGCTACAACTGGTGTTGATGTTGTGGAGGCGGGCAAAATTGGTGGTGAGGGTATCCCGAATGCAGACACAGCTGGCGGCGTTGGCGTAATGAATGTAGGCGCAGCTTGGGGTGTTGGTGCTGTAGGTGGGGGTATCGATGGAGTAGTAGTCGGAATGTTTGAAAATAACAGAGACGATGTAGAAGGTGTGAATGATGATGCGAAAGGGTTGAGATGCGGTGTTTCGGGCGGCTGAGGGACTGTGGGGGCCGTCGGCGCAGATGCAACACCCGTGGCAAACAATGGCGGGCCAAAAATCTTGGATGACCTTGCTATGGGTGGTGGGGCCGTGAGCAAGGACCCGCTAAGTCTGGAGAAGGGCGCCGACGTAGAGGATTTGAGCGTGGAGGAGGAAGATGCAGGGGGAAAAGCTGATTTTCCGAAACCTCCGGACGTCGGACTTGGTGAGACGTTCGCAGGTGCGGATGAAGATGCACCGAATACTGTGGAACTTAGTTGCGGCGCTGAGACTGAAGTAGCTGGAGAGCTGGATGTTGGGAACGTGGCAGAACCAAACACCGACTTCGGCGCACTGCTGCTTAACACGGATCCTCCAAACACAGACGCAGTGCCGAATGCATTTGGTGTTGTTTTCAAGTTTCCAAAAGCCGATACCACAGGGCGTGGTGTTTCAGCAGCCGTAGTAGCGGAAGCACGGCCAAACACTGACTGAGGTCTGGACGTATTCGCTGCAGAGGCGAAGATACCTCCAGCTGAGTCGATCGGTGGTGGAAGCGCAGGCTCAACAGCGTCTTCATCCGAGATATAAGCCTCTGCTTCGGCGTCATTCCCCGTGAGAGGCTGCGATATACCATCGATAATGTCTGGGATCGACATAGCACCGCGGATGGCCTCAATATCCTCGATGGTATCCTTGCCGAACAACCTCTCTAAGATGCAGGCGACAAGGTATACCATGACAACATTGTTTTGTTCTCGCAGTACGGTCACGAGCTGGCCAAAAATCTGCATCGCTTCCGCGTCCACGACCAGAGTAGAGGTTTTCGAAATCGGAGAGCTTTTCGCCTGAACGTGCAGCCGGAATTGCGTTGTATACAGGAAGACCGGGTGAGAAGTGATTTCTTGAGGAATCTCTTCATGGCGTTCCCGCTGGTCACGGATGTGGATGAGACGATGATACACGCGCATCTCGAGCTCCGTTGGAGCCTGATAGTTGCCCCGCTGGTCTTCGTAGCATTCCTTCAGAGTCTGTAGCGCTGTAGCACGTATATGAACCAATTCAACTCCGCTTCGAGGACCAAAAAAAGCTTACTATTCATCAGCTGCTGCTCTTCCAAGGCGATAGAAAACCTAGGGTTGTCTCGTTCCAAATGCAGGGCGAGAATGTGGAAGCGAGCACAACGGTCGTGACATTCGATGGCGATAGGACCCTTGTCGTGTTGCAAGGTGAAATCATTCCTGACGGCACGGGAGCGGTCACGTATGAAATCGTGGGTTTCCGCAAAACCGCCCCTCATAAGCAAATCATGGAAAAGATAGTCCAGCGTTGTCTGAAATGTATGTTTAGCAGGTATGACGCTGTACACTCTATTGTTGACGCGCCTTGAGTACCGGAGGAGGTCGGATGTCAGAGGGAATAGACTTGTCGCCGGCGCCACGTTCGTAAATCTTCACAGCACGCTTGTGATCTACACGTTTCGTGCCAGGAACCTGTAATTAAACCAGAAAAGGGCTTCTCGCGTGTCTCAACGATGAACAGATGAGGGAACATACCACTTCCCATCTGTCCAGATTATTTTCGCGTTCACGGCGATACCTCTCGAATCTAGGACACATATCCATGCACGTTCCAACAATGGTGATGGCTTCATCCAAACGTTTCGAGACTGTCGGGTCATCCATCTTGCCCTCAGCAATTGCTCTATTGCGTTCGGAATCGCGTGCTTTCACGAGCTGAAAGAAAATAAGCTGCTCCATGTCACACGATTGAACCAGTAGCGTACTTCTTGGTAGAATCTCTCGCGCTCTTCCAGAGTCTGTGGCTCATGGGTACGGTGCTCCTCGTCGTCCAATTCGTCCTCGCCACTCCGATCGTCGTCAGTAATATCGGCTGCATCCTCATGGATGGCAGTATTTGCGCTGGGAGGAGTAGGCGTCCGCCCGGGACGGTTTCCTCTGCTTGCGCCACGGGCTTTCCGATGGCCACCCCGCTCCCACCTTTCACCGTTGCTGCTATGGCTGCCACTGCCGGACGGTTCTCCGGCAACCCACTTCCGGTTCTTGGATTGACTGCGAGATCCACCTGAAGCACCATTGATGCGTAGACCGCGAGTTCGAGGATGCGACGAGGCGTCCATCATGGTAGTAAGTCAGAATTCGTTAGCGACCGATGCACCGGGGTCGCGAGACTGGGGGATAGAGGTTTCGGAGGGCGTTGCAAGAGTACGTCGCGTGATCGCGAATGTGTTCGCCGTCGTGAATGTAAGGGAGAAGAGGAAAGTGGTGCTTTGTGGCCTCAACACGCCGCTTCGTTTGATTCTAAATTAGGTAACCAATCGGGTCTAAATCTGATATGGTTTAACGGCTAACATTGCCGCCTTTCATTCTTAAATACATCGCGGTGGCTCCGGGTTCGATTCCCCGTATCGGAGTTTTGTCCCCTTCTTGGAGGGCCCGTCGGCTCTCGGGGCATCCTATTCGTCCACAGTCATGGGTAGACTTTCCAGTCGCTACGATGCACCGTAAACACGCTGCACGCGAGTTTGTGGGCGGGAGGAAAAATGGTGTAAGTCGATACGGTGGCAGGTATGTATGTTTTCCCCCTATAAGTATCTGCTGTCTGGAATCAGACTAAGTCATGGGTATGCAATGCAATACGATCTCATTTAAAATTCAAAACCAAAGTATACAGTTCACGCTGAGCTAGCGGTAGTGTAAATGTTAAAAATCTCATCCAAACGTATTGCTTACCCGAAACCCAGTATAAGTCCGACTAGATCTCGCCAACTTCGTCGTACAATCACTCTGATACCTCCACTATACTCATCTGCGAGCCACTCCACGAACCGTGCATCTAATGCACTGAACGGGCCCAACTCGAACGACATAACATCCTTCGGCGTCAGAAGCACCGAGCTCACTGTGCTGAGCCCCTCGGAGCGGGACTGTGACCGTCGCGGCAACAAATCGGCCAACCGTACGAGCATCACCGTCGTATGGCTGTGGAACGTCTGGAGGAGCGCGAGCGTCGTCAAGACCCGCCGATCCCTCCTAGCTTCGTCCACCTCGTCAACGCCGACCGTTGCTTGATCCTTGGCACGAGCACTGGAGCTCGGGACGCGGCTGGGGTCTGCACCGTTACTGACAGAGGGATCGCCCTTGCTACCAGTCAGCGTCCAGATAGACATCCCGCTTGTCCGCTTTAGCGGACGAGAGCGTGCAGACGACGTTGTCGCATCGGGGGCAGGACGGCCTTCGATCCCCATTCCGACGCTCCGCACGTATGGGTGAGAGCGCAGAGCAACGTCATCGTTCCCCTCCAGTCGGATGCTCCCCCAATTCTCCGATCGTCCATTGATGGATGAGTACGTCGCCACCGGCGTACCGCGCCATGAGCCCATCCAGAGGCCCGCACACATGACGCATACATCTTCGTATACGCGCCAAATATCTGTCCACGATGAGCTGGTGCTGGTGCGGGACTTGATGCTCGCGCCCGTGGCATCGCAGCAGACGTCGTTGCAGTCTCCCGAGTCCAGCTGCAATAACCGATCGAGCTCAGTCCACTGAAGCACGATTCAGCTGTGTCCACAAAGTCAACATGGATCATGGGACACACCAGCTTCACGTCGCTCCATGTGAACCGCACGACTGATAGTCGATATGATGGTCCACGACCGTTTGACGGCTCCGTTAATTTAGGGACATAAAATGTGGGGCGTGTGTTTGGAGTCGACGTCCGCAGGTCAATTACCAGGTCGTAATAAGCCGGCTTCTCAAGGAACAGTGCGTCGGTCGTGCAGGCAATCCATCCCCGTCCCGTCTTGCTCTCAACATCCAGCTTGTCTAGGTCGTTGAGGGTGACCACGCCGAGGACCTTCACTCCCTCCTTGCACTTACCCTTCAACCTTCCCTCGGGAACGTCTTCATCCGAGTATCCGCTCACACCCCCATCCTTCTGGTCTTCGTAGCATATATCAGCCGCGATCTGGCACAAGATACATGCAGCCTCAACGGGGGGTAGTGTGTAAATGAGAATGCGCCGACGCCCAAGGACGTGCTTGTAAAGCGTGAGGCAGGACGGGCCGAGAATGCGCAGTATATGTGCGAGGTGCATTGTTGGGTTCATGTATGATGCGTCGCTGTCCAGCTCCATGGTCCAACCATTCCAATCTCCTGCACCGCCAAGGTCCGCTCGATGCACCTGCCGTTCTGCGAAAAATGCTCGTGCGGGGTCCCAATAGCTGTCCACCGGGACTAAGATGTCTCTGTCCCCTAGTGACGAGTAAATAGTATGCACGAGTGCCTTCAATGCCGGGACATGCCGCCAAGGGCGGGGACGTGTCGACCTCGCAAGTAAGATGCCTAGCGATGAAAGGCGGAATCCCCGATGGCCGTGCTCTGATGTCTGCCGGCGCTGGAAGACGCATACCCCAGCATGGTCGTCTTTCGTAAAGTATCTAGGCATCCGGAGAGATAAAGCGCACGTTCAATAATGGTGGGATGGAGCACGTACACTACATCCCGCTCCATGAGGTGCAGACCGCTGGGTAGACAGCTAAATTCTACATGGGTCAAGTCCAGGTCTTGCATGCGATATAAGTCATAGCTGCGACGGAACGACTGACGGGATGAACGCACCATCGCTTGCTTTCAGAGACCAGTCAATTATATTTCCCTGTGTCGGATGGAAGGCGGCATGGAATATGGCAACTGACCGGACGCGTGAAGAACGTCCCATTGCATAGAACGTCTCAACACTCACTGATGTCCTGAGGTACCTTCCCGGATGAATCCGATGACTGCATGGTCTCAAACTGGTATTACTGGATCCTAAGACCCTCTAAGTACCAAGGCAGTGTATAAAGGTCTGCAGGCAGCAGCTACGCGTTCGATCACAATTGAAACGCAGCACTTGTAGAAGTTGAGGAAGATAACTCGTTGCTAGACGACCTGAATTAGTAGGGTAAAGACGAGCAGGGATTGCAGAAGTCGCTGCCGCAGCCACCTAGCAAGACCGAGAAGGGGGGTAATTGTCGACCACCACCAGGCACCGTTGAGACCGTCGAGGTAAGGGAATTCACGTCCTCCCGAAGCTGTGCATGTGAGCACCGTAATGGCAGGCGCCAAATGAATACGGAGGATCCGTGAGAAAAAAGTGGATAAGATAAGAGGCTAACCATGTAGATTATCACTGGCAGTAAGCTTGTACTTGCTCACCGTTGACGAGCATGGCGTCTGCTCAGGCTCAACAGATCAATGTTGCGGATTTGGATTTACCTCAGCTGGCGGAGGTTCGGAAGCAACTTGAAGAGGTCTGTGATTGTGTTTGATTCCCGGCCGTCGATGCTCATATCGCCTTGGGACAGGAACTTAATTTGCTCTCCAATTCCTTCACGCAGCTGAGGCAGGCTCAGGCCAAATTCAAGGCCTGTATTGAGAACGTCCGTCAAGTGAGCCCCAAGAACAAGGGTCCGTATGATGGTTTGTGTTATGATGACTTGGTTGACCCATCTTCCGTACAGACAAGACGGTGCTGGTACCATTGACGAATTCGCTTTATGTCCCTGGCAAACTTTGCGACCTCGAGAACGTCATTGTAGACATCGGAACTGGTTACTATGTGAAGAAGGTAAGCTAATTGCCCTGCACAGTGTTGACGTGCGATTCATATTCTACTAGTCGCGTGCACAGGCTTGGAAGCACTATGAATCGAAGGTGAACTACATCCAAACGAATCTTGAGTCCCTGCAAGAAACAATACAGAAGAAGCAGGACAACATGAATTTTTTGCTCAACATCATGCAATCCAAACTGCAGGCACAAGCGTCGGGAAAGGACTCGTCGAAGTAAACGTGTGTTACGTCTGGAGCTCGTGGTATCCATATATTATCAGTTGTTGTATAGTGTCATTATCACTGCCAGAGGAAGATGCATGACCATTGATTCGATCTGGCCGTAGGGAAGATTAACCCAGGCCGTCATGGAGATACAAAAAGTATGATTCAACATAGGAGGACAAGAAAAAATAGACAGACAGTACAATGATAAGGGCATGCAGCGATAAAGTGAATTCGGAAGCCAGACAAAGGGCCACCTTTTAGGATCGCAGAATGGGAACGGAAGAGAGAAAGAAGAGAGAGAAATGGCCATCAGATCTTCTGTTATGCAAACCTCAGAATTCCATCTCCATACCAGTTCAGTCCACGGTGCCACCTGACATCCTGATCGAAGCAGATCTCGTCCATGGCTCTCCTTCAGAACCATCAGCGTGCACAGCGCAAGGCTCAGCGGACCGGGAAAGAGAGCGGCCAAATCCATCCACCTGCGTGCATGCAGGGACAGATGGAAACCTCTACGTTGGGTCCGTGGTTTTATCTAAACCTGCGGTCTGCTGGATCTGTCAAAGACGATCCCAAGGGCATGACACATTGTGACTCACTGGAGGAAGCGCTAATTGGCACGCCACAGCTCCTATGAATCAGGCTCGAGTTTCTCGCCTCTGGCAAGAACACGGACAACACGGCTGGGCTGCGCGACCATCTCCATCATGGCCATCACGGCTGGCGGACGCTCCACCAAGCCAGAGCTGGAAGGCGGCCTGGCAGCAGTGCATTGAGCAACTCGCTCGTTTCCGTTCCTGTTGTACGAGTTTCGCCGGCCGCGCCCACCTCCCCCAACAGCAAAGCCACCACGCTTCCCACGCTCTTCCTCCGCAGAGCGTCTCTGGTGCTCCCCGGAACGCCGTACATTGGTGGGGTCCTTCGCAGCCCCATTAGCCGGTGTCGGGGTAGAACCCGGAGGAGAAAAGACATCGAGAAGCTCGATTCCGGCCTTCTTCGCCCAAGCAGAAACAAGGGCTCCAGAAGACCGCGGTTCATACCTGTTCATCTGGGGCGCCGGGAGGGGTACAGGAGAAGCGGACGCCAGAGGTGTAGGCGCCACGTCATGTTGGTGCTCAGAAGTTTGAGAGAGCACTGCTAGCACAACGTGAGGTTTGGCTCCACCCGGTGCAACCTCGTCCGAAGCGTGTTCAACTTCCCAGCGCGCACAGCAGATCGTCCGGCGAACCCACTCGGGCGAACCAGTCGCATTGACATTAAGTGGCTGGTCGTGGAACATGCTGTCCCAGAGGACGAACGCATCGTCCCGCTGAACGCGAATACGAGGGTTGGTGCCGACTTGAGCCTCAAGGATGCGCGATGCGGCGCGTGCACGCTGCGCAAGCGTGCTCGTGCCCTTCTTGAGTAGGTCAAGGGTATTCAATGCTGTGCATAGTGTTAAGATCAGTCGGTGGCGCACTGAGGGTACGCACCTTCCAGGGGCACGATTACCACCTCCTCTCTCCACTCTCTGCACCATTTCTTCAATTGCGGCAGCGCATGCACCAACACACTAGCATCCACCACTACCACATCCGCATCCTTGTGTCCGTCCCGTCGTCTCACCTTGTCCTCACCACCGTCTGCATCCGTGGCCTCGCCATCCTTCCCCTTCGGACCCTTCGGGGTAGGGGCATTACGAGTGCGCTTGTCCGGATGCACACCATCGTGGTTGCGGCGATGGTCCCTCCAGTTCGCCGCCCCCGGCCCAGTGTTCGTTACTGTCTTCTCGAGTTGCTCGACCTGGTGGTTCAGGAATGCAGCGCCGAGCGCGCGAGACATAGCAAGCTTGTTGGAAGCAATGGTTGGTCCCTAGAACAGAGTGGTCACTGAGCGAGCCTTCTACACATGCGATCAGGCGTTACGCACTTTGGTACTTGCCATGATTGAGATGATGGTTGGGATCGGAGTCGGGATTTGGCCGAGCTTTCTGGGCTGACTGCGCCTCCAACATTATGTAATGGGGCAGTGGACCTACAACTTCCAGATATGGCGTTCAACGCAACCAGCTCCACAACCTACGCTTTGTTTAATACTAGCAGTTACCCGTGCCATGCCAAGGGATGTCAATGGCATTTCTCAAGGTCCTAACGTAGTCAGCAAAATTTATTTTTCTCATTTTCTCGGTTTCTTCTCACATTTGCCAGGACACTGACGCCAACTTCACGGAAAGGTTCACCACCGGGACAGTGCAACTGGTAACAACAGGATATTTATTTGTAGTTCAATTACTGTAATACAATGCTACGGCTAAGAAATTAGAGCCACGGGAATTAAAGTGGCGCAGCTGAAGATGCCGACTGTTCGGTGATTAAGTACAATATTATCGATGTCAAAATCACCAGAGATGCCAGGAAGAGCAGCTCGTCTGCTTCCGAGTTAAGCACAAGCTAACTTGATATCAGGCGACAACAGCGTAAGGAGGTATAGGTACAGCGGCAGCATTCGAAGTGCTGGATGAACAGGCTTGCTTGTGTTGAGCATTGCCACGCAGCACAGGATACGTGGCGGAATCCAACTTTCGGAACAATGCTCAGATGGTTAAAGGAGTGCGATGCACACTTATATGTGCTGGCTGACAGAAAGAATGTCCAGGGAGTGTGTTTAGTTTGTCAATCAGTACATACTGCACGATGCGTGTCATGCAATGTCACATACTCACGTTGGTAGCAGCACAGCTCAGTTTGGCTCACCTGAGGTACTCGATGTCGTGTCGGGCTCGACACCTCTTAGATTTGCAGTCCACATGATGATGTTTCAGGGCATATAGAAAGCTCTAACCCGGGGTGTTCTCTCAGAGGGAGAGACACTTCAGCATCTGTTAAAATGCAGCATTGGTGTGATGCTCCACCTCCCTAGTGCAAGCGGGCTCAGCCGGGCTATATGGAGCCCAGAAAACCTGTCGAAAAGTCGAAAGCTTATGAAAGAGCACAGGAATCAACAGATGATCATAGGAGGGAAATGACAGGAACAACAGCAGGGACTGAAACATAGACGATGGGCTCCATGATATGTGTATCATGCCTGAATGAAGAAATAGAGCAAAGCAAAAGTACCTTACCTGTAGATACTAGAAAATGACGCTGCGTCGAGCTTGATGCTTCCTGAGCTTCGCGAGAGGCGAGGCGACGGAGACACTTTGGCACCTATGGAAATGCACAATCCGCGTTGAACCCTATTGTCCTTTCGAAAGTATGTCGCTATGCAGAGGGGCTGCATCTGAAGATAAAAAGGATGAGTCAGTCACTCGACAACTGGGATACAGCGAGACAGATAAATTTATGAGATTGTAAGTGGGAAGAGCGCAACACTTCGGAGTTCGAGAGGTGATGCATTATACTCAGTGTAAATATAAAGAACACATATGTCTCGCTCAGATATAGTGAGCGCAATGAGACGTTGACGTGTCGTTGTAGGTTCGCTGACGCTCGATATTGAAAGTGCCAGCCAATCAGATGTTGCATTTATCTTTAAGCGGTACGGTCACGGGCAAAAATATCACTCAGTTCGATACATGCATGAATGGACTCGGAGATGGACTGCATCAAAGGAAACTCACCGCTGGATATTGCCCGAATACCTGAGATATCCGGCAAGTTCTGGCAGTAACGTACATACCAGCTGCAGGAAATGTGATTTGAATGCTGTCTCCGAGAATTTAGTGCCTCTACTGGGCATCCATGCGTTTAGTCATGCTCTGGACAACTTGCTTCGACATTTGGCCAATTACAAGTGCAGAGAATTTACCGAATACTGCCAGGATATCTAGACTATTCGACGAGTATCCTACCAGCAAATTCAGGTCTGAAGTCCAGTGGTGGGTGTAAGTTTGAAAAAAAAAGTCATGCCAGGACGTGAATGTGAAGACATCCCAACACACGGGCTCCCAGATGAGATACGGTGAGTAAGCTGAGCACTGTAGGGCAGCAAGCTGAAGCTGCGAAGCTGTAGACAAATGCCTTCCGGGGAGATGAGTACAGTGCGCAAGACGCGATTCATGTCATGGTTCGTTGTGGTTCGTCTGGTCGAATAGGCGGAGTAGCATGTACGGTTTCTTCTCAGAAACACGTCCTTAGATCTCATGTAACGCGATGCGTCATATGCAAAGCCTGTATGCACTGACTATCTGAGCCCATTGCCGAGGATGAGTCAACAGAACATTACCTGGAGTCCTGCTGCAAAATTTGATCACCTTTCCTGGATCGTTGTACACAAAATGAAGACTAGATGTACATAAGAGTTCATTGTTTTCATTGTTTGGAAGAACCTCTCTGTCTGAAAGGATGAGCGCAGTGACAGTACATACTGCTACTGGCAAATTTGCCACGTGCTCGGCTTATTGCTCGGCAGCGGCAGTTCGGTATGTGGGCAAAATATTTTATCCCCGAGAGCCTGGTGCCTGAGAGGACGAGCGGCGCTCCAAACATCTGTGGGGGCAGGTGCATTCCCGCCAATGCGGATGAAATAATTGCGACCCCGCCTGAGCCCAGATTTTCCGGACCATCGGATTTGTAACGCCATAGCGCCGGTCACGACATGGCCTTTGAGGCGGTACCTTTTCGCCTGAAACAGTCCAGAGCGGCACTTGCTCTCGCCTTGTCCTCCAGCCTCTGTTTCGGACTGCGCTGGCCGACGAGAGGCAGCTTCTCGAAAGACCTAGGTTACTCCGTGCGCAGGCACCTTGTGTGTCGGTCCAGATCGGACGGTACTTCCAGGGCACTTTCTTGTTCAGGAACTTGACTCAGTGGAAGAACAATCGTCGAAAGCTTTGAAGCTCGCCAATTCTAGTGATGCGCGCAAGGACAGTTCACGGGACGTTGGTGCTTGTACGTCTACTTTGAATCAGATGGAGGTTCGGACGTAATGTCGTCCAGGGCTCATGGTTGACGATCAACATAGTGCTCTAATATGGCAGCAATTGACCATTAGCGTCAGATCTTCGTGTCTCCTTCGCTGAGGTGAAAGATCATCTGACAGCTCATGCAGGACGGGCCTATTATGGAGTTCGTCTTCGAGCGTATGAATGATACATTTACCAGACTGCCTTGTGACAATATGTTCAGATGTGCCGTGTGGAAGCCAAGTGGAAGCCGCCACAACGAGAGGTCGAGTACGCGTTCCATTCCGTTTGCACACGATTACTAGCCATGGCATGTATGCTCCGGCGCTCCTTGCAGTCCAATTCCATTCAAGCTTCAAAGCTTCAAATTCAAACCCGGATCGTTGCATCATGATATATTGTGGTCTCGCGTGAAGGCTAGCGGTTCCTGGTGTCGATGACCCAGTCTAGAATCCTTCAACAATCAACCTCTCAGAAAGCCTTGGTCAAGACAGTCTCCCCTGTTCGTACCGCACTGGGGCTTACTGATTACTTGTTTCGGGTGGACACGCTACTGATGACGTCATGCTACCGTTCCTAGCGCTCAGCCACGCGGTGCCGAAGTTTTTCATCCCGCTCATTTTTTCCTATAACCATCCTATTCTTTCTGATCGGAATCGAGGACCGGCATCATGCATCAATGCATCAAGCCCCGCATCTGTCATACTTGCTGCGGAGCGTGGAGGTAAGACAGAGATGCGGGGTTCAGAGCCATCTGAGTCAAACAGCAGCTGGGATCCAGGGCACTGTGCAAGCCTTGCTTCGTGTGCGGGTCTCATCTTTTACTCATCTCGAGCTACAGTTAGTTGCTCCAGCGTTCAATATTCATCTTTGACCGGCCGAAGCCTGGACACACCTCACCCGGTTCTCAGGTCCGGTCCGGACCATACTCGCGGGAGAGCGCTTTCGCGGGCTCCGACTGACTACGCGAGTCTACCCACATGCACAGTGTGCCGCAGAGCGGTCGAGGATGTCCACCGCCGTCTGGATGATTAAGTGATGTCACACATACTCCCAGATCCCGTGTGACCGCTGCCGATGGGCCTTCGTATAAGAGTCCACCCCACACATCGTCGGCTTCCCATTCACTTCCTCCCTCAATTTCAGTACCTCCCCAGTCACATACTCTAATCCCCGCACCTCGTCCGCATCATGCCTCTTTTCTACACGTAGGTCCACTTGAATCCACATGCTCGTGCTCGGTCTAACGCTCCATGTTTGTCCAGGCAAGGTGTACCCATTGGGTGGGTGGCAGTTATGCTCGCCGTGGTAGCTTCCATGGGCGGTGTAAGTATTGCTCCGGATGTGCGCCATAATATACACCTATCTGACCACGCTCCATGTCGCTTAGTTCATCTTCGGAGTGAGTAACCTCATGAACGTCGCGTTCCGATGGACCGTCTGACGCATTTATACAGTATGACACGGGTCAAATATCCGATATCCTTCTCATGGACGACTTCTTGCTCCGTTTCTCCAAATGCACGACTCCTGGGGACGTTAGCACATGCGCCTTCTCCACGGTCCGCGAAGGCCTCATTGTCTCGCTCCTCAGTATCGGTACGTTGGCTGGTGCCCTCTTCGGTGCCCCGTGAGTCATCTTCGCCATTTTCATTGGTGCCTTTCGCTTACGTTTCTTGTTCCAGAACTGCGGACTATCTCGGTCGTCGCCTCGCGATGACCGCGGAGTGTGTAATGTTCATGATCGGTGTGATCATCCAAATCACAACAACACATACTTGGCAACAGTTCGCCGTAGGACGTCTCATCAGTGGCTTGGGTGTAGGAGCACTCAGTGCGGCTGTCCCAATGTACCAATCCGAGACGGCTCCACCTCAAATTCGTTCAGCGCTTACTGCGACGTACCAGTGCGTGCAGAGTATTATTGTTTGTCAAGGATTGGTTTTCTGACCATCGTGCCGTCTGCAGACTTTTCATCACCTTCGGTATTCTTATCGCCTGTAAGTCCCACGTTCAAACATCCACGGGCTCTGTTGACGGTCTTTTCTAGACTGTATTTCAATTGGGACGCGATCCATCCATAAGTCGGGATCGTGGCGGACTGTGGTCGGTATTGGCTTTATCTGGCCGATCATCCTTGGTGTCGGAATCCTTTTCATGCCTGAGAGTCCCAGGTGTGTTCTATATTCACACGACTTCATAAGACATGCTGAGTAGTAAACGATCTAGATGGCTTACCACGAGAGGACGGCTTTCCGAAGCAAGACATTCGATGGCTATTGTGCGTGGTGTCCCCGACGCAGAGGCTGAGGATCATTTCGTCATTACCCGCGAGGTGTGTGCGGCGTTTATATTGTTATTTGTGATATAATTCTAACTTCACCCGGATGATCGTTAATAGATGGAGGATATGAAGGAAGCGGTAGAGCAGGAGAAGAAGGAGCAAGCTGGCTGGATCGATTGTTTCAAGCCAGAGCGGCAGCAGCTGTACCGCACAATTCTCGGTATGCTTGTCATCTCTCGAATTCGAACCATTGAGTGCCACTGACGTTGGTTCAGTTGCGGTGCTTCAGATGTTCCAGCAACTCACTGGTGCCAACTACTTCTTCTACGTGAGTACCATTTCGTTTCTAGTGTCAATCTTCATCCACTGATATCTTGCTTCAGTACGGTGCCACAATCTTCAAATCCGTCGGTATTAGCGATTCCTACGTCACCCAGATCATCCTTGGCGCTGTCAACTTCGTCTGTACGTTTGGCGGCATGTGGATCATGCATAGGGTATGTCTGGCCTGTAGTGACGTATTACTCTTTTTCTAACGCGGACTTTTCACTTTCGCACAGTATGGTCGTCGGTGGCCGCTCATGATTGGTGGGTGTTGGCAATCGGCCTGGTTGTTCGTATTTGCTGCAGCGGGTACCGCGAAGGATCCTATTGGCAACAAGGGTATTGGCAAACGTACGTGTGATTACTTTTTGTGCAGCTATTGACCCTGGACTAAGCCGGAACGTAGTCATGATTGTTAGCGCTTGCCTCTTTATCTTCGGCTATGCACAGACTTGGGCACCGTACGTTATTTCTTTTAGGTCTGGTCCGCGTGTTCATCAAGTTTCTTTATATAGCGGCGTCTGGATTTTAACCGGTGAGACGTTCCCCACTCGCCTGCGTGCCAAGCAAGCATCTATCGCCACTGCGAGCAACTGGCTCTGGAACTTCCTCCTCGCCTTCTTCACACCGTTCATTGTCAAGGACATTGCTTATCGCTACGGCTTCGTTTTTGCTTGTAAGTGGTAATCTCTTACCGTTCTCCTTGTCACTGGCTTATTCATCCTGCATAGCCTGTAACCTCGCTGGAGCCGTCATCGTATTCTTCTTCCTCTATGAGTCGTCGGACTTGTCGCTCGAAAACGTCGACATGGTAGGTTGACACCGCTTCTCGCATAATTGCCAAGGAGCTGACAAGACTTCAGATGTACTGCGATCCTAACTGCAGACCGTGGACCTCCAGCAACTGGGCGCCCGCCGGCTATACCTCGCATAAGGATTTGGTCGAGAAGACGCGTGAGGCCGAGCAGCACAAGCCGATTTCGTCGGGGCGCGAGGAAGCTCGCCTTGAAAAGTCGGGGGAGCCCCAGAACGTGTAATACTCGTGCGATGCAGCCTAACCCCCATTTTCGTATCGTTTGTTCCATTTGAACCCAACTTACAAGCGTTAGAAAGTCAAGACATGTCTACTTGTTACCTGTAACGGCAATATCTTCTACTATACTAATTTGTAACGGTAGAATGCCTGTAGACGCTATAACGAATTTGTTGTACGATGTACATATAATACATACGATTCTCCTCTTCTAGCCTATGCGCACGTCGGCAGATTTTCCAAGGACAGTTGCAGTTCCAATAGTCTTCGTTTCTCAGGCCTTCGGATATCTGTGCGCGTGAGAGACGGATATCCTGAGGCACGAAAGTTGAAGCAGAGTATCTACGACCTGCCTTTGGGATATTGCACGCCTACTTCTCGGCTCGATGCTCCATATTCGGTCAGTCTTTCTCCGGGTTGACATGTAAAGCTCAAGTTTAAAGACACTCCTTTAAGTCATGCAGGCCAATGGACTATGGTGATAGCGCTTGCATTCCAAGCTTCTCTGGGCCAGCATCAGGCGGACGGGGGCCATTATTGATCGTGAGACAATGGTGCGTACAAAAATTCACATGGGCTTGCCCACTTTATGTTCCCGACTCATGCCGCACCAGCACAAAAGAGTCATGCAACAACACGACCACGACCTGTGGAACAGAGACGGCGGTGAAATATCGGCTTCTTGCTGCCTGGAACCCCCGTCACTGACTCCTCTGGATGACTACTAGGTGCTGCCGTCTCCCTTGCGAGATATGGAGTTCTGTCCCGGGTACAGCGTATCAACCCATGTGTTCCCTGCTGCATTTCCAAGATGCGCATCTGACGTGTGGGTACCTCCGCCGACCGAAGAATCAGCGAGCGATAAGGAACGGCCCATAGTGCAGACCATTGCGCGTTTAGGTTCACTGAAGGAAGCACAGGAGAGAAGTATGGACACGCGACACTCTAGAGAGAAGCCCCGTGGATGGTTGTGAATCGATACGTAATGGCAGCTACGGAGAGTTGACAGCTTCGGTCCGGCTTGACGCTTGTGTTTGTACAGAGGGTCGGCGCCCGCAAAGAAGTGCGTTCAAGCGTACTTGTTGTACCCATAATTCTCCTAATGTTTTTTTATCAGACATGGGAGTCTGTGTTGCAACGGCTGTCTTCTTTGATAAATACTTTGGGTCAATCGATTAACATTCTAGAGGTCTGGAGCCTTGATAGTGTCCAGCATGGTGGCAATGCACTGCCGAATGAACCACATCTAGAAGCAATAAGACGACTGTGCAGACTACCCGAGAGACATCCTGAACTTTCTTTTCTCCTATCCCCCCGAAGACATTGAACTCACCTTCTCCCGATCAGCGCGTGCATAGCGGAACTACGGAAATCTCGCGAGTCTCGGTGTAACGAACCGCGCGATCGTGGGGTCGGGCGTTCGGGCGGAGCATGTTCCCTGTGAGTCTTCGGTGTATATTTCGTACATTTTTGGCTCATTCTTGGCAGCGTGTATCATCTCCTGCGCTCTTCTCATCCTGGATCGTGGTGGAGTCCGGGTCAATGCCGGAATATCGCACGCGCGAGGACATATTCATTTTCGAACGTGTATACGAAGCGCTCTGCCTTGGTCGTCAGTGGCTGTAGAAAACTCAGTGAGCACATCTGGTCCTTCCAGTAGCCATGTAACGGCTAACAATTTTTATCAGTGCTGAGGCTATGAAACATATAACGGAGAATTTGTATTAAAGATCCTGGGATCCTGTAGTCTTAGAAGCGTTGTTCCAGTATGCGTTTGTGCAGACGTCGGAAGGCATGTTCAGGCTGAAGGCGCATCCGTATCTCGTGTAACTGGCTTCAATTATCGTCCATGTTGTGCTCTTGCTTACCGAAAGTCTTCTGAGGCAGTGATACCCTTCGAAAGCCGGATTCTAGCTGAGACCCGGAGTATCCTTCCGCAAATTGATCCGCCCATTGCACTTCACTTCATCTCGGGAGGACAGAGCAGGCTTTCTGGTGGGCCATCTGTACAAGCGCAGACGTCGTAGAGACGAGATATCAATACTTCAAATGATTCTTATGTGGACATTGGCCACCTCCTGAGTTCCTCGCACGATCCATAATGGTGATTTCTAAAACTCCCTCTCCATACAGCTGCCACAACTAGCTCCAACAAGCTCCAAAATGATTGGGTTCGTCGATCATGACTCAGGATATCAAGTGGAGCTAACAGGAATCTGTCAGCCGCAGATCTTTTCTGCTTCTTGGATGCTCGGTACAGTGGGAGAAGCAGCAACTTTTGACTGCACCCTACCACACCCTCCGTGCGTACCTGGAGCTCTTCCGCGCGAGCACTGGAGCTTGATGTGAGGAAAGAATCAATCTAGAGTTGGAGATTCTCGAATATCTCGCTATGTTGCTGAGTTGTTGTCGCGCGACACTGCCATGGCCATTTAATAAAATGATCGAATACTTAATATAATCTGTTTATTTTTTGCAGAGGGCACTCTGACAGACATAGAGCCCCAAGTCTCCACGGCAATCTCGTGCGGGTGACGAGATGCTCCTGCACTAACCATATCCTTCCTATCAAGCGAATACGTTGTACGGTGGATCTCAGAAAGTCCGAAGGACTCGGAACGGTGGCTGGCGCTCGTGTGTGTGTGGCCACGTGTATCTACGTGCCTTATGTAGATACTTGTTTACTTCTTATGGAAAGTTCGATCGATCTTGCATTGTTCTTTGAAATCATCCCCTGAGTGGTTTGCGTGACACTCGCCACCATAGCCAATCCTACACTCAACGTACGGCTGTTACCATATAATAGTGTCAAGTACCTCGGGAGACATCTTCCGAGGTCCTCTTCTTACTTCACGTGATCATACGCGGACAAAGAGTTGAACTTGGTTTTCCCGCGCCACGTCTTACACCTAAGAAAACGCTTGTATGGATTGACAGCAACGTCCATCAACCCTTCAGAAGATGTTGTTGTCTCAGTCCTCCAGGCATTGCGTCGATCCCAGCCAACCCTCGGAATCTCCAAGGTCCTCGTGCAACTCAAGGAGCAGCACCCAACGTGGATGTTATCGGAGAAGCGCTTGAAGCAGATCATGAAGGAGCATGGGCTTGGGACTATCACCTGCGCGAAGCGGTCCTGTAGTTCAGAGAATGACCAGGAAACTGCGAACAGCCCGGTTCCTTTGCTCTCCGAGTTCTCCCCTCCTCGTACCAGTCCACGTCCCCATCCTAACGGTTGGTCCGTCATGGAAGAGGCGTCATTTGAGAAAGTCAAGCCTATTGCGGAGTTTGTGCTCGGGCACCGTATGGGTAGGTTTGATTGGAAGAAACTGGGTTTGCAGCAGAAAGGGTATGAGTTGGACACACAATACATGAAGCCTGGAGCCAGACTGTCGGATATGCTGCTGCATCAGCTTGACTACATGCACAATTCGGATCACCTGTACAGACTGTATGGACGAGGAGGTCATGACTGGGGCGTCACGTTCAATGCAGACATGGGTATAATGTTCACGGTGAGAAACATTCAAGAATATGCTTTTCTGGCCGAAGGCTGATGTACGTTGTCGGTATGCCAGGTGCTCCAGCGAAGGGTTATTGAAGAACATGAGGCTGGAGCATTGTTCGTCATGTACCAGCGACTTCTTGCCGCAGCCCGTCAAGTGGATGTTTCCGCCTCCGACCTTCGCTCTCAGCTCTACGTAGAGTCAGTCTAACGTCTTCACAGTGATAGTAATGCAGAGTACTAACCGATCGTACGTCTAGGTACGGCATTGATCCCCTCCTTGCCGCTTTGCCACCACCTTCAACTCCGCGCGAGGCAGCAGCTAGGCATACCCACGAAGAGAGTGCTCGTGCATCTTACCGCGCACAAAAGATAGAGCTATTAAAGGCTCTACGCCAACAAGAGAGCGACGATTATGCTCCATTCAACTTGAAGTCGCGCATCGAGGTTGACAAATTTGGAATTCCCGTGTACAGAGAGGAAGTACACGGGATGGACGCCGTGTTCTGCGTCCCAGTCAACAAAACGGGGGACGGATGGCGGATGACTTCGTGATACAAACTGTAGCTTCCCAAGTTGTTGTCCCGATGTAAATACATCGACGGATATCCGGTCCTTGAGTTGCCTTGCTTCACGCTCCCACCCGTGTCTCCGAGGGTGACCTTTGTGATATGTAGTGCATTCCTTGAAGCAGTACGAATATCGACAAAAAACAACGGAGAAATTGCAGTTCAGGCATTTCAATTGGCTTTGAAGTTGATTGGTTGAACCAAGTACCTAGCCTGACCATGTCACTCCACCCGCCGAATGCGCATGGGAACTTGTATATCTTCCTCTCCAGATACCTTCGGACCATCTTTGTACTTGAAGGTGAAATCACGGACAAGAACGGAGGGGACTGCCTTGCATAGCTAGTTCATCAAACGATCAATCTGCGGCTTGTAGCACAAGGAGACTGAGAGTACCTTGAATTCAGCCAGCGCAAATGCGCGTCCAAGACATATCCTTGGGCCATCCAAAAAGGTTAGCAGATGACGATGTCCTTGGATATCTTGGGCTTCCATCGGCAGATTCTGCGACTGCCGTTCCGGTATGAACTCCTGCGTCAGGTCCCCATATGGCAGTCGACCGGTTCATCCAGTCCATAGGAACGACAACTCCCTATCCTTTAGTTATGGCGACCTGGTCGGCCAGAGCATCCGACGCTGACTGCATGGGAGTGGATATACGGGTATCACGTCAGCCTACATCCAAATCCAAATCACACCGTGTCACGATGCTGTCGTATCAATACGACACATACTACCCTTGCGATATCAGGGATTGGGGCACGGAGCCGGAAAATCTCGTGGACAACAGCATCAAGGTATGGTAAGCCGTTGGTCAGTTGCTCCCATGTAGGGTCATTTACGGAGAGCAGAGAGAGTTCATCACGAAGCTTGGACTGAACCTCGGGCTTTCGAGCCAGTTTGATAAACGCCCCCTGTACGGACCGTGGCGCAGACTCAGAGATGAACCGTAATACGTCAGAAAGATGTGTACCGTTAAACTGACGGTTATGGGGACACGAACGTCAGAAATCTTGCGGGAGTCAGACAAGGGAAAAGTCTTACCGGATGTAGTCTCGTAGCCTGCCAACATCAGAACCTTTATCTAACACGAAGCATGAATATGAGGTTGGAATAATGCAATTGATTGAAAGGACTAAATTGCGCCATTACTTCTTCGTGGGTCATGTGGAGTGCCGCCTCATTGTTTTCCGCTTTAACTGTACAAAAGAAAGTCGATCACAGATTCAGGGGGAAGTGAATAAGTAATGCATACTTAGTAGACCAAGGACGGATTTATCTCCCTCTTCGCCGCTTCGACATCTTCGTTTCTGGTGTCCGAAACAATTTATCTGCAACAACTCCTATGCTGGCATTCAGTTGTCTGATGAGCCTTTCTAGTTGGGTGGGTAGCTTCCTCAGGAAAGGAAAGACGTTAGAAAGGAGGAAGGGGATGCACACAGCTGTGGAAGGTTTCGCTCTTCTAAATGATTCAATGACATCGGCAGCTGTAGACTGCTTCCCCTTTAGGGTGCCAAAATCGTGCGAGAAGCCTGCGATCCCAATGCTGTCCAATCTGTCATGTTTGGGAAGAGGGCAAGAACGATCTCTACGAGAACCAGAGTGGGGGAACAACACGCACGATACGCGATTCATCTTGTTAGGGATAGTGTAAACGACTAAACATCTGCAGTACAGAAACCACGTACCAACTTTGGATGTCAACCTCCGTCATCTGAAAGGAACCAGCTTCTATGTAATTATCCCATGCATTTTCCACCTAGGAACAGATTTGGAGATGGGAATCGTCAGAGAACATAAAATGAACCTAGTACACTGAATAAAAGAGAACAGGCGTCATGTTCCGAATTGCAGGATTACTGAATGCAAGTGTCAGAGCCTTCCGCTGCCTACGGCATAACTTAAGCAATAGGGTCAATGGAACTGAGAGGAGGCGCACCTGCGGTGATGTTTACCTTCTGACTACAGTACTTCTAGTCTTACTTAGAAATCAGCTGTGGTCAGTTGTCTCTTACCTACGCATGGCGCACGTGCGCATCACTATCATCGCAATTAATCGTCCACGAAGTCGAAGTGGAGGATCGCTTTTAGGTCGCACAGGACAATATGATCAGCGCCTAGAACGGCAGGAATGCGATATACGGGCCCATATTTCTTGGCCTAATCCTCGTAGACCAGTCCAGGATTAGAGGTATTGGAAAGCATGCGCACAACGCCAAAGAGGATACTAGTAAGGCCATTGAGAGGGCCTGTCCACGTATGTCGAAGCAACGATTATCCGATTATTGAGAGAATCTACGTTTCATTTAGAATGGTGAGGACGTTAGAGATGCTAAGCCGTTGAGAAAGGTCCGCGTTCTGTACAAGTCATGTTGACTGTTATGGCCGCTGTGGCTGATTGTGCTCAGCCTTAGGACTGCAGCCTCGTCTATGTTGACCGCTGATGGTGCAGATGGTCAGCGTATTTGATTCCTCGGAAGCGCAGTATAATTACAAACTAAGTATAAATTCCACATCATGTCAACTTGGCCGTCTCCGTCGTGGGGAAACACACACTCACCAATCTGTACTTCACGGTACACGCCACTAAATTCTCCCTCTTGTATACAGCAAGCGTAGCACAGTGACGTTGCCAGGACCTTGAGATGTGGCAAGGACACTTTGACGTGTCGACAGTGGCCTGTTTGAACTTGCATGGACAAATATGGCAACTCTTAATTCACATGAGGATTAGCGCGCTGGTCTGATGTGAAATCACTGCCAGTGTGCCTCTCAATATTAACTTCCTGACATGCTCATCGTGCGGTGTTTCACCTTTTCCAGAGTTCTAAGATGAGGTGTGCTATTCATGCTATTGATGATGCACAAACGAGTGCTAACTATAGTAAGTGCCAGCGTCGCAGTATTCCATACTTCAAAAAATCTACATGTGCTCTACTAATTTGCCGTTATAAGTCGCTGGCAGCATGAAACCTGTCTCATGAACTTCAAGTTCCACCGTGATTCGGATTTCTATCTACGCTAGTGCTTTCTTTTCTTTCTCTTGACACCTTTCGCCGTCGCGCTTGTCTCCGAGGGACCCACAATCCTGCTCTGCTGCTCCGCTCGACTTCTCGGTCTGTCTGCTCTTTAGCTTCAAACCCAGAGCCGATACCATCTTCCCAGACACTGTGCTAGACATTTCCGACAGCTTGGACTTGACTGACTCAGGCGTGACCGCAGTGCGCGGTGTTGCAGTGACACTCCCCCGGCTACTCCTCATGCTTTGTGGAAATACCCCCGTCGTATTCATTTGGGGCGTCTTCGGGGGCTGTTCTTCAGGGTTCTCTGCATTGGTTTTCATCCTTCCCGTCACCCAGTCCTCCTCAGGAGCGTCGGACGGACATGCATCTTGTTCGTTGTGGAACGGAACAGCATCCGGCTCTGCGTCGAACGGAGCCCCAGGGATAACGGCATGAGTGACCTTCTGTTCTTTGAGCGCGGGCGCGGAAGACCTCCGACGGAGGGGCCAGTGCAGAGTAGGAGTCCTGCGCGGCAGGTGTGTGGACCTGGAGGCAAAAGCGCCGCTCCCCCGTTTCTTTACAAGAGGGGGACTGTCATCGTCACCCCTGAACAGGCGCTTTCCCGGGAACCGCCTTGGTCTGCCTCCAACCCCGTCCTTCGTCTTGACGTCCTTGTCCTTTCTACGTACGGCCGTGCCGCGATTTTCGGGATTCTCGGCGATGATGACGGCGGCTGGCAGAAGATCCCGTGTCGGGAGCGCGTAACTTCCCCCCATGTCGATGGCCAACGGTGGTGTCGGAGGAACGGGATTGGGAGACGGGTGAATGATTGGCATCGTGCAGGAAGCGCGCGTAGGATGTGAGTAGCTGTTAAGACGGTGAGTAAAATTGTCACGCGCATTGCTACATCGCCATGGGGTCCACTCACTTCGCAGAACTGGGAACGAGAATTCTGCGGAGGTGTTGGCGAATGCATACTACTTATACCTCAGGCAGGCGCTGTAGAAAGAAGCTCTTTCTTGGTGATCCGGCCGCTAGCTGCCAGCATACTAACGGCGGCGGACACTCGCGTATTAGCGCACTTTGCGCGTTGCTTTGTCCGCTGCTTTGTCCCGTATTGCTCTAGCGCTGAGGTAATACAGGCTTCCTCAGTCTGCGGGCCATTGTCGACTACTTCTGGCTAGCTGTGTGCAACGCGCTCGTCGTACATTGTTGCCCATTCCTGGCTCTAAAATATCACCGTTTTGTTCCGACTATAGCTAGTCTCCTGTAGTTACGCATACTCCGCCGCTGTCAAATGATCGCGGCACAGTGCACGATGTAACTCACTTTGTTCCGCCTTCACTGCGCGGTGCAACACTCACTGAACCTGCAGAGATAGAAGCCTTGCCATTCTCTGGACATTGCACCGGTCAACCTGCATTAGAGAGCAGCTGCACAGCAGGCACGCCGCATCATCGCATTACAAGACATTGTCCCAAGTCAATAGCATATTTGCTCATAACAGATCGGTTAAAATGCAAAGAGTATGTTGAAATGCACGCAGAAAATATTGCGATACACTCTCGCACTATGTACCCGTACCCTCTCACGTCTGAGATGAAACACGTATGATGGAAGAAAGCCCGCACCGACCCAGTGTGGATGACATAATATACAATGGCTATAGTCTCGGTCGTTGTCGAAGTGTGCATTCGCAATAAGAGACTATCATCTCATGTCGCGCGGCTGGATTTCCACCTGTGACGGAGAACCTCGAGGTGAGTGGGTTACACTTATTCGCCAGAGGTGACCGGCACACATACAATTGCCAGTACCCAGCGATAAAAGGCAGGAGGAAGCCCGTGGAGACGAACGCGATGTACTTGGACCGGAAGGCCGTTCGGTTGCTGTAAGAGAAGGGCATGTTCTGCAACCAGATGTCGTGAGCGACGAAGCCAGGTGACCGCGCGCAAATCTCTCACCTTGTGCGCAGTGTGCGGGCCACTCGCCGTAATCGAGCGCACGCGCTTCGGGATGGTGTAGGGGACACGAGAGAGCGGCGTCATGCGCAGCGAGGACGAAGACATTGGAGTCATTGTGAAGGGTCGGTGCAGTAGAGGATTGAACAGCGGCTGATAGGGGGCAAAGCCACCGATAGTCCAGGTTAAGTACCGAGCTTGAGATCACACCACCTCATTCGGGTGGCGGAAGAGGGGGACGAGTCTTCTTAGTCTGGATGTTACCCAGAACGGTGAACAGATGACCTGGCCAAGACGCGACTTGGAGCTGGGGTGCTCCAGACGGAACATATCTTTACGGAAATATGCGCAATAATGATTGTGGCATATGGCCCAGAGCTCAGAGGCCTGCCACAATGCAAACCGCCCGTACAAGGTTGCACTGAATATACGCTTGCAATTAACCTAGCTCCTCGGGGATGTCACTGTACTGGAGACTTGTTCTCTGGATTCAACCGCGGCAGCTTCGATGGTAAAAAAAGCAGAGTATATGATATCCAGCAGAGTTTGTGGAGAGATTTCAGCGCCTGCCCGAGTCAGTCGAGAGCACGTCCACTGACCGCCACCGCGAACAAACAGGGACAAATAATACGGTCCCAATGCGGTAACACCGGCAGGCGCGTCGTCTCGCAAGTTCGCATCGTACAAGCCGCTCTGCAGCTCGTTTCCTCACTCATTTTATCTCTCTGATCCTCAGAAATTAAGCCGTGACAGGGCCCCCGCACCCGATGGGGAAGAGGCGGATGACGGCGGTTGTGATAGGATAAAAGACGGTGAAGAGGAGCGGGCACAACTGGCGCTAACATGTAGACGCGCGAGGGGCAGGTAGGAACGGCGGGCTACGGGGTGGCCGACGGTGACGGTGGTGGTGACAGGGCAAGAGACAGTGGCGGCGACGGCGGTGGTGACAGTCCATTACCGGCCCCCACAGGGCCAACGGGAGCGCCGTCACTGTCTCTTTCCCTGGGTGCACCGCGCCGCGGCGAGTGAAACGCGCTGCCACTACGCCAACACCACCGCCGTCGCCGCCGCACACCATCAGGCGCGGGGGCGCTGTCACTGTCTTTCGTGCCGTTCCTACTGCCCCTCGTTAGCGCTCGCGCCGTGACGTCACTTCGCGCGCCGTCACCGACCTTCATTCTTTTGTGCCCACGTCACCACCGCCGTCACCGCGAGAATTCGCGCACCGAGGTCGTTGCCGCCGTCGCGCGCCCGGCGTGCCATGTCACTGTCTACCGCCGACCCACGTGAAGGGGCCCGCTGTGTAGTCACTAGCTGTTATATCACCACCGTCCAGCATGCCCACGAAGCGACATGCCGAAGTCTTTCGCCCGCCCGATGTCACCGCCGTTCTTCGTGAAGCGACCTACTCGTCACTCGTCCCCATCAGGCGCTCCTTTTATGCCATGTCACCACCTTCAGCTTTCATCCTGATAGCTCCTCGCGCTGTCAATGCGAAGAAACCTGCAGCTGCTCATCTAGCCTCCTGCCCGAGCTCGCCCCCACCGTCGACCGCGCCTCGCCGTCAGTGACCCCCCGCCGCCCATCCTAACCTCTCAGCGAACACCGCGAACATGACCACCCTAGGGGCGAGCCTCTCGCACTCTCCAGCACATTTGGGTATCTGGATGACGTCGTGCTAAGTAAGCTCACCAACCAGCCGCTCCCTGCTGTCTGTCTCCTCGACCGTCGCAAGAAGGACATCAAGACCCGTGCCGCGACGTGCATAGCGAGAGCGTCGATATCAACGCCTTCGACTCTGACATTCCCATGACCAATGCTAATGGCACAGCGCCCGACACCGACACTGCCACTGAGTCAGTCGATGAGTCCTCCACCGCCATGGTTGACACCACTCAGGTCGAACCTACGCTCTCCACCGCTGCGGTACCGCCTAGCCGCGCTGAGCAACTCGAGGCGTTCATCACATCCTTCCTATCTTCTCGCCCCGACTTCAGCGTACCCACTCTTCTCACCGAGCTCGAGAACGATAGAATGTCCGTCGAGGATCTCGCTGACGAGCACGGCGTCGCGGACCTCGCAAGCATCTTCAGCGTGCCCGGAGGTGAGGCGAGAGCTCTGCATCGTGCTTCTAAACAATGTCGAACGTGTATCCACTTAGTGTCGGTAGTTGTCGTGCTTTGCTCAATGTCTTTTCGTCCCTTGGACTCGATAAGCGATGACACTGTCTGTCGCGAGGTATTATTTTTCTCTGTGGGCTCGACAGACGAGGCCGCGTTGGCGTAGTGGTATGCGCATCCCACTTGTAAAATCATGTGATAATGGGAAGGTCACCCGTTCGACCCGGGTACGTGGCAAGCATCCTCAATCCCCGTGGATTTTAATCTCCTGACAAAAAGAAAATGTTGGTTTTCGATTTTTTTGGGGAGGGACAGCTTTTCAGTTCCTTTCTAATCAGCTACAAATTCTTGTGTAAGCAAAATTTTACTATGAGTGATCAGTCATTCAAACCAGGTATATCACATAAATCTTGTTTCTGGCTCACTCAATGAACTTTGTAATTCGCAAGTGGAGTAGCTAAATATTTTCTCAGACAGACCTGGTCAGATTGAGGCTATAGGTGAGCAGACATGTTCACTAATTAAAGATCTGGTGGAGCATGGAAAGGCACTCAATCAACAGAAATAACTCGGATGTGGTTTTTAATTTCAACAATTTCTTTAGGGTCCATTCAACATCAGAAAACATGTTTCTTCACAGATCCAAACAACTCTGTTGCACTCCTATTATGGTAACCGTCCTTCAACGTCGGCGCTATGCAACCAGGTGGGCAGAACTGGCAACAGAGGTGACAACAGCTGCTCCTAGGCAGCAGTTTTCATAAAAATTATTTTTGCTGCTATACTATTCTTTGCTGAACTGCTGTACACCAAAGAGCCATACCATACTTTCATTCTGTCTGGTGAGGGCTGGGTTCTTGAGCTTCTTCTTGGGCACCGTGAACAGATCTATTCTGAGCTGAGAGTACATCATCATGTATTCTATGCCTTATATCGGAATTAAAATCAATCGTAAGAAGAGGAGCGAGAGGCCCCGACCCGACGATCCCTCTGCATTCATCTATGCTGATGTCGAGTTCGACAGTGCTGGGCGAGTTGTCGCCCGCTCTCGAGATTACTTCGCCGGCTCAATGCCTACATTCACGAGGACACCTATGACATGCTTTCTCGCGTGATCAAGCAGACGCTACCAGCCGCCTCTTCGTGTGTCGCCCATCACAATCATGTCCAGGTATGAGTTTCAGTCAGGAATATCCATCCACTGAGCTGGGCCCCGGCAGCTCAACGCGCGTTTCACAAGAGCTGCTAGTACATCGCCGCAGGCAGACTGGCAATTTGAAGCAATCTTCATGCTTAAAACGGGTATCCATGCACGCACCACGACGACGGTGGAAGGGGGCTCGAGAGACAAGTTCTTAAAACCATTTCTTCATCGACTTCAGGCATGGCTTGCAAAATTCATGGTTACTTTCGGACGGCGAGGCCGCACCCATGAAGTTTCCACTGTGGTTCATGGATGAGCGCCCAAAATACCGACTGAAGCAAGCGTGGTCAGGTCAGTACCCGCACCCACAGCCTTGACGTACGCCGATGACCGTCTCGACCCTTAAGCTTCTGCCAGCTGGAGCCGCTAGACCTGCCCGAGCACGAAGAGAACCTGGGCTCGTTCTCCGGGTGGTGAAGATCGTTGAGCCCGTCGAATGTCTGCTCCCATGTTATGATGGCTTGATGAGCAAGCCGACAGAAGGTGAGCTCTTCTGCAGGGATGGGGTGCCGAAACCATTTGTTCCACTAAATGACAACTACAAGGAAGCAACGCACCGCTTGATATGGGCTCGCTGGGAGCTCGAGACTGCCGGACGCGGTGAGGTCACTGCTTCTGCCTAAGCACATACACAGTTTTCCCATATTGAATATATGCATGTCCATAGCTGCAATCGGCATCCACATGGATTGGCCAGAGGGTATCCCAGGACATCATCCAGTGAGAAGAGTAGTATTTCGACGTGCATGGTAAGCCGAAAGTCAGAGTATCTTCCAACGCTGTACACGCGAGGCCACACATGGGCGCCCATTAAACGTGTTTCCGGGCTACATGTGGGGATCAGGATAGGAAGAATGAGAACATTCCATCATCATAGGGAAACGGACCGCCCCTTTCCAACTTGTCCCACTCCCGCTTATTTTTGCCCCAGGTATCAACCACCTGCGGGTAGTCTTCGATGGATACCCACCCGTCACCTCCGCTGTGAAGGTCCAAGTCAAGGGCATCAATGGATGCTTCGTATCTCTTGTACGCCTCGAACTCTTGCATCGCGAAGGTCTATGAGAGCTTGTCGAAGGGGTACCAAGCTGTCGCTCCACGATCGTATGCCTGATAGGGCAGCAGGGCGAGCTGTGCACCGAACGGCATCGCTAGTGCCATGTGACAACTTGCGTCTTCCTCTACAATTTTGTGCTCGTATGCCTTATGTCTCATGGCTAGCTTCAAGTGCATGCGATAGACCTCCTGCTCTTTCGGACTAAGGCTCGAAAAGTGTTCCGGGAGCTTTGGGGGAACTCGACCCTTCGGAATATCGATCAAACTGCCATCATAGGTGAAGGCACGAGGAAACGAAGCTTGCATGCAGTACGGTGCTGTGACGCTGTGTTGCCAATCGATGAGGCCTCAAATCGCTCCTGGACCCTCCAAGGCAATGAGCAGATTCGAATGACTAATGTCGGGATGCCACAGGGTTGGGACACCAAGGAAGAGAGGGGGTATAATGTGTGGGATGGCACAGGCATACATGTCCAAGAGCTTGTAATGGGCTTCCACACTGTGGAAGGGTCAGCGATGTGTCCGTGCAGAGACGCCCTGAGAAGCATAGCGATGAAGCCACTCGCGTTCCAGATTTGTGGCCGCAAGAAGAAATGAGGACATATCAGGCCCTACCGGAGATGTTCCCTTAGAAACTCGCACAGGACAATGAGTTTGAAATGACCCACAAGGGCCATGGTCAGTAGCCATATCCGCCCGTTCTGCCCGCCACCACTGACGATCGGCGATCAGGCCAATGCGATACTTTTCGCCCGCAGCTTTAAGCTTCTCCAGGAGCTCAGGATCATTATCTGGAAGGCTGTCCGGGAGAAATAGAGGTCGATCTCGCAGCTCGCCATCCACATCGTCCTTGAAGTAAAGGCTGCCAAATTGGGAGAAGGGTGCGCTCTCGAAGCTGCGCTCTATGTCGAACACGCCATATATCAGGGGAAAGACTTCGGCGCCTTTCGCAAGCTTCGTCCATCGATAACGGGATTCCACACCCGATATTTTCTCCATGATAATGTACTCAGCACCTACAGGATTCTCATACGCGCGAGCACTCCATGCATAAACGCGAGGAGCGGGGATTCCGAGTACATCTCTTACGAATTCCATCGTGGCCACCTCGCTAGCTGTGGTAAGGAAGGGCGGTCCAGCTAGAGGACAAGGGATACGTGCGATAACTTCTCGTCCATTATCGAAACCGAGCGTAAAAATCTTGTTATACGAGCCTGCATATCATGTCACAATAGAAACTTCCGAGATTGAAATCTACACGCCTTCGTCTACCTTTTTGAAATGGGTACATCGCTGAGCTCCGACTGCAGTACAAGCGAGTCGCTGTTAGCATCGACGTCAAATTTGACGAAACGCGACGCATTTTCTAGAGCAATGCTCAATTAGGAGACGATGCAGAGGCACGACAGTACTCACGTTCTTTTTCGTTGTACAACCACCGCCCGCTGGTATATCGAAAGAAGTCCGCTTGCTGAGCAGCCGTGAAACTGACAGTGGTGTTGGTGGAAGAGTTGAGTAATTTTTGTCCGACTTTGAGAAGGCTCTGCATTGTGAGTCGGATAAAAGAAAATAAGCAGGGTGCTACACTCTTATATAGCTTCGTCAAAATTGCTCTCCAGGAGGAAAAATTAGACTTCATGTGTGACGGCCAGCTTAGCGAAAGCTCGAACGCACGTTGATTAGGTAATTCCCGACTACATGGCAAAGAGAGCTGTCACGTCGACTGCAAATCGCGCATACAATGCTCGGCCTGTCACAACACACATATACGTAAGAGATAGTCATATGGAAGCAAGGGAGATGTCGTTCGCTCTGAGTCCACTAGCAAGTATTCGAAATTTCCAACAAGGCTTTCGATCGCGACGGATTGGACCGAGACTGGCTTTGTTTGTCCTTGTGGCGCCTCCTTACGCATAGAGCTTCCGGCGCCGAGTCCAACCCCCAGCTTAAGGGATCCTCACCTCGTCCTGAGTTATCACCGCCTTCCTATCAATTCAACCATAGTTCGCGACCGAACAACTCACTCATTCTATACTCTGGTATACCTCGTCCCACGGTCCCCAGTGATCACTCGAACGGATAAGGACTTGAACGGGGGACGTGTGTGTTATCAGCAATACTCGACCTTGTGAGTGAGATGCAATATACATTTTTTCAGCGCACTATCACTACTTGGTCGACCGCAGCGGACCAGATTGCCTTCAGCAAAATTCTTGGTTACTTTACTGTAACTTGTGTGCGAGCTCGTGTATGAGGTTATCATGTTCTGTGAAACGGTAGTGGTGTCATTCTCATTTCCGATCGAGCCTTCTGATCTCAATTTCAGTATAAGCCGTGAGCTCATTATCATCATTCAGAATTACAAACATGTTCAAGCAGATACAGCCAATATTCCCCGTCGAGATCCTAGAATTTATCATCCAGGAAGTCCCGTTGGAGGAGTGCTCACCGATTTTGCTCACGAATCGGTCTCTGGGTTTTATCGCGCTGCGGGTGCTATATCGCACTATCCCGGAATTGTCCCCCTGCCGTACGATAAAATGTCTGAAGACGCTCGCAACGAATCAAGAGAATGCTGCGCTCGTGCGCAAGTTGTCGATTGACTGGACACACCACCGCGTTCTCGGAAACCTCTTCCGACTCCTACGACACGCTCTCGAGCAACTGACATCGTTGCATACACTCTCCGTGGAGCTCTCCCCGGACGACAACCACTTCAACCTCGCGTGGATCTTTCCTGAGCGCACGTTCTCGTTACGCACACTCTCGACGTCCGTGCGCTGTGATGCGCCTCTCGCGCGTTTCCTCGAAACACAGCCGCGCATCTCTGAACTCTCCCTCCGCGGCTTCCAGACGTCGCAGCCCTTCAATCTCAATCCGTCCGCATTACCCATGCTCACCTCCTTCCGCGTCGTACACGCGGGGACTCCTGTGCTCTCTGTAGTACTCAAAGACCGCCCAATCGAGGGTGTCTCGTTGTCGCTTTTCCCGGACGATGGCTTCTTACCGCTTGACACGCTCCGCCTCCCGAGTCGTCCCATCAAGCGACTCACAATCATGTCCCTCGACAGTACTCCTCCGAACGTCCTCATCCCTGAGGTGTCCGTTCGCCTACCCAGACTTGAGGCCCTGCACGTGGTCGTGCTCATGGCGCAGTATGACTACGTGAGTTGCCCTTCCTCGTTGATGCATCCTATTGCTGACGCCTATGCGGGATTAGCCAATGTTGCAGAACTCGGGGCCGCTGCTGTCCCACTTCTCTGAGCTGAGGTACCTGACGTTCATGTCGGCCGTCACAGCCACGCTCGATGACGAACAGGAGATCGCAAAGCTATGGCACAAGGCGTGCCCGACGCTGAAGACGATCATACTCCCTCGGGGGAAAGTCTGGTTTGAGCGCGAGGGCAAGTGGACTTGTTGTGGGTAGTCGGAACTTCGATTGAAGTCGGAACGGAGCTTAGGCCTGCCTTCGGGAGCATCAGAAAGCTGGGACGCGTCGATGACTATTCAATTTATTTTGTTTTTCTGTTTTGGTTTTCTGTGCTATCAGTTATCGGCATCATCTTCCGAATTGTATCGTATCAGACTGGGAAGTCAATATTGACCTTGTTGACACTGTATTTCGGTAATAATTGTAAATCAGAGCACTTTGGACAGGGTGCGGCAGAGAGAATCAACACATGGACGGTCGCGTCGCAACTGGAAGGTAAAGCTTGCGACCACTCAACCTGATACTAAACCGGGGTTTTGACCGCAACTGGTACTAGTACATGATTCTGCGAACGTTAATACATGACTCTGAGCTGGATTTCGAGATTACTGACAGCGGAAACGTTAACGTTACACCGTTTTAACTAGATAATTTCCGCACCTCACGCCGCCGATCCACTCACTCGTAGAACCCACCGAAATCGTAACCCTTCTGCTCCTGGCCCTCCCTCATCCAGCCAAGCGCATCTGCTGTAAGGCCCGCAACGCGCACAAACAGCGTCCCATCCAACTCCTCCGCCCCCTCCAGCGGCGCATCGCCCCGCGCGAGCGCGGCAAAGTGTCCCTTGGGTGTAGTGCCATAGAGCGCAGCAAAGTGAGCGAGAGCGCGCTGCAGCTTGCATAGGTGGTCATCCGGATACATGAGCGTCGTCTGCAGGATGGGCAGCCACGGGTTCGGGGACATGTCCTCGCGAACCAGTGTGCCAGGCGTAGGATCTGAGTGTGTGCCGGGTTCGGTAGGGTGAGCTGTGGGCAAATCAGGGGAGGAGAAAAAGGCGCTGAGGGGAGGCGCAGGGCGTCCGAGCGAGACCCACACAGCGAGGCAATTGATGAAATATGTACGGAGGAGGATGGAATTTGATGTCGGAGAGAGGTAGGCAGTGAGCGAATGCAGGAAGATCGCGGAGGTCACCGAGTGCAGACTGGGAGGCAGCGGAGGCAGTGTGAGCATATGCTAGAAGAATGATCAGACACACGTACAGAAAGAAGTCGGGCTTGAACTTCCCGTTAGCGGAGGTTTTACGTCCGCCCCAGCCGCAGACACCGTACACTATCGTATTCATCCAGATGATCTCTTCAATTTTGCTTGCGACTTCCTCGGTGCTTGTCCCATCAACGCTCCACGCCTCAGCGTGAGCAACAAGCGCTTCCCCGCGCAGCCGGACCACGCGTTGGAACGGAGTCTCTGAGTTGTCAGTCACCGGCAGTCCAATCGCAGTTGACGAGAACGCAGGATCGCGCAGGATGCGCGAAAGAATAGTGAGCGCATGAACGCCATCCTTTACTTGCGTATGCTGGACTCCGAGGGCGCGCTGCGCCGACTCCAGTACGAGCGATGGCATAAGCTCCGTCAAACGATCGACGGCAGCGTTGACGACGTCAAAGGAGACTGAAGATGCGCGTTGGAATAACGAAGGCGAGACAAGAGTTGGTGAACCCGGGGCATGGACCGCTGCCTGGGCAAGACCTGCAACCAAGAAGAATGAAGATCTGTTGCTGCAGGGGAGACACGCTATTTCACTCACCCTCTGCGACCATGCCGAGCAGGCCAAACTCTGCACCGTATCCAGTGTGAATGAGGGGGTGCAACACGCCGGAAAGGAAGCGGTTCAACATGTTCATAGGGGGCTTTCCGGACATAGGCGCCTCGATGTTAACCTTCGGGGAGAATATATACTCTTCGATAGTTGCCGCGGCTCCTTTCTCCGATAGAACTGAGGAGAAAAAGTCAACGTAGCCAGAGTAGAAGCTGTATATCACACAGTTCAGGCTTATACGGAACTACAAGGTTCGCAGAAACAACCTACTTCTCGTCACCAAGGTGCAGGTGGAAATTCTTCGCGGCGATCGGTTCTGGACTCTTCCTGGCAGGACGCATATACGAAACATGGTTTTGATATGCGGCATCCAATAGGGCGGGACTAGCGCCTAAGTAGTAAAGGGCGAGCAGGTGATGAGATGTATGACTTGTGCAGAAATGATACCGTCAGAAAGATGGTCAATTGAGAGATGCAGACGCTGCAGACTTATGGTAGTGCAAATTATTAAAGAAAATATGCCATTTCGTGTGGTTTTCTTTTAGGAGGTTTCGCAATGCGAGAGTCGACTCCTCAGACATTCCCGGCCAACGCCCAGGGGACAACGGGGAAGGGGGAGGAGAAGGAGCCGGAAACTGCGCATCTAAGTTTGCCTTGGTGCTCATCATCCTTGTAATACTTCGCGTTTGCCGTGAAGGTAGCAGTGACGGTCTTGGGCGCAGAACTGGCATTGGAAAGCTGGATACTTATGTCTCGCTGAGCATGACGTCACCGTGTCTGCTGATGTGAGTTCACGTTCCAAGCGTTGACCCTGATTTCTTCTGCAGGGTCAGCAGGTTTTGTAAAGCTGTGTTCGGCTGATTCATGCATGTCTAACTCCTGAGAGACTTCTGCGGGGCAATCAAAATATATCATTTGCGCCAAACAATATTTCAATGCATACCGGAATGTTCTAATGCAAAATGGTGCCCACAATGCTCCAGAAGGAATGGAGAAGTGCTAGCCTATCAGGTGAGCTTGAAACGTCCTTCAAGTTCGAGTCCTCAGGCCTCAGCCCCGATATCTATCACCTTGGCGCTTCTATCGCGTGTTCGAAACTCTGTTGTTGTTGGGACGTTTATTCACATACTCTGGATTTTGCAAAGTCCAAGTTATCTGCCAAGCATGCGGTTACTTGTTTATCACAGTCGAAGTCAATGTTCCAAAGCGTCAAATATTGCTGAAATTTCGTGGAGGTTTTGCGATGCAACCTCTGATCGAGATCTAGGACAGACAACCATTGCCACGTGCACCCTTGTGGACAAATGGCTGGCCGCTCTCAAACGGGCGAACGTTTCAGATTTAACGAAGACCGCACGATGCTAGTACTATCGTGAATTCGACAAGGTAAGTGGCATATGCATCCCTCGACAGTAAAGCTTCAGCTGATAGAGTTGGTCCTGCCGTCCCAGGAATGACTGTCTTCCGTTGTGCTGAAGACTCAGTGGAACCGAGCATACTACCGTCCGAGATTTGCCCTAGTTCTGTACAGGTTCGTCAAGATGGACTTGGACTCGCACCTTCTCTCCCATGACTGTCCAATGCTATTTTCGAAGGTTAGCTTCAGCCTTGTTCGGCACAGTGCTCCGATTTGCTAGAGGTGTACGTATGCTGCTATGTTATAGTTATCTTATGATGCGGTTTGTCGCAATACAGATGAAAATAACAGAATATCTCCGTGCACATCGGCCGCAGACAACCCACAAGGCGAAGCGGAAGCCTTCTTGGGAGGCCTTCTTGGTGATGGATCGTCGAACTCCTCGCGGTGGGTTTAGCAAAGTAGAGCTAAAGTTGAATTGCCAGGAATACGGAGAGCAACACAGCCGATATCCTCTCACGGATGCAACCCATGACGTGGGAGTTCATGCAGACACTGACAAATATCAACGAGAGCACGATTGTAAGTGAGACCTTGTGAGCTGCCGACTGTCAATATGCTATGTGGATTGGCGACGCGTCTCCTGCCGTAGCTGGACGTTCTTGATAGTGATTACTCAGTTGTTGTATCTTGCAGTGCGTTCGTTTCTCAGCTCGCCGGATTTTCTCCAGCTGACTGTTCTCGCTGTACAGGTCTCTGATCAGTGCCAATCAACATTGCGCTCACATTTTCATCCTTTGAGATTCGTAAAGAATGAATCCTGACCATGCGTAGTTACGCGCTCTGATGTGCGATACTCTTCATAAGTTTGTTGGATTTCGTTACACTGACTGGTTACCTCTTTCTAGTCTTATGCCACCATTTTTTAAGATCACTTATTGATGTCCGAATTGTAGCTCCTCGTACTCGTATGTCTGCTTTAAATCAAAACCCCAAATTTCAATTCGTTGACGTCAGAAGTCCGGATGCCGTCTTCAGGGCTGTCATTCTTACGCGCTGTAGGTTCTATTCAATTGGATATGGCTAATGACAAGTTTTGCATCAACCTGGCATTCACACTGTTGTTTCGGACGTTCTCGGTCTGCTCTGAAGACTGGTCGCAATCGCCAAGATGCGATTTTGTTGGGCTTGACCGCGTGGCAATGCTTTCTTAGCGGAGCATGAGTGTTACCAGAGCTGCCCTGCACTTTTTTCGCGCCATGTCTGCTATCATCCAATGGCAGAAGTTTTTCAACGCGTACTGACCCGTAACTGATTGTTACTGTAATACAGGTGGGGTGTGGCTCTGCGAGGTGCTTCTCTGTCGTTCCACGACATTTGCAAGCCGTGCCGATGCGTGTCGATCGGCGCTATTTATGCAGTTGTGATGCCCGTCGGATCAGGAGGGCTGATCCATCACTACATACCGGATCGACTTGACGTTTCGGCAGCTTTGGTGAGTAATCGCATTTCCTATTGGATTAGATGACAATTGAACTGGTTGCCATGATGTGGACAACGACACGAGGACGCGGACGTGAACTTGGAACGCAAAGGTGGGGCGCATTCTTGGACAGTGGTACCTTCAAATGCTCCATTGCATCGCCATTGTATCGTGGAGCTGAGTTCGCAGGAAAGTGGTTTCCTCAGTTCTTTTGTGTCTTTGTCTACCTGTCATCGTCTGCTGCTGTTTTGTCGTGAAATTTCAAGGTCATTGGCGGCGAAACCAGCGTGGCCACATGTCCAAGCAGGTTCCGCTAATGTCCGGCCAGGTGCACACTACGTCTGCATGCGGGTCGTACCATACTACAAACACAAGGCTTGGCCTCACTGAGCACTCGCCAATAATTTCTCTGATCCCACAGTTCCCTCCATTGCATCCGACAAATCTTCTGCAGGACAGCCAACCAATGGCCTCTTATACATCTGAACTAACTGTGCATGCTCCTACACCTGCTCCCAGTCCTGCGTTGATGATTGGGAAGCGTCGTCGTTGCACCGCAGAGGAGACGCATCTTGTCCAGGCCACTGCACCTCCCGCAAAGAAACAGCGGAAGTACACCAGGAAAGCACATGTGACAAAGAAGCGCAAAGGAAAGGGAAAGGATGAAGAAATTTCCGATGATGTTCGTTTTCCAGATGGAGGAAGTCCAAGTTGCGAACGCTGTGGAAGACAACACGGGCGCATCAAGTCTTGGTGCGACCCCGTCAATGCTTCAGGTTCCTTCCCTGGCGCTGCGTGTGAGTGTATGATGGAGGGCATGCTCAAACCGTTGGAGCCGATGAACCTTCATAACCGTCCGTCCGTCCCTCGAGATACTCCGCTAGCTGCGCCCATTTTTGCGCCCGCGCCAAATGATGTATCAACGTCGAAGAAGGGTCCGAAGCGCACTTCGACAGTAGCACCTTTTGGTGAGGACGCTTCACGTCCCACGAAGAGAGCTCGGAAGTGAACAAGCAAGACCGTTGCAACGGGGAAGGCAAGGATGAGCGGGAGTAGCAGTGCAAGCATGAACGAAGTGTAGCGCTGAGCCACACACCTTGACCACACTGGGCACTTTTACTTCTTGCGGATCCTATACCTACTAACAACCCTCGGCGTCATGGTGGCCATTGTGTTGGACATATCACCCAGGTCCGGAAGAGACTGACGATCCTGCCGCCTGCCAGGAACCCAGTTGTCATATATATTCCCGCTTACATTGCCAAAGGACATTTTCCTCCGGCCATGAGCCTGTAATCGACAATTGCAAGGGACCACATTGATTTGGACGACGGACGACAACTGAAGATGATATTGTACCGTCCAGGACCGATCCAATTTCTAGCACACCCTCCAGCAGCTCTCTATCTGTCGAGTCCCGTCGTATACCGCCCAATCGACAGAAGACGAGAAAGTGATCTGTTTGACGGTACGACTCAGGAGAACATCCAGAGCGAAAACGAAGTGACCGCCGTACATTCCATCGGTGCCATATAAGTATCTTCTCCATGTTGATCGCTGTTCTTCAGCGTCCAGCTTATTCTCTGACCTGTTTTGACTCGTATTTTATCTAGATATCTGTTCATTCTATGTAGAATGTTACTGTACCTTCTGTTTTGTTCAAGTTGCTAGTCTCGGATACCTCCGAGGAAAGCTGCGAGCGTTATCGCCTGACCGCTGGAAAATTCCCCAAGTCATCAACGTCATACCAACTCGTGTCCTGTCTCCCATGAATACTGAGGCAAAAATTCTGGATCTCTGGAAAGCTTTCATGCAACGTTTTCAGACGGGCGCTTAGATTGCCATCGTTAATCATGTGACCTCAAACAAATTTAAGGCGGGCTGGATTTTTTTCTTTTCTCCTCTTCCTCTTCACTCGAATCATCTCTGGTGCGAGTGAAGAGGAAGACGACGTTATTCCTCACCGAATCTACCAATTTGGATCATGTCTCTGACCAGTCCAACCAAAATCGACGTCTCTCGACCCGTCCTCGCTCACTTCACCAGCAACCATCCCAATGGTTTTCTTGCACCCCCAATTGCCACGTCCGACTCCACAAGTCTAGAAGCCGTGCTTGAACTCGCAGACGGTGCCGCATATCGAGGCATTAGCTTTGGGGCTGAGGGTAAGAGTGTAGCGGGAGAATGTGTTTTTCAAACCGGTCAGTGGAGCGTCTCTGCAACTAGTGCTTTCGACTCAGGATCTCTTAGGTATGGTCGGATATACCGAGTCCCTCACGGATCCTTCGTATGAAGGTCAAATCCTGATCTTGACCTACCCACTCATTGGAAATTACGGTGTTCCTGCGCGTCCAACATCGGCTTCCGTCGAAGCCATTCCACCTGACTTCGAGTCTTCGCGCATTCACGTCGCGGCCGTGGTTGTTAGTTCGTACTCTGAAGAGTTCAGTCACTTTCTGGCGCATACTTCTTTGGGTGTATGGCTCAAGGAAAGCGGGATTCCTGCACTTTACGGCATAGACACGCGTGCACTCACGAAGAAAATTCGCGAGAAGGGTTCTATACTTGGTAAAGTTTTGGCCCGACAAAAAGACTCACCTGTTGATAGGCGGTTATCGTTAATGAGCCCAGCGTCTCTACCGGCTTCACGTACACCCTCTCCAGGAGGGAACGGTATCTGGCGTGAGGATTACATTGATGTGCCATTCCGCGATCCAAATCAAGATAACCTCGTGGCTCTCGTTTCTGTCTCCTCCCCTCACATCTACAAGCCGACGGTAAAGGCGCGGATGCACCCCTCCGGCAAACGACCACTTCGCGTCCTTGCCGTCGATGTTGGCATGAAGTTCAACCAGATCCGCTGTTTCACGCACCGTGGAATCGAGTTGAAGGTGGTTCCATGGGATTATGACTATTTGGCGTCAGCGGAGGAGCCTTTCGATGGGCTCTTTATTTCCAATGGTCCTGGTGATCCTACCATGGTCAAGCCTACCATAGCTCGTTTGGCAAGGGCTATGCAGGGCGAGGATCGTCCGATTTTCGGTATCTGCCTCGGACATCAGCTTTTAGCTCTGGCTGCTGGTGCTTCGACCTCAAAAATGAAGTATGGTAATCGCGGGCATAATATTCCGTGCACGGATACCCTCAGTGGCCGGTGTTACATCACAAGCCAGAATCACGGTTTCCAGGTAGACACGGCGACACTGCCTGAAGGCTGGCACGAACTATTCCAGAACGCTAATGACGGAAGCAACGAAGGAATCTACTGTACCGATAAACCATTTTTCTCTGTGCAGTTCCACCCAGAGTCGACTCCGGGGCCGCGCGACACCGAATTTCTCTTCGATGTGTTCATCCAGAATATTGTCGACTGCTCTACGATGGGAAAAGTTGTTCCAATTTCTATGCCAGGTGGAATGAAGGAGGACAATGAGAAAGCTGCTCCACGCGTGAATGTGCAAAAAGTGCTCGTTCTTGGTTCTGGTGGCCTCTCTATTGGCCAGGCAGGCGAGTTTGACTATTCCGGCTCACAGGCAATCAAAGCGCTCAAGCAGGAGAGTATTTATACCATCCTCGTCAATCCCAACATTGCGACTATCGCGACGTCGAAGGGTCTAGCTGACAAGGTGTACTTCTTACCGGTCACCCCTGAATTCGTGCGAAAGATCATCAAATACGAGAAGCCCGACGGTATCTACGTTACGTTCGGGGGGCAGACTGCTTTGAACGTCGGAATCAAACTCAAGGACGAGTTCGAGGGGCTTGGATGCAAGGTCCTCGGAACCCCGATCGACACCATCGTTACTACTGAAGACAGGCAGCTCTTCGCAAGTGCAATGACCGAGATTGGTGAACGATGTGCAGACTCCAAGACTGCGACGACTTTGGATGAAGCAGTCGCTGCGGCCAACACAATTGGCTTTCCGGTCATCGTCCGCGCTGCATACGCTCTAGGTGGTCTCGGCTCTGGCTTCGCTAAAGATGGGAAACAGCTAAAGGCGCTATGCAGCAAGGCATTCGCCACTAGTCCGCAGGTCCTAGTGGAGAAGAGCATGAAGGGCTGGAAGGAAATCGAATACGAGGTTGTCAGAGACTGCCGCGATAATTGCATCACAGTTTGCAACATGGAGGTACGTGCGTTCCACGTCTTCCTATGTTCGCAGCTCTCAAAGACATGCCGTAGAACTTCGATCCACTTGGCATCCATACTGGTGATTCGATCGTCGTTGCTCCTTCGCAAACGCTTTCAGATGCCGACTACAACATGCTCCGTACGACAGCGATTAATGTGATTCGACATCTCGGGGTTGTGGGCGAGTGCAACATCCAGTACGCATTGAACCCCATCTCCAGGGAATACTGCATTATCGAGGTGAGTCGCTCACAGTATCACCTTCAGCAATATTAAATTTGACTCCATTTCAGGTCAATGCTCGTTTATCCCGGTCCTCTGCGCTTGCGTCGAAAGCGACAGGCTATCCTCTCGCCTTCATCGCGGCCAAGCTCGGTCTCGGAATCCCGCTGAATGAAATCCGCAACTCGGTGACGAAGGTCACCAGTGCATGCTTCGAGCCCAGCTTGGACTATGTCGTTGTTAAAATACCGCGGTGGGACTTGAAGAAGTTCAGCCGTGTCAGCAGACTGCTCAGCAGTAGCATGAAGAGCGTAGGGGAAGTTATGAGTATAGGTCGCACGTTTGAGGAGACCTTTCAGAAGGCTATCCGCGCAATTGACGATCAATTCTCTGGGTTTGCAAAGGTTTGCTTCTGTATGCATCTCCCCAGCGGAGATGTTTCTAAGATCCCTGTGTCCAGAATGATTTCGTGGAGGACATCGACGAGGAACTCTTGAATCCAACCGACAAACGCATTTTCGCCATCGCGACTGCTTTCTACCGGGGATACAGTGTGGATAAGATCTGGCAGATGACGAACATCGACAAGTGGTTTTTGACGAAGCTGCAGTCAATTCACCATATGGAGGTGTACCTATCGTGAGGTCATGCAAGATATCGTGTAGTTTTTCCACTCAATGTTTTGAATTTTAGGTCGTATAACATCTCGAGCCTCGGGAAGGATCTGCTCAGACAAGCAAAGCAGCTTGGATTCTCCGACCGTCAACTTGCTGCATGCATAGGATCGACCGAGCTCGCTGTACGCCGACTACGTCAGGAGCATGGCATTGCCCCTTTCGTGAAGCAGATCGATACGGTTGCAGCCGAATTCCCCGCGTTCACGAATTATCTGTACACCACGTACAACGCTGTCGAGCACGATATCACATTCGAGGATCGGGGCGTCATGGTGCTTGGGTCTGGTGTGTACCGCATCGGATCCTCTGTGGAGTTCGATTGGTGCGCTGTCCGCGCCATCAGAACGCTACGTGACAATGGTCTGCCGACCGTCATGGTGAATTACAACCCCGAGACCGTTAGCACAGACTACGACGAGGCCGACAGGTTGTACTTCGAGAACATCAGCTTGGAGACCATCTTGGATATCTACGACACAGAGAGCTCTCGCGGTGTCATCATCTCCATGGGTGGACAGACGCCAAATAATATCGCTCTTCCGCTGTACCGTCAGAACGTCAAGATCTACGGAACGTCTCCGGAGATGATTGATACTGCGGAGAACAGGTTCAAGTTTTCTCGCCTGTTAGATGAGATAGGCGTGGACCAACCTTTGTGGAAGGAATTGTCGAACTTCGACGATGCCCACACCTTCTGTAAGAAGGTTGGCTATCCTGTACTCGTCCGACCTTCGTATGTTCTCTCGGGTGCAGCGATGAATGTGGTCTTCAGCCAGGACGATCTATCAAGCTACCTGTCTCAAGCTACTGCCGTCTCTCGTGAGCACCCCGTCGTCATCACAAAGTACATTGAAGGCGCAAAGGAGATCGAGATGGACGCTGTCGCAAAGGACGGCAAGATGATAATGCATTATATCTCCGAGCATGTCGAGAATGCGGGCGTGCACTCTGGGGATGCTACTCTGATCCATCCGCCACAGGACTTGGACCCGGAGACTGTTCGTCAAATCGAAGAGGCAACTGCGAAGATTGGCAACGCTCTCAATGTCACCGGTCCGTTCAACATCCAGTTTATAGCTAAAAACAACGAGATCAAGGTGATTGAGTGCAATCTCCGTGCCGCTCGTTCGTTCCCCTTCGTCTCTAAAGTCACTGGCGTGGATGCCATCGAGATGGCGACAAAGGTGATGTTGGGTCTGCCTGTTGAACCATATCCCCACATTCCATTGCCTGCGGATTACGTCGGTGTCAAGGTACCGCAGTTCAGCTTCAGTCGGCTCTCTGGAGCCGATCCGGTGCTTGGAGTGGAGATGGCATCAACAGGAGAGGTCGCGTGCTTCGGAAGGGACAAGTACGAGGCATATCTCAAGGCTTTGATTTCCACTGGTATCGTCCTTCCCAAGAAGAATATCTTGTTCTCTATCGGTGGCTTCAAGGAAAAGCTGGAGTTGCTCCCGTCAGTACAGAAATTGCGCGCTGCTGGATACAGTATCTTCGCCACCTCAGGTACGGCAGATTTCCTGACTGAGCATAACGTTCCTTGCAAGGTGATTACAGCCCTTAAATTCACCTTTCCTTCACTGATTATATCACTCTCAGTATCTGGAGACCCTCGGGGAGGATAGTGAGCAGAAGTCTGAGTATTCTCTTACTCAGCATCTCGCGAACAACCTCATTGATATGTATATCAACCTTCCATCGAAGAACCACTATCGCCGACCTGCCAGCTACGCCAGCAAGGGCTACCGCACTCGCCGTATGGCGGTTGACTTCGCTGTGCCGTTGATCACTAACGTCAAGGTGGCGAAATTGTTTTTTGAAGCCCTCGTTCGCAAGATGCCTCTGGAAGTCTCCCCTGTGGATTTCAGGACCTCGCACGAGACGCACACGTTTCCTGGCCTCGTTAACATCGCTGCGTTTGTTCCCGGACTCATGCAACTCAATAATAACGAGATTGCCGGTGCTACCAAGGCGTCTCTTGGTGGCGGCTTTGCCACAGTTCTCGTACTACCTGCCGGAGAGAAGGACAAGATAACTGATCACACTTCGCTTGAACGAGTCCGCAAGGCCATCGCTGGATCGTCGTACTGCAACTATGCTTTGAACGTCACCGCGACAGCTACCAATACGAAGTCCCTCGATGACGAGATCGAGGCAGATGTGAAGTTCCTGTACATTCCATTCCACTACAACGACGCAGATAGCCAGGTCTCCGTGGTCGCTGCACATTTCGCTTCGTGGCCCGCCGACAAGCCTATCGTGACCGACGCTAAGGGCTCCGACCTTGCCCCTATGCTCCTCCTCGCAGGGCTACACGATCGCAGCCTCCACATCATGAACGTCCAGAGCAAGGACGACATGCTTCTCATCTCCCTCAGCAAGGCGAAGCAGCTTAAGGTCACGTGCGACGTTTCCGTCTACACTCTGTTCTTCACACGCGAACAATTCCCCGGCGTCACTTGTCTGCCTACCATTGAGGACCAGAATATGCTATGGCAGAACCTAGATGCGATCGATACGTTCTCTATTGGTACGGTCCCCTACCAGCTTGCCCGGGAGCTCGACAAGGAGGGCACCGTATGGTCCGGCATCGAGGAGGCCCTCCCCCTGCTGCTGACCGCTGTCGCCGCAGGCCGGCTCACGATGGATGACATCCGCCAGCGTCTGCACGACAACCCCATCCGGATCTTTGGTCTCCCCGACCAATCCCATGCGGGCGTTGAGATCGTCGTCGGGCGCAAGTCTCTGTTCAGCAACAGAGGCAAGGTGTGGTCCCCGCTCGACGGGACGATGGTGAACGGCGGGGTGCACAGGGTCCTTGTGCATGGACAGACCGCTTTCCTGGATGGCGAGGTGACCACTGGGCCGGTCGGACGAGACATTTCCAGCGCGACGATTACTCACGCGCCTGCGGAGAGGTCGATGTCTATCTCCGGTCCAAGGCCCGAGTTCGGCGTGGCGATGCCCTTGGCTTCTAAGGCAGCAGATGCTGCAGCGCAGACGCAGCCTGTGCCAGCGACGACGACGGCAGCACCATTTTCCACCGCTGTCGCGCCCTTGCAGGGGCCGGCTGCCATGCTCTCGCACCTGCTCCCGCACCCCGCGTTCCACCGGCGGCACATCCTGTCGGTGAAGCAGTTCACGCACAAGGACGTGCACGACCTGTTCTCCCTCGCGCACGAGATGCAGCTGCAGGTCGAGCGCAATGGCACGCTAGACGTGCTGAAGGGCAAGGTGCTATGCACGCTCTTCTATGAGCCGTCGACGCGCACGACGTCCTCGTTCGACACCGCGATGAAGCGATGCGGCGGGGAGGTCGTGAACGTGAACGTGGACATGTCGTCCGTGCTCAAGGGCGAGACGCTCCCAGACACGATCAGAACGCTCGGCTGCTATGCGGACGCGATCGTCATCCGGCACCCCGAGATCGGCAGCTCGCAGCTGGCGGCCAAGTTCTCGCCCGTGCCGATCCTGAACGCCGGAGACGGAGTTGGGGAGCACCCCTCGCAGGTATGGCATCGCGCTTTACGATGCAAGGGAAGCGTGCTAATTCTGTCCCGTTGGTCTTGCAGGCGCTGTTGGACGTGTACACGATCCGGTCGGAGCTGGGAACGGTCAATGGGCGCACGATCACGCTGCTCGGGGACCTCAAGAACGGGCGGACCGTGCACAGCCTGGTGACGCTGCTCTGCCTGTACTCGGTGCGGCTGAATTTCGTGTCACCACCGTCGCTCGCGATGCCGACGAGCGTCGTCTCTGCCGCGCGGCGCGCGGGCGTGCACGTGCGGATCTGCGAGTCGCTGGAGGATGTGCTCGGAGAGACGGACGTGCTGTACGTGACGCGGCTGCAGAAAGAGCGCTTCAAGTACGAAGGGGCTTGGCAGTCGGTCAAGGACGCGTACCGGATCGACCACGCGCTGCTCTCGCGCGCGAAGGAGGAGATGATTGTCATGCACCCGCTGCCGCGAGTCAATGGTGCGTACCGCACGTTCTCGCCGTCGCGAAGGTTTTAATATGCTGACTGGCTGACTGATTGATGTGGTTGCCCGGTGGGCGCGCAGAGATTGACCCGGATGTGGACTTTGACTCGAGGCGGGCGGTATATTTCCGACAGATGCGCTATGGGCTCTTCGTACGTTATCTCTATGTATATTTTCGCGCGCGACGCTGGCTGACCGTGGTGGGTGCGCAGATCCGGATGGCGCTGCTAGCCAGCGTGATGGGCTGAAACCGCTCAGCTCGCCGAAAAAGTACATATGTTCGCCATGGACTTCCGGACTCTTTAATTGAAAGGGATCGCGCCGCTCAGCGGTGTCACGTGTAGGACTTGAAGTACTCAAAAACGACTCTAGAATCAATTGTAACATACCCGCACAAGTTTGTGTGTCCGGTGACACGTCTGTTGTAGAGAAGCCCAAAAGTTGCAACATGGACGATCTGTTGACATTTCCTCGTTTAGAATGCGTAGTACGAACTCCGTGACAGGGTTCGTGTTTGTTGTGGGCCGACGAAGGGAGAGGTGTTCTATCTTGATACCACTTTGGTTCCATCTAATGGAAGCCCTGTCTTCACGGCATGGCGCAGACATATATACAGTACAACTATCTCATAATGCATAGGCCCAGGGAGATACAAAATCTTTACAGCCAAATACTCAGGCAAAAAACCCTCATAATGCATAGCAAAATCTGGGCATTGACACTATGCGGTATGAGATCATAGTGTACTGTATATAATGCTGTAAGTGCTCAAAATCACCACCCACCCACCGCTGGCCCACAGCTACGGCACTAAAAAATTACAGAGCTCCACCAACTCATTGTGGTTTGTCACCAGTGCAGCTTCCGCGCGAGCCCCCCGCCAAGCAGCCGGACAAGATTTAGCTGGGCGTTTGGACGAATGAACTGTCGCGTATACGCACGGAAGTTAAGGCAATGGAAGGTGCCGATGGGCACGGCGGTTGCGGATACGCAGCAGCTATTGATTTGAACGAGAGCCTACCACATACCACCGGACGCTCGCCGCTCGGGGAATGTGCGCATCCATCGTATTGTCATATGTCTGCAAGTTTTCCGGGTCCTTGATGTGGTCGTTTGGCACCCTATGAATACAAAAGAATATGTCTGCAGCACGTCAATCAGCTGAGAAGGAACTTGCCGAGAGTATGCCGTCATATGTGCGTGAGATCGAAAGCGACGTCGGACAAGCTTGGAAAGATCAACTACGAGCCTACGACGCTGCCGACGTTCATGCTAGCTTCATGCTAGTCCTGACCCTGAAATGCGATGTTTTCGGAGTGCAGGAAGGCCTATATGTTTTGCGTGAGTGTTCCAGTTAGCCAATTTCCAGATCCAGGAACGTAGACCTTTTGTGCATGATCATAGATATCTGAATGATCTCCTCGTCCGCGATCAAATCTATTCAGGAACGACGACACGGACGCACGGCAGAGTGGCCAGGGGACTGACCGTGCCAGCGAGAGGAATGGAAAGCGCTCTCTGTTCGCGCGCCTTTTCCTTTCGCGACTGTGATGTCCAATGCGCGACACGACGATGACAGACGCTTTCTCGAAGAACATATATTCGCGTGGGATGTCTTCTCATTCACGATCTCCCGATTTTCCCTTGGCGGCCTCGCGTGGATACTCTTGGCCACGCTGCTGCCTTTCACCAACACCGCGACGACCCCAGCTCGCCGCACATGTCTCTCTCCTCCTCCCCCGCCATGTCCCCCGTCGACGAGCAGCAGCTGCAGCCGCCCAGCGCGAGTCCAGAGCCCGAAGCGGCAGCGGTGCTAGCAGAGCCCAATTCCGACTCTACGGTGGTCGTGATAGTCGAGCCAGAAGCACCTCAACGCCTCAGCAGCCTCAGCAGCATCCCGGACGCTGACAAGCCTCTCCCGCGGCCAAACAGGTCCCCACCGCCCGCCGCAGGGCCCTCGCGCATCTCGCTGCCGCCCGCGGACAACGTGCCCGGCCCGTCGCGGCGGAACACCGGCTCGTACGACAAGTCGCCCGCGGGGAGCATCTCCGGGCCCGCCTCTCCGCAGCCCATCCCGGTACCCTTCTCCCGCCCGGCGGACGCGCTCCTGCGCGACCGTGGAGACCGGCGCGCGCTCAGCAGCCTTGGACACGGCGCCATCTCGGATGACAGGTACCAGCCCGCGCGTGCGGTCAGCTACGACCCCCGCATGGCCCGCCACGCGGCCAGGCGGGGTGTACAGTCGGAGGTGTTTGAGCGGGCTGCCGCGGGGGAACGGCCGCGCACGGCGCCGTACGGGACGGTGGGCGAAGAATACGTCGGCACCAATGTGGATTGGATGATCCCGAACGCCCCGCCGGATGCGCGCGTGCCGCCAAACGGCAACATGCCGATGCCGAATGCGAGCGGGTACGCATCGGTGGACGTGAAGGAGGTGTCGAGCAGCATAGTGTGTGATTATTCTGACAGACCCCGGACTGCGCTCATTAACTCTCCAGCAGACACGGGAGAAAACGGTGTACGAGCGACTGCAGCCTACACTGGAGCACGCGAACACGGAGCTGGCGGCGTATACTCTGAAAGGTGATACTCATCGCGAGAAGCCCGATTTGGTGCTACCGTTTCCTTTCTTGGGTTACTGAGTGCTGTGATCGGCGGCGCTGACAGCTACTAGACCAACGGCGCTCTTTTCGGTTTCTTCCGCCAGCTGAGAGCAGTCGCTGGTCTTCCGCGCCACGCCGTGGCTTGGGGACCAGATGGGCAATCGTGTAAAGCTGACGTCCGCGTACTGTGAGGATGTCAGGCAATTTTCGGGCCTGATGTTTCATTCCGTTCCCTTGTGCTTAACGTTGAGCGTCGGATCTAATTTGTTGCTCAGCGAGGTTGACTGGATATTCCCTGAACGCTTGCATTGGACTACAAGTTCTACTTGGCGCGGTGACCACTGGCGTCGCCGCAGCCACCACCGGTAAATCCGTACGTCACGCGCTGGTTCATGCTCGTGAAAGCTGATCTTCTTCCAGGCCTCCATTGGGGTGGCTGTCCTCGGGGGGCTTTCCACTCTCGCGGCATCGTACCTTGCGCGCACACGCGGGTCCGGCGAGCCCGAGGCGTCGACCGCACGCTGCAAAGATCTGGAAAACTTCATCCGCGAGTGTGAGGCGTTCACGCTCGACAAGGGCCATGTCGTCGGCACTGAATACGACTATGTGATCGAGAAATTCCGCCAGCGGTTCGAGGAGATCATGGGCAACGTCTCAAATAGCCCAATCGACGGGCAGAAGGAGAAGGGCAACTCTTCGGTGTGATGCGCCCTCGTCTTGTTCATTTTGTGTTTACTCTTTCGGTGTTAGGGCTTCGGATGGGACTCGTTCGTTACTTATTAGCTATTCTGCGGCTGTAATTGTTCTTTATTTCCTAGGTGTTGTCTCTGTCGGTACGTACACACGTCGTTTGTGACACTGTATTTTTGTCTCGGGTTGGAGATTCTGATGTCTGTTTGAGATTCCGAGGACGTGCTGGCGTTGAAACGCAAATTCGAACAGTGTCGGGACGTAGGGCCTGTGTTCACCCTTTTTTTGCCGATTGACGATTCCGGTGAAGAAGTGAATGCACTGAGGGGCTTATGCTCGAACCATCGTGCGAGACATAATATTCCCTCGACAACTCTGCAAGTGAAGCCAAAGTCTTGCATTAAATATTTTGCATTGGTATCAAGAGGATGCAGAAGATCGGCGATGCTGACAGCAAGTGACACTCTCCCTCACGGGGTATACCCGTTAGCGAAAGGATCACTTGCTGTCAGCATCGCCGAAGAATGACAATTCGGAGTGAGTTCCTACATTATACGCAGCGCCATCGCCATTCTAACTACCAAGTACAACGTCCAAATCGCCTGATCTGACACCTGTCCCCCCCTGACACCATGACCGATACCGCCCCCAGGACAGGATCGGCGAAGATCGTCCCGTGTTGGACGATCCAGCGGGATCGACGTTCGTCCCCTTCCCAAATTGGGATCGCAAGAGGATAGTAGACTCCAGTTCGTTGCCATTTCCGCAGCCGCTTTACGGTCACAAATTGACGGGTGGGCTACGCGCGGAGTGCTCGCAAAAGATTCGATGTGACGAGTGTTCTGCGATGGAGAGTCAGAAAAGCTTGGCATACAACCGCTGAGTGCCGCTTACCACGTATCAGGTTTCGGCTCTCGTACAACGAATACACCACTCCAGAATCATGCACGGCAGAGTGCAACCATCTGCACATCCCGTGTGACGCGCCCCACTGGGGAATGCAACCATCTGCACATCGGTACGACGCGCCTCACTGGAGGAGGGTGCCACAGCAGAGGCGTGACAGCGTCTTATGCGACTTGCGGACGCCAGCAGGCACTAAGCAGTGCGTAGCTCCCGGCTCGCTAACGCTCGCATTCGCCGGAGTCTCGTCGGACGTGCCTTTTCATCTCGCAGCTGTACCAGCCTTCCTGGCGCGCGGTTTCTTCGCGGGCGGCAGTGCGGTGGCGTCGTCGGTCTCTGTCGCAGTCGACGTGCGCTTGCGGCTCTTGCGGGTCCCCGGTGCAAGGTTAAGAAGAGGCGCTAGGGCCGACAAGAGCACAGGAGGCTGGATAGGTGGAGCAGTAGCCAGCATTGACGGGCCCGCGCTGAAACTTGACGCGCCCATTACCTGGTCCGCGGCCCACGCAGCTTCGAGTTCCTCCAATTGGAAAGGAACGATGTCGGCGGTGACTACACCCTGGCCCTTCCCCTTCCGCTTCCCTGCCGCCTTCTTGGTAGCCTTCCGCGGTTTCTTTGGTGCCGGTGCAGGGACCTCGACGGAGTCCGTCTCCTCCTCCGCACACCGACGACGTTTGCCTGTGGTCGGTGTCGGTACGGGAGCAGGGGATGGCCCACACGCAGGGACTGTCGCGAGGGAAGGCGTGTACAACCATCGTGCAGTGGCAAGAGGAGCCACCTGTTGGCTGTCCCGGGGAAGATTTGTCGGCTGCGATGGAAGGGGAGGCGCAACCGGAGGGCCCATCGGCGAAGGTGCACTGAGTCCAGCTGATGTGTTCGTCGCACCGTACGACCCATATGCAGACGCAGCATGGACTTGGCTGGGCATTGAGGGTACCTGGCGGTGCATGTGGCCACCCTGGCATGGTTGAACGAAGTGCCGAGTGGGATGATTCATCGGCATTGGCTGCTGGGCAGATGCTGGGGAAGGGGTCAATGACGGATATCCTGCAAAGCTGGCATGGGGATAGGCCACTCGACCGTTCTCCAGTGAGTTGCTCTGCGAAGCCTTCAAAGACGCCGACCGGATGTCCGTGGAACTGGCAGTAGATTGCGCTTGCTTCCCGCCCTGCGCATTGCGTGGCGCACGTCGAAACGCCGCGGTACTCAGCGGAGGAAAGCGTTCTGTGTTCGGGGTGGCAGACATCGTCTGCGGAAAAAGATCATCAGGGTTGGGCCACAGTTGTTCGACAAACGACTATCCACATACCCGCATTTCAAACGAAATGTCGGAGCTGCTCCGACACTTATTGAACCAGAGTATGAATTCACCCTGCATATCAAACAGTAAACGGCCGGTAGAATAACCCCGCGTGAAGCACAACATACCGATTCAAAGACCTGGAGAACTTTGGCAGTCGGTTCATAGACCCGCGGGGTCTTCGGCATTCTGCACACGGTCAAAAGACATGCCCGAGGTACCCCAAACCGTTGTGTGACACAATCTCTCCACTACATGAAACATAGTGAGTCATGGCCACACTGGAAGCAAACGGCATTACGAACATATTTCGCTCTAAAGATTGCATTCTCCAAACCGGTATCGCTGCCCACAGGGTCGGAAGGAAGGTGGCTAAACGGCATCGCGACGATGAGGTGCTGCATAACATGGAGAGAATCAGAACATGTGCGGCACAAGAAAAGGCACCAGGTTCGTACAGTGACGCCAGCGAGGACCCTCGATGTGGAGTCGCCCACAATTGGTGAAAGCAAACGAGGATCGTTTGGTTCGTATTCCAACAAGGTGATGTGGGCCACTATGTTATAATTGATAGGCATCGAGCGTGTCATGTCCATATCGGAGTGTTGCATGTTGAGTGGCAATGGCATGGGAGTAAACGGGGTGCTGTTTGTCGATGGACACAATGCAGGTGGTGGTTGAAGTTGAAGCTGTGGCAAGAGTGGTTCTGTTGCTTTAAAGCGCGTCAAGTCACGCGCGTAACGCTATGACCCATGCGTCACTTCAAAGCGCACTGTACGTCCCTGTTTGTTCTCGTTCTCTGACCATGATTATGCCACCTTGAAGAGTTTTTTTCCTTGCTGACTTTCGTGCCCTCGATTATGAGGTTGTCGAAGTCCGGGCAAACCTTGTTCAACGTCCCCGCCACACTTGCGTCGCGACATGTTTATTACGCGTTAAAGCGCGACGGAAGGTGATATTTGGTTGCAGAAGATGAGTCTCGAGGCCCTAGATGCCTTAAGAATGATCAGTCTTCTTATTCTAATCGGATTGGAAGGTCAGTGATTCACCGAATCGTCGCCCTCCTTTAGCGCCTGCTAGTCACGCTGAGTTCCACAGGAAAAGCTCGAAAGTCGCACCCAAGACATAAGGTGAGATTAGCCGCCTTTTCAGTTTATGGAAACGACCTTCGGCATGCGAATGGATCGATGTCTCGTGATGGAACGTGAACGCTGAATCGCATAGTTCCCCGAAGTGCGGATGTCGCTCTGCAGGATGCTGAATAGTTTGACTAATCCTTGATCCGCATGGCATGGGAATTTCGAGGGTCAGAAAAAAGAGATCAGGTGGAAGGAATATGGTGTCGAGGATCCAGCATTCCAAGCTGGGTTACCGCATTGAGGCGGTTGCAGCGTGCTGCTATCTGTTCAACCGCGACTTCGATCTTCAGTGATGCGAGTTATGAGGACGTGCAAGCGTTCGTGGAGGACGTTAGCGCGGGAAGAGGATAGATGGCAGATAGCGTTAGCTATCATACTCGCACAGTATGGGGTTCATTCGCAATCAATAGCTTACCGTGAAATGACGAAGCTGTGCATCACACAAACAGATGAGATTGAATGAGCTGTCCATGCCAAATTGAACTGGATTTTGTCCACTACTCTTGCGTGATACGCCCTTCAAGGAGGAATCGGTCACTACGCAAGGTCAGGCGTGACATCTGCTGCGATAAAGCCAGAAGGTATGTACGCGATGGATTGTCTAATTTCCTCCAAAGACACTGCTGACACTCACCAGCATGCAATGCTGTGTCCAAATATTCCGGTAAAAGTAGGAACGATGTGGTGCTGATCTACGTACGCCTCCTGTGGAAATCTGAGGTGCAAGCACTATTCACGTCATACAAGAGTTTCTGCCGCATGGGTTGTGGTAACCATCGTCCAACAATCTCTGGCGGAAGGTGTTCCATCCAATATTGAGAACACTTCGAAGTTATCGCGGTCGACCGTCCGGGATCATGGATCTTTCTTGTTTTCCTGGTTTAGAAAAGTGTGTCAAAAAATTTACTTCCATGGGTCATGTGATGAACGCGTCGCGTCCAAGGACTGACTCGTACTGAGATCTGAGACTCGGACATGCTGCCGCGACATACTGAGCTCACCGCAAAATGCTCGAGGAGAAGTGAATATAATTGGCCTTTGTGTTCAATCTACAGTAAACACATCAATAACATCTCCACAGTGGTAGTTGTACGGTACGCACAAATGCAGTAAATGACACAACTACAAATCGTTCAGGTCAGATCGCGAGGAGAGAGATGGCGGAGGTTTCCTCAACAGAAACTAGAGGAAACTACGATGCGAAATCGCAACTTCGAGCCTAGCGGTACTCATTTGTTTTCCAACGTTCACGCACGTAGCTGAACGCGTGTCGACGCCAGGATCAAGTCATATCATACGACCGTCCTCAAGAACCTCACTTAGCTGACATGGGCGTGGAACAACGTAGTAGTCGAAGGTCGGGAGCCTGATCGGTTGGATGGCGGGCGTGGTCCCTTTGTTGCGCGACGCCCGTGGCTTCTTGGCAGTAGGAGCATGCTCGGCGTTACCCACACCTGCATTCTTGGGTGACTGCGGGAAATAATGCACATACTGTACCTGCTTCATATACAGATCGCTATGCACATTGCGCGCTCTGCCCAGCAGTACTCAGCCTTGTGATGAACTTAAGGATGTCTGCCACATAGTCTTGCACACCACATACCCATTCAGATGAACAAAACTTTGCAACAAAAAATGAGGACAACAAACAACAATGAAATCAAGACTGTAAACAAGACTTTGTCTGGACCACAAAGTCTAACAGAATTAATCCTTGCCGTGCAGGCATCTTCAAACTCCAACAGATCCCCCATCACTCCAGCTAAACTCCAAGCTCTCGATGAGCAAACACTTACTATTGCAGTTTAGCCGAGCCTGACAAGTTGTCCGATGACCAGTCACGACAGTAGCCCCTACGCACATCGATGGCAATGGGCCTCATAACAATAGCCAAAGGCCTCAGAGAACGAACAGTCGGCCAACTCTTGGTGTTGTCGTTCGACTGGCAAGTCGCCGACGACGACGTCGCGTACCGCCTCTCCTTCGGTGATTCGCCCATGACCAGACGAGCCATCGGGACATCCAGTTCCTCCTTCACTCGTGCGACGATCACCGCTGACTGAAGAAGTCGAAGATGACCGGATTCGCTACGACCGGCATTGGGATCGCTGGGGCGCTCTTGACATGTGGGGAAGCTGTAGACCTGTTCGACGACTCGCTGCTGCGCACTACACTGCTCTCACTCGTGGAAGAGCTAGGACGATGGACGAAATCGACGGCCGCGGCTATCACGGGAGGCGGAAGAGCTGGCGGATCTGGGTTACGCTGAGACCACTTGTTCTTCGTACGAATGGACGACAATGAAGCAGGAACCGTTCTATTCGCGGTCTGTTGCAAACCGTCCTTTCCTTCCGTAGCCTTCCCTTTGTTCGCCCTCTTGTTCTTGCGTGGAGCTGCGGCTTTCTTCTTCGCCGCAGGGACAGCATCTGGTGAACCGTCACCCACGCCCGTCACGACCGCTCTACCCTTGCGAGCTGTCTCTGTCGTCACCGCGGATACACTCCTGGGCTCTGAAACCGATGCAAGCGTCGGAGCCGCAACAGACTTCACTGGGCCACAGATTCGTCCACCGCGGGCACCCTTTGGCACGGATTCCGCAAGAACTCTCTTGGTGAACTCGCCCAGCTCCCTCTTGGTCTCCTTGAAGACAGTAGTGGGATGATCCTCGTCAATGGTGAGATCGATCACCTCCTGCGGAGGGCTCCAGCGTTTCGTTGCGAGCCCCTGCATAATCTGCAGGAGAGTTCCGAACGTTGACGATTCATAATCTGCAGTTGTGTCAGCGGTAACCTGCCGAGGGCGGACATTCTCCTTACCCGTGTCCTCCTTTGCCGCCCCAGGGGTCGCACCGGCGGCCGCATCTGCTCGCTTTGACTTGCGAGTCTTCTTCGCCGGCCTGGCCTCCATTTGCGAACTTTCAGTTGAGTCACTGTCGGACAAAGTGCGCTTCGTTCTCTTTCCAGTCTTAGGCACACAAATTGAATCGGGGGTAGGGGTGACGGGCGAAGCCTGGGCGGCAGTGGTGGTGAGAGATGGCACAGGAACAGTGACCAGCTGAGAACCAGAAGCTAGTGTGGCCACTGATGTGGGTGGGTGAACGAGTAGAGGTGCAGGCTCGGTGGTGGGGTGGGCTATCAACCTGGGAGAGTGCATGCGTTTACAACCGACATTGGCCACGAATTCGGAGGTGGAGTCGGAACCGAAGGGGGGTGTAATGGTGGGGGAAGGTGCAAAACCGCCGGCCACTTCAGGGTCGGGGCCAAAGAGGGACACCATCATGTCGTCTGACAGAGTGGCCTCAACCCCGTTGAAGCTCTGACTCTGCCACCATTGGTCGATCTCCACCTCTGAGCCTCCCGTTTGCAGATTGACAGACTCTGCAGTATATCCGATGGTCCCGAACGAGTCTGAAGCGAAGTCCTAGTATGGTGGAAGAATGTCAGCAAAGACGCAGTACACAGAAAAGCGATGCCCTCACGTTCGTATTGTCAATGGTAGGAAGAGGGTCATTGCAGGCGGCATGAGAGTGGGCGAATGACCACATTCCGTGCATTGAAGTGATGTGAGGGTGAGACGTCGAGAACATGATTGTGTTTGGTACAAAGGATATCAAAGGCGATGATGTTGGTGGTCAAGGTCAAAGGCCAAAATGTCGAACTGGGTGGCGCAGGAGGTCACAAGTTCGCAATGTAACGCAGCCGCATCATGAATTGCATTGTTCGACTTACTTTGTCTGCTCAGTGGCAAAGTCAAACTGAGCCACTCAGTTTGCTCGTCCGCGGTCCTTGTCTCCTCCAATCAATTTCTACTTGAAGAAATTTCAAAGGCGCAGCAAACGGGCACCGAACCCGTCAAAACACAGCGCTGATCATACTTTTGCCACAATATCAGCGCTTTTCGTGCAGGTACAACGCAGAAATTTGAACTCGACAACATGAAGCGCACCACAATAACTGGTAATAGCAAGGCAAATGTTCATCCTTCGTCATGGACAAACGAATCGTGAAAGCAGTGAGAAATGTTCACTGTTTCTATGTGCACTTTGCCTGCCATACAATCCGCTTGATATACTTAAGGATGTAGACAGCGAAATTGTTAAAACTGAATGTACTCACCGTGGCCAATCCTGCGCAACAAACATTCTGACAGTCGTGACTCACTATCAGGCAGACCCTCAAGCGAGCATGGTTGAATGCATCCGTCACTGGGATACACTGCTCTAACAAGACATCCTATCCACAAATCTCAACGTAAACGGTCTGCCCAATTTCCTTCGCAGATCGGACCTCCCAGATGCATCATCGCCACACAGCTAGGCCAAACAAGTTCGGACTGCATATGTTCGTGAGCATCTCTAGTGAGCGGATCAGAGGGCCATCGGTATAATTCACATTAAAGACCGACCTTTGGTACGGACATTGCGTCTGACGTCAACGGCGCAGAGCAATAGGATCTAATATCAAATCAGGCGTCACCGGAGGTGTCCAAGTGATCACGCTTGCTCGCTGTTACGATGTCCGAAGTCGGTGAAACTATTACAGAGGACGAACCGCCACGTTGTGCGAACCGGGTTAGGTGCTTGGGATAAGCATGCTTGAGGAGGATGTGATACAGGATGCCGAGGGGTTACGATGGGGAAAAAGGCTACGCAGATGGTTGCGTGCTCCAGGGATAGTTGGGACGCGGGCGCGGTTCCGCCGCACCACGAACCTGGCGAACCCACAGTCATCAGCTTCGTGGAATTCGGTAATTCACAGAACCGATTGATTGCATATTACTACCGCTGCCTTTTTATCCACTCCTATTTGAGACGCTCACGCAGCCAAGCCATACGACCGACCTGCAGAAAAAGGGCATCAACGAGATGAAATTCGGCAGTCAGAGAATTTGCGGCACACCACGAAAACTGAGTTATCTTAGCCATCATCGACATCCATTGGTTGTGGACCGCCCTCAGCCAGAGCGTCACTAGGTACATTGGCGGAGACTACTTCAGATGGCTGCACTGCACGTCCTTTTCCCTTGTCCTTCTTCTTCGACTGCGATTTGCCAGACTTTGTGCGAGCGTGTTCAGGATGATCAACCACCCTCTCTTTCTCTTCCTCCTTCCCCTTCCTCTTCCCCTTGGCCTTGATGGGTCCCCCCCGATTATTACCATTGGAGCTCGAGGCGTCATTGTCTACACCCATCAAATGGTTCATGGTCTCGGGAATTTTCTTCTTTAACGTGGAATTGATATGTCTATCTTCAGATGTGGTGCCACTATTTTTCTCCTTCAGCTCCACTTCCTTGAAGCGAATGCGGTGTTCTGTCGAACCAACATGCACAAGAGATTTCCTGCTGCGGTCTCCGCGATCATCTACACCGTATCAGTGGGAGCGCAAAGCTGAGCTTCATGGTCTCCGTACCTTTTTCCTCAGCAAATAACAACTCAGTACCTAGCAAAGACTGGTGCTGCCCTCTGAATGTCGTACCAGATAGTTGCAAATAAGCAGTGGGCGTATCCAAACCCTATGGGAAGTAATTCTGAGTGAATGAGTTTGACCAAAAGAAACCAAAAGAAGGAATTGAAGACGAACAATTAGACGATAGGACGAGGTACTTGGTACCAGAGCTGGCTCCACAGCTCCGAGGTCGAGCGTCACATATACCTCTTCCTCTTCAACTTTACCGTCGCATTGCTCGTAGTCTTCGTCTGGCCCAAACGCTTCGACCTGAAGATATGCGGGAAAGAGAGACGAGCCAGGCATTTTATGGTTTGCGAGATGGGATGTCATGAGGCTCGGCTCCGAGTAGAAGGTTGTTTGTACTAGTAGCAGATCTCGATCAGAGGCATAGCCAAACAACCTCCACCGACTTTCTCTGCAGCTCATGTCACTTTCTGCCACCCGTCCTCTACTCTCATCATCTTCCCGCCAATGGCTCTCCCGCCAGGCGCGTGACCCGTACGTGCGGGAGCGGCTGAACCATCCAGACAAGTTCCGTGCGCGCTCCGCGTTCAAGCTGCTCGAGATCGACCAGAAATTCAACCTCTTCACGCCTGCAGTGCGCACCGTCGTCGATCTGGGCGCGGCGCCTGGTGGCTGGAGCCAGGTCGTTGCGGGTAAACTAGGGTGGACGCAGGACGTGGTTGTAGTTCCGCGTAAGGCGAGGGGAAAAGGAAAGGCGGTGGACAGGTCCGATGGCTTACGAAAGTTCGACCGGAGGAGCTCGCCCGTGCCAGAGGTGGATGAAGACTTTATTGACCCTCTGAGAGATACGGGATTGGATCTAGAACAGAGCGTCTTGCGCCCTGCAGGACGAGGAACGATCCTCGCCGTCGACCTATTACCGATACAGCCAATACCTGGAGTGAAAACTGTCAGGATGGACTTCTTGTCGGAAGAAGCGAGAGCGCACATTGGCTCGCTGCTCCAGCACGAAGCTGGTTCGGGCGGGAAGGCAGATCTAATCCTGTCGGATATGGCTGCCAATAAGACGGGTAACGATGTTGCTGATAGCGGCTCGGGCGTCATCATCTCGCAGGTAGTTCTTACGTTTGCAGAGAGTCATCTTCGAGTGAAGAAAAGCTCCGAGAAATCGGGCGGAGGGACCCTTGTGTGCGTGCATTCATTCATGTATTATCCAGGCAGACCTGCTAATTGTGCCTGCAGTCTAAAATACTTCGATGATCCTGCGCACAAGGAAATGCGCGATACAGTACTCAGTCGTTATTTCCAGACTGTTGTCTCACACAAACCACCAGCTAGCAGGTCAGAGTCCAGCGAACGATATTGGATATGTACAGGTTTTAGAGGGAGCCCTTAGCATATGCGTCTCCCTTAATTTGGACCACGTCCTGCCTCCGGACACACCAGTGTCACCCTTCACATACTGGCAAGAGAATCGCTCTCGCCTTTCAGAAAGACGACATCCACTAATTGAGGAAATGGCGGCCGTTGTCGCTGTCTGAGCTTTTGGAACATTGCTTTCGGACAAAGCTGATGCATGGCATATCACAATAGGGCATAACAACAGGATACAAGTATTACATCTTGAGGACATCGGGCAAGGCGCTGGAACACGCAGGAAGACGTGCTAGTTCCCGTAAAACTTCCAAATGGGTATCACCAGCATCACAGAGACAAGAAAAGAAGCGTACATCCGATACAGCCGCTCACGCGCCGAAACCGTAGAGAGTGCGGCCGGAGCGCTTGAGAGCGTAGACGACGTCGAGAGCAGTGACAGTCTTTCTGTAGGAGTAAACACGATTCAGATACCACGTAGATGAGGAAGGGAGGTAACGACTAGCCTCTTAGCGTGCTCAGTATAGGTGACCTATGAGGGGAAATGATGAGTCACGACTTCAGGATCGAAGAATGGACGGTGTAAACGTACGGAATCCCGGATGACCTGAACACGGAAGAGTCAGTGTATGATGCAGGAATAGACAGAGGGCCACGTACATTCTCCAGGAAAATCTTGAGTACACCACGGGTCTCCTCGTATATCAAGCCCGAGATACGCTTGACACCGCCACGCCGAGCGAGACGGCGGATAGCCTGTGGATAACAGCACAAAGATCGACACAAGACAGCTTAACAAATTCAAAATTTACGGACGGGCTTGGTGATACCCTGGATGTTGTCGCGAAGAATCTTGCGATGACGCTTCGCTCCACCCCTGTCGTCGCACATGCTGAGTGAGCGCCTTGTTCCAAGCATGCGGCGAGGTGACACTCACTTTCCGAGACCCTTTCCACCTTTTCCACGGCCAGACATGCTAGATTTGCGTTATCGAGTGATAGAATAGGGTTGTGAGGATGTCCCAGGCGTCAGACGAAGGAAGTTGAAAGACAAGAACGAAGGTGCCCACGTTGCGACTCCGAAGAACGCGGTGCACGTGATCTTTCAACCTCTTATTCGTTTTTTTCGTTTCTTTGTAGTGACGGTTACAAACAAGTTACAAATGACTTGAAGATCTAGTAGAGGACCCACTGGCAGTTCGTAACCCATTCAGTTACAATTCCGGGCGTCTGACTCGGTCACCCACTTGATCACAGCTACACTGCATGAGAGCACCCGATTCCTGCTTCTGCTGATTATTGACGTCCGACCCTAGTTCCACAGCAACCGCATATCCTGGACAATCATTGAAGTTGAGAGAAAGAAGTGTGTATGCGTCTAAAGCTCGAACGACATCCGATTGCTGACTGTCTGTGACTGCACCGCAGATCATACGACACCGTATCCCGCATCTTAGACAAGATGAGTACATCAGTAATACAATCACGACCATATACGCCGCATATACCAACATCATGCTCTCAATGCCACATCCATCTCGAATTCCCTGTCCCGTCACCCGCCCCGCGCCCGGGAACTATCCTCAACGTCAGCTGTTTCAGCTGCCATACCGTCGTCTCACATGCATTCTACCCCTCACAAATTCCCAGCACACCTTTCACATCTGGGACATCTGTTAACGGCGATGCGTCCTCTTCGCAATCGCAGGCTGCGCGGAAGGGCAGAAAGATTGGCACACAGGAACGGCCGCTTGAGACAGGATACTACGATATCCTGGGTGTGCCCGTTGATGCCACTTCAGACGACATCAAGAAAGCTTACCGTGAGTTACTCGTAAGTTTCTAGGTACTTGACTAACACTAGCTTCTAGGACGGCTCGCGATTAAGCACCACCCGGACAAGAATCGTGACGATCCGAATGCTGGGGAGATATTCAAGACGATTGCAATCGCCTATCAAACTCTGTCTGATCCAGAACTGCGTAGGAAGTACAACGAGTTTGGCCCGAAAGAGAGTGCACCGGAAGGCGGGTTCGTCGATCCAGAGGTGTGTGAGGTGGTCCGGCGTGACCTTCGATCTACCGTGTCTAATCACGCTATCTGTTACAGGAGGTCTTTGGCACCATCTTCGGGGGCGACCGGTTCATTCCCATCATTGGACACATCAGCCTTGCGAAAGACATGAAGATGGCCCTTCAGGAAGCAGACGAGCAGGAGGACAGCGGTCGGCAAGTCGTGCGGGACGCGAAAGGTCGGGAAGTTCTCAGCCTGGAGGAGAAGGCACGGCGAGACGAAAAGGAGCGCAAGATGGCCGCCGAGGTAAGCTTTGGTTTGCATGTATTGTATATTGTTTCTAAGAAACGATTAATAAAAATTACAGAAATCAGCTATTCGCGAGGAGCGGGTGCGCAAGTTGGTCGAGAACCTGGAGCGCAAGCTCGGAATATTTGCTGAGTCTGCTACGGGTCCAAACGACGTGCATGTCACTCAGAGCTACCGCACGATATGCATGCTGGAAGCTCAGTAAGTGCTACCTGATTGGTTGTCTCCTATGTCAATATTCTCTACTGTAGGGGGCTGAAAGACGAGTCGTATGGTGTGGAGCTGCTCAACGCCATTGGGTTCGTGTACGTCTCAAAGGCGAAACAGTTTCAAGCCACAAGTCAAACATTCCTCGGCGTCGGAGGCTGGCTACACAATGTCCAAGGGAAATACCATGTTTTCAGCGAGACGTGAGTGAACCCTATTTCTACTGGTTAAAACATAGAAGCTTATTGAGAAATAGGGTGTCTACCTTGCGTGCTGCCATGGACCTCAAAAATGTCTTCGAGCAGATTCAGGCGGCCGAGAAGGCTGGGAATCTCAGCCCGGAGGATAAGCGGCGGCTGGAAGAGCAAGCGGCAGAGAAGGGTCTTCAAGCGCTCTTCAAGGTGAACTCTCAGCTAGACCGCTTGACTCTTGTTGATTTGATCATACACAGGGAGCAAAATTGGAGATAGAGTCAGTACTCCGAGAGACATGCGACCGTGTGCTCGAGGACCCTTCTATTCCTAGGGCGAAGGCACAGCTACGCGCCATCGCATTACTGATTCTAGGCGAGGCATACATGGCAGTCAAGAAGGACCATGAGGAGGGTCGGGAAGAGAGCGAATATGTCAAGGTGGAGACCAAGAACAGTCGGCAGAGGGACGCTCAACGTGGCCCTTGAGCGTTGGTTTTCTTGGTGCATCTCCGTCCCAACTGCTGTTCTTCTTGTTGACTGCTGTCATTTTGCTGTCCGTATGTAGGTAATTCTCAGTCCTCGTGTGTAGCGATACTTCCTCTCAATCACAGAGTACGTCGTTGAAGATGCTTCAGCCGCCAGCTCTATCTACACACTTGATCATCGAGTAAGTATATCACGCGGATCCATCCTGCTGTTCCGCAGCTTCTGCGACAACATGCGCTGCTGGATCGGTGGATGGTAGTGCGTCAGCGGCGGCGTCCCCATTAACTTTGGGTGCCGTCGCAGCAGGTTTCGCATTCTTGCCCTTTCCCGGAGGCGGAGGGTGGTAGACCTTCTCCTATATCGCAGATTATTGATTCACGAGCCATCATCTGACATTAATTGAGAATGGCTGACCTTCTTTGCCTTCACCGGCTTTGCGTTGGGATCTGGATAAGCCAGCTTCTCAACCTCTTGCCACTCAGGGTTCTCATTGAACGCGTTCTTGATCGGCGCCAGTAGTCGCACGATTGCGTCTGCAACTGCTGTTTTCAGGTCTTTCGGATGCAATCTCTTCTCCGCAAAGTCCTGCTGCAGCTGCTCGAACGTCGCGTAATGCAGTGAGCCGCCGAATTCCTCCTTTCTGTGGACGGAGAACACCGTGTTAGTTGGTGCGCCTGGGAGTGCGAATGGCGACTGGTCGCCTGTGGACTCAGTGCCCTCATCCGAGTCCAGCCCCGTGTCACCGCGCTGGCGCTCAAGCCGCATTTGGCTGATTGGGATGAGTACCGCCTCCACGAACGAGAGCACACCGTTCTCCGTCACATTGCCCTCCTCGCAAAATGCCTTCTTGATCTTCCGGCGTACGACCTCCGGACTGTCGAGAAAGTCGATCTTAGAATCAGGGTCTGACGAGGACATCTTGCCGCCTGCCAGCCCGGGCACCATCGGGTTCATGAGATGCGCGCGCTTCGCGTATCCGAGGCGGGGAAGGTAGAGTTCGGCAAACGTGAAGATTTTGCGCTGCGAGGCCAGAATGAGACGGCATCTCATGTAGGAATTGTTCCACAAACCTGGTCGACGCCGCCAAATTGGAAATCGACACCGAGGTACTGCTCATCTAGCGCCTGCAGGCCGGGGTATAATAGCCCGCTCAGCATCGGGCTCTCGACTTGCTTGACGACTTCCGCTCCAGCCTTTTTTGCATCGTGTTCTGTAACGATCGCGCATAGGCGGTAATTGTCTAGGTTGTACTCCTTAGTGAGTTGGTAGGACGAGCCCTCTACGAAGCGTAGCTTGGAGGTTGGAATCCCTAGGGAGTGGAAAATGGCGAGCAGAACGAATTGATAGTACTTGGTTCGATGCGAGACGAGCTCTAATGGTGCCTTCATGTTATCAAGGAAGGCATGAACATCTGTCGAGTAGCGATTAGCAGGTATATTTGAGAAACTACGAAGAACTGGATGAGTTGCAAAGCCACGTTATGTCAAAATACCATAGGATTAACTCCAAGCTGGGTTGTATAGCACACGTATTAAACGTGAGACCAAGAGCATACAAAGCAAATTGGTCTAAGGGTAATCCACCTGTTTTGCGCAGTATGCGATGTAACCTGAGAGTTGTCCATGCCATGCCACATTTTCACATAATACGGTAGTCTGCCATCGACTTATGCCGCTCCTCAAGTATTTGAAAACGTACCTGCAAGCAAAATGGTGACTTCAACTCCCGCACGCAGGAAATCAGCAATCTTCGTCAATGGCACGAAGTAACCGATGTGTGCTGTAAAATCCAGACATTCATCACTCGATGCTACACCAAACGATCCGTGCACACCTACGTCTTCCTGTTGGCGCAGTTCCTGTACCATTCCAGTAGCATACTTAGAGCCACCAGTATCTGCAAGACGAATCGTATACTCACCCCAGTAGCACTTCGGGGCCTTGTCCTCCGCAAGGATAGCCTTGATTCCATCTCCTCCGAGCACCTCTTGCAGTCGTCTCGTAATCAGGTTATATTTTTGCTCCGCCAAGGTCGACATCATCAGATCGATGGAATGTGTGCGATATTCCGCCAAGAAGTGGTTTGTCCAGGTGTGTGCGAGGCCAGTATTTGAGAGGGATCTGTGACTGAACACCTTGACTCGATCGCCAGTCACGTGCGGCATGTTATTGAAGGCCACGTGGTTCAGTTTGCTCTCGGTTATGGATGACTCCATGCACCGCAATACATTCTCTGGGAAATACCGTGAAGCATATGCATCACGGCATGTGTCGCTGCACGCAGGAGCCTTTCTTGTTGCCCCTTCTCGCCCGACCACCTATCCACCTATCGAATGAACTTGACAGACAACTTCAAGCCGGTTCAAGTTGAAACGCGAAACTTGCGCAAGATCTGCGAAGGCATGCTAGGCCTCAGCGCTCAGCTCTTACACTTCGAACTACAAACCCGCAAAGACACCATGATCTCGTCCTCCCTCGCTCTTCTTGCGGTCGCCACGCCCTGGGACCACCCCACCACGACCGCCACCAAGACGATCACGGTGACTGCCCCAGCGCCCATGGCCATCACCATCAGCCAGTGCAATACCGGGAACGCCCAGTGCTGCCAGTCTACTGAAGACGTAAGTCGCGTCGCATAGTTGTGGACAAGGGATTGCCGATGCTCGCATATCAGACCAACTGTGCGGCGGGCTCTGCTCTGCTCGGCCTACTCGACGTCGTCTTGGAGGACCTCAATGTTCTGACTGCTCTCCGATTACTGTCATTGGAGTCGACTCCGGAGGCGAGTGCGAAGCCCAACCTGTTTGCTGCTACGACAACTCTGTCGTAAGTGTTATTGTTAATATAGTTGTATACTCTCTAAGGCCTGCCATCTGCAGGGTGTCTCACCTCCATTGGCTGCGTCGCCGTTACGCTTAGAGGTGGTCCGATCCTGAAAGATGCACGTAGTAGGGAACCGAATGTATTCCAGGACGGCGCGAACACAGTTTTTTGAATTCCAGTTGTTGGTGTTAACGTGCGCGTCAGCTATGAGAGTGGACGTCATAGCTGTTACAGGTACGTTGCTGAAACCCATTGTGCGTTGGCCGTTCACCGTCTCAGAATTGGTCCTTATGTCACAGCAGCTGCAGGGCAATAGGAACAACAACACCCTTGAGGCCTTCAATCCACTTCCACAGTATTTTATAGGCCTCGGAGCAGTTGTTAAAATCATCACATTTGTTCATATAAATGACATTGCGGAGAAACGATCAGAGAAACGATGGGGACCGTGCGAGAGGCAGAAAGGCAGTGCTTAACGGAATCAGGTAATCGGTCTACGACGAAGGGGATTAACGATACGATAATGTGCTGCAGATTGCGTCTAAGATCTATATCAATTAGGATGCAGAGGAATGCAACATGTGCCGGAGAAATGAAAACAGAAAAGTCTAGAGAACATAAAAATGAAGCAGCGAAACTTTGAGAAGTGTCAGTCGGGAAAGAACCACGGACGAGTAGCCTGCTTTAAACCGGTGAAATCGCGAGCTCGTCTACGTTGAGCACCTCCACCTCGTTTGCAGGCTCCTCCGTGTCAGCGACGGCCAGCTTGTTGTCGACGGCTTTGTCGTGGAAATCAAGCTCGCCCTTGGTATCCTCCTGGATCTTCTCCGGTAAGACGTCGACACGCCTGGTCTTGGTATGGTAGAAAATGAGCATCGACACGAGCTCGACGCACACGATCCCCAGGAGGAACCAAAACGCCGCCTGCGCACCGGAGTAGCTGTCTGGCCCACCATGCTTCGCCTGCACGCTCGTCTGGATGGAGCCCACAGCGGCGATGCCGATGGCAGACCCGAGCTGCAGTGCCGCGTTGAAGATGGCACCGACAGTACCGGAGAAGCTGGGGGGGCAAGTCTGAAAAATAGCGATGCTAGACAACATGTCAGTTGTGCGAAAGTTTGCATGGAGACATGTGCGTACTTGGTGTGCGTGAATGTCAACATCGCGCCACCGCTCCTACAGATTGGTTTCAGAACATGCTGGTCCGTAGAGAACGAAATGACATGCATACCCCAGTACGAAGCCTGGGAACACAAACCGCCAGTACTTGTCCGGACCATCCGCGAAGGCTAGGAGGATGGTGGCAACCACGAGCAAGAACTCTCCGCACGCGATTATCCACTTAGAGTTAATCACGCTTGAAAGTGGGCCCGAGAAGCTCATCACAAACGAGAGCACGCCGATTGGGATCCTCACCGAGAGTAATATAACCCGCAATCAGAATGCGAGGTCATGATTCGAGCTCAAGAGGGCATACATGTGAATGGCCGTCGAGATGACCGACCAGTGGTAAACATCCTGCCAGAGCGTGGTGTATGTCATGAAGATGGTCGTCCACCAAAAGTAGGGCAGAAGCGCGGTTACGAAGAGGACCGAGAAGTTGGGCAGGAACCATGTGCGTGGTGGCCTGAATTCCGTTGGATTTAACATCTGGGATGCATAAGGCAAATGAGAAGACATACACTGCAGCGCGTGAAAACGGTATTCGTGTCTCGTAATAGAAGAAGGTGACGATCATCACGACGGAGATTATCAGCGGTGAGAGCACTGCGGCGGAAGCCCACCCGTCGGTGGAGCCTGAAGTAATAGAGAAGATGAAAAGGATGAGGGCAACTAGATGTAGATAGTAAGTGAGTAGCCCAATAATCTATCCGTGCTTGGGAGCTACCTGTCAGGATGCTGACACCACCGATGTCCAAGCTCTTCCATTTTGCTGCCTTCGGTTCGACGTTCAGGCGCCTCTCCGGCGAGGGCACGAGAAGCAGGCTTATGCCCGCGATAGGGAACGCGACGAGGGCGACGAACCAGAACACCCAGTGCCACGATGCAAATTCCACAAAAATTGCACCAATGATCAGCCCCAGCACTGTGAGTATGTGAGTACACGCAGTTGGTGAGAGATCTCCTCGGTGTGTTCCGAGCTGTTTGTTGACCCACCGTTTCCAACGGCGCCACATCCGCCGAAGATACCAATAGCGCGAGCTTGTTCCGTGGGCTTGGGAAACGCAATCACAATGAGTGTGAGCGCCGACGGAATCGTCATTGACGCAGCTCATAGGGAGAATCAGGGTTAACAGGTGGAGTACGAGCGCACATTCATGTGGAACACACCAGCGCCCGGAGGATAATGAGCGTGATCTTGTCGTGGACAAATCCGGCACCGATGGAGATTGCCCCCAAAGCGGCTATACCAGCAGTGAAGACAAGCTCTGAACATGCTGTCAACATGGCCATTGTGTGTAAAGTCTGGTAAACTTGGACTCACTAGGACTGTAGACGTCGCTGACGCGCCCGCTCTGCGAAAAAAATAATGAGCGCACGCCAAGGTCTGAAACACCTGGGATTACTCACAATGAGCAGGAACGAAGCGAACGTCAACTGGAATGCGCTGATGATCCATGTTGACTGGCTCTCCGAAATGTTGAGGGAGATGACGAGCGATGGGATGGCCGAATACAAGGCACAGTTGTTGACCGCGTCTAAGAACTGCGCACAGCAATATATAAGCAGGAGAAAGTACCGACGGAACGTCGAGTATTTTGGGGGAACCCTTCCGTCGACGAGTGTCTGGGCGGGAGAGAGGACGTTAGAGGACGGGCCGGAAAGCATGTCTACACGGGCTCGGAGGAACACTACAGTCTATTACCAAGGCACGTATATGACAAGAATATAGAAACAAGACCCAAACCGGAAGAAAGAAACGCAGAGAATGAGAGAGCAGAAAGGAGAGAAGGATGGGGAAAACAAGATGGAACGAGCTCTTCCTTTTTATACACAGGCTGACTGATTGTGTGCCGTTACAACATATCGCGTTGAAGAAAATTTGAGCATTATCGACCAACATCTTCAAGCGCTTCGGCAGAAGAATGGGGAAGAGGCCAATGAAAACAGTTTTCGGGCAAGCACTATCATCGCCAAGAGATGAGGAAGGTCTAGAGCTTTATTTTTATATCACTTTACCTCATGCGTGACTCGTACGAACGCGGGACTGCTTGGGAGATTCTTCTGTTTTTTTTGAAAGTGCAGATCATTCCATGAGAGCCCATCCGTGGCGAGTAAGTGAACGTCGCCACAGAAGCAGGTGATGCACAGACCAGCACGACTGCCATAAACGGTGCACGTCCTTCCAATTCGAGCCGGCAATAAGTATCTGATCCCACTTTGTTTTGGTATACGCCATGTCTTCTTGTCTCCCCCGGGTATGGGATCACCAAGCTGGTCCGCGCGTAAGCATTCTCTGATCAACTTTTTTTGTCAGTTGACCCGGAATATAGACTTCGAACTCAAACGTTCGGCCACTACACCAGCAGGCTTTCTTACGAGGTCGGCTTGAATTCTGTCCTAAGCGTTCAAGTTTCCCTCGATGCTCTTGCGGTTGTAGGTATTGCGCCAGCTGTCTTATCCGAAACCTTCTCAGATGCTTTGCTTCACTGCGACATAAACTTCTGACTTCGCATCGTCTTGATGCGGCAAACCGCGTTGTCATAGGGTTTCTCTCTACCTTGTTGTGTGTTTTCCGCCACCTGCGCTGGACTGCTCCTTGGCAGGGTTCGCCAATACAATCAGCTGTCGTTCCGTCGTCCATCCGCTCCTTCGATCAAAGCTCTAACCACTTTCTGCGTGCCATCCGGGCGTAAACCCTTCAAATGGACAGCGTCTCTGTGAGGCCTGTCCCGTGCGCCTTAATTCCGTGTCGCGACATTGATATCTTCCCGTTGTCTACTGATGCCCACGAGTGATTGCCCCGCTGTCAATCGCCTACTGGCTTCCCTCAGGTGTGTGGTCGTTGAGACATCTATACCATACGGTCACGTGGGTCTGCGACTTTTGCGAAGCCACACGCCCTGCATATGCCCCTCTCACGTTCGACTTCTTCACAGAATTGTGCTCGAGTAATTGCGCTTGACCTCCAAGTCCGTGCATGAAGCTAATGTGCTCTCACTTCTGCAACCCATGGACACCCTATTCCCATGTTCTACGTTTGGCCGTTCGGTTTCTACACATGGACGCAAGCGAGGACGAAACCCGCCCACGGACCCGGAGGCAGCCATGATCTCTCGCCTCATTGGCTGGAGCAGTGACGAATCGTCGATAAGACATCCGAAGCTCCATATCGATTATTCTACATTATCTCGCCTTCCTCAATGGCGGACATGCCACTGCCTGATGCGAGTAATTTCCACTCTGTTCGCCGGTTCACTCAATAATGAGCATGTCATGGAGGTGGTAACACGAGGCCAGCCCGTGTACCGCGTAACACAACGTGGATATTCTACAAATTCGACGAATTCAGGGCTGATCTTCAGTCTGCCACGAACGCAAATATGAAAGCCGTCGTCTTACACGTTTCCTGGCTGCTTCATGATGTATGAAGATCTACGTGACGGTGTCGAGTCTTAAAAGCAGTGATTTGTCTACTCTTTCGCCATAGCTACGATGTTGGGCTGGTGGGTACGTGATGATAGTCGTATTGTTTCGAACCGTGACAATGTCTCCAGGCGGTGGGCATCTCTTCATTTCACTGCGCAACTGGAGAGCCTCGACATGACCATGCTCAGGGCTTGCTAAGGCTCGAGACTTATAGTCGCCGAATGTTAGGGTTACACGCAAGACTTCTTCCATGGTTAGGGTTGTGCGGTGTCCCTCCGATCCACTGGCGGATCCAGAGACATGTGTTTCTCACCTCTTTTTTTTCTCTTCTGAGTAGACTACTGTAACTCCCTGAGGCTGAGTTCCATTCAGGGCTATCGGGGTCCACACTGGACCGCCGGAAGCCGCATCGTGCGCGCCCTTCAGGGCGTCCTAGATCCCTACACAAGGTCGCTTACATACCCAATTTAATCTGTGAACGCTCTTCTACGGTGGGGAACTAGACAGCTTCATAACTGGCATATACTGAAACCCTCAATTCCTTACAGTGGCGGTTACCTTTTTGCCCGGTACTTACTCACTGCGCTTGCATACCTAGCTCTATGTCGCACCGTTCCTCAAAATAGAGCCTCGAACTTCTTCTCCAATCTACTTAGCTCACCGGCTCGTACCCATAGCTAGATGGCTGTCCAAATTGTTTACGGAGTCTTCTCCGGTCTGCCATGTCACTGCCTGTCCCGGTCCTTCTAATTAGGTCTGTAACCATCCCATCCTCACCGTTCTCCCTCGTCGACCTTTTGCTTCAATTTCTCTTACCTTGTGGCCCTGCTGGTGGCAGCTATTTAAGGTCATGGTTTCTGCAAATTGGACATCGACCTGTGCGATCACAGTGTTCCGGGTCGGGATTTGTTCTTCATACTTTGGCGGTGCGGCACCCTCACGCCGCTCAGGACGCTATCACTTTCTGCATATCGTTCCGGGATGTTTTTATCCCTGCCCACTCTCTGGCTATATGCGCTTGGGAAAACACGATGACATGCCTGGCGAAGCTGATATGCTAAACAACTTGAACCGTGCATGCCGCCGTCCATTCAGGCGGTGTGCTCCCGTTTCGGCTGACCTAGAGTCATCCTGAGAAATGACAGAGGATCTCGGTGAGTCGATCTGGCGAAGTGCTCCATGCTTGGGTGCGTCCTTCCACTGCTTTCCGTGCATCAATTATACGTTGTGATTATCGCGTAAGCTTATTTCATGGACCACTCTATCGACTTTTGAATCCGAACTTCACTTCTCGAGCTGCGTGCGCTACATTTCTTCCTCTGGCGGATTACCACGATGATGTTGACGGACGGTCTGGAACCTGGAATCAGTCCAGTGAGTCATCGACATACTCCGAATCTTGTCAATTTCCCCTTCCATGGGTAGCCATGTACTCGTGGCACTCATTCAGGATATTATCCCTCCTGGGCTTCCAAGGCTTGTTGCGGATGTCACGACTCCTTGAAATACCATGCAATGGAATCTATTATCGCAAAGGATCTGTACGTAGTGACAGGTTTGGAGGTGACCCAGGTAAGTATGAACTACAGATATAGATATATCGATCTACTAGCGTCCACCGTCTAGTTTTATGTGTACATGTAAGTTAGGACATTTTTGTGAAGATCAGCGTCATGTCATGTCGTGAGTATGTCGTGGGTGCGGAAGGGAACGGCGCCAATATGGAAAGGAGCAATGGCGATGCGAATGAATGTAGATGTACTCCGGTGAGACATCAAGGAATGAACTGATCATACCTCCGCCGCCTTCGCCGGCTTCACAGGGATGTCACCAGTCGGCGAGAACTTCGAGCGTCGCCTGAGGCGATGCCCGAACTTGTACAGGACGAATGGGATAGGGGCCATGAGCACCGCGAGGAACCCCAGTAGCGTCGATGCCCAGCGGGGGTTAAGCGTGTCATACATCTGCGTCGCGAACAGCGGAAAGGACGCGCCGAACATGGAGCGCACGACGGTCAATGCTGACAGCGCGCTGGCGGCGACGAAGAGGTAGGTGTCGATGATGTAGTTGAACAAACCCAGGAAAATGTACACGATCGACCAGCCCATGGGCAGCCCCGCCATCATCGCTGCCCAGAACGAAACCGTCGGATACGACGTCCAGCCGAACCAGAAAAACGAGATCGCAAAGAACGGCGCGGCCACCATGCAGATCTCGAGCCGCTTCTCGGGCGGCACCGGATGGGGCGCGTAGTGCACCATGTACCGCTCGTAACGTGGGTTGAAGAAGAGCAAGTAGCTGAAGACGCCGGCGATCCCACCAACGAATATCGGGAGGTACATTAGCCCTGAGATGCCTTCGTTCATGTGATGTCCCTGGGTGAAGACGATAGGGTACGCTTCGAAGAGGAGATAGATGCACCCGTAGACAAACTATAAACTCAAAAAGTCAGCCTCCATAAGAAACTCAAACAAATGCACTTACACTCATATAAACAGTGATTGCGATAAGCATGGGCTCGTGGACGAGCACCACGAAGGGGCGGCCAAGAATGTGCTTCAAAAGAGGGGCGAACTTGAGCTTCTGCCTTTCGAGCGGTGCCCAGTAACGGTCGTCTCCAGTCTCCTTGCGCTTCTGCCGCGCGCGCTGAACTAACAACACCGGCACGTATGTTTCGGGGATTGTGAAGACGATGACGACGAGGCAAGCGCCCGCGAACAGCGTCAACAGCCAGAATACCCAGCGCCATGACACACCTGCGACAGCCATGAAGCCGCTCACGACGGGACCGAGCGTCGGTCCTGCGAATGGCGCAAGTGTGAATAGCGCGAGAGCCTTTCCTCGCGTACCCACATCCCATATATCTGAGATCAGAGCACTGTCCGCTCGTGGTCAGAACTTGGAAAACGTCATATGAATTAGAGATAGATGCTCACCCGCTATTTGATAGCGGTGCCGATGCGAACACGCCACCGAGGAAACGGAAGACCAGAATCGATGCCGTGTTAGGTGATAGTGCACACCCTACTTGGAAGCAGGTGTATACCGCGAACGTGATGATAAATACTGGTCGTCGGCCAATTTGTTCTGATAGTGGTCCCCAAAGTAGAGGCCCGACACAGTACCCCGCTACAAACAACGCAATAAGGAGCGTTGCTACTTCTTTGCCGAATGTGAATTGTCTCATGAGGTCGGGTATAATACCTGATGGCGCTGAACTTGCGAACGTCCTGAAACGGAAGGGTCAACATGCAAAATGTGCAGATCGACAGGGTCATACGCACGCATTCAGGACCAGGAGTCCGCCAAACATGGTGATATACCATCTGTACACGCGGGACCAATTGTGGGGGTTGGCAGGGTCATCTTCTGGGAGACGAATTTCGAACGCGTCCCATTCCTTATCGCCCTCGCGAGGGCCATAGGCCTCGCGCTCGAACTGGGAGTTGATGTCCCCTTCGTCCTCCTCTTCGTAGGTGATGGTGGAGGAGCGGGAGCTGAGCTCGGTGTCGAGTGGGGCAGCCATGGCGGGGAAAAATGAGGTGTCGTAGAGAGGAGCTACGGTGCTCCATATTTGTACATTCTGAGGGAGACCAAATGGTTAGTCGGATCGATAATCATTGAATAATTGCTCAGACAGAGGCCGTGGCCGCGGAGCTGACTGATGACGTCGTGCTTGATTTTAAGATCGAAAACTTTCCGGTCCCATCGGCTGCGGGTTCTACTTTTTTGGCCTCAAAATGGCGTCAGCCCGCCTTACACGTGACCACCGAGGCCGCGTCAATGTCAGCGCAGATGACATTTTGGGGCCTTCCCGTACCGCTCACGGCGCAGACCGCCGCGTCCACCCTGCTAGCTTAGGAATCATCAGTGATGAATCGTTCAGCGTAGTCAGCACCGTCTCCAGCGAACGACTCAAAGTAAAGGGACGGCCCGTCTACGTACACCTCCCTACTTCGGGGAAGAGGATAATGAAAGGTATCGTTGACTCGTCCAGGCTAAAGTCGGCTGAATCTTCGCGGAGAGGCGGTGCGGTGAATATACCACTCGCCTGCACGAGCTGTACAATGATTGACGAGCTCGAGCAGATCTGATATGGCATCCGTACACCAAAATGATGTCCAGAACGACTCACCGCAGCAGCTGCAGGACGTCCATATCGCCATGTCACCGCGCATTGTCACCGGAGCACACGTCGTTGTGCGGCGACAGTCTCCCGGCGCCCCATAGATCTACAGATAGTCCCTCGAAGTCTTAAATTTATCGGCGCTGTATCGTCATTCCAGATCTAACTGATTGGACGAGTATCGACTGCATCCTGCATTCGCATGTTAAAGTCAAGCCTCATAGCGTCGAGAGAACCTGCGAAATATCGTGGGGTGGTCTGAGGTTGAGTATGACTCAGGCTACAACTTGTACTCACTTTGTTGCTTAATCTCATTAGTTTTCTTAAGTTCCTGCCCAAAGCCGCTGCACGACTCAGCCCAGAAATTCCAGCATCTCCGCACAGCAATCCCACTGGATGCGGGTCATTTATAAACTCGGCTCCTCCAGCACCGTGTCGTGATGCTGTTACCGAGGGAGCAGCGAACGGACGAATTTACGTGACGGATCCGTATATGAATGGACCGTGCACTAGTCAGCATTTACGTGAGTGTAACCTTGGCAGAACCAGCACGAGAATTTATCCCCAAGACTTACTTTCGGTAGTGACCCATGCCTTTGACTCGGATTGCAGCATCTGCGTTCTCTTTTCTGCGTGAATTTTGCGGCGTTACCTCCCTCTTTGTTTTTGATGATATTGCGCCTCGATTGTTTTTGCAGGAATGTCTCAGTACATGCGTATCAGCAGCAGAGTCTGTGACTTGGCAAATGTGTGATGTCACTTACTTGGGTGCTGGGTTCATGCAATGCCGTCCACACGATTCGTTGTCACTGGCGAAATGTAGAGGTCTCTCCGGACATAAAGGGCCGACGATGCCCTACAGTTCGAGCGCAAACCCACCCTTCAAGTCTCACGGAGAATAATGCGGGTACAATGTTACCCACCGATTTCACGCACAAAAGTCAATATTGTGGGTGGTCGACGGCATTCTTTGAAAGTATCGCGCTCGCCGATGATACCGCGGGTAACAGGGTGACATATGCTTTGTACTGGAGGCATTGGCAAAGGCTGTCCTCAGGTCACACACTGCGTCAGAACTCTGTTGAGTTGTTCTTCCGAGCGATGTCAGTGAAGGCTCGCGGGAAATCGGCGAGTGGGAGAAGACGTGTTTGAACAACACTAGTAGAGGACCCTGACTTGGACTCTGGAGGTCAGTGGATGCGTGTCGACCAAAGGCACGAAGCCGTGATGTGCACGGCCTTCACTGTCGGGATACGACTTGACTGGGTCGCCAATACCTATCAGAGGAATACAAATGACATACTATCGAGATGATCAGGGCGAAGCATGATATGCACCTTAGCACTGGATCCCCGAGAGGCTTCCATCGTCTTTTACATCGGGCCTCCAGATTTTATGTGCATGGGGAAACTTCGCTCCGATATCCGCGTTCACATGCTTCAGGGGATACAGAGATGAACAAATGTCAGATAGGACCCAGATCGTATCTTTTTTCCGGCGGGAACCATGATATGAATTTGTTCGAGCAGAAACTGAGCGACTGCACTAGAAAGCAGATGCGCACGCCCGGACAAGTGTACTCGTGGCGTCAGACGTGAGTGATAGTGCCATGCCAGTGGTGGACAGATAGATGAGACAAGTAGATGCGGCATACGCCGTGATTGGTTGACCCTCGGACCCAGAGAGCACAAGCCTAAGCGTTGAGCATGCTGGCTCAGCACATGACGAAGACCATCCTTGCGAGGGTCACCAGAGAGCCCAGTAGCGCCTATGCAGAAGATCCGATCAGTACAGCATACCGGCGAGCCAGTTCTCCCTGTGAGTTAATAGACAGTTACGGAATTCCCCTTGTCTCCACAAATGTGCACGATGTTGTTTGTTGTGAACCCTCAGGCCATTGCGAGATTGCTTGTAGGTATACAGCGACGTTTGGTATGACTGACAGGTAGACACAGTTTATAGCTTTGAAAGCTATGCTACCTCGTAGAAGGAAGGTTAGCTGGTGGATGGCTCGCTATACCTTGACACTGGCGAGCAAATCAGTCCATGGACGGGAGTTGAATGAAGGAAAACAAGATCAAGATGGAAATGTATACAGATCACGATGGCAATTGAGTACAGTCGCTGTTCGTGCCTGATAACTTCCTAGGCCTGGAAAGTTTACTCACGAGAAAACGAGTAAATTTAGCTGACTACCGTCACGAGAAAACGAGTAGATTTAACTGACTACGCCGATAATACAGCTCAGGTACGTAATAAATACCTCGTCAGCTACTGCATAAGGAAATTTCGGGAAAAGAAAAGAAGGGATGGTGGAGAGGAGACAGTAGTTCGCGCTATGGCGGGTGGAGGAATGAGAAATAAAATTACTCTGTCGGTAAAAGATGCTGGAGATTACACGGGAGATGTGGTGTAGCGATGGGGCGGGATACTCTGGACACGGGCACGTGATACGGGGGGCCAGCACGTTTCCACTGAGCCCGTTCGACTAGTTCTACATATTTGTCCTTCCCCCTGGGTATTCTTCTCTCCAAACTGTCTGCCGTGCAAGCAAACACCATCTTTGCTAACAAGATTCGTCAATGCCCAACTCTGATACAGTTCTGCCAAACCATAGTCTTCGTTACATCTGGACAGACGAACAGATAGATGGATGAATGAATGTGGGCTTGGAATGGGATAAATAGTCTCAATGGGCACAGTGTCAGTACTCGAGTCTCGAGATCATCCCCATGGCTGATTTAGAGTATGCAGTCGTTGACAATATGTGAGCCCTTCTGAGCCATACTGCGTCACGTCTGTCAATTTTAAAACACCATACAGATTCATTGATTCTTGCTGCTACATCTCCATAATCGGTGTGTATCGCTATGGGTTGTCATTTAGTACCTTATTGACTTGGATCACATCTTCAGCATTGCTTTTATATGATACTGCTCTCACCTTCGACCGTGAATACCAGTACATCTGGAAGGCAAAAATTTCGATACCGTCATTGCTCTATCTCACAATCCGATATTGCACTGTGATAAACACTATTCCACAAATATTGGAGTTGCAAGCTCAGACTGTATCTCTTATAGTGAGTTTGATTTATGAGATTTGGTCGTGGTCCTTCTCACAGAGGTCCAGAGGTAATTGCTTGGCGATCAGTTGTAGGGGTCATTGGGTGCTAACGTGGCCATGTTATAAAGCTGCTCAGTTCTTGAACGGCTTAATATGGTTTTAGGAACTATCTTGTTATCTAGTGTTGCAGGTGTGTAGACATAATTAAAAATGCACAGCCATGCAAATTCCATCCCTTTTTATCAAGTTTTCTCTGCAATGCGTATCTATGCCATATACGGACGCAACAAGTTGTTATTCTACATTCTGTTGGGTCTGGGAATGGTGAACCCGATCTCCAACTTGGTGAGTCCCATCGGTTGCATGCATGCACTTCGTTGCTTTATGATGATATTCTCAGTACGTGTACTCCCTGATTAGTCCATCTGGTGAAACTATTGGGGGCTGGAGCACATGTGTAGGGTACACTTATAACTTTAGTGCAGAGCAGATGTCTCGGTGAGCCGTGATATTACTAGCTTGCGTACATTGTGAACTTCAATTCTGTCACCAGCTGTATGTATGTAAACGTGACTCTCAGATGGCTATATTAAGGAGAATTTACAGGGAATGTCGGGACAAGGGCGTCCACAGTCACTGTTGACTGCCTTGTGCTCATCATGACATGGTTGAAGACATACAGAACCAGGAAAGTGGCCAAAGAAGTCAAGACACCACTTACAACTGTCTTACTTACCGATGGTAGGTTTTTGGGCACAACTGCAATATTTGCTCACTGCCTGTGGATTCAGGTACAACGTACTTCAGGTGATAGTTATTTGATACGGTGATGGATGTGTTCAACAATTTGCTGTTATACTGCAGTGTCCTTCTCCTTATCAACGTGGTCGCCATGGCGTTTGAGGAACTCATGTTTGTAAGTGCCTCAATTTTGATCTAATTGCACGTACCCTTCCTCATGTGATACCTCTATAGTACGATTTTCTCTTCACTACGTGGGCCAACACGCAAGTAAACACTCCATTGACATTGGAAGTGCACTTACCGTGAAATCATTTCAGCATGACAGCCATCCTGACATGCCGCTTCATGTTGGACATGCGCGAAGCAGCCACACCTGCAGATCCTACTGGTCTCTCGCAGCTGAACACTTTAGTATTCGCTCGACCGGACTTGTCTGCGATACCAGAGGTCGACGAGGCCTTTGGGACGGATGCACCAGTTGACGTTGAGGCGCCAGTGGTTCGGGACATGACAGCTGGCACCACCGATGCGATGGTTATCGCCGAGGAACCTCGCTTTCGCTGAACGTGCCTCTGCGGTCGGCTCGTTATCGGCATAGAAGAGCTAATTTCTGCGAGGAATTTGGCGGTGCGAAGAAAGTTGAATGTAATATAGCTCGGTTCAACGAGTTCTGTGTGTTTGGTAGTTTGGCACTTTCGATATTACATGGTGATGCTATACATACATTGTCAAGATTTGGTCTGCGAAAGCTGCATTTTGGCAGCCACCTTCATCAGGGACCCAGGCGCGTTATTTGGCATTGTGTACGCGCGTCGGTAGTGGGCGCTTATTCCCCTCGTCTTTGTTGTCTGTGCTCGCTGTCCCAGACGTTGTACATCTACTACTTGATATTCTGACTCGTGTGTATCTCTGGCGCAACGAAAGACCTCTCAGCGGGAACTCGAGGAACAGCAAAGTTTTCTTGACATCGGACGCTCAGTCAAGGTCAGTTCTTGGCAGATACTAGCGTGTTTGCAGCGATATTCGTGATCTTGTGCCGAGAGGCAACGAGTGAATGTTCTGATACTCTAAACGCGACCCTTCACTCCGAATTATAATGAACATCGTGTCAACAGCTCACGCTCCTTCCTCTGAACAGACCACCCCACCCATCACCGTAGAGTCTACGAAACAGCGGACCGCCCCACATGGACTTCACGGAGATCTACAAGCAGACGGCCTCGCTCGTCGCCTTCAGCCCGGGGACGCACTTCCTCCTGACCGCGGTGCAAGACCGGCTCGTCGTCCGCCGCGCCGACTCCTTCCAGATCACGCGCACCTGGACGCTCGACCCCGCCCCCGCCCCCTCCTCCTCTTCCTCTACTACTACCACCTCCACCACCTCCACCACCGCCGCCGCCGCCTCCGGCGCCAGCGAGGGCTGGATCACGCACGCGGGCTGGTCGTGCGACTCCGAGTACGTGATGGGCGCGTGTGCGCGGCGCGGGCTCGTGGAGGTGTTCAGGCTGCGCGACGAGGCGTGGCGGGCGCGCATCGACGCGGGCGTGGAGGGCCTCGTCAAGGCCGAGTGGGCGCCCGATGGGCGCTCGGTGCTGTGCTTCTCCGAGTGGGGGGTGCGTTTCGTCCTTTTTTTGTGGTTTGGTGTGAGGGGGCGCTGATGGGCTAAATTGGCGTGTTGTGTGTGTGTGTGTAGCTGAGGGTGACGATATGGTCGCTCGTGAGTGGGAGTGCGACGTATATACAGTATCCTGTCCATCCTGATCGCGGTGCGTCCCCCCTCCACTATTGTTATTATTGAAGTGCGGTGCGGACGCGGAGTTTATGCTGAGGGACTCTCCTAGTCCTGTGTGCTATTCTTTGCTTCTGTTGAATCGCGCTGCGCCGCCCGTGTGGATTTAGCTGACGCGGATTGGGCAGGGTACGCGTTCCGCGCGGACGGCCGGTACTTTGCGCTGGCGGAGCGCCACAAGTCGCGGGACACGCTCGGCGTGTACGACGCCTCGGCGTCCTACCGGCTCGTGCGGGTGCGCACCGCTCTCCCCAACTCGGCCCATTCGCACTAAACCTGAGCTCGACGAGTATAGCACTTCCCGCTCCCGACGTCCTCGCTCGCGGGCCTCGCGCTCTCGCCTACCGGCAACACCATCGCCGTCTGGGAGGGCCCGCTCGAGGTGCGCGCGCGTCGCGAAAAGCGTGTACGTGTGTGCTGATGCTGACGCGCTGTGCCGTAGTTCAAGCTGTGCGTGCTGACGCTCGCGGGGGAGCTCCTCGGGACGTTCGCGCCCGCGGGCGGCGCGGACCCCGGGTTCGGCGTGCGCGCGGTGGCGTGGCACCCCGCGGGGCTCTTTCTCGCCGTCGCGGGGTACGACGACAAGGTGCGCCCGGCCCCCTCCCCCTTCCGACGCTGCGCTGTGCCGAGGCGTTGTGCTTACTGTGGTGGCGCAGGTGCATGTGCTGGAGAGCCTGACGTGGGCGCCGGTTGCGACGCTGGAGCTGCAGCAGCGCGTGCCGGCGGGGGTGGTGCGTCTTCCCCGTGTGTCTGGAGGTCCTTATGCTGATGCTGTGGCATGGCCAGACGGTGTGGCGGGAGCCGGAGAAGTGGCTGGACGCGACGCACGGGCGCGGGTTCCTGTCTTGTGCGTGGGCTCTTGGTGTTCCCCTCGCTGTCGCTGACTTGGCGCTGGGGCAGACGAGCGGGTGCGGGGGCCGACGACGCTGCCGGCGCCGCCGACGCGGGACCGGAGGAAGCCGCCGCTGTTGGGGCACGCGCGGGGGGCGGAGGCGGGGGGCGGGATGCTGGGGTTCAACGTGGACGGGTCGCGGCTGCTGGTGCGGTTTGAGGGGGCGCCGCGGGCGGTGCACCTGTTTGGGCTGCCGGCGGTGGCGGACCTCGGGGCGCGGCGGCGGGAGAGGGAGAGGGCGGTGCGGCTGCGGACGGTGCTGGTGCATGGGCGGGCGGTGGCGGGCGTGAGGTGGAACCCGGTGCGTCGGGGGCGGTTGGGGGTGTGTACGGGGGAGGGGAGCGTGTATTTGTGGAGCGACGAGTGGGAGGGTGTGCCTGAGGCGGCTGCGGCGGGTGGGCAGGGGGAGGCGGTGGTGGAGGAGGTTGCGGAGTGTGTTGGGGTTCCTGCGAGTGCGTGTTTTTTTCCCCTTGGTTTGGTTTGGGTGGCTTTTTATGTGGTTCTTCGTTTTTGGGGGCTTGATGTTTGCTGGGGAGGTGCTGATTTGGAGCCTCTTTTTCTGCAGAACAGTTTGCGACGCGAGGGCTTCGGTGGGCGCCGGACGGGCGGGGGCTGATCCTTCTCGACCGGGACACGTTCTGCTGTGCGTTCGAGGTTGAGGATGGAGAGGCGGAGGCGGAGGAGGGAGTGGCCGCGTGAGAGTGGGCGAGGGGAAGAGCGGGGATAGAGCGCCGGCTGTGTCAATTTACTTGGCCGACGGTGCATGCATTCTGTCGGTCTGTCGTCGAGCGCGTTGTTCGGCTCCCGGATTTGGCGCTGGCGGAAGAAGCGCAGAGGGCGGCGGGCCACGGTCTGTGACGGAGGACCAGCGCGGTGTGCGCGGGCTGTCGACGCTGTGGAGAGTCGATCCACGGGCGATTGACTGGTCAAAGGGGGGAGACGAGGATGGTTGGGAGGACAGACGGGATCTGGTGAAGATCTGTGGAAGCGAATAGGATGACGTTGGTGTACTGAACGCCGGGTCGATCGCGTCGCACTAGGCGCCGGAGGCCTTCGCGGATGGCACACTGAAGGCTACTGAAGCATGCTCGAGCGTGCAGAGTGCTTCTCTTCGGCTCTTTGCTCGCAAGATGGAATAAAAGCGGGTCTCCCCATCGGTTACCCTCGCAGCTCGCCCTCGCTTCGATCGCTCCTTTACCGCCAGCAACCCACGCTCGTTCCCCAACATGCTCGCACGCGTCCACCTCCCTTTCCTCGCCGTCCTCGCCTCTGCCCTCCTCGCCTCTGCCGCCCCCGTGATCGACTGTGGCTGCACGTCCCCCTCCCCCACCAGCTCGCACGTCTCCACCAGCCCGCCCGTCCCCAGCTCCACTTACTCCCCGCCTTCGTCCTCGTCCTCCCACAAGTCCCACAAGACCTCCTCGTCCCACAAGACCTCTTCGTCTGCGCCCTCGCCGACTTCGAGGAGCCAGTCCCACGTCCCGACCTCGCCCTGGTCCACCCACCTCTGGCCCACTTCCAGCCCGTCTTCTGCCTCCACTGAGCCGTGCTCCTTCGCACCCAGTTCGAGCGCGTCCCACTCTACCCAGTATCCGACGTCCTCCACGCCGCCCCCTTGGTCCTCCGCATCCACCGCAGCCCCCACGAGCCCGTCCACTTACGCTCCGCCCACGTCCACGCCGAGCGCTCCTACCTCCGCGTCTGGCCCTCCGTCCTCTGCCTCTTGGCCCTCGTCGTCCTCCGCCTCTTGGCCCTCGTCTTCGCCAACCTCTTCTTCGCCAACCTATTCTTCGCCAACCTCTTCTTCGCCTACCTCCTCTTCGCCTACCTCTTCTTCGCCTACCTCCTCTTCGCCTACCTCTTCTTGGCCAACCTCTTCTTGGCCAACCTCTTCTTCGCCTACCTTTTCTTCGCCCACCTCGTACTCGCCTACCTCTTCTTCGCCCTCCTCCACACCCTCGTCCATCCCCGCCTCCCAATGCAACACCGGCTCCATTCAGTGCTGCGACTCGCTCCAGGACTCGTCCTCTCCCCAGGCCCAGAGCATCCTCTCTTCCCTCGGTCTTCCGCTCGCCGACGCTGCTAACCTTGCTGGCATTGGCTGCACTGCGGGCCTCGTTGGCGTCGGCGGCGACACTTGTGTCAGCGCCCCAGTGTGCTGCGAGGATAATAGCTTCCGTGAGTGGGCCGTCTGTTTTTTATATCCCGAGGTTGCATTGCATCGTGTCCTGGCTATTGACCGGACATAGTGATCCTCGACAGCGTTTCCTCACACCTTCTACCTTCGCTTTTCATCACGATAGAAACTGACCCGATTCATTTGCAGAGGGCCTCATCAACCTCGGATGCGTCCCCATCATTATCTCCCTCTGATATCCCTTCACGCTCTTGTGAAGAGAAAATTGTGCGTCCTCCGTTGCCCTGTATAATGCGTGAATCTGACGTATATCTGGGACCAGAGTTCGCAAGCATTTCTTGATCCATTTTCCGTGCATGCCACGACGCCAAAATTCCTACCTCGATCCTGAAGACCACCATCCTATGCTCCAATTTGACTCGGCCGACGGGTTTCTCTGTACGTGCGTTGTTGGTCGTGCCGGTATACCCTGCGTCGTCCCTCCTTCAGTATTGTTTTTCGTCTGTTATTATACGTTCGGGTGGTATTCCGTTTGTGTTCCGTGTTCTGATTTGTAGTGTCGCGTGGCGTTCTCCGCAACTAAAGATGGGTCTCTGAAGAGCATGTAATAATGGACACGTCGTTTCGTTACTTGGGATCCGCGTCCGACTTTACCCTAGGCAATGTTACCCCTTTCCCTCCTCCATTAGCAATACATAGAGTTTGGCTATCGATACACCGTCCAACACGTCCTCCCATTAACCACAGACTGTCCTCCGCGACGACGACAAGATCTGAGATCTCTCAGCAGCAACAACACGGGATGGGTATGATGTAGCACACCGTCCCGTCCTGCGCGTCGCGAGGTAAGCGAGCCGTTCTATCCCAAGACCTGCGCGTGCGAGATATGCGCACCGGACACGGGATGCACCCGCCTCGGACCCGCTCTGCCTTGTGCTGTGTATCGTCCGCCGCGCGTTCGGGCCTCGTCGTCGTCGTGTCCGACACGCGCGCGGGCTGCGCGGTGATTCGGACGCCCTCCGGGGGCACGGTGTGTGTGTGGGCGGCGGGCGGACGAGTTGGGGGTGGGTGGGATGCAGACTCGGACATGGTGTGGTGTAGAGCGTGCCCTGCGCACGACCTAGAGGATTACAGTGACTAGCGCCAGCGCACCGAGTCAACGTGACGTCTCCGCCTCGCTCCACAGCAGCAGCAGCCCGCGACACCAAGAAATGAAATATCTCCGCGAACGGGGTGTACAGCACAGCGCCCGGCGAGTCGACTCCGCGCGCAACTACATGTATCGATACTGTAAAGAAAAAGTATGTACAGGGCTCGACTTCTAATATCACGCCGCCGCTCAACGCTGCCTGATCTTCTTCCTCGGCCGGTCGTCGTCGCCCTTGCCGCCGCCGCCGCCGTTCACGCCGCCCCCGTCGATCCCCTTCCTCGAGCGCTTGTTCACCACCCGCTGCAGCGCCCGCTTCGTCTCTCCGTCCGGGAGCGTCGACAGATCGTAGTAGTTCGTCGCGTACTCCAACAGCCTGCCACGTTCCACCAGCGTCAGCGTCAGCACCCTCGCACACACACAAAACGGGAGGAGAAGAAGAGAGAGACGCACCACTCGGGCCGGACGTCGGTGACCGTCCGGATGTACGGCCGCGTCGTCAGCACGAACTCGTTGAAGACGACCCACTCCGGCTGCGTCTCGAGCCCGCACGACGGGTGCAGCCCGACCATGGTTATCTCCCTCTAAGATTCCTTCACGCTCGTGTGAAGACAAAAATGTGCGTCCTCCGTGGCGCCTTATAATGCGTTAATCTGACGCATATAACTAGACGGGACGAGTTTTTGTTCGACCGAATCTCCGAGCATGCTACGACACCAAAGTTCCTACCTCCATCCTCCTACACTCCAAGTTGACACGGCCGATGGGTTTCTCTTCTGTATGTGCGTTGTTGGTCGTGCCGGTGAGGGTATACCCTGCGTCGTCCCTCCTTCAGTATTGTTTTTCGTCTGTTATTATACGTTCGGGTGGTATTCCGTTTGTGTTCCGTGTTCTGATTTGTAGTGTCCCGTGGCGTTCTCCGCAACTAATGATGGGTCTCTGAAGAGCGTGTAGTAATGGACACTTCGTTTCGTTACTTGGGATATCTGTGTCCGACTTTACCCTAGGCAATGTTACACTTTGCCCTCCTCCATTAGCAATACATAGAGTTCGGCTATCGATTCACCGTCCGACACGTCCTCCCATTAACCACAGACTGTCCTCCGCGACGTCGACAGGATCTGAGACTCAGCAGCAACAGCACGGGATGGGTATGATGTAGCACACCGTCCCGTCCTGCGCGCCGCGAGGTAAGCGAGCCGTTCTATCCAAGACCTTCCAAGCGAGATATGCGTACCGGACATGGGATGCACCCGCCTCGGACCCGCTCTGCCTTGTGCTGTGTCTCGTCCGCCGCGCGTTCGGGCCTGGTCGTCATGTCCGACACGCGCGCGGGCTGCGCGGTGATTCGGACGCCCTCCGGGGGCACGGTGTGTGTGTGGGCGGCGGGCGGACGAGTTGGGGGTGGGTGGGATGCAGACTCGGACATGGTGTGGTGTAGAGGGTGCCCTGCGCACGACCTAGAGGATTACTTATGTGGTGCACGGAGTCAACGTGACGTCTCCGCCTCGCTCCACAGCAGCAGCAGCCCGCGATACCAAGAAATGAAATATCTCCGCGACGCGGTGTACACTGCCAGCACAGCGCCCGAGGGCGACTACATGTATCGATACTGTAAAGAAGAAGTATGTACAGCGCTCGACTTCTAATATCACGCCGCCGCTCAACCCCGCTTGATCTTCTTCCTCGGCCGGTCGTCGTCGCCCTTGCCGCCGCCGCCGCCGCCGTTCACGCTGCCGCCGTCGATCGCCTTCCTCGAGCGCTTGTTCACCACCCGCTGCAGCGCCCGCTTCGTCTCTCCGTCCGGGAGCGTCGACAGATCGTAGTAGTTCGGCGCGTACTCCAACAGCCTGCCGCGTCCCACCAGCGTCAGCGTCAGCACCCTCGCACACACACAAAACGGGGGGAGAAGAAGAGAGAGACGCACCACTCGGGCCGGACGTCAGTGACCGTCCGGATGTACGGCCGCGTCGTCAGCACGAACTCGTTGAAGACGACCCACTCCGGCTGCGTCTCGAGCCCGCACGACGGGTGCAGCCCGACCACCTGGTTGTCCTTCACCGTCAGGTAGTTGTTCTTCTCCCCCTCCTTGTGCGCCACCTGCATGAAGAACCCGCACACGAGCGCCCGCCGCACGTTCTGGTACAGCCGCCCGACGTCCCCGCTCGACACGAGATCGATGTCGAACCGCTCCATCGTGCGCTGCAGCTGCGCCCGCACGTTGTCCGCCTGTGCGAGCGCGCGCGCGGAGAGGTAGTGGTTCCACGCCCAGCTCTTGTCGTGCATGTCTATACGCGTGTTAGAAGTCAGGCACCGAGCATGCAGAGGAGGGACGTACTTTGGGTGTAGTTGTTGTAGACGTTCATTAACGTCAGGTGGTCGCCGTCTGGGACGGTGAGCAGCGCCTTCGCCGCGTCGGCCTCTTTGCGCATGTTGGGCGGGCGCAGCCATACATTCGGCACTGCAGTGGAGGTATGAGTAGGTGTCCCCAATCGCGCATGGGCTACGAAAACGCACCGGATAGCATGGCGACGATCGTCAGTATCTCGTTGCTGCACTGGAACTCGGGGCTGATGATCAGCATTTTCGACATCTGGTGCGATATATCAGAGTGCATGCTCATGGAACGAAATAATGATATGGGCCAACCTGAGGGTCCAGGGGGAATTCCGCCATGATCGATCCAAGGGGGGTGAGGTTGCCGTCGTCATCCAGGGCTGCCAGGAAGTTGAGCAGTTCCAACGCGCGCATCAACGTTTCTGGTGCTGGCGCATCTACATAGTCGAATTTCACCAGGTCCTGTGAATCCGCCAATGAGTGTTACATCAGACAATCGAATGGGAGCTTCCGCTCACCTTGATGCCCAATTTGACCAGCTCCAACACCGTGTTCGCAAGGTTGCTTCTGAGAATCTCTGGGTGCGTCTGCTCCTCGAGCTCCTTCATAAAGTCCCTCTCGGTATATAGCCGGAAGCACTTGCCGGGCCGCGTCCGCCCCGCACGGCCAGCACGCTGCTGCGCCGACGCTTTCGAGATCGGGCTCACCAGTAGAGACTCCACTCGGATACGCGGGTTGTACACCTTCTGCTTCGAGAACCCAGGGTCGACCACATACACGATCCCGTCGATCGTCAGCGACGTCTCCGCGATATTCGTCGACACTACCACTTTGCGCCCCGGAGGGCCGTCCGGCGTCCGCGGAGAGGGTGCGGGGTCGAAGATGCGCTGCTGCTGCTGCGGAGGAAGTGATGAGTAGAGCGGGATGCAGACCAGCGGGCCGACACTGTCTGGATCCTGGTTGATAAGGTCGTCCGCCTCCAGCTTGATTTTTCGGCATGAGTCTTCGATCTCTTCCTCGCCCGTCAGGAAGAGCAGGATGTCCCCTGGGTCCTCCGCGCGGTGGATCATAAGCACAGTGCGAATCGCCGCCTCGACGTAGTCGGGCTCGGGCTCCTGCGTGTAGAACACCTCGACCGGGTGCGTCCGCCCGGGAACCTTGAACAGCGGCGCGGGCTCGCTTGCGCCCTTGAGGCCGAAGTACTTCTGGAACTTGAGTGCGTCGAGCGTCGCGGACATGACGATAATCTTCAGGTCGGTCCGGCGCCTTGCGAGGGATTTGAGCAGCCCCATGAGGATGTCCGTCGCCATCGTGCGCTCGTGCGCCTCGTCGAGGATGATCGTCGAATACCGCTCCAGGCTCGGGTCATTCATCGCCTCCCGCAGGAGCATACCGTCTGTCATGTATTTCAGGAAGGTCGTCCCTGGCTCTGTCATGTCCTCGAAACGGATCGAGTAGCCGACTTGCTTCCCGAGTTGCACTGCCCGGGATGTCAGTGGTGTATAACGAAAGCTGAGGATGTTTGCGCACCGTCCATTTCATCCGCAACACGCTTCGCGACCGACATGGCTGCGACACGCCGAGGTTGTGTGCATGCTACCAATTTACCCCGAGTATGTGGAAGGTCGGAGTAGCATACGAACTGCGGGATCCTGGGTTCAATGCGTCAGAAAAGCTATCCACCAGACAGAAAGTAGATCACGATGAGCGCTCTTACTGTGTCGTCTTGCCAGATCCGGTCTCTCCGACCATGACGATGACCTGATGATTGCTGAACTTTCTCGGACATCAGTTACGTTTTTTCGGGCGACCGAGGGTGTCGTGTGCCTGAAGCAGACTCTGACCTCCCCTCACCAGCGGAAAATGCGAGCTCACTCACCATTTTGAGGAAGTCGTCCATCTGGGCGTACACGGGCAGCTTTTTGCGCATTTCGAGGATCCTCTTGTATTGTGGAGTGAGCGGCTGCTTCGTAAATGGGTTGATGTCTCCGTCCTGTTGAAGACAGCGTCAGAATGAAGGGAGGGAATCGGGATGGCTGGACACACCATGGCCTTATGGACTTGTTGCGACGTTACATGGCGGGGAAGAAAACCGAAGAGGGGTTCGTTGATAGCGAGAACTTTCGAGGAGCTTGAGCCCCTTAGAGGAGGCGCGATGGTGTAGGGATTGTTGGACATGCCAAAGAGGCGCCGAGGGCAGAAAGACGTTGCAGCAAGCAAGACGATATCGCGCTAAGAGGATGGCCAAACATTTTGCTCACGTTTCAAGTCACGTTCTTGGCACGTGGTGGTGACGCGTCACGTCAGTGGCAAAAAGTCGGCAAGATAATGATTATAAGAAAAGAGATAAAGTCTGCTTGCTTGAACTCATGAGCCCATGCAATAATCCTGCTACGCAAGTGTTATGTTCCACGGGCCGAGCGTGAAGGTCTCGACGCGTTCCCTCACTATAAGCTTACACTTGCAAGGGGGACTGGGAGAACTTGGACGGCCGGGGAAATATGGAAGACGGGTTCACAAGGTAAATACATGTGCGGTGAAGTCGAACGAACTCTATTTTGGACCTTCCAAGTACTGGCTCTGATATTGGACGGGACGACGACTGCTCTGACGGACGCCCAAAAGGGAAGGGAAGATGCCAAAAAGGGAAACTATCGTAAGAGCAGTCGCTTCTGCCAGTCGTCTGGCGTCCGCGTAGAGGGCTTCGGCATACGTGCGGGTGAGAATAGAAGTAGAACATTAAAAGACTAGTCGATGTATATACGACCCCTTTGCCAGCGCGGTCGTCTTGGATGATGATCGTGATTAGTCAGAACTTATGATAGTTTCCATTCTGTCCGTCCGCCGATTCTACTGTACATACTCTTAACACATTGCCCGCTTGTTCATGAATGCTCCCTATCGTCCCTTCGCCCGCACTTCCTGGTCCGGGAAGCAGAAAGGTTACCGCTGAAGATCTTCGCGTCTTATGGTTTGCCACGATGATTTGGACGATATTCGACACTTACAAATATTGAGATGATTCCCACTTTCCGCCTGAGAACACTGCTCCCACGCATAGGCGCTGTGCGCCGAGGGTGAATTGACGCTGAATACGCTTCTCGCTCATGATGCATGACCATCCAATATGTCGAACAATCCCTACACCACCGCGCCTCCTCTAAGGAGCTCAAGCTCCTCAAAACATCTCGCTATCAACGAACCCCTCTTCGGTTTTCTCCCCCGCCATGTAACGTCGCGACAAGTCCATAAGGCCATGGTGTGTCCAGCCATCCGGATTGCCTCCCTTCGTTCTGACGCTGTCTGCATAGGACGGAGATATCAACCCATTTACGAAGCAGCCGCTCACTCCACAATACAAGAAGATCCTCGAAGTGCGCAAAAAGCTACCCGTGTACGCCCAGATGGACGACTTCCTCAAAATAGTGAGTGTCTTGCATATATTTTGTTGACCGATCGTTGCGTGAAACATAACCGACGTCCAACAAAGTTCAGCAATCACCAGATCATCGTGGTAGTTGGGGAGACCGGAACTGGCAAGACAACACAGTGCGATTCGTACTTCTGTCGGGTGAATAGCCCTTCTGATGAGCTTCACCCAGGATCCCGCAGTTCGTATGCTACTCCGACCTTCCACATACTCGGGGTAAATTAGTAGCATGCACACAACCTCGCCGTGTCGCGGCCATGTCGGTCGCGAAGCGTGTTGCGGATGAAATGGACGGTGCGCAAACATCCTCAGCTTTCGTTATACACCACTGACATCCCGGGCAGTGCAACTCGGGAAGCAAGTCGGCTACTCGATCCGTTTCGAGGACATGACAGAGCCAGGGACGACCTTCCTGAAATACATGACAGACGGTATGCTCCTGCGGGAGGCGATGAATGACCCGAGCCTGGAGCGGTATTCGACGATCATCCTCGACGAAGCGCACGAGCGCACCATGGCCACGGACATCCTCATGGGCCTGCTGAAACCCCTCGCAAGGCGCCGGACCGACCTGAAGATTATCGTCATGTCCGCGACGCTCGACGCACTCAAGTTCCAGAAGTACTTCGGCCTCAAGGGCGCAAGCGAGCCCGCGCCGCTGTTCAAGGTCCCCGGGCGGACGCACCCGGTCGAGGTGTTCTACACGCAGGAGCCCGAGCCCGACTACGTCGAGGCGGCGATTCGCACTGTGCTTATGATCCACCGCGCAGAGGACCCAGGGGACATCCTACTCTTCCTGACGGGCGAGGAAGAGATCGAAGACTCATGCCGAAAAATCAAGCTGGAGGCGGACGACCTTATCAACCAGGATCCAGACAGTGTCGGCCCGCTGGTCTGCATCCCGCTCTACTCATCACTTCCTCCGCAGCAGCAGCAGCGCATCTTCGATCCCGCACCCTCTCCGCGGACGCCGGATGGCCCTCCCGGGCGCAAAGTGGTAGTGTCGACGAACATCGCGGAGACGTCGCTGACGATCGACGGGATCGTGTATGTGGTCGACCCTGGGTTCTCGAAGCAGAAGGTATACAACCCGCGTATCCGGGTGGAGTCTCTACTGGTGAGCCCGATCTCGAAAGCGTCGGCGCAGCAGCGTGCTGGCCGTGCGGGGCGGACGCGGCCCGGCAAGTGCTTCCGGCTGTATACCGAGAGGGAATTCATGAAGGAGCTCGAGGAGCAGACGCACCCGGAGATTCTCAGAAGCAACCTTGCGAACACGGTGTTGGAGCTGGTCAAGTTGGGCGTCAAGGTCAGCGGAAGCTCCCGTTCGATTATCTGACATAAAGCTCATTGGCGGATTCACAGGACCTGGTAAAATTCGACTATGTAGATGCGCCAGCACCAGAAACGTTGATGCGCGCGTTGGAACTGCTCAACTTCCTGGCTGCCCTGGACGACGACGGCAACCTCACCCCCCTTGGATCGATCATGGCGGAATTCCCCCTGGACCCTCAGGTGGGCCCATACCATTATATCGTCCCAAGCGCACGCACCCTGACCATATCGCACCAGATGTCGAAAATGCTGATCATCAGCCCCGAGTTCCAGTGCAGCAACGAGATACTGACGATCGTCGCCATGCTATCCGGTACGTTTTCGTAGCCCAGACATGACCGAGGACGCCTAATCATACCTCCACTGCAGTGCCGAATGTATGGCTGCGCCCGCCCAACATGCGCAAAGAGGCCGACGCGGCGAAGGCGCTGCTCACCGTCCCAGACGGCGACCACCTGACGTTAATGAACGTCTACAACAACTACACCCAAAGTACGTCCCTCTTCCGCATGCTCGGTGCCTGACTTCTAACACGCGTATAGACATGCACGACAAGAGCTGGGCGTGGAACCACTACCTCTCCGCGCGCGCGCTCGCACAGGCGGACAACGTGCGGGCGCAGCTGCAGCGCACGATGGAGCGGTTCGACATCGATCTCGTGTCGAGCGGGGACGTCGGGCGGCTGTACCAGAACGTGCGGCGGGCGCTCGTGTGCGGGTTCTTTATGCAGGTGGCGCACAAGGAGGGGGAGAAGAACAACTACCTGACGGTGAAGGACAACCAGGTGGTCGGGCTGCACCCGTCGTGCGGGCTCGAGACGCAGCCGGAGTGGGTCGTCTTCAACGAGTTTGTGCTGACGACGCGGCCGTACATCCGGACGGTCACCGACGTCCGGCCCGAGTGGTGCGTCTCTCTTCTTCTCCTCCCGTTTTGTGTGTGCGAGGGTGCTGACGCTGACGCTGGTGGAACGGCGCAGGCTGTTGGAGTACGCGCCGAGCTACTACGATCTGTCGACGCTCCCGGACGGAGAGACGAAGCGTGCGCTGCAGCGGGTGGTGAACAAGCGCTCGAGGAAGGGGATCGACGGGGGCAGCGTGAACGGAGGTGGCGGCGGCGGCAAGGGCGACAACCGACCGTTGAAGACCAAGCGGCGCTGAGTGGCGGGGCGGTCTGCAGACGTAGTAGAGAGTTAGAGTTCCTGGTTTTGTACTTCTGCTTCTTCACAGTATCAAAATATGTATGTAGTTGTGTGGAATCAATTTGCCGTACTGTACAGCCGTAGTATGGTGGCCAATGCCTCGGAGGCGCCGCTGAGCATTCCAACAACGGCATACCACTAAGTAGCGAACATTCTACACTCGGCGATGACGGCTTCCGGCATGCCCGGATCCAACTCCACTCAAAGTCATAGTGGTTATAAAGCGTAGGCAACAAAGTCGAGATACAATTTATCATGTTTACATAAAGTCATAGTCAATCTTCCACATATCGACACTGTCTCCAAGGAATAGGTCACCAGGTACATACACACACCTTTAAATCTTACAGCACAATTGACAAGTAGTGTTACAAGCCTCATCCATGTATCACCAGTGATCTTGGGAGGGAAAGCATGAGCACAGAGAGTTAGAAACAAACAAATGACAGTAGAATGATGGAAATACAACAAGGGCACGAAATGTCATGGCAGGATTACTTTCGGGCAGGGATCTGCACCTTAGCCAGCTCTGTGAGCCCATCCCAGAGGCTCTCGGCTTCAAGCATGGTCGCTCTGCCAGTGGTCACAAGCGACTCCACCCACCCACGACACGCGGACATCTTTGAAGTTGCACGAAGGATTCGGATACTGGTGATACCATCAGCCAGCAGGATTGTGAAGAGATGAGGTGCAGGGATTGCCAGTGACTGGAGAAAGTCCCAGATGGGCCGGGTTACATCATCAATGTGCATTAACTCATCCATCCTAACTTGAAAATCACTCTTTAGTTGAGGGATACAGATGAGCAAGGGCAATGCATCAGCAACTGTAAACAAATAGCTTGTAAACAGAGCAACGTACAGTAGCTCGTTCATCAGTACGAGTTCTAGCATTGTCTGTGATTGCAAGACTTCGAGAGTTGCTCATGGGACTGCCGGAGGGGAATCTCCTCCCTCTCGGCATCTGGCCTATGAATTGGCGTCGAGGCCTACAAGGAGTACTGGGCACTTGGGGCATCTCATTTCTTGATAAGCGGGAGTGCTACGCAGATGCAAATATTAAGAGGTTGTATTGAGGCATGAACAGATCAAATACCTTGCTCTCACTTGGCTCTATTTGAGAACCGCCCGCCAGCCGGAGAATCTCTGCCTTGCGCCGAGCGTTAACCTTGGGATCACACATGCATCCACTCAAATATATGGCAATGTAACTCTTGACCGGCCAATAGTCCCGGTATCTCTTGATAAAGGGGCATACCCTCAGAATCTATGTACGAGCAAAGTCGACATTTAAGTGTTAGATTGGCCTTGAGACTTGTACATTTATACGCACTTCCCGCTGAACTCGATCTATAGACTTCGGATCTTGCTCAGAAAATCTGTGGGCTATATCAAGGCGCCGCTGGACGACTGTGCGTGTCGCTTGCTGTTCACAAAATTGGTACGTCCGCGTGTACACTGAAGATCACCTAAGGGACTTACGGTGAGCTCCTGAAATTCAGTCTTCGACAAGGCAATGGCAGCTTGTAAAGCTGAAACCGTGCTGGGCTGTCTACCGTTTGGCCGCTCTATCAAAGTTTCTGTCGTCCTCAGTGTGTCTTCTCCACGGACAAAGTGAGCCACTGAACACAAACCGCAGGGCGATGAACATGTAGACTTACTGCCCGGCATGTTGGGATCGTCGATGTATTAGGTGGTGGTGGGGAGATGGAACCTTAGAAGACAGCGAAGTAGTCCCCGTGTTCACTTTCGAACACAGTCTCCCGGGGTTGGAACGCGACGCGGTCACATGCTCGAGAGGAAAGGCTCCTATGATATGATTATGTCAGCCTACTGTTTTTACCCTAGACTTAAACGTGAAATCGGATTCTGCACTGCATGGATGACCGCACTCGCATACAAACCGCGTCACGCAGATATAACTTGCCACCCGATCCCAACAGAAATTCAAGAGGCCGCTCTCAAGCGGTCTGGCCAATCACTGGCATGAGCGGCTATGAGTTGTTTGTACACAGGAATATCCAAGGCGGCGTGACGTGCGAAACTCTGCAGCACGGCCTTGCAGTATTGTTGGTTGACTTTATTTCCCACAGTGCTAAACGATGAAGATGGATCATGTATTTTATTTTGCTGTAGGATATCTGTGCACGGAGGCGAGTTGTTGCATGACTCGGGTTCGACTTGGGTAACTCGGTGGCTCCGAAGGATTCGGCTGCATGAAACAACATAAAAATGGCGCATTCGTCGCATGCAAACCGCGCAGGTTTTCAATTATGACGACGATGTGGCACGTACCAGTAGGATTTGGAATCCGACAATTACGAAGGCTATGTAGTGTTGAGCATACAAGAAGCCCGTTGGATCAGACGAGTGCTACGATGCAAGTCCTAGCAGAGAATCAGCACAATGACAAATAAATGATGCACCCGTCAATCGAGTCCGCTGTGGCCGATCGTGGCCAGCAGTGCGTTGGAATTTTAGACTCTGCCTGCCAGCCCGGGAATCAGCCAGCAACAGGAAAGCAGAACTGTACCTACTTACCTGTCATTTGCGGCAGGCCTCCTGCGGCATCAAGTAGGGTTTAAAATCAGCTATGGCGAACTTCGTGAGCAAGACAACTACAAGCGAGGATGTGCTCAACAAGCAACAGACAAGCGGAGCAGGACATCACTACAAAGTGAAACTCGTAAGTGCCACCAGATCTATTGCCCCATGGATAGACTACACAATCACCTCTCTTGAACGGGGAGGGGAAGAACTTCACGGAATGATATATACTGTAAGTACTGCACACCTTGTGTACACCAGAGTCACGGTCGCGCTAGAGGCACGTGGCCTGACGCGTTACGTCACGGTTTGTCACGGACGCGCCAAGACATCCGAGTGCAGCCGCGGGCGCGAGTTTCAGCAGTCTGCTCATCAGGCAGTGAGCCAATCGCGTCCTTCTGACATAGCTTCCTCACTGATTTCAGGATCACAGATGGAGATAATATGCTCGCCTTCCCCAAGCTTCTTTCTGAAGGCACTCTCTGAGACTCGACTTAGACACAGGTTCATGGAGCACTAACCTCTGGCTGTGTCGCGTCTGCGCCCCTGTATTAGATCGCGTACCGCGATGCAATGATTGGCAGGATGAGACTGGGCAACGCCTCATTGCCTTCTCCCGTCCGACCAAGTGCACCCAGCAATGATTGGAACAGCAGCGCCACACTCCTCCAGATCACTAGCTGAAGCACTGCAGATCTTTCTCGCTATATAATGGTCTTACACCACGTCCACTGTACGTCCACCTTCTAATCGAGTGCCATCTCGACACCCTTTTCGACACCCGTCCTTTCGTCTTCTCTTCACCCTTGCTATTTCGAAGCAACATGTCCCGACACTTCTGCTGCTGTATCCCCGTCAGGGCTGGCGTCTTCATTTTCTCCCTAATCTCCTTTCTTGCCTCCACTGCGTTGGCAGTGCTAGCATGGATCGCCACCTACAGTGCGTTATTTCTTCTTGCTTGTGGTACGGCTTTCGAGTTAATGGGCCTGATCTAGAGGTGCACCACGATCCCGGCCAACACATGAACATATCCAACACAGCAAAAATCATCATCATTGTGGTGGGCAGCATATCCACGCTCATCGCCCTCATCTCGCTCTTCGGGTGCGTGTCCCAGCCCAGCCCGGCGCCCTGTATATATTCCACTAACCTGCTTGCTACGGACAGCTGGATCGGCTCGATCACGCGCAACCGCCGCTTCGTAAAGGCGTACTCTGCGCTGTCCTGGGTCATCTTCCTCCTCTCGCTCGTCTCCGCCGGCTTCTTCCTCTACATCGTCTACGCCGGCAAGGCGCTCTACGACTGCATTTCCGTCGACTCGAACCTGCACGTCGACACGAACGTCTCATGCGACTTCCACTTCTCGCTCGGCATCAAGATCCTCGTCACCGTCATTACCGTATTGCAGATCCTGATTCACCTCTGTGCGCTCCCGTGTTTGGTACGCTGCGTGCGACGTGGCTAATGTGACTGCTTTGCAGATATCGTGGTCATCATCAGACGCTACGTCGACCAGCTCGAGGACGGGGACGAATCGTGGAGGAGCCCGTACACCCTCGGCCTCGTCGACCCGCGCCAGGGCCTGCTCAACCCCGCCTCGGAAGCATACCCCTATTCCGACGCGACGCACGCGTTTGGCAAGGCCGCTGAAGCCTGAGAGTTAGAGGCTGCACGATTCAGATGCATTTGTTGAATGGCATGGGATGTACTTTAATACTGAACATAGTAGGTGGCGCACGACGTAATTTATCAAGCGGACTGTTCTGTGTCTCCGGCGAGCGACTCTACTCTCGATGCCTGCAGTGTGGAGGAAGGCAGAAAGGCTTGGCCGTTGAACTATCGTACAAAAGTGTCAACACCCCCCTCTCTTCAAGACATAATCGGGCACGAAATCGCGTAGCCCGAGGACTCACCCACGTGCACAACCCATTAGCACGCCAGGTACGTAGCTGCCAGAACCAGAACTGCAGACGGATCGCCCGCCGTACGCGTAAACCATCGTCGGCGATGTGCCTCGCGCGGAAGCACCGAGTGTGCCTCCCCGACAGCTTCCGCGTTTTCGTGCGGGAATCAGTGGTGGCGGTTTTGGTTCTGCCCGGGCGGAAGTGTGGCGGTGATCGTGAATTTTGGGCACCGCCCCAAACTCAAATAAGTTGTGGATTGGGGTTTTGACCAAGCGCGAACCGTGGGTAGCGATGGATGTGGAATATGCGTTGGTAGTGCATGATTCGGTGAGCTCGTCGTGGTTTACACATGGACTTGCACAGAGGGAATTGAGCACCGCAACAAGACGAACTATCGCCCACCCAGCGCAACGCCCCGGGAGAAACGCACCGTGCATTTCAAGAGCAGAAGCAGAAGACAGTCGGACGGGCCTGTTTCGAACACACCCGAGCATTTTCTCCCACCACCGGACGACCCAAAACCAGTAGGTGCTATTAGCCCAACACGCGCATACACCAGCGGTGCCGCCACCAATCGCCGGCGGAGGACACCCCAGGCGCCCAAAGACCGCCAGGCGACCGATTCATGCTTGCCCACTGAGGCTGGACAAAGGCCTCCACGCATCTGCGTACTCTATCTTCGCCGCGCTGCTGCGGCATCCGCATGGGACAACATCTCACCCCAGGTTGGATATAAGGCATCCGCGCACCTCCATGCTCTATCTTCGCCGCTGCTCTCCGCATCGCCGAAAACGCTCCCCACTCTCGTAGCGTTAACGACGTTAGCTCCCGTGGATATGCAGCTGAACGCGCTCACACTTATCCTTGCAACGCTTGCGTGCACTGGCGTCGCCGCACCTGCCGATATGCCACTTGCGCTGCGCGTCGCAGCGGACTCACGGTCGGCGCGGTATCGCGACACGGTCGCACCATTCGACTTGCCATGGCACTCACCACAGAAGATCTGAGGTATGCTTTCGGTTTATCCGCCCATTTGACACGGTGTTAATTAGCATTCTTCTAGTAGCCGCACCCACAATTATGGTTTTCGGCGCGGGGAGCGCTTTAGGGGTAGGGGGTCAGAAGCACAAGGCACGATATGAAGCGCACACACCATGTATCACAACCGCATCCATTCCTAGAGACAGCCCAGCGTGGATTAATGCTAACTGCCCGAAACGATCTTGCCGACCATTTCTGTCGTACCCGCCAAGTATCCGCGGTCTATTTCCTTCCTGTCAGAATTCTTGAAAACTACATCCGTACTCGATTTCCGCCTCATGACGTGTGTGAGTGCATCTCCCGCACCCACAAGCTGCGATACCCGACAGCATGCGCGGTGGTCCTGTGCATTCGGTCCTGCATAGGTTCAGCCAAGCCTATTGGTCGAGTATAAACTACTCGTCGCCAGCCTGGAATACCCGCATCACTGAACCCAACGCACGCACCTTGGTTCAGAACACTCCTCGCAGCTATGCACTGTAAAGCTGTCGCTGTCGTATTCGCCGCGTGCGCGTGCACGAGCTTTGCTGCACCTGTCGCCATGCCGCTCGCGCTGCGCGTCGCTGCCGACTCCGCCGCTGCGCGCTACCGCGCGTTCGTGGACCCGCTGGATCTGCCGTGGCATTCGCCCAACATGTCATAGGTATGTTGGCTTTCTCCAATTGTGAGCGAACCGGCTCTAATGTCGCTTCTGCTCGCAGCCGGGTTTGCCGCTACATCAAGTATGAGTGCAGCGTCGGCGGAGTGGGACAGAAGAATCTGGGGAAAGAAGATAAAGAGCGGTTTTTTCAATCACCATGCAGCCTAGTCGGTGCAATGGACATTCGACCGGTGCCTTAGCTTACCGTGTAACATACTATCTGTCGCGCTTGACCAAGATATCACCTCTGGTGTAGAACATCATGATTTATAGGTTGGAATAATTCCTCTGGAAATTGTGCAGCGTGTCAATACAGCACGACTTGGGCGACGCCAGAGATGAAGTGAAGCGCCAGTTCAAGTTGAACTCAGTTGAAGTGTTTTTCGATGCACGTGATCAGGTTGACTCTGTGCTTAAGAGCTGCTTAAGAGGCGTATTTATCCTTTTATGAGCTGTATATCGAACACATCTTCATCATGCCTCCGCGAACTTCTTACAGGCCCTCTCGACAGGACGAGGCCTTCGTCAGGGACATGACGGAAAGATATACATACTACCTGTTCACCGCTGCGGCATGTGGTCGCAAAGTTCGGGCGATGGGATACGGCGAGGCCCGCATGCAACCCACCTACGACCAGGTCCTCCATGACTGGTACAACGATTCGACGATTATTCTGCGAACCAACAGCACGGATCCTAGTCGGCAAGCCGCGTTTTTTCGTCAGTGTAATGAGATTTGCGCCAGACCGCTCAACAATCTATACACGTATGTGCTTCTTTGGTCTGATCAACGCATTTTGACCTTCACACACATATAGCTATTTCTGGGTCGGCTTTGCCGCCACTGCTGGAGCGCAAGGCTTGCACTGCCTGTTCAAAGACCATCCAGCCAAGTACAAGATTTTGAAGGATGCTCGCGAAGAATCGTAAGCGCCAAATTGATTCGCGTGTCTTCTATATGTTCATTCAGACACCACGAAGACTTCGACGGACCTATGGGGAAGAGGGAGTGCAGGAATTGATGAATTCAGCATCTCTGCTGAATCCGCACCCGGTGGACCCAACTATGAACGCATTGGAGCACGTCGGAGATGTGGTGCGGTACAAGGATGAGAATAACAACATCGTCGAGTGTACAATTGAGGATGCGGGGCACAGTATTGTGAAGGGGAACTTTTTCAAGTTGTCGTACGGCGGCGGGCAGAAGGAGGTCTCATACGAAGAGATGGCACTTATCTGGAGGAATAGAGTTAGTCTCGTAACCAGCCGTTCTGAGATTCGACCCTTTTTAGGATTTGTGTGGAGGGTCGTGTCAGAACGTCTGGTGACTTTCGTATAGGCGGGGGGGGGTATGTCACATGGGCGTGACCTCAGCCAAAACTCGAAACATCCGAACTCGAACGCGGCGCATTCACGGGTTACCGATGCCTAGAATAGGGTTCGGGGTGCATATATGGTTGCATACATGAACAATATTTGTTGGAAAGTAGCGCCCAAATTTCTGGAGCTCCAGAAATTGGGGAGCGCCCAAGGGCAGACAAGCCGAGGGCATGATTACAAAGAAAGACAAAGAAGGAAATTTGCTTATATAAAGTGGAGCGTCTAGAACTGTATATATACAGAAATCTATTTTAGGACGCGTAATCACGCGCCCCGACGCATCTTAACCCGCCATCACTACCTTCCTATTTGGGAACTAAGGCGCGATTTCTAACAGGTTATGAGCCCCGGCTCTAGCCAATAAATACTTGGATAACAACAGCCCCTATTGTGGCTACAAAAAAATTGTTACCCCCTTACTAGTACGAGAACAAATAATGTCGACCAGCGCTGATAATACGAGCAATAGCAATGCTTACCGGATCCCGCTCCTGAAGGAAGACAATTGGCTCCCGTGGAAGCGCCGCGTCGAGGCCATCCTTAATGATAAGGGTCTCCAGGAGTATGTGACCGGAAAGACACCGAAGCCGCAGCCGAGTAATGACCCGGCCAATAGGGCAGCGAGAGAGGCGGAGATTAGCGCCTGGGGAGAGAAGGACCTCAAGGCCCAGAATGTAATTGTGCTATCGCTGGGAGATTCCCAGATGGTGCACATCGCTGGAGCCGAGACGGCACGGGCCATGTGGGAGCAGCTTCGCACAGTCAAGGAACAGTGTGGACAGCATGGAATTCTCGCGCTGTGCCGGCGTTTTTACCGGATGCAAGCCAAGGAAGAAGATAATATCTCCAGTCACATTACACAGCTACGACAGATCCAGGAACAACTCCACCTAATGGGGAAGGTTGTTTCTGACGAAGATTTCCGGCTCATTCTGGCTACCTCATTACCGGAGAGCTGGGACTCTTTCCTCAGCTCTTACTTTGGCGCCGTGGGCGGCAATGTTGGCGCCGAAGGTGCTGACAACGTGCGCCCTCAGCTTACATCACAAGAATTGATTGCCATCATTCTTGATGAAAATAGGCGAAGGCACGAGCGTGGCGAGCGCGGTCAATCCTCGGACCAAGCCATGGTTGCCAAAGGAAAGAAGCGCCCCTTTGGGGAATACAAAAAATGTTTGATCTGCGGAAAGCCGGGACATCTTGGTAACGAGTGTCGGCACCGCGACAAGGTCAAATGTATGAATTGCGGAAAATTCGGGCATAAGGCCACAGATTGTTGGGCTAAAGGCGGCGGCAAAGCCGGACAGGGCCCGCCGATGAAACGGCAAAAGACGGAACGTGCTTACGAAGCGCGCGAAGTCGAATCGAAAGAGGATGAGGCAAAAATAGCCTACGATAATGATAGCGACACTGTATCTCTCGGATCTGATGGCGAAATCGCTTCTTTCTATAAGTGGTTTGCTGACTCCGGGACAACTTCGCACATTACAAATCGTCGTGAAGTCTTCGCGACCTATCAGGCGCTCGAAGATCACGCGATCACGGGCATCGGACCGCAACCAACGCAGGCATTGGGCCGCGGTACGGTCGATGTCGAAAGTGAAGTAGGAGACCGGAAAGTGAAATTCCGTCTCCACGGTGTACTGTATGCACCGACAGCACCCAATAGCCTCCTCTCCATCACGCGTTTGGACGACGCGGGAGGAAGAGTACTTATGGGTAATAGTCGCGCAATACTAATAGATAAAAATAAACACACTCTTGCTATAGGCAAGAAAAATGGACGACTATATTCATTGAAATTGCGTCCAATAGTTCCGCAACCTGCGCGAACCTATACTGCTAAGGAATACGGCCCGCATACCTGGGAAGAGTGGCACAAGATCTATGGCCATATCGGGAAACCAGCGCTTACGTGATTATATCGCGAAGGGCTTGTTGATGGCCTAGAAATCTCGCCAAGCCCAGATGAAATTAATTGCGAGGCATGCATCCAAGCAAAGGCGACGCGGAAGCCATTTCCCAAAGAGACGGACGAATGCAGCAAGGTACCCGGAGAATTAACACACACGGATGTGTGGGGACCTGCGCAGACAGCCGCTCTACAAGGGTGGAAATATTTTATTACATTTACCGATGATTACAGTCGTCGAAGTACAGTACTATTTATGAGGCATAAAGATGAAGTAACAGAAAAGGTAAAGAATTATATTACCTATATCGAGCGCAAGTTTGGAAATAAACCCTTGCGACTCAGGCTCGACAACGGTCGAGAATATATGAACACCGAATTAATTAACTGGTGTCAAATGAAAGGGATCGAGATGGGTCCGACTGCGCCGTACTCACCATCCCAGAATGGAGTCTCTGAGAGATTGAATCGCACACTGCTTGGACTAGCGCGTGTGATGATCTATGCGAGAGATCTACCTCGTTATCTTTGGGCTGAAGCGATTGCTCACGCAGTCTATATTAAAAATAGATCGCCTACCCAGGCGTTAAATGGGGCAACTCCCGAAGAAAAATGGAATGGGACGAAACCAAATATCTCGTACCTACAAGAATTCGGTTCCCCCGTATGGGTCCTCACGGAAGACGCAACACTATCAAAGCTAGCGCCCCGTGCCAACAAGTATATTTTTGTTGGATACATGGATGGACCCAAAGCCATCAAATATTATGATGCGCACACGCGCCAGATTAAAATCTCACGTAATTTCCAATTTTCTTCGAATTCCCCGGACCATTTCCGGCAACGCGCCTCATGTGCCACAAGAGCAAATAGGATCCGACGTACCTATCCTCACAGCACAGCGTGAGGGGGAGCAAAATATATTTCCGGGCACTTTACCTAGCAATGCGTCAGACGTGCCGCATGCGGAAAGGAGACCCGAAGTCCCAAACCTCACAACGACCGCAGACGTGCGGCGCGAGGGGGAGTTAGGAACTTCCGCGCCACAGTCACCTGCCAAAAATCCGCGAAAGCGCAGACAGGATGATGATCCTGATCAACGCGAGGAAAGCAGGACGGACGCACCAAGCCAGCCCAGACGAACCAGAAGAAAGACAGTTCGGCATGATTACCGTCTAATGCACGACCCAGAGGCAGACGAAGATCTGGATAATGATCCAGATAAATCAAATGCCGAATTAGTCTATATTGCGATGAGCACCCACGGAAATGCGGATGCGAACGAGCCAAAGACGCTCAGTGATGCCAAGAGATCACTCGAGTGGCCCAAATGGGAACAGGCAGTCCAGACGGAACTCAATCAACTACAGGGTATGGAGACTTGGGAGTTAGTGGAACCTCCCGAGGATCGAAAACCCGTAGGAAATAAATGGGTTCTAGTTAAGAAAACAAACAAAGAGGGTGAAATAATCAAATACAAAGCCCGCCTGGTTGCGAAGGGATATTCTCAAATCCCAGGCATGGACTATACTGAGACGTTCGCGCCCGTAGTCCGCCTCGAAACCATTCGAGCTATCCTCGGGCTAGCCGCAATCTTAGATTGGGAGATCGGACAGATGGACGTGAAAGGCGCCTATCTTAATGGAACTCTCAAAGAAGAAGTGTATATGCGGCAACCCGAAGGATACAGCGATGGAACATACCGCGTATGTAAATTAAAGAAAACCCTCTATGGGCTAAAGCAGTCTGGCCGAGAATGGAATATCGTGCTGAACCGCAAGTTACTAGACGCGAGATTCAAGCGCCTATTCTCGGATCCATGTGCGTACATTCGGATCAAAGGTGATAAGATAGAAATCGTCACCGTTTGGGTAGACGACCTATTAATATTCACCAATGATTGCGCACTGATGGACCAATTGAAGAGGGAACTCCGAAATATGTTCGAAGTTACCGACCTTGGCGAACCCCGAAAAATTGTGGGGATAGAAATTGAGAGAGACCGTTCAAAGCGGACAATCAAAATCTCTCAGACAAAATATATTGAGTCTATCCTACACAAGAATGGGCTTACGAACGCCAACACGGTCGGGATGCCTCTTGATCCAAATACAGTGCTTGAAAAAGAAGAACCCGAAACTGATGATGAATGTGACCGAGACAACGGATATGCATCGCTCGTCGGATCACTGATGTACGCGGCAATTGCCACGAGACCAGACATTGCTCACGCCGTGCAACGGCTTAGCTCATTTACTGCCAATCCCGGAATGGCTCATTGGACTGCTGCTAAACGCGTCCTCTGCTATCTATCCGGAACGCGAGAACTTGGAATAATCTACGGGCCAATTGCAGATGTCAAGCCCGAAGATCAATCCATATTTGTGGGCTACTCAGATGCAGACTATGTGAACGATATCCGAGATCGCAAATCAATCTCGGGATATTTATTTAAATTAGGAAATGGCACGATCACGTGGAGCTCAAAGAAGCAAACCACGGTCGCGTCATCCACCACGGAAGCCGAATACATGGCATCCGCTGAAGCGGCAAAAGAAGCTGTATGGCTCCGAACACTATTCAAAGAAATAGGTTTCGAGCAACAAGATCCTACAATTTTATTCGAGGATAATACAGTGGCGATCTCAATCGCACGTGATCCCCAATTTCACGCGAAATCAAAACATTTTGATGTAAAGCATCATTATGTGCGCGAAAAATTGAGGGATAAATATATTGATATCCACTACTGTCCCACGGAGGACATGATAGCGGATATCCTAACAAAGTCACTCCCTAAGCCGAGGCACGAGAAGCTCACAAAGAAGCTCGGAATGCCCATCGGCTTGAGGGGGAGTGTTGGAAAGTAGCGCCCAAATTTCTGGAGCTCCAGAAATTGGGGAGCGCCTAAGGGCAGACAAGCCGAGGGCATGATTACAAAGAAAGACAAAGAAGGAAATTTGCTTATATAAAGTGGAGCGTCTAGAACTGTATATATACAGAAATCTATTTTAGGACGCGTAATCACGCGCCCCGACGCATCTTAACCCGCCATCACTACCTTCCTATTTGGGAACTAAGGCGCGATTTCTAACAATATTTATCAGCAGGAGGCAGGATGGATGTGCAGGTACACGCGGGATGACCAGCGTGACACGCGCTGCGCGGGAGCTACAGCCAGGAGAGCATTACATACCCCCCCCCCCTCTATACGACTTTCACCAGACGTTCTGCTGTGCGACCCTCTCTTCTGTCCGTTTTCGGTAAGTCGCACGTGAACGTCTGGTCACGAGACTACAGCTGGAGAAACATAGACTCTTCACTTGTGCTGATATCCTCATCTAAATTTGGAAACTGGATCGACGGAAATTATACGGTGGGACACGAGCTAACGTGATCATCATCCTGCAGACATGTCATGCGCACAGCAGTGCGTATCAGGCTCATTATAACCAGCAATTGTTGACATCGTCCATACAAGCAAGGCATTGTATCCAATCGGACAGAATACATAATGGGAAAGCTCAATCATACTCTATTCTAGTCTCGTGACCAGACGTTCACGTGCGACTTACCGAAAACGGACAGAAGAGAGGGTCGCACAGCAGAACGTCTGGTGAAAGTCGTATAGAGGGGGGGGGGGGGTATGTAACGCTCTCCTGGCTGTAGCTCCCGCGCAGCGCGTGTCACGCTGGTCATCCCGCGTGTACCTGCACATCCATCCTGCCTCCTGCTGATAAATATTGTTCATGTATGCAACCATATATGCACCCCGAACCCTATTCTAGGCATCGCACAGGACGCATAACTCCTTTTTTCCCGAGGAAATAACTTGGAAAAATGTGTGGAAATCAACAAAGTCATACTGCGGGAAAAACATGAGGAAAAAATGTGTAAAAGAACAAAGCATTTCCGCAGTTTTTCCACTGGAAATAAGTTGGTCGCCAAATATGGTAGTTTTGTCCGGGTTTTGGCATGTCCTGGCATGTCCAGTTGCCTGATATGGTAGGCAACTTATTTCCAAGGGAAAAACCGTGAGAATGTTTTGTTCTTTTCTCACTTTTTTCTCGAGGTTTTTCCTCTGAAAATATATTATTGATTTCCATGCTTTTTGCCAGGTTATTTCCAATGGATAAAAGTGGTAATGCTTCCTGTGTCGGTAACCCGTGAATGCGCCGCGTTCGAGTTCGGATGTTTCGAGTTTTGGCTGAGGTCACGCCCATGTGACATACCCCCCCCTCCCCCCCGCCTATACGAAAGTCACCAGACGTTCTGACACGACCCTCCACACAAATCCTAAAAAGGGTCGAATCTCAGAACGGCTGGTTACGAGACTACTCCAGCTGGAGGACTCGCGGGCGATTCTGAATGCTTGTTTCGGCCGGATCATGTGAAGAAGCGGGATTGACAACGCGCCAATGGGGACTACGCGGGAGCACGAGAACCCTCGCGTGGAGCGCTTCGTACGGCTGGGAAGAGAAGCAGATATCTGTATAGAGATCAGTTTAGCGACCGCCAAATATTAATCTTGCTCTTGCGGTCGTGGAGCGGGCGATGTTCGCTACAACTTGTCGGATATGGCAATTGCTTGTTACCACCGGGGTCCCTCCTGTGAACAACCTGTGACACGGCAGCCCGCGCGCCGAAACTTGGTTTTACCATATCGAGCAGCACACCTTCCTTTCTCGGTGCAGTCATAGCCTCCCCATAAGACGCAGGGTGTGCGGGCATGTATATAAGGAGCTCGGCGCACCTTCCCATGGCCGTCCCACTTACCTCTCCGCCTGTGCCGCGGCGCTTTCCGGGATGGCACAGACACGGTCAGTCACAGTCACGCAGTTCCACGCGCGTCTGGGACCCCGAACTTTGTGACTTCAGTGGAGCCGCTGGCGTCTAATATCTTTTTCACACACGAGTATTTATTCGCGAACCTGGTTCTGCCAAAGGCACCACTCTCTTCCTCCTCGCCATGATCATCCTCACCCGTGCCAGATTTGCAAAGCGGCTCGCCCTCCGTCTCTCCAAGGCGAAAAGAAAGGTTCCCGCGAAAGCTCAGCCCCACCAGCACCACCCCGAGTCCGCTACCACCCGGCGTTTCGTCCAGGGCGTACCTCCGGACGAGGTTATCGCGGTGACCGCCCGTCGCATGGCCAAGGCAGAGCGCGACGAGCGCATGGATATCACCCTTGCCCTGACCGAAGTCAAGGAGTGAGTCCCGCTGCATCTCTCGTTCTCGATGTGCGCTCATTTTCTGCAGATACATGGGCGGCTTCACCCGCCCCAGGGATCTCAGCGCCTCCCGCTGGTTCCGCGGCGGTACCTACGATCGGCGTGGGACCGTCTACGAGTCCCCACCCGAGGCCGCGTACGAGTCGCACACGGTCTTCATCGTCGAGTCCCGGTACCCGGTCGTGCATGGCATCGGGCGCATCGACACCGAGGAACAGTTCGTCGGAGTGTGCCGCGAGGGTGACCTCCCCGCTCTACTCGCGTCCTTCAACTCGGCCAAGACCAGGGGCGAGTTTCGGGAGGCGATGGACAACGCTCGCTGGCCGTGGATGCAGAACCACCCAATGCCGCGCAAGACAGTGTGGTGGGAGCCCGGCGAGTCTCCCGATGCGGTGCATCGCAAGGCGATTGAGGAGAGCACAGACTTTGCAAGCGAGCTCCAGGATGGGAAGCGGGTCCCCGTGGAATTGCTGACACCTGCGTCTTCGTCGTACGATGCGCGCTCACACCTCAAGCAGCGGCGCTCGTTCCATGCCTCTGCGCTTGCACGCGCGGGTGACCACTCATCCTCATCCTCATCTCCATCCTCGTCGTTCCAGAACCGTGACAAGAGCCTCCCTGCGTCGTCCTGGAGTCGTCCACCGCGACCGCCACAGGATGCGGACGACAACGTTGTGCCGGCGTTCTACGTCGAGCGGAAGCGGCAACGAGATGACATCTCGGAGCGCAAAGTGGCGGAGAGCTCGTTGATGGCAGAGCTCAACGCGGGAATCCTCAGCGAGGGCCTTTCCGCATCCGTTCGCCCTCGCGAGGAGAAGATTCCCGTCGAGGTGCGCATGGCAGACGGTTCGGTACGGCACCCGAGTGGGTTTGAGCCGCCGACGGCCGAGACGGACTTTCACCCGGTCGCGGCGAAGACGCCCACAGAAGAAGACCCGCAGTCGATTTTGTCTACGGTCAAGCAGATGTGGGACGCGCGCAAGTTTGCGGAGCCTGAGGTCCCGCCGATCAGTATCGACGCGGACGTCGAGGCGGAGTACTTGAAGCGCAAGGTGCAGGATATTATTGACAACAGCGCGGTACGGACTGCACAGATTGCGGAGCCGGCCTCCGCGGTAAATTTCGACCCCGTCTCAGGCGTATCCTCAACGCCAGAGTCGCCTAGTACCACCTCGTCATGGGACACTCCGGCACGCTCAAGGGCGCGCTCGACGGACCCCGATAACATCGTGCCCCCATACTACATTGAAAGAAAACAGCAGCGCGACTCGATCTCACAACGGAAGGAGGAGGACGAGCTGATGTCTGAGCTGAGTGCGGGCGTGCTGAGCGACGGCATCGCTGCGGAGATGCGCCTGCGAGATGAGAAGATCCCCGTAGAAGTGTTCGAAGAGGATGGCATCGTGCGGCACCCTAGTGGGTACGCCCCGCCGACGCCCGAGACCGATTTCTATCCTGCGTCTGCGAAGTCCCCCGAGTCGCCGCCAAAGACGCTATGGACTGAGCTAACTGCATCCAAGATTGCGCGGGGGTTCCACTGGAGCGCCCTGGTGCGCGCGCAGGAGGTTCCTGACTCCTTCAGGCTGGTCTCCCCTGTCCTTGGTACATCCCCGCCCACGCCCTCTTCGCTGCATGTGCGCGATATCGCGACAACGGCGCAGGGAGAATCATCCGACGCAGTGTCCGCGCACGACAAACCCCCGCAGGCGGAAAAGGATGGGGACGAGTACTCGCTCATATCGACCAACCCCACGCGCCCTCGGATTTCATACGAGCAGCTCGACAGCCGGTTGGACGCGATCCGGCGCAAATACAGGCCGAAGCTCGAGACAGAACCCTTCTGGCGGCCGCTGCTGACGGTGACGCTCGCAACGCGCCCACTGGCGCTCAGCTTTGCTCGTCTCGCCCGTGCGCTCCCGCGCGGCGAGCCGTTCTATGCCTCCATCGTCCCGGACGACCGCAAGTGCTGGAAATCGTTCCCCACGCGCATGCGCCAGCTGCGCTTGCGTCGTGCGCGTCAGCTCACCATCGAAATGGCGCGTTTCCTGGAGGGTTACCGCGGCGGGTTCGTCGGGCTGCGCTTCGGCACCGGCGACCGCGGCCGCGGGATCGGCGGTGAGGGCTTCGCTGAGCCGATCCCGGCGAGCAAGCGCCTCATCCAGGTCGGCGTGGGCGAGTGGTACAAGCATGCGGCAGACCTGCAGGAGCTGCTTCGCGAGGAGGCGCGAGAGGCGGACCTGGACAACGTCGCAGTGTTTGGGCTCGACGAGCGAGGCGCACGCACGGACGGGAAGGCGTGGGCGCCGAAGCCGCGCCCTCTGCCGCGGCTGGAGTCGCTCAACGAGTTCGCGGCGAAGAAGGGCGTGTCATTCGAGGGCATGGATAAGTGGCAACGCGAGGAAGCGCGCATGGAGTTCGCGAAGAAGTATGCGATGCAGATCGCGGCGAGGCGCGCCCAGGGACATAGTTCGGTGATGCACCCGCCCCCAACTCACGGACGGACACTCGTACGCAGAACGTGGCAACCTGCCACACCTATCGTATCTTGATTGTTTGAAGTTACTCAACCTGAACCACTTGCGTTGTACATACCATCACGTCGCACTCCACTAATTAATGCACATCGCTCTCAGTCTGAGCACACCATTCGTGGATAACTAAGCAAAGTGGTGAACATTATCCCTGAGCTAGACAGTGCCAACGAGTCCAACGAGCGAGGTAATCCGAGACAGAAGGAAGAGGCATGAAAGGAGCGGTCGAGTTTATGGGGTATCAACGCACAGTAATACTCGGAGAACTTTCGACAGGCACAGGACACAGGTCCTTACCGCCTGTTGGTGCCACGGCCGTAGCCAACCTGAAGATTGTCGAGCTCGGCTTCGAGCTGCTTGATAGCGCTGTGGGCGAGCTCGAGGTCCTTGTTGAGACGGTCGCGCTCTTGGATGAGCTGTCACACCGACGCATGAGCACCAAACGACAATAATAGAATAGTTAATACATACGTGTTGCTCCCACTGCCTGAAGCGGGACTCCTCGGCTTTGACTTGCTCGGTGAAGCGCTTGCGGAGCTGCTCCTCCTCCTCCTTGAACTTGGGGTTCTCGAACTTGCGCGGCTTCTGCTCGCCGAACTTGCGCGTCTCCATCTGCGCCTGGCGGTAGTTCTCGTAATGCAGGTCCTCCGTCGTCGAAATGAGGTCCAGCATGTGCGTGCGGATGAGCAGCGAGCGTAGCTTGCGGAAGTCGCAGTGGTTCTCGTTCTCGACTGCCGGCCGCGCACGGCGTAAGATAAGAGGTGTAGATGGGTAGATACGGAACGGACTGACCTTCGGCGACACCCCAGAGGTACTCGCGGCCCTTGACGACGCGGCCGTCGGGGGTAGTGACGTCCTCCGTCGAGCCGATGATGGAGAAGGGGATAGCCTCTGAGAGGATACGCGCATGCTCGGCACCCGCCTCGTCGTCGGGCTCAATGGGAGGCTGGTAGATGCGGATACCTTGCGCTTGGATGACCTCCCGGATCTGCAACAAAAATCAGCGCAACGCGAGGAGCGAAGGTGACCCACACGCACGCGCTGCTTGAAGGTGTAGAGGTCGTTCTGGGTGAGCGTGTCGGCCTTGGCGACGACAGGAATGAGGTTGACGCGGGTGCCCAGACGCTTCATGATCTCAATGTCGAGCGGCTTCAAGCTGCTAGGTAGATGAGCCGGGTCGTGCTCTGCAGCGGACGAGCGAACGGCTTACGTATGACCGGTCGGCCTGATGAAGTAGAGGCAGGCATGGACACGGAGGTCGATCTTTTCCTTGCGCTCGGGCTGCTGCTCCTGGCGCATGTACGCTTCGTGCTGGTCGTCAATGAAGTCGACGATGGGGGCCCAAGAGTCGCGGTTGTTGACGTAGTCGCCGAAGCCCGGGGTGTCGATGACGGTAAGCTTGGTCTTGAACTGCTTCTCTTCGAGCTCAGCCTTGATGATCTCGACCTCGGTCAGTTTGTCGAGCTGCTTGTGGTGACGGCGGGTGTAGCTCTTGGCCGGAGAGAGTTCGGTCGAGAAGAGTGTGTTGACGAGAGTGGTCTTCCCGAGACCGGACTCGCCTGCACGTCTCGTCAGCCCGCTTCAACCACTCGTGAGATGTGTTTCCGTCTACTCGCCAACGACCATAATGGTGAAATGTGCCCCATGTTTGGCGACGATTTTGTGCCGCTGTAGAGTAAAATTCTGAGCTACGTGGAATAAAAGGCATTGTGGAGAAGACAGACCTGGTTGGGGAGGTTGGCGATGCCAATACCATCGGACATGGGGGGGGGAAGGTTGGCCATGGTTGTGGGATACTGCACTCAGACACGACACCTCACACCGTCGTCTCGATTTTAGCTGCGAACACTCCCTCGCAGTTTGCTTCTGTTTGCGTCTGGTGGCTGCACTCCTCCTCAGTTCCACTGCCAGGAAATATTTACATACGATCCCGCTTGAGTTGTCAGGATATGCAGCACGTACGCATATGTGCAATAGAAGTGCATGCAATGACTAAATATTTTCAGCAGATGAAAATACTCTCAGGGTTAGATTTCCTCTCGGGCTCGACGTCTCCAATGCCATGTAAGTACTACACTGGTTGATATCCTTGGTGGGATGCGACAGCCAGAAATGTACATTTGCTCATACTGGTACGATATGGCATACACATCTGCCTCTCCGAAACCAGGGTTCTTCAGAATTCACCCTAACAACACCGCACTACTGGCGCTCGCGCTCCTGGACACCCGTCTTCTCGATACCCTGTGTACGCATTTGACGAACCTTCTTTTATGTATGGCACGCAGGCGAGCGATCCATCAGGTCGTCCACGATCCCGAATGGAGCATGGACTCGCTGCTCCAACGAGCGCTATCGTGCATGTATGTGCTCGCGCTGTGTAGTGTGATGTTGCAATGATGGGCGGCTGATCAGCCTCTCCCTACACATACCGCGCTTGTTGTCCAGTGTCCAGACTAATACGACCATCGAAAGGCTTTCCGAGGGCTCTTGAATGAGCACCCTGGGCCTGCAGTAGTGCACTGCGGCGCATCGGAAACTAGAAAGTCGCTTGGACAAGATGCAGTTGTGGACCTTGTGGTCAAACCTTGTGATCTCATAATCCTCTCTGAGGTGGCCCACCCTGGGAGATTATGCCACTGATGCGTCGATGTCCCCCGGTCCTGTGCCCGGGAATGCCATGAACATGGACGGTTCTCAACGATGTATGAGCTAAACACGGATGCTGCCCCTGACGTCTCACGACAATATTTGGGGTACTGCCTTCTACGGCCGGTGATTCAAGAATGCACGTCTCCGTCGAGACATAGAGGCCCGGAGGCTTATCGGATCGCGAGCACGGTTGCACGGTGAGCCAGAGTGAGATGCCGTTCTACCTCTACCTTTATATAGATCTTATCTCGAAAGCTATATCCCTTATCTTCTCATACGGCCCGCCGCGGACTTGCTGCAGATACAATCGTTTATGCATCTGACCGTCAATGCGAGCTGCACCTTCTCCAATCTCACTCGCTTCCCGAAAGTTTAGTATACCTACTCAGCGTTTACGACTTGCGACCGTACTGACATGTCTATTAGGGCCTCGCTAGTGGTCGGCGGCGGTCCCAGCTACTGCAAGAACCCGCTGACCGTGCAGTCTTTATCGCCCTTCTGCAGAGGAGTCATTTCCATTGATGGGCGAGAAGGACGTCGCAGTTGGAGTAGTCCGCCCCTGCTTATCTTCTCGACTCCGCCTGCACGTCTCGCACGTCCCGCCAGCTCCTTCAGGCACGCTCTGGCTGGCTCATAAGCCCACATGGACTCCAGTTGCATAGGTGCTTCCTCCTTGACCAACCTTGCCTCACCTTGAACTCGCCATGGTAGCCAACAAGTTCAATCGTGTGCTCGCCCATCCCATCCGCAGCTGGGCGGGCCGGCTTCATACGGCTTTCACCTCGAAGGAGGAGTTCCTCAAGTACGTGCACACCGAGGGGAACGCGCACGCTGTCCATTCGTGGACAAACGAGGATCTCAAGCCGTCCCCGCCGCACATGGTTAACTGGCATTGGTGGAACTTTTGCATCTTCTGGTTTGGCATGGGCTTCGGGAACTGGTGCGCCCGCCGCCATCTGAGCGATTGCAGGTTGATTTGGGTTGACTGATTGGGGTTGTTTGCAGGACGCTCGGGTCGAGCATCGTCGGCGTGGGCCTGTCGTGGTGGCAGGCGACGATAGTCGTCTGGATCGCCGCGTTTGTGTCTGGCGCGTGCATGGCACTCAACTCCCGCGCGGCCGCGAGCTTCCACGTTGGATATCCCGTCCTCCTTCGCACCTGCTTCGGGATGTATGGCCACTACTGGCCCGTGCTCGCGCGTGGCGTTTGCGCGATGCTTTGGGTTTCTGTGCTCAGTGCGTACTGCCCCTCCCTCCCCCTCCACTTCGCCTGCTGAACCAGACACGTTGTTCTCCGACAGACTACCAGGGTGGCGCGTTCATCTCGACGATGCTCCACTGCATTGTCGGGAACCGGTGGAATAATCTCGGCGTGCAGTTCCCCTCCTCGGTAGGGACGACAATTCAGCGCTTCCTCGGGTTCCTCATCTTCTGGGCTATTGAATTGCCGTTCTGCTCTCTGCGCCCATACCGCCTCAAGTGGCTATATGCCTTCAAGGCGTGGACGCTCCCGCCTTCCGTTTTCGCCCTTCTCATTTACTGCCTCGTGCAGAGCAAGGGCAAGCTCGCGTCCACCACTGCGCTGGCTGGTACGGCGGCGCTTCCCAAGGGCTCGACGCTTGCGTGGTTGTTTGTGAACTCGGTGAACTCGGCTATGGGCAACTGGGTATGTTTCTATCTTCCCGATGTGGAGCATGCGGCTGAAGAATTTTGCCGCAGTCGACGTTCATCGCGAACATGCCCGACTTCTCGCGATACGCAACGAACCCCAGGGCGACGATGTGGACGCACATCCTCTTTGTTCCCTTCCCCGCTGCACTCGTGAGTCACCTCCATTCTCCGGCACGTAGTCCGCACTTAGCTATCACTGACCGCACGTGTAGGGTGGCATGATCGGTATCTTCGGAACGTCCGCGCTGCAGAAGGCGTGGGGCGTGACGCTCTGGAACCAGTGGGACGTCTTCGACGCGATGCTCGAGCATTCGTGGAATGGGAAGACGCGCTTCGGCGTGTTCCTCCTCGCGTTCTGCGCTGCGCTGTTCAACTTTGGCGCGATCCTCGGTGCGAACCTGCTCCCATTTGCGAGCGACATCACCGCGCTCGTCCCGACGTTCTTCAACCTCTCCCGCGGGATGTGGTTCTGCTGCCTCATCTCGCTCGCGCTTGTGCCGTGGAAAATCCTCGCGTCTGCCAATGGGTTCCTCGCGTTCCTCGGTGGGTACGGCATATTCATGGGCCCCACCGCCGCGATCATGATTACGGACTACTGGCTCGTGCGCCGCGGGAACATCGATATCAAGGCCGCGTACACCTCCGCGCGCGGTGCACCGTACATGTACTGGCACGGCGTTAACCTGAACGCGGCGTTCGCGTACTTGTGTGGGATGACCATACCATTCGTCGGCTTCGTCGGCACGTTTGGTGTGAAGGTCCCGTATGGCGCGAAGCGCTGCGATGACTTGGGGTGGTATATCAGCTTTGTGGTTGCCGGCGTTGTGTACGTCGTGCTATGTCGTCTGTGCCCGCTGAAAAATGTGGACCCCGATATGCCTTGGGAGCAGCGCGCGCGGGAGTTCGCGGTAGAGCGCGAGGCCGAGGCCGAGGCGGTCGAGGGTGTGGAGGAGGACACGCGCAGTGTCAGGAAGAGCGAGGAGAAGGCGGACGTGGAGAAGGCGTCGTACGTTGTGTCGTATGAGCTGACTACTACTGAAACTTGAGCGGCTGTACCCAGAGAACCGTCCGTACTCTGTCGTTTATCAAATATTAGACCTTTATTTCCTGTGACCTTACGTTGTGGAGAGTTGCTTCCGACAGTAGATGGTGCGGAAGTGGTCATAGAATGTGCCAATAGACTGCTTTTCTTCGAACATTTATACGAGGTTTTGCAAAATAAGGAATACCCGCTTTCGATTCATCGAATCGCGGAGGACCGCAGCTCCTGATTGCCTGAGGTCGGGAAGCAGGCTTTCCGCACGGAAACTACGTGGTCTGGTATGTGGAGTCCTCACGGCCACATGCAACATTAATCCTAGTCCACTAATAATACTTAAAAAGAGCGAGACACATGTATCCAATTCGTAGAAAGTGCTGCAGAAAAGCATCATACTCGCTCATCTTCCCTGATCACCACCGGAGAGAGAGAGGGAGCGGGGAGCGTCGGTGCAAAGCGCGAGCGCATCCTCAGCTTCGGCCCGTAATGCGACAACACGAAAGGGATAGGGCACATGAGCAGCGCGAGACACCCGAGAAGGGTCGACGCCCACCGAGGGTTCAGCGCGGCGTACATCTGCGCCGCAAACAGCGGGAACGCCGCGCCGAAGAGCGACCGCACGATGGTGACGCACGAGAGCGCGCTCGCGGCGAAGAAGAGGTATGCATCGATAGTGTAGTTGTTCAGGCCGAGGAAGACCCACACCGTCGCACATGTGAGGGGCAGCCCCGCGAAGAGCGTCGCCCAGTACGAGACGGTTGGGTACGATGTCCACGCAAACCAGAAGAACGACAGTGCAAAGATCGGCGCGGCGTACTTGCAGATCTCGAGCCGCGCTTCGGGGGGGACTGGGTGTGGGGCGTAGCGCGCCATCTCGCGCTCGTACCGCGGATTGAAGATGAGGAGATACAACAGGACGCCGAGACATCCGCCGATGAGGATCGGAAGGTACATGAGTCCGGTGATGCCTTCGCTCATATGGTGGCCGATAGTAAAAACTATCGGGTACGCAACAAAGAGCAGGTAGATGCAACCGTACACAAACTAGCAGCACACGTCAGATTTCCTTATGATCAGTACAGACAAGGCACGAAAGATGCTTACGCTCATGTAAACCGTCACAGCCAGTAGCATCGGTTCACAGGCCAACATGATGAATGGGCGAGCCACGATGCTGTTCACTCGTTGGAATAACGGCATGTCCCGTTTTTCTAGAGGAGCCCAATAGTGATCGTCTCTGGTCTCCTTGCGTCTGCGACGCGCCTTCCTCACGAGTATGACCGGACTACCGACGGCTAAGGTAAACTACGATAAGATACCAGAAATAAGGTTGTTCGCTCACGCGTAAGTTTCAGGAAGAGTCAGCACGATTATCGCGAGACATGTACCCGCAAAAATTGTTAACACCCAAAACACCCATCGCCATGAAACGCCCGAGACACCCATAAAGCCGCTGACGAGCGGCCCTATTGCAGGTCCCGCAAAAGGTGCGAGGGTAAATAACGCAAGGGCCTTTCCGCGTCGCCCAGCGTCCCATATATCGGACATCAGTGCTCTAGAATGAGATCAGCGCGTGCAGTTATGCATCAAGAAAAATTCGATGCTTACCCGCTATTTGATAATGGTGCTGCAGCGAAAACACCGCCAAGAAAGCGGAAGATCAGGATGGACGCAACGTTCCGCGAGAGGGCACATCCGACTTGAAATCCCGTGTAGACGATGAATGTGAGGATAAATATCGGGCGTCGGCCAATCTGCTCGGACAGCGGTCCCCACACCAAAGGACCGACACAATAGCCAGCGACAAATAGAGATATGGTGGCAGTCGCGACCTCCTTGCTGAACTTGAAATACTCGATGAGATTAGGCACAACGCCCGTTGGCGCTGCGCTCGCGAACGTTCTGGGACAAGGGTAAGCCGTGACGCAAAGTGCGACACCACTCAAGAACGCACGCATTCATGACCAGCAGGCCAGCAACCATAGTTAAGTACCAGCGGTAGGCGAGAGACCAATTCTTCGGATTATCTGGGTCATCCGCGTCAAAGCGCACCTCATAGTCGGGAACATCTGTGTCGCGCTCCTTCTCCAAGGCCTGGTTTGCCTTGTGTTCAGGAATAGAGGCATCGCCCTTTGGGACCCTGTCCTCGTCGATGGCAGTTTCTTCGAGTGTATTTTGTGTAGAATCCTGAGACCGGGTTTCTAAGGATAGGCCTAAGGACGCCATGGCGCCAAAGAGAAGAGAATGGAGGGTTAAAAATCGAACAAGCGAATGCGGACATCTTAAGAGGGTCCGATGTAGAGTACTTACGCGTCTGCCTATAGAGTCGCGACTCTGAGCGCGCCCGCATTCATCGTGCTGAAAAGCGTCTACGTAACCATCATGACGGACCTGCAAAAGCGAAAGCGGTCAATTCGAATTCAGCGGACCACCGCTACCTGGCACTTACACCGGGGCGACATGACTGGAACAGTCGTGTATGCGACGGGATCGCTTGAAGAGTCTCATCTTGTCTCAGTTCCAGTCCGGGAGACGCTGTTCTCCGAGAAAGTCGGATAGGGTCACGTGGTTTAACTGCAGTGAAACCTTCGGTGCTGCTTCTGCGAGCATCATATTCGACAATGGACTTCGGGCAGCCCTTCAACGCAGAACAAACCGTCGCGTACCTCAGGACCCTACCAGCAATACGCGAACGCTGCGGCCGCGTACATGCCTTAGCAAGGCAGGGAAAACTCGAGTTTTTTGAGTACCACCCGGAGAAGGAGCAGGACGTCGCAGCGTTCTGTATCAGTATCATCAATGTAAGCGCGTGATTCGTCAGGCTCGGCCATAAAACGCTATCTGACCCCGATGCCTGCGCATCAGCGAGACTTTGGCTCCAATTATGCCTCGGTGAGTCCACCGAGACACTGCGAACGACAACTGCCGGCCGATGACACACGCATCCGTAGATCCCCCCGCACGGTCGCTGGAGGCACCTCGATGCAGGGCGTCCGCGCGTGGAGCTTCTCATAGCCAAGTGGCAGCACTCGCCAAACCCCCCCGACGCGAAAGAGACCTGCAGGCGCCTCATCGATCTCTTTCTCGTCTCCGTGCTGCTCGACGCGGGCGCTGGCAACACCTGGACGTACCGCGAGGATGACTCAGGTCAGACATTCATGCGTTCCGAGGGGCTCGGCGTCGCGAGCATCAACATGTTCGAGAGGGGGCTTTTCTCCGTAAGGGCCGAGAACCCGTACCAAGTCGATGGTGAATGCGCTCCCTCGTTCCACTTGCACGTGCGCCCTCGCTAACCGTTCGTGTTCCAGCCGACGGACTATCGCGGGTGACGGCCGCTCAGATGACGGAAGCCATGCAGGTGAACGACGCGAACCCGATGGTGGGTATCGACGGCCGGACCGCGCTACTTGCGAACCTGAGCACGGCCCTCAAGGAGAACCAAACGTACTTCGGCTCTGAGGCGCGGCCGGGAAACCTAATTGGTGCGCCGTCCCCTATGGTTTGTGCGCCATGAAAGCAGCCAACCGCAGGTCCTGCAGACTTCCTCGAGTCTGAGTCGAAAGTGGACGGGTCGACGCGGAGGGTGCACATCTTCTCGCTGTGGGGCGCGCTCATCGAAGGCCTTGCACCTATCTGGCCTACAACGCGCACGACGTTCGGTGGTATCTCGCTCGGCGACTGCTGGCCATGCCACGCACTCACGGCGGACGCGAAGGCGGAGGGTGACAACCTCGTTCCCTTCCACAAGCTCACCGGCTGGATCACGTATAGCCTCATCGAGCCCATGGAGAAGGTGTTGCATTGGCAGTTCGAGGGCATTGAGAACATGACCGGCCTCCCTGAGTACCGCAACGGTGCGCGATGACGTCATTCCACTGTGGCACTCTTCCGTTGATCTGTGAGCACGCAGGCGGGTTACTCGTAGACCTGGGTGTCCTCACTCTCCGCCCAGGAGCGATCCCACAGTCCTTCTACCCGGACTCAACATCGGCCATCCCGAAGCTCCCACCCTCACATGCGGCCATCGTAGAATGGCGTGCAATGACCGTCATAGAGCTGTAAGCCTTGGTCTGATTTATCACTCTACCCACTGACACAATCTCGACGCAGCGACCGCATCGCCGACGCCATCCGTGCGAAGCTCGGACTGAAGCCCGCCCAGCTCACTCTCGCACAGGTGCTCGAGAGCGCGACGTGGAAAGGTGGGCGGGAGATTGCGAGGCAGAAACGTCCAGCGACAGGGGGTCCACCCATTGACATTGAGAGCGATGGGACTGTCTTCTGACATTCTGACGTCAGTTGCAGACGATTGGATGATGGTGGAAAGGGTCGGTAAGAGAAATTTGGACACCGTGTAACATAACTCACTGCTTTGGATGGAAGTGGCAACGAATAAGTAAGACAGACTTCTCCACGCAAACAAGGGCTACATCTAGGACATTTAACGAAATGACAGCTGTATATACAACGAACGAAACCGGCGTTGAATCTTTCCATGCCTGCAGGTCTCTATCTAACCAGCGTCCTATATAACAAGGGAAAAGAGCGAAAACCAAGCCCCAGACAAGTGAACTGCAAATGCTAGCGCGTGAGCGTGTGCGTCGAAGCAGACCGAACGAAGCCACGCGTACCGAACATCGTCTTTTGCAATCCGCGGTATCTTGACGGGTATCCCCGCTCAGAGGATGATGGGGATGGACGTGCACCCGAAATTAACGAGGCCGTTAAAGGTGTTATTCTCGCAGCAAACAGGGATGTTCGCGCTGCGAGCACGAAGCGTAAGTCATCGATGGCACCGCGGCGAGAGTATCTGAGGCGCACCAGGTGCTTCCGCCGCCGACGTTACTGATGCCACCGCCACACGAGGTAGCGACCTTACCCGCGGGGAGGTTCGTCTGGTCGATATTGAGCGCCTTCATGATGAACTGCGCCTCGTACGACTCTGGGTCGTAGGTGCTGTCGCAGCACGCGATGGAGCCGCTGTCGCACTGGGAGCTGGACTGCGGGCGCGCGAGGGCGGCGGCAGCGAGGGCGAGGACGGCGAGCGTGCGGAGGGCGAACATCGTGATGGGAGGGATGGTGGATGCGAGGTGGGTAGGCGAGGTGTGGCTGGTCGGGGCTGTGAACGGGTGTTCGAATGATGGATGGGGAGGATGGGGAGGGCTTATATAGCTGTGTGCCGTGATAATGTGAAGGAGAATCTTATATCTTGAACATTCAGAGTGCCTTTTGGGCCGAGTAACCGTCATATACCTTGTCTTCTTCACCGTGACAAGTGTCTGTCGCCCGAACAAGGACCGCTGCGATCCACCTTCTGACATGTCTGCAGAAGAGGTGAGAGGCGCCCTACCCCCTTTCGAAGAGCCTGGCTTACTTATAAGTGGCGTAAGTACTAATATATCGCATTTTTGAAACTGGTGTTCCTAGCATACTAAACAGATCCAAGCCGAGGACTGACACCACAATGCACCACAGTCCGGGACCAAATAATTGATGCATCCGAGATCGACTCCGGGGATCTCGATTAGATTGACTTCTCCTCCGAACACCACAACGCCCCCATGCGGCGTTGAGAAAGTTTGAAGGTGTGAGAGCCCTGTGAGTGCATTGAAGGAAGGATCCTAGAGTTGTACAAAAGTTTATGCATGTTTCTGATTCAAAAAAGTGAACCACTGCAAGCGACGTTGGCGAGATACCTACTAGTGGTACTAAGTACAGTACAGAGACTACCTGAGTTTACAGGTTGGCTCGACCTAAGTCGACCTAAGGACTTGGACGTGTTTGGGTGTCATATGGTTAAGAATAGAAAGGGCGCGGAAGATGGACGCACCGGGCACAGCCCGGTCATCACTACGACAGCACCACAATATTAATGTGATTTCAGCTTGCCCAGCGCCAGTCGAGTCGTCGGAAGAAGATCGAAACCAAGATCGGAGCGCCGATCAGCTAGGAGGATGAGACACACGTGTTCGTTGGCGTCTCGCATATTCCCCACCATTTTCGCATCCGGACAAAAAAACCAAGATTTGCGGTCGACGCTGTCTCACCTCCGGACATTTTGACCTCTCGAAGGCCGGAATGCCATCTCCTGGTCCGGACCTGGAGGTGACTGTCGGCCCCGCAGGTGGCCTAAAAGGCCCGGAATGCTCCCGACGGTGCCGGAAAGCGCCCAAAAATTACCTTATTTGGAGGCCGATAATTATCCGGACAAATTTCTGACAATCGATGATTTTGAAGATCTACGTACGGCGTCCATGGAGATTTTCCAAGGTCCGTATATATATATATACTAGAGCTATCATCTCAGGAGTACTCATGAACTATAGACAGCCACCTGCGGCTTCCTGCCGAACGTCTTCGCCCACTGAGTTGATCTCTACTATTCGAGCCGTCGCCCCCGGCTTAGAAGTCGATACTTGACGACGGATGTTTCCTCTCGTGTACTCCAATACAATCTTTCAAGCCTTCAAGCTTCAGGTGCAACGTATACTAGAGTAAATAACCTGCAGGCTCTTTCTGGCATTGTCGAAACTTGAGCCGCGCTCAGTGTGCCATTCCAACGGTGGTGCCCGAGGTATACATTAACCCGTACCAAATGATGTTGAGTCTCTCGAGTGGCCTGGCATCGACGTGAGAGCGCATCCATAGGATCGTATAGGATCATATCTAGTTCGGTCTCTTTCTCATACCTGGTCACAGTGAGTGGTGATGCCTTTCCTGCTTTCTAGGATAGGCTAGGATAGAGGCAATTGGGTATGCCAGAGACAGGTGCATCGCTGGAAATATCACGTATGCTGTCGGCTAATGTAGTCGTTGGTTAAGTCGTGCCCACCTCAACCTCAGCGCACACTCCGTTACCCTCCAGCAACCCATGCAGGCTCCTTGCAGGAATCATTCACTTCTTCGTTGAAGCTGTAGCCCTTTTCTCCCGCATCTGTTCCAGAGTCATCTGCATCCGCAAGTCAGAGAGGGTTTCTTCCTACCTTCTAGTGTTCCGCGTTTCTTCCGCTCTTAAAATATGCTCGGGCGAAGTACTACGAGCCGGACCTCCCGAATTCCTTCGAGACCATCGTGATAAGGGCTTCGGCCATATATCTCCCATGAAGGGAATGGTGGGTTGCTGAGGGCTGCTCATGGTTGTCGTACTACTAGTCGTGGAGATTTGTTCTCGATGGGATGCGGCAGTTGGCAGGTAATAATATTGAGATGGCAAGTAGTAATTTACCGACCGGGATGGTTTGGAATGCCGGCATGAGCGCGTTTCCCGGTGACCTAAACGGCGAGGTACCGGTGAGTTGGCGAATGCTCGGAGCATCCACCTCGTAGCAGTCCGCCAGCAAGCTTGACGCCACCGAGGACTCCAAGTTCTGAAGCGTACAGTGTGACTTTATCGCAACCGAGGCTAGTCTCCCACTGCCCCAGTTCCCCCCATGGGGAACAGCGTCGCGGACACCGAGCGAAGCTACCCTGGGAAGAAGTTTACGCCACCACGATTTCCGCCGGTGCAATCGCCAGCCTCCAATTGTAGCCTGGCCGACTGCCAGATCTCGAGGCGTGTGCAACCCTGTAAGCCATGATGTTTGGCAAAGAGGGGAAAGCTCTGAAAATAATGTTGGTGCCGGCTGTGAGGCCTCGGCGCGTCAATTTCCGCTCTGGACAGCTGGTGCGGACAACGTCTCTCTCTAGTGTGATACTTTCCATACTAGATGTGAAAGTTTTATCCGCGACATAATGGACCCGGGAGGAGCGACCTGACGCAGAGAAGCGAATTCTTTATGGAGGATCCCGCGAGAATGCTGCGAGGGACGCGTGTAAAATGCAGGCGATGAATCGTCCCGCGTCCCGCGTCTTCCTCATATGTGCTCCACGCATTGGATTTATGGCACGCTTCGCTGTCTTCTGCATCAAACTTGCACACACGTCCAGGATCACTGATCCTTCTCGGGAGCCTCTTTACATGGGCCTCCGCGCCCTTCAGCTCCCAAGTTGCACCCACTCGACTCTTCTTCAAGCCGCTGGCGCCGCCTTACTTGACTCCGGTATACCACCTGCATATCATGTCTGACGTTGTGGATTCGTCCGAGACCAAGTCGAGCACTTCCACAGTCGTGGTAACGCCTCCGGCCCGAGAGGGCCCACCACCGCCCCCCGATGGCGGTTTGTCTGCATGGTCGACGATAGCCGGAGCGTGAGTTTCTCCAGCAGCTGGCTGGCGTACCCGTTCGACCACTGATTCGCATCGAACGGGTGCTCAGGTGGATGATTCAATTTTGCACCTTTGGGTAAGCTGGAGACTGCCACCGTATACAACTACTCGGACACTAATTTCATTTATGCCCGTTGCCAGATACGTCAGTGCGTTTGGAGTCTACCAAGGTCCGTTGTCGGAGCATGCCAATACCTTTTCCATTGACTCGACTCGCTCCAGATTTCTATGCCTTAGACTTCCTTCCACTATATTCATCCTCCGACATAAGGTAGATGTTGTCTCCCGCCTCCTATCCTGTACTGACACCATGGATCTTGCAATTGAGCTGGATAGGCGGCTTGCAGCTGTTCCTGATGTATGCTCCGGGGATTCTAGTAGGACGGGCTTTTGACGCAGGATACTTGTACGTGCCTCTGCCCGCCTAATTTCTCACGTAGAAAAGACGGTCTGACTAGTACTTGCAGCCACCACCTGGAAATCGTCGGTTCGCTCCTGTACGTCTTCTGCATGTTTATGCTCTCCCTCACAAGCCGGAACCAATACTACCAAGTGCGCATCCATGTCCATCTCCAGTCCAGCCATTGGCATCATGCAGGTTGGCTGATGTCCGCTCAGATCATCCTAGCTCAAGGCGTCGGCATGGGTATCGGCCTCGGTCTAACGTTCCTCCCCTCCCTGAGCATCGTGTCGCACCACTTCCGCCGCCGACGTGCGCTCGCGGTGGGCATCGTCGTGAGCGGCGCGTCCGCGGGCGGGATAGTGTTCCCGATCATGCTGAACCGTCTCTTCCAAGACCCGCACGTTGGCTTTGCGGGAGGCGTGCGCGCAAGTGGGGGGCTCGTCGGCGGGCTGCTCTTGCTGGCCAATGCGCTGGTGAGGACGCGGGCGCCGCCACGCCGCTTGGGGAGCCGGATGGGCTTGAGTTGGAGAAGCTTTAAGGTGGTGCTGAGGGATGGTGCGTACATGTGGTCGATTGCAGGGTAGGCTGTCCACAGCTTAGGACGGTGAACGTGCGTTAATCTTCCCGTACGGGTCGTTGCATAGCGCGTTCTTCACAAGTATGGGATCTTACATACCATGTGAGGCTGCCGTTGTTTTCCCTATTTGGCTGGAGATCTGATGTCTGTTTTGACGCCTAGTATTCTACCTGCAACTATTTGCATCGGACCACGGCGTGAATGCGCGGGTCACGACCTACTTGGTACGTTGCTGTTTGTGCTTCACTTCGCTAAAGCATCTCGCTTACCCGAATGTTTCCCATCGGAACTCGATTCCAGCTCGCGATCCTCAATGCTGGGAGCATCGTAGGCCGAATCATCCCGCCCTTCCTCGCCGACAAGTGGGGGGTCTACGCACTGCTCCTCCCGTCCGTCTTCGCGTCCGCCACACTACTCTTCAGCATTTTCGGCGCGACGACGTCCGCGGGCGCAGTCATCGTGGGGCTGCTGTTCGGGTTCGCGTCGGGAGCGTGTGAGCGCCATTTTTCGCTTTGGCGGAGTTGGCAGATGGTAGCGGCGGGATGCTAATTACGGCGTACTGTTGGTGCAGATATCTCGCTGATTCCTTCGTTGCTCGGGGTCTTGTGTCGGGATGTAAGTGAGCTTGGGTGCGTGTTCAGTGCGGTGTCAGTGCGAATGTGGTCTGGAGGAGGTACTGACGTGTGTGCAGCGTCAGGATGGGGTTCGCCTACACCGTCGTTGCAATCGCCATGCTCGTCGGGAACCCGATCGCGGGTGCTCTCCTCAATGCAGATGCTGTGAACGTGCAGCGCGTATGGTGGCATGCGCTCGTCTTCGCCGGGGTGAGTCCTGGACTGAGTCATCCCTGCGCCGCGTTGGTATGCTAAATTTTACCTCGGGATACGCTTGAAGCTTTGTACCATCGTGGGGTTTGGGTTCATGTGCATCTCGGGGATATTGTTTCACAGGCGGAAGGAACGGGCGAGCTCGGCATGACATCTCCAGGTCGGGAGCTGGCTTCGGGAGTGGTAAGGTTGCCGAAAAGTAGGACCAAGATAGAGAGACATGCATATTGCACACCTGTTTTCAAGCTGATAGAGAACACTTATCTGTTTGAACTATGACGTCCATGATCAGCATGCATGAGCGAGCCCGGGCAACTTGAAGCACCCAGTGACTAACAAGTGGCCAGCAGCGCCGTCTCGAGTCTCCGCGTATGTAGGCCCATCGAACATCCATATTTTATTTCTGTTGCTGTGTCAAAATTCTCTGTTGAGCATCGGTCGGATTATAGTCGTCCATCTGGTTAACTGCACAAGTTCAACGTTCAACATTCAAAGTCACGGGTTCACGTGCACGTCCGGATCCGACAAGTGTATTTTGCTTCCGTCGTCTCAATCGGATCGCGTTTGTCTGTCGTGTATTTCTTTCACACGAACACACATTCGCTCCGTGACTGGAACAAAGAAAACGGAGATCTATAGACCATGGTAACGACGGCTGCCTGCAGGTTTGCATGCAGTTGGCGGACAATGGATCAGTTGATGGGCAAGTCGCACGCGTCTTGTTTTTGTGGGTCTGCAGCATGTACACAATGTGACATATAGAATAACGCGGGCCTGGCGATGGTCTTGGAATGTGGTGAAATCCCTCTGCACCTCGAGACATTATTTCGCGGAAACAATCTCGCAATTGGTCTATTGCTCATGTTTCCATTCTTCCGTGTTGATTCGACAATCCGCACGGTCGTCAATTTGTGGTCGGTCACACATCGCGTGCGGCGAGGCGCGTGTGTCCATCATGCACGCATTGTCTGTATGTGGCCGTAACCCCTCGCCTTTCGCATAAAAGGATGCCGTCCCCTACTCGTGTACGCAATCGCCGAGCCAATTTTCCGCCTTAAACGTTGTCATTCTCGACACTCGTCGTTAACCTTCTGGTGCCAGTTCATCCGCCCCGTGCTGTGTATTGTCGAGATTGCCATCGTGCTAGGGTGTCAGCGTCCTGTATCTTCTGTCGACACGTTTCCCCACTGCGGTACTGGTACGTTAGAGCAACTTCTCTACCGTCATTGTCGGCATTCATGTCTTCCAAACACAGGTGCTGTACACTGTAGCGCGCGCCCCGTCACAGCCTAGCCTCCTTCGGCAGTAAATTAGGAAACCCCACGAGAGTAAGTTCATCTTGTTTCTTCTATCCGTGTTTGCCACCACCATGAAGAGGAAAGGCCAGGTGAACGCCAGGACTGAATCCCACTTCCCTGAAATGGATATGGCCACGGGGTCTTCTTCCCGGCCTATTCTTCCCCACACAAGGACACTTGAATCCACGAGCGATGAGGACTTGGCATCTTTCTTACCTGCGCTGTTTGCTACTAGTAAAGCGCGAGTGCTCGCCGAAATGGCCCGGGAATCTCCTCGTGCCTCTGGTTCGACAGAAAATGCAAGTGGCCTTGATGCCACTGCCGTGATCGTCGATACTGGGGGGTCGAATAACAATATCTGCGCACTCGGCGCAAAAATCGACGATGTATTGAACGATCCGGATTTCCAGAACCAGATGGTGCAATCCTTCCGACGTCAAATGCGTTTGCAGGAGTTGCAAGTGCAAGAGGCAGATGCGGACACCAGGACCGAGTGGCACATCTCATCGTTCAAGGATGGTTTACCTCGTGAGCGAACTCCTGGCCAATCTGAGAGTCCTCTTCCGCGGGGAGTCTTTGACGGCACTAAGGAGGGTGACGCAGGAACTGGGGGCGCAATAGCCGGCACAAGGTCCGATATAGATATGGACCCAAACTCGCAACCCGCACACGAAATGCCAACTGCGGTCCAACAGCAGCCTAGAAGTCCTGCCCAAGCTCTCAGGGCTTTCCTTACTGGTTCTCTGCCCCAGCACGATATCGTCCCTGTCAAGCATGTACCAGATGATCCGCCCTTTGGTCCCATCTGCGTGCCAGAATGGGACGGCTTCAAAGACTGGTGGGTGCATGTGGACATCAACAACCCTCCAGCCACGCTTGCGGACTACTACAAAGCACTCGCGGAGACTGAAGCACAGGCGTTAGCTGTATTCGGTGATCCCTTAGAGTTGTATAAGCGAACTCTCGAAGCACATCCACCAGGCTATGAAGTCTACAATCTTCACAAGGCAGTCGAATCTCTATCTATTCCTGGTCCCGCTTTACTACCTCCAAGTCAGCATTTCCCTGCAATAATCGGCATGCCTCCGCCTCCGCCAGACGATCCGACCGAAGTACTCGGGCAGGATCCTTGGAGCATGGTAGAGATACTGCTTCTCCTGGATGTAATTGCTCATTACTCCCCCGCTGAGGCTGGCTGGGAGAAAATCTCGCAGGTCTACAACAATGTGCTCTTAGGAACTTTGCGCAAGTGGATCGCGGATCGGATGCGGGACTCAAAGAAGGACATGGATACTCGCCGTAGTCTGGCACAGCACATGTGTGTGGACAGAGCCAAGGAGAAGTACGCCCTGATGCATGGACGCGCAGTGAAGCCGCAAGTGGAATCCAAAGATCCGCGCGCACCGCTGCAGAACAAACAGCACTATGCATTGCCCACGCGGCTGCTTGCGTGCGATTTGCCCTCAAGACGAGATTCAGAACGCAGTCTGCGGGGCCTTGATGTCTCAGATCCCATTGCATTGGTCCAGATTGACTCGAGGAGGCGCGCGCCCTATACCTTTGAAGGCTGGGTGGAGCAGGAAGCAGAAACTATGCCCCCTCCTTCGGAATCATTTGTCTTCGGACCTGTCGATTCTGCGGCTTCAGCTGCCATCCCGTCTCCCCTAATGCCGCCTGAAGCACCACCTTCTCAATTAATAGAGCAACCCGATAAACCTGTCGAGGTACTTCCAGAGCCTCGTCCGGAGTATCGCATCCGGCCCCCTCCGCTCTCCATGCCGGTTGCGCAAGCGTCCCTTCTTACGAGTACACTCGCTGCATTTCGAGTCGCGAAGAAAGCGCAGCTCACGGAGCCTGACCAATATGAAAGACTAGTTGATGACGCCTTGCGCCAAGCCACCGACCTGTATGCCGAGCTAAATCCTGCATATCCGATCCGCACAGCCTGGGAGTGCTGGCATCGTTGGTGTGTGCCTCTTGGCAAAATGGAAGTGAGTGCCGGTTCAATCGTGAATGCTAACAACAAGAGCAAGGGGAATTTCAAGAAGCCCAAGAAGGGCAAGAAGACAAAGTCTGCTGTCCCATCTATCCACCCTGTCCTTGGCAATTTGGTCAACTTTGCTGCTCCTGTGCCCATTCCCGGGACTTTTCCGGACGAGCCTGGTGTGGTGCATCATTTCGTAAAACATGACCCACGTCCTGGATTGCAAACGTTTGCGGCGGCGGCCCGGGCGCACCAGCAGAATTCGAACGGTACTTTCGAATGGTGGTTGAGGTGTTTACGAGGTGATTGCGTCCTTTCATAATAAAGCCCTAACGGCTGACGGTTTCCTTTCCGTGTGTCACATAGGGGTGTCCAGTTCACCTGGTTGTGGCCCTATTCGTCCTGAGGGAAGGCGCAACAAGTCAAGGTATCCGAATGTCCCTGTAGGCACGTTAGGCTCCAACGTTCGACCAGGAATATTCGCGTGGTTCCAATGCGCGCTGGTAAACCGCACGATGTTGCGGCTGGTGACTGACGCAGGCAGAAGCAGGAGGGCGTCCACGCGAGAAGACGGGAATTCCAGCGAGGATGCCCCAAGCGATGACGATTCAAGCGATAACAGTGATGCGACTGAAGGTGAAAGTGAGAAGATGTGTGGAAGAGGGTTAGACTGGTTAGGGGAGGGGGCGAAGGTACTGCCGGCCCACCTGAGAGACCTGCCTATCCCTCCCCGCCCAAAATATCTTGGCCGCCATAATTGAGCGCAATTGGGCGTCGCTGATCAAGCGATACTACGATCGCGCCCTTTGAGGTTCGCTTGACATGTAGCTTTCCAGGACCCTGTATGTTTTCACTAACGGATTATTTTCACACGTACGTACACGCAGAAAAGCATCATATGGACAGTGTTACCTTCAGTAGGAGCTCAGTTTGCCGCACAGACAGCGAGAGCAATATGGGCAACAAATGCAAGTTACTTCCTCGCGTGCGACTGTACATATACAGCTACCTGCAAGTCCAACGCGTCACCGCCACCAACGCGTTATACGTACACCAAATCCAACCTCGATATCTCATTCCCTTGAGGGAGTATCTCAGATCAGCGCCTAACACCCTCCGCCGTATCACTGTGTCTGAGCGCCGTACCCGCGGATGCCTTCCGCGAAGTCCCACTTCGTGTCCAGAGATTTGGACTCGGAGATGGAGATGCCTGATGAGTTGACGATCGCAATTTGATACTGAGCGCAGGCGTCAGTAAAACATTCAAGACAACGGCAACTCCATAATGGCAGGGCGGTCGAGTAATGGGCAGCAACAACATGACGCACCTTATCGATACTGCGCGCGTCACGGTAATAGAGCACACGCATGCAGTCATGGAGCAGCTTCTGCGCTTCTTCTTCCGTTAGCTGCTCGTGCTCACCATCGACGACTTTGCGGAGGAGTGGTAGCGCGATGTAGGCACCATAGCCGGTCGCGATCGAAGATGCGGAATAGGTCGTGCCAAGGAGATCGACGTAAGCAAGGAACCTGGACAACATGTCAGTACAGTGTGGAATGCGAAGCATTTATAAGACCCAGACTCACGACTTGCCGTCTTTGTGACCGCCGACGAGGATGGAGTTCCAGAGGGGGTTCATCTTCGAGCGGCGGGCGTACATCACACGCGAGAGATACTCGTGCACCTCAGCAGGACCAAGGTCGTGCGCATCGCTGTCGCCGTATGTGAACTCTTCGACGACGAGACCGTCAAGGAGATTCTGGAGGTACTGAAAGTCGGAGAGGTCACCGGAGACGCCGATGATGGTAGAGCTGCCGACGGGATGAAGGCGCTGGATGTCCTTAAATCGTGCGAGTGAGCCGTAAGAAGCTATGGAATGTGTAAGATGGAAGTGTTGCTGCAAGTGAGGGAATGTACGAACCGAGGTTGTCGGCGGCCATCATGACGCCGTCTTTGTATTTAATAGCGAGCACGCTGGTGCCAGTCACGATGGGCTGTCTGACACCAAAGATTCGTTATTGAATTTGGAGTGAATTGTCATAGGAAACTCACTGCGTGTGCTGTACGCCCTCGGCGAATGCGTCCTTAGCGATGGACGGTCGAGCATGGATCGGGAATGTGTTGTACGCATCGTACAGGTCATTTCTCTACAGCACAATGTAAGTACCCCCGTAAGAAATAGAACACGAACATACTGGGCGGCCCCAGTTTGTCGGAAAGTGGTCCATGGCGAGGAAGAGAGTGTGTCTGTCTAGTGAGCTTGCGCACTCGACGCGCGTCGACACGCTTTACGTAATCCGGAGAGGATTAGTTCATGCTTAAATATTTGTTGAGTGCCTTTTAGGCCAACAAGGCTTCGGAGATAAGGGTCTTAAGTGCGACTTCAGGGCCGGAATAACCATATTGGGGCATGGGAGCTATTCAGGATGAGCGCGACGGGAAATCCAGTGAGCGACTCGGAGTCGTCCCTTCCGTCCACCATCAACCACCCGCCCACTCTCCCTGCATCTCACAACCATCGAATATCACTTCTTGAGACTTGTTTTGAACTTTCACGCCCGCATTCATCGCTTTCGGTCGGTATACGCAGGTCCAGTGTATCTCACGGAACAGCATTTGCGATAGCAATGTCGACCGCAGCAAGCTCCACACCTTCTCTCACCCCTTCTCGTGCGCCGACACCCCAAGTGCCAACTCAACCAGACCACTTCTATGGCTCAGAGAATGCCCAGCAGCTGCCACTTTCCCCCGACTCCGATGGCAAGACATGGCTTGATCCAGAGGATGACCCCTCGGCCCAACGCGGTATACCTGTATTCAAACCTACTGTGGAGGAATTCGAGGACTTTGAGGCATACATGGACAGGATTGAGTGTTGGGGCAAGAAGAGTGGGATAGTGAAGGTTATACCCCCGAAGGAGTGGTCAGTCGCGCAGTCTTCCTGCTGGTCATGATAAGCGATGTTCAAGTAATCGTACGGTCGCAGGACGGATGCGTTGCCGCCGTTGAACCCGCAGTTAGCCCGTGTCAAGTTGCAGAACCCGATCGAGCAGCATATGCTCGGTAGCGGTGGGCTCTTCCGCCAGCAGAATCTCGAGAAACCGCGCGTCATGAGTGTGCGCGAGTGGTCAGAGCTGTGCGAAAAAGAGGAGCTGCGCGCGCCGGGCATTGACGACGTAGGACTGCGTGCGCGCGCGACGAACGGCAGCGCGAAGGCGCGAACAAGGAGAGCGCGTAAGAAGGCAGGAAAGTCGGAGACTGCCGAACCAGACGCGGACACGCACATAAAAGAGGAGGAAAATAACTCTCAAGCCCATCTCAGCGACGGTTCTCCACAGCCTTTCGCCTCTTCGAGCTGTGCAGTCGTATCTGCTACCCCTGTCGGCGACCAATACTCAGGACTCTCCGTTGAGCACGTGGAGCCCCATAGCACAGTCAGTGTACTCGATTCTGTTTCAGTCCGGGACACTCCATTTAGGCTGGGTGAGGAAGAGACCGAAGAGAAACCCAATGTCAAGGGCAAACGTGTCGGACAGTCCCGCGACGCTAGAAAGGCCAGTCTTGCTCAGAGGGCTGACAAGGACAAGAAGTTCCTAGAGAAGTTTGATCCTCATTCAGACTGGCTCCCTCCCAACACTACGCCATTTGATTATACGCCGGAGTTTTGCAAGGAGCTCGAGAGACGATACTGGAGGAACTGTGGATTGGGTAGACCTGCTTGGTATGGAGCTGATATGCAAGGTCCGTCAATGTGTGCCAGTTGAGGTTTATCGATTATCATCCTGACCATTCTTTTTCTATATAGGCACCCTATTTACATCTGAAACAAAGAGCTGGAACGTTGCTCACCTTGAATCCGCCTTGTCTCGCCTCCTCCCTGCGTCGTCTCAAGGACTTCCGGGGGTGAATACGCCGTACTTGTATTTCGGCATGTGGCGAGCCACTTTTGCGTGGCATGTCGAAGATATGGACTTGTTCAGCATCAATTATATCCATTTTGGTGCACCAAAGTTCTGGTATGCCGTCCCGCAAGCTAGAGCTACGGCTCTTGAACAAACCCTGAGAGGTAGGAGATATCCATATCAGTACTTTTCAGATCACCTGATCTTCTAACCACTTCGCAGGCTATTTCCCGAAGGACAGTTCTTTGTGCCGACAGTTTCTACGGCACAAGTCCTTCCTTGCTTCCCCAACGCTCCTTTCACAATCTTCATGTCGACCCAATTGCCTCGTACAGCACGCGGGCGAGTTTGTGATTACGTATCCAAACGGTTACCATGCTGGCTTTAATCTCGGCTTCAACTGCGCGGAAAGCGTGAACTTCGCTCTCCAGAGCTGGCTGAAGTTTGGTCAAGACGCTCAAGTATGCAGCTGTGTGTCCTTCAGGTACGGCGTACCTGCTCCAGTATTTACTTTTTTTCTGACTCGCGGGTCCTTACAGTGTGCGCATCGATGTCAAAAAACTTATGCATGACCGTGAGGCGGAGCGGGCCCAGGAGAAGACCAGCCAACCGCAGCTGAAATCTAGTAAATCCGGTCGCATCAAAAACGAGTCGGAGTCGAGCAGGGAACAACCCTCTCGCAAGCGCAAGGTGGAAGGCAGCGACGGCTCCTGCAAGACCAAGAAACAGAAGACGAAGACTACAAAGGGCGGCCCAGCTGAGGCATCCTCATCAAAATTAGCGACCAAGGTCACCTTGAAGCTCGGACCAAAACCCAAGGAGACTGAGGTGTTTCCGTGCTGCTTGTGCGTGTCAATGAACCAGGATAGAGTTCTGCGAGTGCAGGACCCTCCGCTGTGGCGTAAGGAGGGCGAGAGCGTGCCCGGTGCTGACCCTAAGACCGCTGTCTGGATGGCACACGAGGACTGTGCGAACATCGTACCGGAAACGTGGGTTGACGAGGTTGAGATTGGGGAAGTGCGAGACGACGGCACGCGCGGTAAGGAACGAGTCGTCTTCGGCGTAGATGCGATTGTGAAGGATCGTTGGAATCTGGTACGTGCTCATGAGTCAGCTAATTTCATGCGATTCTGAAGATCTCCTATGACAGAAATGTTCTGCTTGCACAAAGACTCGCCATAAGGCTCACGGTGCGCCTGTTCAGTGCACGAAGGGCAAGTGCCCGAAGGCATTCCACGTATCATGTGCACGCGATGGTGCCGCCAGTGGCATCGTATTCAATGTGCTTCGAGAGGTGGAAAAAGAGGTTGTCATAATGGGTGCTCAAGAAATGCCGACTACGCTCAATCCTCCGCAGATGGTAGTGGACGTGCCTGCTATTGCAGATGGACTGACGATGCCACTGGACCAAGCCTCTCTGGTTCCGGAAGCTAACGGACTTGACTTCTCGGGAACTCCGACGATTGGCATGTCAGTGGCGCCTGTGACAGATAGTGCGGAACCCTCAAGTTCCCATGTGTACAAGTTTGTCAAGAAAGTCGAAGTGCAGGTGTTATGCTCACAGCACAACCCGGTCGGTACTGCATTAGTCCATAGTGCCAGCAGCACTGACACAACACTATCGTTCGCAGAAAATTGCACAAGAGAAGAAGGAATTGAAACAGCAGAGGATTCGCGACGATCTTGTCGCGTTGCCACCCATGACACGCATCAAGTTGCGCGTGAGTGCTGGTGTATTCGAGGTGTCACTCCTTCGTGTCATTGAGGAGACGAACTCGGTGGAGGTTTTGTGGGATAGGGGCCTCAAGAGAGAATTCAAGTGGGGCAGCGTAGTTTTCGGCAATACGGAGGGTCTGACCGTTGGTCAGAAACCTACCGAAGCGGCGCCTGAGCCCGTTCGTGAGTTGACTTTTTAGAAGCTGTAGGTTCTGACTGAGATGTCCCCGGCCTTGTCAGAGCTTGCCGCACAGCTTCCGACCCTTCAACCTCGAGCTGCATTCCCCAGGTTCTCGACGGCTACTCCTCCTGTCGACGCCCGAAATCAGGCCGTATCTCCTCTGTCGATACCGCTCCAACCCACCCTCTCGTTGTCAGTACCTTCTCCGGGACCATCAACGGCAACTGCGCCGGTCTACACTCCTCCATCTGCGCCGTATCCACCGCGACCGAACACCTATCAGTACTCGTCAGCTGCCTGGAAGTATAATTTCCCACCGCCGAATGCCACTCCTTCGTACGCCACATCGGGGCCGTCGACACAGAGCTACCAGTACGCATCGACTGCATACCAGAGTGCAGGAACGTACCGGGGGCACAGTGGATATAACTATACTCCAAACCAGTACCAATCTCGTGGACTGCAGTGGCAGCGACCATACACGGGTCCCAAGCCGAATGCGTACGGAGAGACCTTGACTTCTACTCTTACTGCACAGGCTGTGCCATATGCGCCTCCTGCACAGGCCGTGCCCTATTACCCTCCAGGACAGACGATAAATGATAAGGCTCCTGTCGGTTCGCAACCTCAGTGGGCTTCGACCTTGGCAATGTCCATCTCCAACCCTCCTCCTGCAGCTCCTCCTTCGTCTCAACTTCCACCTGCGACTGTTACTCCAGACGCGCCGTCGTAAGCTGGCGGCCACATAAATTCTGCTCCATTATTTTTCTCTCTCTCCGTAACCTTAAATGTAACTGTTTACACGTAAATCCAGTACCCTAGCTCCCAAATGAATGCACTCAACCTTAATTATGATAGTTGGAGAGTTTCCTGTATAAGTATTTAAATATTGTTATAAATATTGTTGGTGCGACGCGCGTTGAATGAAAGCACGTGTACGCGTTTGTCTCTTGACCACCGTGCATCTAACTGTCGGCAGCGTTCCGCAATGTGGGTCCTCTCCGGCCCTTTCGACGGCGAGGACGCTGATAACCTAAGTAAAATCAGTGAGCACACCTTAATCTGTATTGAGCATGCTTATTGAATGTCTTTCAGACCTTAAACTCCTCAAGACCGGCAAGGAGTATATCGTGGGCAGGAAAGATCAGCCGCTGCTCATTCGAAACAAAAAGGTCTCACATCGCCACGCGATTTTCATCGTGAAAGAGTGTACTGAAGATGATGTGGTGCGTGATCTTTCCTCAGCAACTCCGGACGAGGTTTACCAGAAGGTAGATGAACTCCGCCTTTAAGCCCGAGCTGATCTTAGAAGTGTTCGGAAAGCCACGCCACATCCAACGGCCTGGTCGCAAAGAGCCTCTCACCGTCAACCCGGGCCAAAGAGCAGTGTTGAAGCATGATGATTCTGTACTGATGGTCACGGGCGTGGAAGTGAAGTCAGTGGCGTTAGCTTCCTCATCATTCGTCGCTGAAAGCTGTTTTCATCAGGATACTATGGGAGAATGTCTGCTGCTATTCTCCAGCACCACGAGCCAGGCTACCCTTCTCCCTGCAATCCTGCGCCAGCCTAGGTGCGAGAATTACTTGTCTTCGCGTTGTCACTAGCCAACAATTTGTCCAGGCGTTAGTATGGTTGTGACACCTCGGGCGGAGGTCACGCACCACCTTACTCCTACGTACACTCTATCTCCACTAATTGCGATATCTCTCATATCCGCCGCACAATTTGTGAAGCCAGAATGGCTCACAGACTTGTTGTCTCTCGGGGAATCCATTAATGGAGCACCCTCAATGCTTGAACAGAAGTTCGTCCTTCCACCGGTGACCAAATATCACCCTGCGTTTTCACCTATGCTACCTGTGGCACTGAGGAGCTTTCATGTATGGCAACCGGATGAAGCACGCGTGGGCATGTTTCGTAACTATCGGTTCATTTTTGTGGGTGAAAAGGGAAGAGAGGCACAGGAGATGATGCGGGAACTGGTAAAAAGTGGTGAAGGGGAGTATGAATGCTGCTCTGTAGATGGAGGCAGACGAGGTCTCCATCAAGTACTCGCCAAAGGTAAAGGCAAGAAGAGGGCTCTGACTCTCGTCGCCGATGAGGATAGCATCGTCGCCGCTGTGGGGGATGATCGTTGGCAGGAATTAGAGGAGGAGGCTACGAGGTACGCCTTCGCTTTGGACCGTGACCTCATGCACTCACTTCTCTCGTGCTTTCAGCTTTGATTTGACGTTTATACCACATGAGAAGATTCTGGAGGCTGTAGTTCGTGCGGATGCGTCGTTCTTAGTGGCAAGTTCTAAACAACAAGGTGATCGCACCGTTGTCCTTGCATTGCACACTTGCTCTGACACATCACTTTTAATTATCTTTGAAGCCTCGTCACCTCTTCCAGATGCTATTCCAAACACCATTCAGGACGAGCCCACTTTTCCACCTCACCTGCCTAGGTCTGAACCACAGTCAGCACCTGCACCAGCGCCCGAGACTGGCCCTCCAAGAAGGAGGCTTCCACGGCGAGCGACGTCTCGCGCGTCATCTCGCGCTCCTTCGCCTCCCTCGGCTGCATCGGACGCCGCTGAGGGGCAGACGCAAGCGATGGAACCGCCGAAACCACGCAGAGTGTGTCGTCACGTCTCATACATCTTGCACTGTATCTGCGTTACTAATTTGTCTGGCCGTGCAGACCCTAGTTCGCCGAGCGGGACGGTCTAGGGCACCCACTATTATTGGAATCGATGACCCGTCTATGATTCTCGACGGAGATTCTGTGGCTGGAGGTCCAAGTGCAGGGCCTGAGGAACCTGCACCCGTTGAGCCTGAGGGACCGTCACGCACTACTGTGAGTCTTTAATCATCCTGGTTCCCAAGTTCATTATGTCAGTTAGTGACGAAGAAGCAGGCAGCAACACCCGGTCGCTCCTCTCGACTCAAGCGCCGCGTAGGGGCAACTCAGATGCCCCCATCTTTACTCGGCCTATCGGAGGATGTCGCAATCCCGGGCGCAGGCGAACCCCCTCTCAAAAAATTCAAAGCGTTGTTTGAGGAGAGCGACCCCGACCGGATCGCTCAATCACAGCTACTGGGATCTACCGGCGAACCGCTCGATAGCCAGTACCCATACGAGAAACAGAGTTTAACGCAAAGTGAGAGCGGCATGACGCAGTTACCTGGGCGGACTCGGTTTGGGGGAGAACTGCTGATGGCTGTGGCGGAAGAGGAGGAAGAAGATACCACCACTGCTGATGTCCGATCACAGATGTTTGGAAAGTTGACCCGGGGCGCAAAGAGGAAGAACCAGGCGGAGGATGGCGTTGTGCAGATGGACGAGCCTGAACCGAAACATAAGAGGCGTGCTATCGAAAACGTCAACGCCGTCGAGGCTACCACTTCTCAGCGTGGCACACAGAAGCCTCCAAGTACTGTCGCGAAGCCGCCGTCCAAGCCGGCAACGCAGGCGCAGAAGATTCAGAAGACCCATGGTCGAGCAGGTGCTGCTCCTGGAAAGCCAGATACCGACCAGGCGTTCCTCAAAGCTGTCGCTTCCACGAAACGAGGAAAGAAAATCGAGGACTTTTTCGATCGGGAGTTCAATAACCTTAAGATCTCGAAGCCTGACTTGGAACACGACCAGCAGCAGAAGGAGTGGGATGTACTTGACGATTTCGGCGACGATCACAATCTGCGAGGCAACTTCATGCTCATCATGGAAATGGATGTACCGGAGCACAGAGAAGGACGACAACCGCTCAGACGTGGGCGAGAAAGGATGGATTGGGAGGGCAGACCCGACTTCAAGAAGTTTATGAAGGTAAGTGTAATGATTTGCGTGTGAACGGATTTCTCATCGTTCACTCTGCAGAAAGTTGTCATTGGTGAAGGAAGGCCTCTGATCGAGTTGTTGGTGGACAACAAAGATTACGGAATGGAATCTCGTGAGTCGAACGAATTCTAAAACTGTTGCTGCGATGATTCAATCACATCTCCAGAGCACTTAGAAGACGGATCACAGATGTTCTCGCAATCCCGGTCGCGATCTGCTGAGCAGCCGGAGGGACGATCATCGAAACGCAGCCAACGAAGTGGGAAGTTTGTTATGCAGACTCAAGGAAAGGGCAAGAGCAAGGCGACGGCTCCTGCTGTGTCCGACGTGGATTCTGGAGACGAAGAGATCCCGCAGCCTCGGACTCGGAAGAAAACGCAGACGCAGACGCAGACTCAGAGCAAGAAGCAGCCTTTGTTCATAGAGTCTGACGAGGAACAAAGCCAAGGCCAAGCGGTGAACGATGATGTTTTCGACAAGGGATTCGACGATGACGACGAAGAATTGACTCTGCGGTCTAGCGGCAGTAGGACACAGACCACGAGCAAGAAACCCTCTGCTCAAGCTAGAGGCCCTAGGAAACAGACTATCGCCCTGGATGTGGATTCAGATGACGGTGCGACGTTCAAGGGATTTGGCGCGAGGAGGCGCTAGGCGGTGTAAATACTTACTTATCCACACCTTTGCGAATCATTTCCCGGTAGGGTACCACCTCGTTACATCATTGATTATCATGCTTTTCGTCGCGACGCTAGATCACAGAGTTTGGTGATGCTCGCAGTTTGAGAGAAAAGCCGCTTGAAGGTTGTTCGACGGGAGATCTAGAGACAGATCTGGGGAGTTACTGTTTCGGGAAAACATGTAATTTGGCTGCCGCCAACGCCAGCGGAAGTGAGCAGCCCACCCTATCTGTTCTCCTTTTCCTCCTCGCTGCAGGTCGTCTCGGCGAGCGCAGGACGGTTTCCATGGCTTTCGTCCTCCGTCGTCGCACCTTCATCCGCTTGCTTCTCTTCATCGCAGTACTATTACTAGTCCGTCTGTTCGTCGTGTCCCCTTCTCCTGCTTCTTCTGTCGCGTCGTTCTACAACTCGGATTCACAAGAGATACGTAAACAGAACGTTCTCGACCTGGTTACACGCTCGGATAAAGTCCTTGATGTCAAAAAGCACAAATTCTTGCAGGCCCGGATAGGGAGAGACGAGAGGGACGACCTATTCGCCGGTATTATCAGGGATGGCGTGCAAGACCACTGGGAAAGATTCCAGAAGCCATAGTGAGTCATGTACCTTTCTCATTGTTGGTATTATGTTCACACTTCAAAGCATACTTGGCCACGACACGTCCCACATCGATGAGCAAGCTGTATTCTCCTCTATCGAGCAGTTGCTGACTCTGAACGGCTGGGTTGCCGCTCTTTGTCCAACGCTCACGCGACCGTTTGGCCAAAACAAGTACGAAGATGCATACGACGATCTCGCCAGGCAGGACCGTTTCTATTACATCGGCATGGTCATTCATTCCGCGGACCATTTCCTCGTCGACCAGTTGGCTGTCATTGTACAGTTGGCGAAGCGGCTAGGGACGTCCAATATTTTTGTGTCCATGCTTGACTACGACTCGTCGGACTCGACTGCAACGCTCACAGATCTGTGCGAAGCAGTCCTGACGCTACTCGGGATACCCTTTCGTATTCGCACTGTGCCTGGAATGACTGAGGACCCTATCGCGGCTTACTACCCCTTAGAGGAAGCGTACGCCAGAAACCTGGTCCTAGAGCCACTGCATGAGCTTTACGAAAGGCGCAAAATTAAGTTTCATCGTGTCATCTGGCTGAAGGGATTTACATGCCCGAATGACATACTTGAGACTATGAGGTTGAGCGTTGCTAATGAGGCCGCCATGGTGTGCGGTATGGATTGGGCGGAGCACAACGGGTTCTTCATTTTCTCTGATCGGTATGCCAATATTTTCAATTCTGCTGGGTTATCCCTCTGACCACTTCGCAGCTGGCGAACGCGAGACATTAATGGAGACCAATTCCGTCAATCCAAGTCGTCCTCAATCTCAACTTCCCCTCTTACTTCCGTTCCTCCACGAGACGCTGTCGGCGCTCAACGGTACACCCAACATTTGCCCTTCCAAGTCTTTTGCTGCGAATCGGGCACGCATGTGGTTGATCCTGCTCAGTCGTACTATACCGGTATTGCCTACAGGGCTGGTACGGACTTCCACAACGCAAGCACGTCTGCTGACCCCCCAGTCAGAGGCCCAGAAGCGAGGTGTTTGGATAGCACGCAGGCATGGTTCTGTCGGGACCTCTGGGTGTCCAAGGCGAGGGAGGGCATCCGTTCTATCGAACCCGAGTTCGAGGCTGATGAGAAGCCGACTACTCGTGCGGAGAAGCGGGCTGCCGTTGTGCCTGATCCGGACGAAGAGCTGGCTCCCCGCCAGCCCGCCAAGGAAGACCTCGATGCGAACGCGGGATCCGATTACGATGCTTCAGACCTTCCGCTCGCGGATCCTCCCCCCGCTGAGTCGCCTGAGTCTGGGCGCCTCACCATTCCTAACGCGGACTTCCTCGCAGCACGCGTTCTCGTCAATCCACGTTGCGTGACTACATACGCGGGCGTATCCCATACTCAATTAGCTTTGGATCTGTTTGGTCCTCCAGATAGGGAGGATGCAGAGGACCCGAAGGGGAATGATATCATAGACGAGTGGGAGGGTGCGCCAGACACATTTGTATGTCAGGAACAACAGTGAGTCGTCATCTTGACTTTATATCGTATCACTGGCACTGACGTGTAGACAGGCGCACAGGCGGACGACGAGCGCCGAAAACTCAGCGACGGCTAAGCTTCTCGATACATGCAGAACTAGAGGAGTCGTTAGCATCATCATGATTTACCTTACTATCGTGTCGCTTGATATTTCTACGCAAGCCTCTGACTCCGCACACTTTGCATCTGGGACTTTTGGGACAGTAAATTATTGTTTGGTCCATGCCCGCTTCGACTATACTGTAGCCTTCTCGTATTTTCTGTGCTTGTTCCGATCTCATTCTGGCGTCATACCAACTCAACTTCTCTTCGTGGATCAGGCGATTCAGCTGGCGCTGCTCTCTGAACCAGACACTACATGAAGGGGAGAATGGTACCATGCTCTCCAGACACCAGAAGCAGACCAAGTTTTAACGGGAGACTTTACACAGGACGTACACTTAAGGGATTATCAGGTGGTGCATATCAAAATCATGGGGTACCGGTGTTAAGTGGCAGGGTAAAGCTCCACTCCAATCGTCATGACGAGGACGCACAGTACGGGTAGTGCTTCGATTGCAGCAGCTACTGACGGCGGCCTACCGGCGAATGTGCTGCGAGCGATTGTGTGGACGTCTATTGACATATGCAAGTACTCTGATATTGACTCGCATCCTGCCGCATAGGATTTGCATCACTCTCACTCAGCCGCAGTCCAGAGGATATAGTAGTACTAGAGGCTGGAAACAAGCCAGGCTAGGTTATTATCATCCTGTGGGTGGGCACCATCAGTTGAGCGCTACGACTTCCTTTTCCAGAGAAGTTACAGAGCCACGTGCCCAATAACTGTGTATTACCATGAGATCATTTTACTTGCCCGAGTCACTGTCAAGCAGGTTGTTTTCCCCCACGCAGGACCCTCCCTTTTCAAAATGCCGCTGGTACCCCATTTGATGACCCTCGCGGATCTGTCCCCGGCACAGATTCACCATGTTTTGGCACATGCACATCATCTAAAGAAGGTGTCCCTGCCGTGGCTGGCTCCCCATGATCCACGCAGGGCAACGAAGCTCCCCGCACCCCCGCAATCTCTCAAGAACAAGACCATCGCGCTGTTATTCTCAAAGCGCAGCACGCGCACACGATTATCTGCGGAGACTGCCGCGGTGCTACTCGGTGGACGCGCTCTTTTCCTCGGAAGCGAGGATATTCAGCTCGGGGTCAACGAGAGCTCGCGCGACTCGGCGCGCGTCATTGGCGGGATGTGCCAGGGCATCTTTGCCCGCGTTGGCGCACATGAAGAGATCGAGGTTCGCACTATTCGCGCTGCTCGTTGCTAATCGCTGTTCACTGATGGTATTAGCGCAGGAAATTGCGAAGTATTCACCGGTTCCGGTGCTGAACGCGCTCTCATCGCTCTGGCACCCGACCCAGATCCTTGCAGACATTCTTACACTTCAAGAGAACACACATCTTTTTAATCCCGCGTCGTCATCCTCTGAAATTCGATCAACGTCGGAGCAACTTCTACCCCTACCCCCGCTCACTATTGCGTATGTCGGCGACTCCGCTAATGTCCTGCATGACATGCTTGTCACGTACCCGCGGCTAGGCCATAAACTGCGCGTCGCGACGCCCGAGCACGCGCGGTATAGGGCGCCTAACGCGGTCTGGGACCGCGTCGTCGAACTGGGTTGCGATAAGGGTATTTCGTGGAGCACGGATCCACGGGAGGCAGTGAAAGGAGCTAACGTCGTGGTGACCGACACCTGGTGAGCTTTTTCTGAGGTTGCAGTGATGTTTACACAGACTGCAATACTAACGCGTGGAATACAGGATTTCCATGGGCCAGGAGGCTGAAAAGGAGCAGCGTCTGAAGGACTTCCAAGGCTACCAAATTACTGAGGAATTATGTCGAGAAGGACGCGCGGATCCTAACTGGAAGTTCCTGCATTGTCTTCCTCGGAAAACGCATGAAGTAAATGATGAGGTATGTCGGTGTGGGTCAAGGCGCCACATTTTTCATTGAATGCGTTCTCATACTTTTCACTCCCACTTTGCAGGTCTTCTATGGCCCGCGTTCGCTTGTGTTCGAAGAAGCGGACAACCGCAAGTGGACAATCATGGCGCTGTTTGAGTAAGCGTCTTCATTCAATTTTCTGACCGTAACATGGCGCTCATTGCCCTCTTATCTGCACAGTTTGTTATTCGGACAGTGGAACCTCGGAGCCACCGCTAAAGGTGGTTAACGTTGAGGGTGAGACTATGTGGGAGTCGTGGCGTTGCGCCAACACGCTGGCAGTCTCGCAGTCGTTGAAAAGTATATATAGAAGCTGGTAGATCTAATGTTGCATAATACGCCACGGATCCCCGCACGGAAAATTTGAAGATGGGAAACTCTGATGTCATGCGTACAGTGTCGAGTCGCAGATCGTAGCTCATTTGTGCAGAACGCGTAGATATTCCCTTTGGGAGGGTGCAGATGAGTAGTCCTATGACCGGAGGGTCACAGTGGATGACGTCAGGATGGTTGATTTGTACAAGGGCTGGTTACATCCTCCCAAAGCCTGCTTCAACCTGGCTTTTACAACTTCTTACTCGCCCTGCTTATCCTCCTAGCTAGGGTGACCTCTTCCTCACCCCGTTAAAATACCCACGAGAGCGTCCTAGACCCTGCCCTCACTCCTCCACGCGCCTCTCCCTCTGTTGGCGCCTCCCAGTTTTTTTCGCCAGCCGCTCACGGTCTTCTAAGCCATGTCTGAGCTCAAACGCGACGTCAGAAACCATCTCTTGTTCGAATGCGCATGGGAGGTGGCCAACAAGGTCGGCGGCATCTACACCGTTATCAAGACCAAGGTCCCTGTCACCGTCTCCGAGTATGGCGACAGATACTGTCTCATAGGGCCCCTCAGTTACAAGACCGCACCTATGGAAGTTGAAGCTTCCGAACCCACAGATCCTCATCTCGCAGCCACTCTTGAAAACATGCGCAACGCCGGGGTCAAGGCACTCTACGGTCGCTGGCTTATCGAAGGGGCCCCTCACGTTTTGCTCTTCGACACAGGTAGCCAGTATTCGCGCCTTGATGAGTGGAAGGGCGATCTGTGGAATCTCGCGGGCATTCCTACCCCACCGAATGACCATGAAACAAACGAGACCATCATTTTCGGATACATCGTCGCGTGGTTTTTGGGAGAGGTGCGTCGCGTCTATTTTTCCTCGTCGTCAGTCATGCATATATTCTCCAGTATGTTTCTCGACAACTGGAGACCGCAGTTGTTGCACATTTTCACGAGTGGCAGGCCGGTCTCGCAATTCCCCTCTGCCGGAAACGTCACATCGACATCACCACCGTATTCACAACGCACGCTACCCTTCTCGGGCGATACCTATGCGCCGGCAGTGTTGACTTCTACAACAATCTTCAGTATTTCGACGTTGACCACGAAGCAGGAAAGCGCGGCATCTACCATCGCTACTGTATTGAGCGTTCTGCTGCCCATTGCGCCGATGTCTTCACGACAGTTTCCCACATCACAGCCTATGAATCAGAACACTTACTCAAGCGCAAGCCCGATGGAGTCCTTCCCAATGGTCTGAACGTCATCAAGTTCCAGGCAATGCATGAATTCCAGAACTTGCATGCTACGGCGAAAGCGAAGATTAACGAGTTCGTCCGGGGTCACTTCTATGGCCACTACGACTTTGATTTGGATAACACACTCTATGTACGATCCTTCCGTTCTCCTGGCGCGCGTATGATCAATGTCTGTTCGTTGTAGATGTTCACTGCTGGAAGATATGAATACCGCAATAAGGGAGTGGATATGTTCATCGAGTCTCTGGCGCGTGCGTTCTCTCCCTCACTCCAATACGCACATCATGTTTATATAACGCCACGATTTCATAGGTCTTAACTATCGGCTGAAGAAGTCTAATTCCAAGATGACTGTTATAGCGTTCATAATCATGCCTGCTGCAACACATTCTTACACTATCGACGCGCTCAAGGGCCAGGCAGTCACCAAGCAACTACGAGATACTGTCACAGAAATCCAGAACCGCATAGGCGCGAGGTTGTTCGAACATGCAATTCGCTCCAACGGGTGTGTATCATTGTCATACATTCACCACGTGTTTCTCATTTTCTTTTTTGTGTACACAGCGAGCACGGTACACTCCCGACGCCCGACCAGCTATTGTCTGAAGAAGATAAGGTGCTGCTAAAACGCCGGATTTTTGCCCTGAAGCGTAATGCGTTGCCACCCGTCACGACGCACAACATGGCTGATGACGCTAACGACCCGATCTTGAACCAAATTCGCCGCGTCCACCTCTTCAACTCATCAGCCGATCGCGTCAAGATCATCTTCCATCCGGATTTCCTCAACTCCAACAATCCGATTCTCGGTCTCGATTATGAGGAGTTCGTCCGTGGGTGCCATCTAGGAGTCTTTCCCAGTTATTACGAACCTTGGGGATACACGCCGGCGGAGTGTACAGTGGTACGTCACATCTTTGTGCGATCGAGTACTTTTGATATCGAATTTTAGTGTTCACGACAAGATGGGAATTCCATCTGTCACCACTAACCTTTCTGGCTTCGGTTGCTTCATCCAGGACCTTATAGAGCGACCGCAAGATGAGGGCTGCTACATCGTCGACCGTCGCTCTCAGTCGGTGGAAGATTCCGTGAATCAGCTTACCGACCACATGTTCAGCTTCTGCTCGAAGACGCGGCGGCAGCGCATCAACCAGCGGAACCGCGTTGAACGCTTGAGCCCTCTGCTTGACTGGAAGAACTTGGGTATCGAATACTCTAAGGCGAGGCAGCTGGCGCTCAGGAGGGCGTACCCGGATGCCTTCTACGGTGCGGGCGGCGAAGCGGAAGAGGAGGAGTTCGATTTCGGGATGGAGAGAATGGCCCCGAACTCGGTACCTGCTAGCCCTCGGTTCAGGATGACGGGCATCGCGACGCCCGGAGACATCGGCACACTCACAGAAGAGGTGCGTCTGGCGTGTCGTTGCATTCGGGCGTGATCTTTTCTGACATGGATATAATTGCAGATGCAAGCACTAGGAACGAGCGACTACCGCGGATATCACTGGCCTGGTGCGACCGAGGATGAAGACGAGGGATACCCATTGTATGTTCGTCACTCGTCCCCATTTTCATTCGCTGATCGACCTCGCGGTGTTGTAGCCCCCTTGTAATGAAGGTCCGTTCTCGTGCAAGTTCTGTGATGTCGGGCGCCAGTACGCCCGGCGGCGGCAAGTCGAACAGTCTAAGCGACAGCGATTTGCGGAAGGCGGATGCGGCTCTCAGCCATGTTGGAGAAATTCAGGTCAACGGGATTAACGGGATTAACGGAAAACACTGACAGTATCCAGCTTGCAGGAGGAAGGTGACTATCACGTGCAATATATCTGCTGTGTTACCTTGTATTATGTATCAAATACAGGAACATGTGTTCTTACTCGAGAAGCGCTTGCTTGGCAGCTCGCACTTACCTCGCGGGAAATAAGCGGTGGTCGAGGCGTGCGGTATTAGAGTGACGAATGTTAGTTTGTCAATTTTTTTTTCTATTTTTTTGTGGGTTTTCTCGGTCATTACAGGAGAGAGCACATAAAGTAAAAGAGACGTATATGATTGGAGATGTGAGATTCAGTCATGGAGGTAGCTAAAGGAAGAAACATAGTTTTTGTCTTTTTCTTAGCTGCTAAAATGTCATCAGGTAGATTCATTCCATGTCATTTTGAGGATGAAGTTACTTTCTCTTCATATCCTGGTGGCAGTGACACAGTAATCTGTGCAACATTGGTGAAGGAGTCGACAGCATGATCAGACACCCAGGTTCATTGGTGAGTGAGATTGAAGGCCATTTTAACCAGGGCACCTTTCAATGTTGTTTCACAATCATTGGAATGTATGGGATGTGTGGTGTGGAGATTAAAGGCTGGAAGCAGTATTCCACGCATGTTGCACGTTGCATCTCCTCAGTGGCCCAGTCTGATCATGAACATAATGTCCATAAGATATACCCACTTCATCCTCGACTACTATTATCACAGCATGACATGTCAGGTGCCTCAGCCACAGCCAAAGTCTGTCACGGTGGCGCAAGATTGACAAATTTGGAGCACTGGAGGCTCAAAATCTTCGTGCCTCCCTCAAAATAAAATTATCAGCTTCGGTAACGAATTCTTAAAAATCATCTTCTACAAAGTTATGAAAGCAGATTTTTGATGTACATTCTGTGCGTGGAGCATTTAGCCATGCAGAGGGTTTCGCCAAGTGTGACAAAATGATCACGTGATAGTAGTCGAGGATGAAGTGGGTATATCTTATGTGCATGCTGAATTCTGCATAGAGTTCTTGGGGAATACTGTACCATTTCGATCTATTCAACATGTCATGGGTCACATGCCCTTTTGTTGTGTCGAAATTTGGCAGCTGTCATGGGTCACAGGTAGTACTGTCGGAAGGTCTTTGCATATTACTGCCCCAAAGGGCACCCAAAATGGGAAAAATTACCTAAAAAGGGTCTAAAATGTCCAAAATTTCGGCCGGTCATGAATGTCCGGCTGAGTCGTCTACCTGTCAAATTGGTACCATATTGTCACATGTCACACCAGGTGTCGAATAGATCAAAATGATACAGTAATGTAGATGAGATATGATAAGAATAGTGGTGAGATGTGCCTGACTGAGTTTCTTGTGATTTGTGATTTGCATCTTTGGAATCTGTGTCCATAGTGGAAGATGGTGCAAAGGCATTATCAGCATAGGGTGTGATTGTGAAAGGTGTAGTGTTGCTGTCAGTAATTAGTGGAGGAGAGGGTTTTACTGCATGTTCATCTTCATTGTTGTTATCAATATATGAATGAGTTCTTAATACATCGTGGGGGGGGGCAAAATACCTCAAACCAATTGTGTTCAGTACACTATCTTTAATGACAGGATATGTGATGAGTTCTTGCCAATCCACTCTGCCAGCGGAAGCTTCTACTAGGGGTTTGTGTGCTGTTGACAATGGATGATGACAATCATGGACCAACTCTGTTCAGTCTAGTGCAGAGCAAGGGTATGGATAACCCTCAAGGGTCAAGGGTAAGGGTATCGGAGGGTAAGGGTAGGGGTATGGGTTTTTAAACCCTTGTACCCTTGGAGGGTATCACTACCTATAGTATATATGATGTAGATAGTAACTACAGGGTGAATATAGAGTATGTACAGTCTGAGTACAACTTGAATCATGTTTACAGAAGCTTTAAAGATAAAAGAAGAGGGGTACAAACCTCAGACTTAATATATATAATGTCATTTTCTCAAATAAGAGCAAAGATTGAGGGGTATACCCTTAGGATTTGGTACCCTTACCCCTGGTCAAGGGTATGTACCCTTGGAGGGTAAGGGTAGGGGTATGCCTCAAAGTACCCAGGGGTATACCCCTGCTCTGCACTAGTTCAGTCTAGGGGTAACAACTGCTTGTGCAACAACATCGGCGGAGGTGCAACCTGACCGAGGTTTGCATCAGCGCGTATCTTTTTGCAGCGTGCACTTTGTGTACACTTCAAAAGAAGGGGCATCTCCCACACTCTCATTGAATGCAAACTCCATGGATCAATACAGTGCAAAAGAATGAAGGTTCGACTGACTGGGGAGGGAGGGCCTCCTCTGATTCACCACGATGTCATCAATTTAACAGGATCCCGAAAGACAACCTTGAGGAATGATACCGTGCTGTCGACGATCGACATGCCAGCCGTAATCAACCAGTCTGTTAAGCAAGGGCCAAGGATAGGTCTTGCGTGCTGTCATCAACAACAATGTGCAGCGAGGACTCTAATACAACGGATGGACTCTGAGATGAGAGGAACTGCAATCGGTATGATGTTGTGACAATCCAACTTCTCATGGATGTATGATAACGACCGACCGAGTACTGCAGCCGGCAAATCTCTGCATCCTTGCATCATGCCTGTATAAATCTTACCATCTTGCCATGTCTTGCATGTAATCATGAACTCATTCATCCATGCAGTTCCCGAAACACCCGCCCGATAGGCTCGCAACCTTGCCCAGGTGCCGCAATGCAGCGCGAAATTGACCGCATCTCTCGAGCACCTTGTTTGAATGCCAAGTTGGATGAGAAGACAATGAGAGGAAAAACAGGCGACTTCGCATGGGGGGGGGAAGGAACAATACACTGGAAGATGAGGCAGATTCTGAGTCTAGCGCTGAGTGCAAGAAGTGTGTCCTGAGTACCAGGTTTTTGAATGCGAAGTGTTCATCATATCACACATTGCCAATCTGTGGATCCTAATGATGAGAGATGCAGAGGAGTAAGGGGGACCTTGATGTACATCCTGCGTCAATGAGTCAAATGTTCACTGATATAACTGGGCATGCAGGAGGATGCCTGCCAACACATGATGTGTTGAAGCCCAAGTGTGGAGAGGTTTTCTGGTGGAATCACCATGTTCTTTTTTGGCCCCTCCCTATTTCCCGCCCGATATCCTACATCTGCAAGTCTCACATCCACCATGTCCGTGCTTCCTATTCCTCCTCAGCCCTCCAAGTTAGCCTGTACCAGCCTCCTGGACGAGCTTTCCCCCGGCAGCGTCTCATGCCAACACCTTGCAATGGACGCTACTGAGCCACAGAGCTCGATGCTCCTTGAGTGCTTTATGCGTACATTTCTTCGTACGTTCTTCTTCGAGGACTTCCCTTTGCAGACTCGGGCACTGGCCTCGCTCCATGACACACACGATGGTGCTATGCTGCAGGAGTGGGTGCTCCTGTTCCTTGAGACGATGGTCATGGGCCACGCATAGGACATCATCGGCATGGAGGGCAGCATGTTTAGTTCAGTCGTGGAAGACATGCTGTGGTGGATGTATCACGGGTGTGAGATTGTTCAGAGAGGGTGAGGTGTTTCTGATGTAACTGAATGAATTGATATTCTTGACAGCCTGCATGACAGCCTATATGTGCCCATGGAATGTAACTTCATCATCTATTTTGTGAACCCTTGCCAGTCAACAACTGAGTCCAACTTCCGACAAGATTATACAATCTTAACTTCTCAAATTGGTGAGGAGGGACATGTCCCACTATGTCGACCTGTCAGTAGCTGCCTCGTGAATTTGTACAACTCAGGCATAGGGCCATAGTAGTAGTGTGGGAACACGTCATTATTCGTCACATCGTGAAAGCCATTGGCGTGAAGCATTTCACAGAAGGCATGAACTCTCCTCATTCATCTACAGTCTGTGTATGCAAGGTCAGGAGAGGATCCTTCAATGTAGTTGGAGAGCATACTTTCCTGCCGTGAGTCGCTCCTTTTCCTCTGTGTACATGACAGCTGAGTTGCAGTTCTTGACCTCTAGAAAGAGCAACGTAAATGCCAAACAAATTCGTCAGTGTCAGGCCTAGCAATGTTGGAGAAATGCACGTATCAGCTCCCATGATACAGCAGCCAAAGAAGACTATGCATGCATCAGTAAAGAATAAAAGAATACATGAGATTATAAAGGAACATACTCCATAGTGCAGCGGAGGTGCCGATCTCAGTTATGAGAGTGTTGAATGTGAGCACAGAAATAATTGTGCCCCCTTGCTGCATGCATCATACATGCCATGCACAGACACACAAAAGTGCATCAGGAAGACCTCACAAGTCTGGACAAAGCTCAAAAAAAAGCACAAAGGCCAGATGTAATCCGGCCATTTTGAGGAAATTCTGGCATTTTCTACCAGACATTTTTGCTCAATTTCCGGATTTTGAGATCTGATGTTGTCTCCCATATTTAAAGATCCTGGTTGATCATGTACGACCTTCAGATGAACAATGTGAAGGTAATCATCAGTGGCAATGTTGCAGCATGATGTGGTGAATTGATGGGAGGGACTTACACGATGTCAAGAAGAAACCAGCAGATGCACATTCTAATGAAGATCCGAAAGTGCCGCCACTTCAAGAAATAATGCACGAAGTCTATCAATGCATCATGCATCACATCGATGTTAGCCCACACCAGAGGATCAACGATGCATATCAGTAAAATGGCCGTGTCTGGCTACTGCCTGTGGGGGCAGCGCAGGAGAGGTGGGCTGGGTGCCGTGAGACTGCACATCTGTTCAGTGATGCTATTTTCTGGGCTGGCCTTCTTCTTGAGCACGTTGATCAACTCCATCTCAATGTCTGCATTCTTCTGCGATGCCTCAAATTGCTTCGACTCAGGGAGGGTAAGGCACTGGTAGAGCATGCTGAACATGGGGATGAGTGAAAGGCCAACTAAAATATGCCATACTGAGTGTATGAATCATCACTGATCAATTTTCTGGGGATCACAATGAAGGATGTGCACTACTCACTGCCGTCAACCTTGCTCATCTCATCTTCGACCTCCACGACATGCTTGTAGCATGCAAGCATGATGATAACAGCAATGCCACCGATGAGTGAACCCCAGCCCTGGTTGACAAGTATATACACAAGCAGAATATGCTCCGGCAGTGCAGTCGCTTGCCATGGAGGTGGACATGGGGTGGCCACTGCCAATGCCAATGCCGAGGAGACTACGAAAGACGGATAGCCAGATGAGAGAACCTGAGGCGGAGAGGTCAACTAATGCAGATTCATGAGCCAGGACTGAACTGCAGTGCAGAGCATATGCATCAGTGGGGTCAATGACACATGGGGTAGTAGCGAAAATGATAAGCATAAGTTCCTTCCAGTCTTCGAAGAACACACACTTAGTCACACAACCACGAACGTACCACTACAATGAACTCATAGACAGCCTTCTGACCCAAGTAGTCAGCGTAGTAACCTGGGGAAAGTGTCTTTAGATGATGACAAAGATGTGGTATAGCCGATGCAATGAACTGAAGATGAACTGGCCAATGACACTGCCTATGTTTTTGCTAACCTTGAGGAAGCCTTGAAGACTGGCTGGGGGGACTGCACCATTGTAAAGGCGATATTGAAGCATGGTAGAGACCGGTGAAGGGACGCAGAGCACGCTGAGGTGGGAATCACATCTGCGAAGCGGTCTCACATTTTGGAGATACTACAGGGTGCTACACGACCGACCCTAGTCCGACAACAGTTGGAAGCTGGTTATTGGAGGAGGGCACACTACGAGCCTGAATGCTACTTCCAATTCCTTGACTATGATCTGCAACCATCTCAAAGTACCATCCACCAGCTCGCGTCTATCAGTGATTCCACGCATGACATCGTACAGTTCGCGGGCCACGTTGCGCAATGTCTCAACCTAAAGGTGCAAGGTCCTGATGGTGATAAAAGCTGAGGAACACGATTCCAGGAAAATAGGGACAGGACGACCGTGCACCAATGTCAGGGAGACCATCCGGCGGGTGGCCTAAACCAAAGTTCTCGCGGACAGCGGGGTCGTCATACAGAACACGGGCAGTCAAACCATGAGGAATGACTGCAGGAAGGTGATCCGCAATTCGAGGTATCATTCAACGACCACCTTCTATAGTGCGAGCTGTTGCCAGGTGTATTTCCACTTGGGCCAGGACAGGGATATCGCGCGGAAGGGGTAGGATGATCCCCATGCTGGCCGCTTCAGACTGGGCTTGGACCATAAAGACCTGAGGGACATGTGAGGGTCAGACAGCGAAGGATCATATGCTCGTGGGGGCCTCACCAGCAGGACGTGCATCCAGACCACCCATGCTTTCCATAGGATCGGATCGAAGGGCTCAGTAAAGATCTCAATGCGAAGAAGAGCTTCTGCAAGGGTGTATTTGTGAAGGATGACACTGGCGTCCACGGATAGGAGATTGAGTTTAGGATGGGAGATGCCTCCGAGATGGGCGGGTCCTTATTAGGCGCTCGGGCGGGTTCGGTGATGGAGGATCCCTCGGAATGAGTAGGAGTGTGAGCGGACGGGATATGGCGTGATGGGCAGTGATTCAGTGGAGTGATTGTTAAGCAAAGGCGGGCAGTATCAGGAGGGCAGGAAAGGTCAGGACCAGTTAAGTATGATGGCAGGGGAAGAAGTCGGGAGAGAACTGATCGTCCCAGAAGGTACGCTTGCAAAAAGCCTCATTCACATTCTCATCCCATCCAGTTAGTGCGTCTTTGGGCAGTCTTGCATTTGTGCGTTTTCTGGGCAGTCTTGCATTTCTGCATTTCAGTGTTCTCCTTAGAGCAGTGCGATTTTACCCCGATGTGTTTCCAGCGATTATTGCGACTACAGAGATTTTCCTAGCTACGCTTTCGGGACACCCACCTCATACCTCTGGAATAGACTCTTCTCCTTCATTGCATCTCAGACCCCACACGGACTTGATTCCGCTCGTACTCCTCCTTTCCGGCTTGCGACAGAACTACAATCACATCACCGGCTAGCGGCAGTGATGTGTCAGAGATGGTGATGAAGAAAGATAAAAATGTGTGCCCATATTGATCGGAACAAGCATGAACCATCTAAGAAAAACCCAACCTGCACGAGATAGTGGTGAGTCGGTGACTGGTCAGATGACAGGTGGAAGCAGTCAGAAATCTTGCCACATGTATGGTGTTATTTGTGTGGGACAAATACATTGCTGTGAAATCACGAACAGCGACGCCCAAGGGGGGCCTAGCCGAATCAGCCGGCGAAACAACCCTTAGGTGACACCCCCTTAATCGATCCCCGGGGTCCTGGCTCTGAACTCTTGGAGGCAGTTTTGCCTAACTCTCGAATGGCAAGCCCAATTCTCAGAATTTCATTTATCACTGCATGATCTGCGATAAAATATACTTACTCAAGCTTCTCCAATTGTCAGCGCTTTCAAAGCTGTGAGTGAAAAGGGTCAGAGGTGAAGACATTCAATGACTTCTTATCAGCAAGGTCTTATCAGCAAGGTCGACTTCATCTTATCAGCGTGTTCTTTACCTTACCTGCCGCATTCTAGGTCTTATTACACCATCCATCTGATCTTATCAGCCAGGGTAAGGTCTCTTTGGTACTCGGGGTCCGTTCCTTAACTCTTGAGGGTAGGTTTTAGGAAATTCTCTGACCTGGTGCCCCTTAGCGACGCTTCAAGTTCTATCTCTCACCTTGACATCACCAGGTATACGCTGAGACTCAGGGATCTTCGGGTCCAGGAGTTGGCACAGGTAAAGTGATGCTCAAGGTGGATCCGAAATTATCTCGTAAGCCCCGCCATCTACCAATCCATCTGGTGGCCGTGCTTGGCCATTGCCCATGCACTATTGCATAACCCCACTGTACCAATTCTTGGTGAGTTTTACTTGGGTGTTTTTAGTGAAATGGCCACTGAACTGCAGGGTGGAATTCACAGATGAAGCCATCTCCATGCTGGATGTGATGTCATGCATTTTGGTGTTCGAAGTCATCAAGCTATGGCACCAGAACATGAATACAATTGTGATTACATACGATCTCTCTCAAATTGATTCCGAAGATTTCGTATACATGCTCAAAGACGGCACCGTTGCTGAGCAGGGGTACCACAATAAACTCAAGTCCTTCCCTAATCAGTTCTCTCAGGTGCTCCTGCTCCAGAGTGCAACCCGTTGTTTTCAGGAGAAGGTCGAGGAGATGCTGGTGCCAATTCTGGTTGAGGTGATCCTCGAGCAACAGGACATGGAGAAGCAGGAGGAGCTTGAGGATGTCAAATGCAGCACACGTGCATTGAAGCACCAGAGTGTCGTGCACTCAACTGCCACCCGCTAATGGTGAGCAACTGAATGTTCAATGTCATTGTGGAGCTTACCAGGCCAGCCAACCCGTCATCTCCAGTGGTAGTCTCCAGCCATGAGGCTCGCACAAAGAGTTGGTTTGTCCCTCTTGAGACATGTCTGGAAGAGTTCCCAGTAGATGTCAGGAAGCAGGTGCATAGACAGACCTTGTATATTGACATTCTGATCCTGCCTCACCAGTGGTGGCCATTATTGTATAACAATACCCCAGTTACCTGGGGGAATTATTGTTCACTACTCACCAGTTATTGTCAATTGTCAAAGTTATTGTTAACAACAGTCTGAGAGGATTGTAATGCAATAACAAGTTGTACAAAACAACTTGCACTCAGCCAGACTTGAACCCTGATCTTCCGGACACATAAGCACATGCCGCACACACAATCTACCAACTGCTCCATTGAGTCATGTATTTTTCTTAGCCTTAATTCTCTATAAGGCTACTGCCTTCTCTAATATACATATTAGAATCTTTTGTAATAACTACTATATCCTGTTGTTACTGTTGCTTCTAAGAGTGATTGATGTCTCTGTTAATAAGTCTTTGAGTGCCTAATATTAAGCATTTCCTTTTTAGTTGAGTAAATATTCAAATAAGATTAAAACTGTAATATCAAAATTTGTAGATGTAATAAAGCTATTAGAAGGGTGAAATAAATAGAAAAATGTAGGTAAATAACTATTAGAAGCAACAGTAACAACAGGATATATAGTTATTATAAAAGATTCTAATATGTATATTAAAGAAGGCAATAGCTTTATATAGAATTGAGGCTAAGAAAAATACATGGCTCAATGGAGCAGTTGGTAGATTGTGTGTGCGGCATGTGCTTATATGTCCGAAAGACCAGGGTTTAAGCATGGCTGAGTGCAAGTTGTTTTGCACAACTTGTTATTGCATTACAATTTTCTCAGACTGTTGTTAACAAAAACTTTGACAATTGACAATAACTGGTGAGTAGTGAACAATGATTCCCCCAGGTAACTGGGGTATTGTTATACAAAAGTGGAAACCACAGCTGGATGACCTTCGATGCATAGGTGCCCTACCACCTCCTCCAGTCCCTTTCACCAACTCACCACCTTCCTCGGACATTGAACGGGCAGGCCATCTGGCATGAGGATGTGCCAGGCGACATAACCGAGGCCCCCACTTCAAACATGGGGCCCTCTTTCATCATCGTCGATCCTCGATGCATAGGCGTCCTACCATCTCCCCCAGTCCCTTCCCCCAACTCACCACCTTCCTTGGGCATTGCACAGGCAGGCCGCCTGGCATGAGGATGTGCCAGGTGACATAACCGAGGCTCCTGCTTCAAATGCGGGGCCCTCATTCATCATCAACAACCTTCAACATGCGATATCACCACCACCTCCCTGACCTCCTTCCCCCATCTCTCCACCTTCCTCGGCTATTGCACGGGCAGGCTGCCTGGCATGACCTCATGCCAGGTGATATAATCAAGGCCCCCACTTTAATCACGGGGGCTTTGTTCGTTGTTGTCGACCTTCGATGTGTAAGCACCCTACCACCTCTCCCGGTCCCTTCCCCCAACTCATCGCCTTCCTCGGGCATCGCATGGGCAGGCCGCCTGGCACGACCTCATGCCAGGTGACATAATTGAAGCCCCCGCTTCAAATGCAGGGCCCCCGTTCGTCTTCAATGACCTTCGACATGTGGCCTCCTCACCACCTCCCTGACCTTCTTCCCTCGTCTCTTCAACTTTCTCGGGCGTTGAATGGGCAGGCCGTTTGGGATGAAGATGTGCCAGGCCATGCAAACCAAGCCCCCATGCTTCAAATGACTTTAGATGCGTGGCCACCCTACCACCTCCTCCATTCCCTTCTGATCTCTCAACCTCCCTGAGGTGTTAAACATGCATGTTGCTGGGCATCAGGATGAGCCATAGAATGCAAATGACACCAAATGAGGCCTGTGCAGGCTGATCTCCTAGATATACAGCACCCCTGATTACATTGTGCCAGTACCTGTACAGTACACATTGATCAATATATACAGTTATCTATCGGTCCTTGAGACACTACTTGTGGGGAGTAGGCCACTGCTTTGCATGGCAGGAACGATTCCTGAGGTTCGATGTTCCTACCTTTCTCTCATCATCTAATTGTTCTCACATGCATTAATTATTTTGTATTACTCCTTAGTAGTTAATTACTTGTAAACAGTGGTTCATTGCATTGCCTAGCATGTTGTATATTCATTCAGTATCTATTTAAAGGTTTCATCATTTGTATTTACTCAAAACAGTTACTTTGGATGAAAATCTACTAAAATTTGATGTTATACTAATAAGTATAAAGCACTCAAGTCTTTCTTATTAGTGTATAAATTTTTGAAGCTCTGAAACTCTGTTTTTATTTCAACTAGATTTATGTAAAAATTCATTTTATACAGATACCAAAAAGAAATTAAGTATTAGAATGACTTATAATACTATTTAGATACTCTATTATTAATAACTGCATTTCAATCTTTTAGTATGCTATTTATATAACATTTTACTTACGAATATTTGGTAGTAGTACTGCATTAGTTCAGCATGCTATCTATATGTCTATACAAAAAAGTAACAAGAAAATGCTAGTGCTTTTTAAATTATATTAGCCTGTAATATTATTAAATGACTGGTATATTGATTAGTATAATATAGTAAGCTTCTAATAATATTATACTCTTGACTTACTTATAACACGTTATTTGATCGTAGTTTATAAAAATATTATAATAGTGCATTAGACTATGTGACACACTTTACAACAATAATATGTTATGTTATCAGATGAGTCTTATATGTTTGTCGTGTTGCCTATCATTTAATATCAGTCGATAATGTAGTATAATGTAGATAATAATTTATTTGTAGCTGAGTATCTCAGAGTAGAATTATCTAAAACATAGCTTTAAAATGATATTACTCTGTTCTTGTATCAAAACTATATAAGAACATTACTAAAAATTGTTAGTACACCCCTTCTAAAACTCACATTCAAAATTGCTTTAAAATGATACTATTATGTTGTTTTGCAAAAAGCATACAAAAACATTACTAAAAAGTGGCTAGTATGCATTTTAAAAGACTCAGTTGAAACATGGCTTTAAAATGCTGCTACTATGTTATTTTATAAAATTAATATAAAAACATTACTAAAAAGTGACTAGTATGTATTTTCAAAGATTCAGCTAAAAATGGCTTCAAAATAATATTACTATGTCATTTTATAAAATCTATATAAAAACATGACTAAAAAGTCATTAATATTTATTTTACAAGGATTACATTGATGACATGCACTTACTCCAAGGTAACTACCTGATAGAAGTTTCTTAGAATTTTAGATTCTATAGTCATGGCACAATTTTCCTTATACTTTTATACTTTTATGGATTTTTTTCAAAGTATTTGCTCTAATAGGCACCTGTTTGACAGCAAATATAAGTTAGGTCTCACGTGACTCAAATCATTTTCATCATATAAAAAATATCTAAAAGTGTTATATACAATAGTCTACTATGTAATCAGATTTTCAGTATGATATCTAATATCAGATTGTAAGTGCCTCACAGTAGTCTGATAAATGTGTAGTGGAACATTGTAGGACACTTACTACATAGTATTAAATGGCACACTAGGAGTTAGTAGAGAATACAATAACAATTTCTTGCATAGATTTAAATATATTGTTGTAGGCACATTAGTAACAGTTTCTAGGGTCATTTTTTGTAGTGATTCTTATAGGCACATTGGTAACAGTTTCTAGTGTCATTTTTTGTCATGATTCTTATAGGCACATTGGTAACAATTTTTGTAGTAATTCTTGTAGGCACATTAGTAACAGTTTCTAGGGTCATTTTTTGTAGTGATTCTTATCGGCACCTTGGTAACAGTTTTTAGGGTCATTTTTTGTAGTTATTCTTATTGACACACCTTTTTACAGTTTCTAGGGTTATTTTTTGTAGTTATTCTTATAGGCACATTTTTAACAAATGCTGGTGTCATGTTTTGTAGTGATGATTCTTACGTATTAAGAGTCAGTAGATGAATTTGTAAACTACTATAAGGCTCTTATAAACTCATATCACTCAGTGTAGTCGAATGTTGTAAAATGCTTACTAGACATTATTGTATGACATACTAGGAGTCAGTAGAAAATATAATGGTCTATTCATGGTTTGTAAGGGGTATATTAGCATTTAGTAGATTATATGGTAGATTGTTGTAAGACTCCTACAAACTGATACTAGATGCCCTTTCAGACTATTGTAAGATCTTACAAATAAATACTAGGTGACATATCAGGCTATATAAGGTCAGTACAATGCTGAGAAACTTGCTAAAAGTTAGTAAACTATGTAGTAAGATATTGTAGGAGCTTACTAGACATTATCAGTTCACATTATAGGGTGTTATAAGGCCTCTACGAAACATAATAGGTAGTATATCAATTGTGTGAGTTGATAAGGGCCATACTATTAGTAGTCTACAAAGTCGCCTACTGCCTCATAGTATATTGTCTAGTAATGTTCAGCAAGTCAACAACACCCTACTATACTGGTTCCTAATAGTTTCTATAATATCAGTTTGTAATGAGCTTACAATACTCGGAAATGTTCCCTGGCATCACTTTGGAAAAATCATCAGTAACCTTCAATAGTCTCTAGGAATCTCTTGTAAGTATGTGAGTTTATAAGGGCCTTATAATAGTTAGATATGTCATCTAGTATCAGTTTATAAGATGCTTACAACAGTTTAGTATACCACTTAGTATCCATTGGTAGGAGCCTTACAGTAGCCTACAAAGGGATATATTGACTTCTAGCATGTTGTATAGTAACACTTAGTAAGCCTCCTACAATGTCATTTATTGAGTTCTAGTACACCCCCTAGAATTAGTTTGTAAGGGCCTCATAATATTCTGATATGTCATCTAGTTTATGTTGTAAAGGCCTTATAA